GAGAATCCGCTGACTTACGCTGATTACAAAGACATTCCCTGCTCGTATCTGCTCTGTGAACAGGACTTGTGCATCCCCGCAAGCGTTCAACGCGCTGGGATTGACTTGATTGAGAAGGAGAGCGGGAGGAAGGTGGACGTGACGAGGATCCAGGCTGATCATGTTCCGAACTGGACATACAAGCAAGCTACTATCGATTGGATCGTGGGATTGGGAGAAAAATGTGCTTCGAAATGAGTCGTCGGGTTCGTATGTAGATGCAGTACTGCGCCAGAAGCCGAGACATTGGCCTCAAGCTCTCAAGTCACAGTCAAGCTGGTCACGCAAAATTGCCATGTGCAGTGTGCATAGTTTTAGACGATTGGCACACAGGCCAAGGGCTCTATGGAGACGATCCATTCCAAGGTGGCTTTCTCGGTCGCTTCCATAAGTACGCAAACAGCGCTAGAAGAAGCAAAAATAAAACTTGGATGCTGATATGACTGCCATGAGAGGAAAGGCGTCTAAGTGAACGTCATGTCAGCCCGGTTCCATGCCACCACCGTTGTATCAAAGCCCGCGAGCCGGGCCACTCAAGCAACCACGGTGACCCATCGGCAATAATGTCATAGAGAGGGTCCAAAATCACTGAGTCCAACAGACCTTCATTATTGCCCGTTCCTGTAGAGCAAAGAGCACAGGTATGAACAAGAAGACGGTTGGCTTACTTCTCGACCAGGAGAGGCGGTGGACGGACACCCTCAGGAAACGTAGCCTCCCACGCTGCCATGATCTGGAGCATCTTCGCCTCTTCGTTCTCCGGCGCCAGCATGTGGAGCGAGAAACCTCGCCCGTTGAAGTCCGCAAACCCCAACGGAAGGTTACCGACAGGGAAACCCGCAGCCGACCCAACACTGCCTGTGCGGGAGTCACAGGGGCCCAAGATGACATCTAGGTCGTATTCCTTTAGGAGGCTCTTCATTTTGCCGGAAGCGAAGTCTCGGAGTGCTTTCAGATTTCTGTCAAAGACTTCTTTGGTGGTATTGTCGTCTTTTGCAGTCTCCAAGAACTTCTGATTGTCATTACCTAAAGACTTTAGCGAATATTCAAGATATAGTGCAAGGAAGAAACTCACGAGATGTGAACTCTTTACTCGCATGTTTCTTGTTGAAGTCAACGAGCTCTGCAATGGACTGTGGTGCACCTTCGAAGTTTGCTAGAAAATCGTTGAAGCAATGGCGGAATGCGTATGCTAGTGTGGATGGTTAGTTTCTGACAAGGTTGTAGTTGTAGGAGTACTTGGTACCACTCAAGTCTTCCATTTCCTCCATGTCAGGCATGGCCTGAGTGATCTCATCCCAGGATGGCACCGGAACTGAGTGAACGACTTTGCCGCCGAGGGATCGAATTTTCTCCGCAGCCGCATACATGGCGTTGTCGGTTTGTTGCCAGAAGCTTTCGACGGTCTCCATTGCTGAAGGATATGACCGCCACTTTGTTGGGTCTGAGAACCCAATTTTGAGACCGGTCCAGGACGAATTCAAGGGTAGATATTTTTCTGGGTGATGCCCTTGCATTATAGCAACGAGATGAGCTTGGTCAATAGCGTTCCTTGAAAACCCGCCAAGGCAATCAAACTGTGGTGATGCAGGCTGGACTCCTGTGTTGTCGACCGCCCCATTCGTGATCTTCAGGGCATAGAGACCTGCACGGGCAGCAGGCATAATGATTGAGCCATCTGATTCAGTTCCGAGTGACAAAGGCGCGAAACCAGCCGCAACGCCGGCAGCACTACCAGATGATGAACCGGCGGGTGTCTATAGACAGATAAGAAGCTGAGGCGAGAGAAGTGGTCGGTCTTACCGTCTGTCCCAGCCATGGTGAGTCCGGGACAACCCCTCCTTTGACGTATGGATTCTGCGTCTAGAAGTCGCTGTTGGCCAATTTCTACCACCAATGTCATAGTACCTTACCTGACCGCCCACAGCAGACCATCCCGCCATTAACCAGGCTCCCTTTAGACTACCTAGTTCCTAACAGAGACTTAGCGTTCAAGGTGTTGTAAGAGTCAATCCAGGGGAATGTACTTACCGATAGATTGGCCTTTCCAATGACAATCAACCCTGCAACGAGCAATTTGTCCACGACCTTGGCATTTGACTTGGCTTTTGCTTCTGCCAGTGCAAAGTTACCACAAGTTGTGGGCATATCCAAGGTTGGGGTGCAGTAAGCATCCTGCATCTGTCAGTTTGGCGACGAAGAGCAGGAGCCGTCAGATGTGATACCTTGAGAAGAATGGGAATTCCATGAAGAGGGCTGCGAATGACTCCGCGCTGTCGTTCGTTGTCTAACTCTTGAGCGAGGGCCAGGACTTTGTCTCGGGGAGGTGTTGAGATGACGGCATTAAGATTCAATCCCGCATGATTGTGCTTTTCAATCTGGTCGAGGTACCTGCTCGTGATTTCCACGCTGGAAACAACGCCCCGACTAAGGAGTCCTCGTAGATCGGCCGCGCTGAGAGTCAGCAAATCGACTGTGCATAGATCAGCTCCTTTGTCCTGTATCCTTGAACTCCCAGTGGTATACTCTTAGTTGCCATCTTCGTATTTTCTTTCTTTGGTTGTTAGTCTAGGTCTCTGCCTCCGTCAACAGGGAAGAGGTAGGGCGTCGTAGACTTCGGGAGTTTTCGGCCAGGAAGAAGGCCGACCTGGGTATAAGAAGGGGCAGCGTTGATTTGATTGCGGTTCTTGTTTGTAAGGCTCGATTGTAAGGGCAGAAAGCTGGACTGCTCCAGTGGGTCTATTGCATGTCACGTCTCCGGGGAGTATTTCCTGGGTGAGATAACTGTACCACAAAGGGAGTGACAGGTCACAGAGCCCAGGTCCAAGCATTAACTCCCTTTGACGGCAAGAGACGGCAAGAAACGGCAAGAGACGGTGGCTGCAGTGCCTATGCCTGTTGTGACAAAAAGGCAGCCTCTCCAAGACCTGCACGTGTGCCATTCCGACCTCACCTCACCCGTTGGTCATTCAAACGTGAAGCTAATCACGTTGCCCAACTCGAGGTGTGGTGACACGTTCTACATCAGGTTGATAGCACTGATCGAATCCCTGACCCCATTTAGCCTTCTGATTGCTTTAGATCTTTGTCAATTTTCTTCAAGTTTGAGTTTTTCGATGTCGAGGCAAAATGGAACCTATTGAGATACACATCGAGTATATTGTCGATGATCCTAGATTCCTCACGGAACGGCCTTTTGCTGTCAATATATCTCCAGGCCTAAAGGTTGACAGAACTTTGCATACTCTGGATTGGGTGCTGAAAAGCACCGTTATCCATGATATTCAACTGTTAAAAGACGTGAGCCTTGCTCAGTATGGCTTCGAGAGCTTCCGATACAACTTTACTTCCCTCCCAAGGAGGACCAGCTCACACATTCAGAGGTTGTACGTTATCAATTAGAGACGGAGCAGTTTCTGAAGCAGGCTCTGAATGTCGAGAGAGTTATATGCTTCGACTGTCGGGTAACTGGCCCGATGCTTTCCTTTGAAGCGGTCCACTCACTTACACAGTTCAGGAGGAACGGCCCTCCGATCAATGTTGGAGAGGTCATCGATGTCAACGACCCCTTGCACTTTGACCTCCCCCTTCGTGGTGCCCACAGTAAGTCGTACTGCCTAACTCTCTAATTCCATGCTGAAAATTTCACAGACGGTATGCACAGAAATCGACAGCCCGTCTCGAATGGCCTGACCCCTGACATGATTCAGATATAACATTTGATGGAGGACCCCTTTGATCAAGAAAATCCTCAACATAATCGATGAGCCGCAACTGCTGCACCGCAAGTATCGGTGTCGTATTGTGAAGTGAGCCCTTTCTTATCCGATCAATGCTTTTCGGATTTAAAAAGTATTTGGAGGCCACTCGTCGAAAGGCTCGACGAGTGGCCTCGGATGACGACTTAAGAAAGAGGCTGCAACACTCTGCCCAGGGCAAGCTGCGAGGAATGCTCCTTCAGATCAGCTCATTCTTCGACATTCTGCAGAAGATATTGTATCTGTTCACGGCGGCACTACCTGCTCGTTCAATTGCCCTCGGTCTTGTATCAGGAGGGGCCTATCTCGCCGTAAAGGTCAGTAGGAACTAGTGCACGAGAACTACTCCGTACTTGTAGATGTGAGAACGGGCCTTAGTGTGGAAGCTAACTATTCGATGGGTCTAGTACTGGGCAGAATCCGAATCTGCGCGCACAGAATAATTGGTATCCTCGACAAGTATAAAGAGCAGCTCGAACTGTTTCAGAAGTACGCCGAAACTCTCAAAGAAGAGAATTATCCTGTTGAGCGAAGCGAAACAGGTATACGGGGCAAAAGTTTCCAAAAAGCCGCATATTTGATTGGCTGGGTAGATAAACTCATCCGATTGGCCAATTCCTGTTACGGTCACGTGGAGTCATGCATCTGACCAATCACGTAGTAGACTCAAATTTAGCGCTTTCCACATTGGCACTCACTGCGCCACCGCCACCACCACCACAACAACACCACACGCGCAATCGCCGATTGTTTTACCATTGAGATCTCGTCCTATTCTGTCTCCTTGAATAGCTCTCGTTTAAATGCCAACTGCCTCATTCATTATTTCGCTTACATCTCTTTGACCAAAATGCGCGCAAGTGGCGCGCCACCTGATCCGTTCAAGTGTCCGGGAATACCTCCTCTACCTTCTGATCGACCTAATCCTCAATCGAATACCCACACAAAACCTACTCCAGCTGTCGCCAACTCAAGCCTAAGGAAGACTTTAAGCCCAAGCGAGGCAATAAGGAGACAGCTCAATGTATTGACTCAACAGGTTGCCTCAGGGAGGTTTTACCCTACCCTACAGCACCATTTTAGACAAGGGCGGCGGTGAAATTGTGAAAGCAGCCCATGAATGCAAAAAAAGGAGAAAAATATAACGCGATCTTCTAGCTAGGTACTGCAGATTCGAATGTGCTGAGGGAATCCTACACAAAAATGGCATGTCGTCTTCTGCTTCAGGGAGCCAACGAAAAGTTGGATAAGGATGTCAACTATATGCTGGTGAAGAATTGGCTTGACAAAACGAGTACGTATTTCCTTGCCAACCGGCCACTACACTTGCACCATCTAACAACAGACAAGGGAAAAAGTGGCTCTTGACATTCTGACTGGATATTTATTCAGCTTCTTTCAAAAGCTCCTCGACGACGAGTTGGGAAAGCTGACCCCGACCAATATCTTCCGCGAGGTGCTGGCGACTTACCGTGTTATCTTCGGGCAACATGCCGATGCACGGAACCTGATCAGAAAACACTGCTCGCAGGGCAAGCTCTTCAATAAGTACAGATCCCCATGGCAGAAGCCACATCCGTCGGCGTTTGTGCACAACCATGCCGACCCATTGCTTGAACGGCTATGCTTCTACGACTGCCGAGACGAAACCCTCTTCGTGGAGCTGGACATGCTCGATCTCAAGCATAACTACTTCCTCGACGACGACTTCCCTTGTTTCGCGGACCGGCTATGGGCGCTACAGGAATATGTCGAGAACCAGTGCCCCAACAACTGGAAGGTACTATGGCAGGACCGTCGCAACGTCAAGGAGTTCTGGACTATCTGGGCCGTCGTTGTCTTCGCGCGTGCCTAGCCTCACCCTCAGCTTCGTTGCAATCGTCCTAGCTGGCTTCCAGCTTGGAAGGCAGCTCAACAGCTGATACGATTATTGCGACGTTGTTTTCAGGGTAATAGCGGCCGGGACAAAATGGGGAGGCGTTAAAATAGTATTCCCGGTTTTCCAGTCTATTCCAACATGTGAGGCTGTGCAAGCATAAGCTCCAGGAACGAACAAGGTCAGAGGGGATCTGTGTTGCTCAGGATAGTAATCTTTTACGAGGCCTTCGAATCCTCTCCACCCTTTCCCATGACCCGTCCCAACAAGTCGCAAGAATTAAACACTCCCACAGACGGAACGTCCCGGGCTTCCAACTGAATGCTGTCGGGAGATTTTGTGGTGGAGAAGAAGGAAGACCAAACGCTTCAGGCACAAACTCGGTGAGTGCTTAGGAGGGCGTCCAGGAAACAGCAGATGAGTCGACGGGGGGCAGAGCGACGATCGGCTGTCAATCAAAGAGGATGAATGAGGACGGGTTTTTGATTCGATACTATCTAGATAATGACATCCTCAAACGCACTGAGGACTTTGTCCGTGAACGCCCTCTGCATTTTTGCCGCGACGAGGGCGTTTGACTCGTTATCGCCTGGAGCCAGGCCTAGTGCTTCTTCGCCCCGGATGCAGGTCTCGATTGCGGTACGATATCCCTTGCCCATGCCTTGCTCAATGCGACTCAGGAGGTCCGACGACAGCGCCCGCCCGGGGATGGACGCCAGGTTATCACTATTCGCCTTCTGATATCCGGGCATGCCCACCAGGTCTTGGATGGGCTGCCAAGCAGCGATTTCCAACAAGAGGATGCCAAAGCTGTAAACATCAAAAGACCGGCGATAGTTGCCTTGCGCAAACGGGCCCTGATACGACGGAGGACGGTACAAGTCAAAATAATTCGACGCCAGTTGCGAGTCCGTCGCGGTGGTAGCCGCTCCGTCGCGCTCTGGACGTGCGTATTCAAAGTTTGAGAGGTACGGTTCGTGGTATTTTATAAACGAGGCCTTCTTGAACGGACTACCCTCGCGGAAGAAGATGACGCTGTCAGATCGCAGCGCGCGATGTAACCACCCTACCGCATGGAGGTAGAGGATGCTTGACGCAAGTCCACGGGCGATGGCGATGCGATCCCTGAGAGGCGGACATTCCAGAGTATGGATCGCATCGTAAAGACTGACCGGAGGGTCGGTCTCCTTGTCCTGTACGGCCTTCTCAAATATCAGTCCGAAGCGATCGTGGTCATTGTCGTCATCTTCGTCGTCATCGTCGCGATCATCGTTATCATCGAAAAAGCCCAGACATTGTGGCACGCGGAACTCCTTGGGTTTTTCCATCTGGAGGAGAGTGACCAGCTCCGAGACACGCTGAATGTTTTTCTTCAAGGGCACCATTCGCTGTGGCTGGTGACTTCTGTCAAGCTCGGTCTTGTAAGCTTTCCATTCGATCCAAACAAGTGTTTCTGACCCTTCCGCCGAAGCATACTTCGCATTGACCCGGCGAGATATGAAATCTTGGCGCCCTCCGTCTTTCTGCTGTTCGAGAGCCGCATTGTATGACACGGGGCGTCGATTCTTTTGCGCTGACCTGACCAGCTCCTCGTACTGAGGTGGTCTCTGAGCATCTGGTGTGCTTGTGAGAATTGCTGACTGCTTGAACGAGGCGAGCGACCCGAGGATCTTGTCGTTCTCGGCTCTTCCTCGAGTGATCCCGCGATTAGCTGTTTCTCGCTCTGCAAACACCATGGCTGCCGTCACAAGTCTTTTCAGTTCGTCGACCGACGTGCGGACCTGGACCATCTCAATGAAAGTGTTACGAGTCGTCTCTTCCACTCTTTGCGCATGCTGATCCTGGAGAATCCCGACCAAGAAGTCGTTGTAGCCTGCGAGCTTGCCCAACAATGCTTTAAAGACATCCGCGTCGAAGGCCACCCACCACAGCCTTTTAGGCTGCATAATGATGCCTTTGGTGTTCGTGACCATCGCACGCACATGGTTTGTTCCACGAAGGTGAGTACGTTTCTCTGCAGACCTTTCGTACTTCACAGTAATGGAGGCAAAATCTTTGGCAAGGTCTGTGGCCAGGGACTGTTGTTTCTGCTCAGGAGTATCGGTGTCCTTCAACTGATCATATCTGCCGTTAAGGGCTGCAAAGTCCTCCATCAGGTTTTGAATCTGGCTCAGAACGGCGACCAACAGCAGCTTGTCGGTCTTCAAAACTGTGGGGAGGTCCTGCTGATACTCCAATTCCAGCAAGCCTGCTACGTCGGCGAAGTTGAGGATTCTATGATACTCCATCAGGAGGGCCGTGCGTAGGGCTTCGGCTTCCTTTGGCATATTTGCCGCGGCAAGGTAGTACTTGAAGACTGTTTCCAAGTCAGCTCTGAGCTATTCGTTTTTGGGGAGTCGTCAAAGCATGCCTATTGCAACCTTGTCGATCAGCTCCAAGGCCAGCGACGCTGTGCCGAGCGCGGCGCCAACGGGGTCGACCGGCATAGTATTTTTGTCGACGATATAGCAACGTGGGTGAACTGGGTTCACGGGAGCGATCTGTTCGGTTCAATCCTGAAGTTGTTAAAACATCATTTGATACCACACCGCAGTCAACGGCCAGGATGCAAGGAGTCCAGGGTTGTATATGGTCAGGCTGCGGAGGGAGTATTTACTATGTCGGCTGGGTCGAGGCTCGAGGCTCGAGAGCACTCTTTGGCGGATTTAGGCAACGGTGGAATACGAGCAGGCGAATTGACCTGCTGGTACTTCTCTCTCAGCCTGATTCTGTCACACTCTGGCGGATTGTGTCACAATGACTTCCTTACACTGGGCACCCACATGGCCGCTAAAGGCCCTAAAGGGGCAAAGCACCTCGTGTGGGCGCCCAGCTGAGTACTTTGTGCACAAGCCTAGGTTGTGTGATGGTCATCTCAAGGCCTGCCGCATTCCAAAGGCACGACTTCTGGACGAAAGGTGGCTCGAGTCCAGGCGCTCAAATATCTCGTACCTGACTCTGCATGGGCCACCTGCGCCTCAGAACCACGCCCACCATCGGCAACCCCTATGTGACCAATTCCCCACCCCACCACTATGCAACGCTGCGCCTCCTCGTGTGATGGGCGCTTTTCCCTACATTAAATCGTTACAGCTGAAGGGGCAGCCCCTTCTGCTCGAGAGTTGCAGCCGATTCTCAGCCTGAGGGCAAAGAACTAGTGATCCATTATTCGTTCGACTTTCTTGTCGACTCCCTTGTGTTTTGACTCACTTTGCTCCTCTTTTTGGGGGGTATTGATCGCATGGCAATAACATTTGGGGGTACAGCCTTACTGGAAACCATGCCTGGGGAGACCTACCAGCCTCGACAGCGCCTGTCAATCTCGACAGAACACACTTCACATTTCAATGCCGGTCCCGAATTCGAAGAATCTGAGGATGATTCTGACGATTCGAGCGAGGAAATGGACATCGAGAACAAGTTCCCAGATGTGGAACACATGTCGGTCATTACAGCAGAAGAGAGTGATCCGTGGCTCCCGAAGATTGTGCTGTCGCTCGATGGCGGCTCCCATCGAAATTTCTCGACCCTCCTTATCCTCCAGGCTCTGATGAAGAAGATAGAACAGTTCGAGCAGAAAACAGACCCGACCATTTCTGACAGCGCTCGCTCCCGCGAGTTTCATCTCCCATCGACGAATTCTCGGCCGCCCTCGGATTCGCGCTTTCGGCCCTGCCACTACTTTGACTACATTGGAGGCGCGAGCACCGGAGGCCTGATTGCTATTCTCTTGGGCCGGATGAGAAGGCCGGTGGACGAAGCCCTAGAGATCTTTCTACAATTCTCGCAAACCATGTTCCCAAACTTTCCACGTGGCATGGGCATCAGCCGCCTTCCGCGCGCGCTGAACAACAAGGCGACACGCAGCGAAAAGTTTGCAGCACAGCTCGACTGGTCGAAGCCGACGGACTCGAGTCCAGAGGAGGATGGACAGAGGTTCGTGTCGGACTCGCTGCGGTGCCGGACCATCATTTGTGCGATGGAGAAGACGCGGCTTGAAGACCAAGGGCTAGGCCTGAGGCCGTACCTGTTCCGATCCTACGCTCACGAGGCCCGCGACGAGTCTTCGTATCTGAGGAATCCCGGCGGCGCCACCGATCGCAGCACCGCCGACGTTGCCAAAGCAGCAGTCGCGGCCTCGCAGTTCCAGAACTTTGAGCAGCACGGTTACTACGACTCGGGGCCCGGTCTCAATAACCCCAGCCTCGAACTCTACAACGAAATCACATCCCTGCACGACCCAGACAATCTGGCCCTGTTCATCAGTATCGGCTGCGGGGCGAGCAAAACCAAAGACCCGAGCAGCCCGCAATCCAACAGTCGAGCATGGAAGCTCAAGGCATCGTTCAAACGGCAGGAGAAGGAACTCAGCCTCGGCGCCGACGCCGTCCACCGCCGCATGCACAGGAAATCCCGCAGCCCGGTCTCCGCGTTCGAGTACTTCAGGTTCGATGTCAAAGAGAACATCCCCGAGAGCTCCCTGGGTAACTGGCAAAGCATCCAGCCGGGCCGGCACGCGCTGAAGAAGATCGCCGCCGCCACGGACGCATACCTCGCTCAGCCCGAAGTCGACAACCGCCTCCACGAGTGTGCCGAGCAATTGGTCCACCGGCGTAAACTGCGCGCCGAGACATTACAGTGGGAGAGTTTCGCGTTGGGCGTGCGGTATTGCTGCCCGCACCTGGTGCAGTGCCAGGTGCAAAAGGACAAAGTCCGCTTCGCAACGAGGGATGTCCTGCTCGATCATCTACGGACCGTGCACAAGGAGCCGCCGCCGGATGCGAACAATTTCGAAAGGATCAATAGTCTGCTCGATAGAGGGAGGATAAATAGTGATCGGTCGGATGGGTCATGACATTATTTGTAACATAGTGGTTTGGAACAGGGATTGACTCGGGGAAAAAAGTTATCATTAGCTACTAAGCTGTGGGATGGGGATTTTGAGAATACAATAAGCCGTACATCAGTGGCATTTCTGTTTCATATCCAGTAGTGCCGCCTCCTGGGTTCCGCCCTGTCATCTTTTTACACTTCATGCGCTGGTGAAATTAATCAGGTAAATATACGACAGCTGCCCAGGGAAGAACCGCCGGCGAACATTGTTGACCCACCAACCCAGGGTCCCCAAGGGTGCACGAGCTTCAATCAAGCTCTTGTCGTTCTCATTCGCATCAAAGAACAGTGCCCCCGAGGGCAGATTATAGCGCCGCCAGTCGCGGTGACGCTTCTCGACGTGATCTGACGGACGTTAGTCAAACTGGTGGTTCTCAAGCATGACGGACTCCCTTACCGCGCAACACTTTGAACTTGGTGATGGACACTTTCGGGATGGAAACGTCGAACAGGATGATATCCTCTTCATGGTCACACTCGGGCAGTGGATTCGGGGTGCTTCGCGCCCCGGTCTTGCCTCCCAGTCCCGTGGATGACGGCATTGCATGGTTCGAGTTACCGGCTGAGGGGAGCGGTGGCTGTTTCGCAGAGCCGTCAGGCTTTACGGGGACTTCGGCGATAATGTTGGTTGCGGAGGAAGTGTTTCTCTGGCGCCTTCTATAACGCTGCCGCCTTCTTCCTGATGAGTCGCTGGCCCACGACGTTTCGCTCTTGTCAGTTGCTCTCCTTGGGAGATTCTGTTCGAGCTCCTCGGAAGATCGTGAGGCTGAGTGGTTCTGCCTGGTTGCGTCGTTCTCTGAGGCGACCACTGACGGCTTTGATGGTCTTCGACGTCTCCCAGTCCACACAGGTGCTCCATTGGGAGCTGGCAGATTTGCAGCGTTGGGGTTGGTCTTATCTCGAGACTTGTTGGCCAATTCTGCAGGGTCGTGGTCGGCTTCCGCGAACGCGACGTTTTTGGTCGCACCTGAGGACCTCAAGTCCGGCTCAACTTCATTTATAGACAGTCCGTTATCTGCACTAGTTTCATTAGTAGGTGGAGTCATCGCAGTAACATTCTTTAGTGATGACGGCTGCTGCATGGGCAGTCGATGCGCAGGCAATGGGAATTGCACGGACTCTATCGTGCGCATTTGATCTGGCGAACGGGTCCTAGAAAGGGTATTCCCTGCTTCTTGGCTGTTCGACACCACTTCTGGGACCCTATCTTCGGGTATCGACTGGACCGAACTCGTTCGATTAGCTTGGATTCTGGGTTGAACAGCGCGTGTTTTCTTCGTCTTCTCCTCTGCAAGCTTTTGATCGGCCGATAGCGGCCAGGCACCTGGATGACGGGGATTGCAGTCTTCACACAAGTCGAGGCTAGGAAAATCAAAAGCAGTCCAGAGTCCATGGGATGACGGCCTCTTGTGGGGCGAGAAGTCCAGCATTTCCTTAATCTTTGGTAAGGCTCCAACGACTTCGATGATCAAACTCGGTGGAAGGGCCTTGCACACTTCTGGAGAGCTGACTGTGGTGTTGGACAGCATGTCGATCCACCTGTGTACCTTCTCCAACGTCAAGGGATAGTCGTAGTTGGATTTCTCGTTCACCGTTCTTCGCCGATACGCTTTAAACTCACGAAGACTTCGTCCAAGGATCAGGGACGCCATTTCGATGAACACACAGCCCAGAGAGAACACATCCGAGTAGTCATCCCGCTCTTTCTTGAGGCCTAGCTCGGGGCAGGAATATCTCGCCGTGCCAATTGGCTTGTCTTCTGTCGCGTGAGCGACTCCCTTGTCGAAATGTCGTGAGATACCAAAGTCTGTGAGCACCACGTTTCCGCTCAGGTCGACCAGGATATTTGCTGGCTTAATGTCCTTATGGCGAACGTCGGCTGCTTGGACATAGCTGAGTGTCTGGCACAGGCACACAAAGTACTTGGCAAGCTGCTTGAGTTGAGCGGCAAAATGTTGTTTGAGTGGCCATGAATATTGGTGTTGTAGCTGCATGGTCTCTGGCTCTTCCGAGTCACCAGGAGAGCCCGTGCTGTCGAGTGAATTGACGTCTAGGGAATCTGTGTAAATTCTCCCACATTGACCAAGAGGCTCTGGCGCGGAGCTTGTCTTAACTTGACGTTGGTGGGTTGTGTAATTTTTCGAGATGCTTTTCATGTAATCGCCTAGATCACAGCAAGCCACTGGGAAGATCATGATGTTCAGGAGTCCTTGATACCTGTACGTGCCAAGGAGGACGACGATATGTGGGTGCCGGAACGTCTTCATGTTCTCAACTTCGGCTTGGGCTTTCTTCCGGCTAGATATCTTGCGCGCCGTGACTCTTTTGACAGCAAAATGGTGTTTAAATCCATGGTTGTCGGCCATTTTCCAATGCTCAATGGAGGCGTCCTGGCTCTTGACACGATCCAATTGTCTCAAGAAAACCATTGGCAAACGGCCATTGTTGCCAAAGTCGTAGTTCATATTCCGCTCGCCTGTGTTCCACTCGAAAAAGATCTTGTCATCAAGAAATTGTCGCATAACGGACTTGCCACTCCACCGGGACCCATCATGTCCAGCATATTTCTCGAAGTCCACAGCATCCACCATTGTTCATTCGTGGAGGATTTCACAAGCCAGTGCTCCTCGAAAAGCATTTAGGTGGCATGTTAACATGCGCAAAGGCTGATGATAGTGGTGGCTAGGGCACTCGGCCCACAAGCCAAATCGTGCTCTAAGGCTGTGGGATGCGCTTTGCGGAGAGGAGCGAGGTTCCAAAGCAGGCAGGGGATGTTTCCGTCGAGTTAGAGCGGTATTCAAAGCTGGAAATTGGAATTTTGTAAAAAAAAAAAAGCAGGTGACCTTGCACTCGGTGGCAGTGAAGCGAGAGCACACGGGATGGGAGAACAGTGCTTCAAAGACTCGAGGCGTAGCCTTGTGGAGACGGCCATTTTTATTGAAATTCCATGACCAAAAAGTGGAGGGAACGAGATCGAGCGAGACCGAAGAAAACAACTAGGCTGACCCTTGCAAGTCCTCGACAGCTGAATTCATTAGGCGATGCGCTGAGGGATTGTGATGGGCTGTGTAGGCGATTCCAGAATACGAATTGGAGGCAGTGACTCCGTATTGGTTTACTCCGCTTACTCGGCCACGGCCATGGCGGACTGCTGCAGGGTGGCGCCAGAGGTTCAGCCTCACTACTAGCCGGCATATCTGCAAGCGTAAAATGTCTCCTCGTACCGACCCCGCCTACAAGGGCCCAATCACCACTGGAGATGCCCTCCTCGAGGTGTCACACCCATACCTTCCTCACCACCCGTCGCGAGCAGAGCTCACAGGCTACTTGTGGCACGTCAATAAATGCCAATAAATGGCGTTGAGCTAGGATGTGCCTCTCGCATTTGCCCATAAATACTTTTGAGACAACGCTTTTACTTTCCACAACAACTGCCATCAGGCTGAGACCGAGACCACCTTGCTACAAGTCAAGTTTCGAGAAATAACAGGCTAGAGCCCAGCAGCGCCTGACGCCGCCTGCCGGGCATGCCCAAATGGGCCCATGGTTACAACCAAAGTACTCGTCCATCAATCATGCTGTCGAAATTGTCTTTCAGTAGGCTGCGGCTCACACAACTGTCAGGGCAATCCGAGGATAAGGTTACGGAGCACCGGGGACAAGCAACGACAAGCGTTGACGCCTAAAACACGCGCATAGGACGTAGTTGATACCTGGCTCAAGCCTAGCAAGGCCACAGATCCTCGACGGTGCTTCAAGCGGTGACATCATCAGGGGTGGGAAATGGTCATAGAAGAGACACCAAGGCTCTCAACTATAGCTACGAAAAGGCTGCACAAAAAGGCAACTTGGGTGAATTCTGTTGTCGCAGCTAGTGGGCGGGGCCGAAGCGAGGGCTCAGATGAAGCACTCCGATGCCTAATCGGTTTGCGGATTAAAGCGGCTCCTTGCTTGCACGGTTTTGGTTAGACCAATTCTGCTCATAACAAAATGTTGACGAGCGAAAATCCTCGCGTCCTGTCTACTTCCCTTACGAGGTACTCCGTACTTTGCCATCCTTTTCGCATTGCTCAGCCCTAGCCCCTGGAATCGTTGCGCGAGCTGCATGGACGTCGTCTCTACGTCACCCTCTTCGAGGTATACGCTAACCACAATCAAATCGTGGAGTGGTCTACCATGGTGTTGTATAGCGGGCACCGACCCCTGAAGACTGATAGCTGTACAGCATTAGCACACACTTATAAAAACATTACAGACAACCCTCTCTGCTTGTCACAGGCATATTTTCCTAGAAATTCGGCTTCTTTGTGGTATGGGTTGAATGAACCACAGAAAAAAAATGAACATGCGGTTTCCCGGAGACGAGCCCGAGTCGCTCCCACGCCCTCGGCGTGCCTTTGGTGAGGGAGAAGTTCGCGGTGGGAACAGCCATGTTGGACGAAAACGCACTGCCAGCCCACTTCTGGCAATCGGTACAGTGACACAGGGCGGTCAGGGCTGGTTCACCTGAATTTGGATGGCTGTGAGTTCGCTGACTTGCCTGGACGCAAGAACTCTTCGTAACATACCAGAATAGCAGAAGGCAATTTTGCCACATTCACAACTTCCAGAGCCAGGCATGGTCAAGCAGGTCAGCAATAACAAGGTAAGGCTCCGTACTCATTCGGGGTTAAGGGTGGAGAAGCCATGGATGGTGGTCCCAAACTATTTGCAGAGTAAAGCCGCTTTAACCTGAGCTTCAAAAACGCGTACAGCTGAACGCCACTGAGCGTTCCCTTGGTACTCGTACATATCGAGAGCCAAAGCCGGCCTACTGGTCGTCGATTAGACCATCCTCACAGCTAGACTTTTGTTCCAACACGGCCGGCAGTGTTACCAACAATCGCGGGCAGCAGTAAAAAAGGGCCCTGTCGTGTGTGAAATATGAGGTACAGGTGAGGTATACCATAAGAGTGCTTATCAGTACACTATCGCTGGACTCTGCCTATTCACCAGGGCATTCCTGACAGCCTTCCAAATATGCGTTCCTTGCTTGCGAAGCTGATCCGTTCCCCTTTTTGCAGGCTTTGATTGTAATCTCTGACCTTCGCTCTTCGCTGTATATATCATTGTACACAGCCCATTGCGGCGAGGGCGAGTGCCTCATCGATACAAATCCGTCACCTGTGACATCATCTCTAAAGAGGGGGGCAAAGAACGGAGACAGTCAAGTTCGGTGCCAAAAAGATGAAGATTTGTATTACGCCTTCCTACATCTCGGAGTTGAAAAAGATCTATTTTTGCGGGTAGCGCCGCCGTGATGCTCAAAACGCATTGAAGGTCGAAAGGGCAAAACCAGCTCGTCGATCCCAAGTCTGAAGATAGAGAATCTATTCGCGCAGGTGAACAGTGTCCAAAACTAGCGCGGGTCGAGTAAGTGGTGAGGCGGACTCGCCGTCCATTTACCTCCCGCTTTGGCTGTGAAGCTACCAAAACAAGGCAGCCGCGACCGCGCCAATTGCCAGGCCCGCCATTGAGCCCTCAGCCCGAGAAGCAGCGCCGGTGAAGGAGGTCGACGCGGAGGTCGTGGACGCCCCATTTTGGGTTACACTTGCTGTTGCGGTCGCAGCAGCAGACCCAGAGGCTGCACCAGATGCGAGGGAGCCAGTCGTAGCGGCTCCAGTGGCACCACTGGGGCTGCCAGATCCTGTCGTGGCCGAAGCACTGCCGGCGCCTGGGGTAGTTGATGATCCGGAGCCGTTGTGCCACGTCGAGGTGCTGTTGCCTTTCGATGTAGCGGATGCCGTCGACGAGTTGGATGATGCCGACGTGTAGCCTGCTGTCGAGTTACAAGCGAGGTTGTACAGGGGTTGGCCATTGTTGCTAACGCCAAACGATGGAGAGGCACCATTGTCAGCAAGGATATACCACCAAAAATCGATGCCGCGGTTTTCGAGGGCACACGCAACCTGTTGCCAGTATTCTTCGGCGGCGTCAACACCAGGGACGGCGAGATTCGAGGTGGGTCCAGAGACCGGATAGCCAGTCTCGGTGATCCAGATGGGCTTCCCCTGGGCAACGGCGGCAACTCGGTCGTAGGCTTGGAAGAAAAGGAAGCCGTTGTTGTCGATGCCGTTGGAGTCGGTGGTCTGGAAGTAGGGGTATTCGTCAAGACCTAGGAAATCGCAGTTTGAGATGACTTCGGCATTGGAGCCGTTGACATAAACATTCCAGGTGTCGACGTGACCAACAGGCTTAGAAGCAAGAGAGGTGCCCTTGATGGTGCTTCTAACTTGACCGATGTAGCTGACCAGGACATCGGGGGATTGCCCTATGCCACTGTTGGCAGCAATACCGGTGGGCGAGATCCGGTAGAGGTCCTCGCTGCCAACCGAGATGCCAACAACCAAGTCGGCAAAAGCAGAGCCGTACTGGGAGATGGCAGACTTGAGAGCATTGAGTTCGTTGTTGAAGGTCCCTTGGTCTTCCGACGCCCAGAGGCCCAGGAGCAGTGTGGTGTTGGTATCAAGGGCAGCCTGGAAGGCAGAACTCGGAGTGTCGGTCGTCCCCTCTTGAATCATTGTATACAATCTTGCACTGGTGAAGTCACTGGTACCGGCCAGAGACGCAGCAGTCTTGAATTGACTGACAAAGGAATCGTAGGTTTGACCTTGGGAGGCGTAGTTGAACCCCTTGACGGCGGCAAGGGCAGTGGACGCGCCACCGAGTACAGCAAGGAGGGAGTTCTTCATATTTTGGGGGGATGCAAGGACGTGTCCAATAAATGCCGGGGAAAGAATGCACAGAATATATGGTAAAAGAATGACTGAAGCAGATAAGCAAAGGGCAATGAGGGTTGAACAAAAGATTGAAAAAGGCGCAGACGAGGAAAATTCAGACAAGGGAGCAAAGTGTTGCGCGTTGTTATTTACACTTTCTCCATTAATATCTTCAAAGACCATCACATGTGGGGGATGTTCAGGGGGCTGACTTAGTTTGAGACATTCCAGTGGTTCGGTTGTGCCGGTACCTGCGTCAGTTGGCGTCGGTGGCGTGCCCGTCAAGCGACGCTACTGGCGCCACCGCCGGGGCCCATGTCTGGGAAATCCGAAGTATTGGGGGCTGAATGGTATTGTGTAGCCAAAAAGGAGAGTGTCAGACAGGATCACTGGCCAGCTGTTCGATATAGGAGAAGAAGCCCAAGAGGCCAATGCCCCCAGATCGCTGCCTAATTAGGGAATATACTTGTACTGTCTCTCTGTATAGTTTCAGGGGAGGCCGTTTTCAGTGTTACGCTTTCGTTATGTATGGACTTAATCCCGGCCTCAGTATGGAGACGAGTTTCCCACGCCATTCCTCACAAAGACTTGAGAATTCAGTCTTTCCCAGTGACATAGACGTTGATCGAGCCTATCTAACTCTCTGTCTTAGTCCATTCCGGGTGCACATCTCCTTTGCTGCTTCGAGTGAAGCCACCAGCACTGCTTGAGCAGAACCTCATGCTACTATCTAGCAATTCGTCTGCATGATCAGGTGAATTGAACAGAGGCAGACGCGCCAGATCTCAGGTTCATAATCTCTACCACGAAGGCAACGCCTGCAATCTCAATTTGACCTATGCGTAAGCGACGCACCACTCCGCCAAGCGCATGTTTGGCTGGAATGGCATGCTTTGTCAGAAGCCCGCAAAGAGGAAAACCGAGGTATTCAAACCCACCGCAAAGTGCCATGTACATAACTGGGATATAACCTAACGGGATAATATGATACAGCACTAGCCAATGCGCCTAATCAGCTAGCCGCGGATTTTCGACATAGCGTTCATTGGCTGTCGTCAGCAATGCAGGTGAACTGTTAGCCTGCAATAGTCCAATATGGGTGCGAAGGCAACATGCTCCACGATGCAGTAGTCAGCTCATCAGCCTCGGTTGTCAATAGGTTCCGTGGCTCTTGGCCTTTGGACAGCTCGTCTATGATCCGTCAAAAGGTTGTCAATAGCTCTATCAGAGGCCAGACTGCCTACAAGAATGAATACGATATTGCCCCAGTGTTGCCTCTATGCTACTGGCCCTTTGTCAATGCTCGATTCAAGATGTCGGACCCTCTCCTTTTGAACAGCGCTGATGGCCATGTGCCGGCGTCGAAGCGAATTCCCGTGATAGCGTGCCCGTTTACGAGCTCGCGGGCACAAAAGACTTTGGATCTGGTGAATCATCAACAGGCAGATCAACCTATTCTACTCGTTTCCTAACATGATCACCGCAGGTCGAAAAGTTTGTGGAAGAAGAATGTATTCCTGCCGATGCCATCTTTTCTCAACAGCTCGGCGAAGGTGTCGCCTCTCGCTTCAACACCCAGCCACGAGTCCTTGAGGATCTGAAAACGAAGGCAAAGAATCTCGGTCTCTGGAACATGTTCCTGCCCAAGCGAATCTCCTCAGACCTAGGCGCCGGCTTCAGCAATCTGGAGTATGGTGTGATGGCAGAGTATCTGGGAAAGTCTGTCATCGCAAGTGAGGCGACAAATTGCGCTGCGCCGGACACGGGCAATAGGAAGTCATGGCAAGATATGGCACAGAAGATCAGAAGAGGCGATGGCTAGCACCCTTACTAGCCGGTGAGATTCGATCCGCGTTCTTGATGACGGAACCTCAGGTGTCCAGTAGCGACGCAACTAATATCCAGCTTGAAATGCGCAAAGATGGGCATTATTGGGTTCTTAATGGCCAAGTATAATTTCTTTCATGTCCTCTTGTCTCTCCCAAACTGATCTATTTGACAGAAATGGTGGTCAACCGGTGTCGGTGACCCACGGTGCAATATTTACATGGTTATAGGTAGATCCGACCCAGACAACACCAAATACAAGCAACACTCAATTATTTTCGTCCCCGCCGATACCCCGGGTATTACGATCCATCGTTTACTCTCTGTCATGGGATTTGATGAAGCTCCGCATGGTCACGGTCATGTTACCTTCGAAAATGTCCGGGTCCATGAGAGCAACATGTGTCTTGATGAGGGGCGGGGTTTCGAAATCATTCAAGGTCGCCTTGGGCTTGGAAGGATCCACCACGCAATGAGAGCAATTGGGGCGGTTGGTCCTCCCCTATTAAGTGTTGATCCAGAAAACTGACAGGACATGAGGCCGAGAAAGCACTTGAATACCTTCTAGCCCGCCTCAATGACCCTACCCGGAGGCCATTTGGCAAACAACTTGCCGAACAGGGTGTCATGCTGGAGCGCGTGGCTAAGTCACGTATTGAGATCGATGCTGCCCGCCTTGCAGTCTTGAATGCTGCCATTCAGATTGACCAAGGTGACGCTAAAGGCGCCCTCAAAGAGATTGCGCAGATCAAAGTACACGTTCCTAACGTGTGTTTAGATGTCATCGATCGTGCGATTCAGGCATATGGAGCAGCTGGGGTTTCTCAGGATACCCCCTTGGCACAAATGTGGACGCTCGCTCGGGCAATGAGGATTGCAGATGGTCCTGATGAAGTCCATATGATGCAGTTGGGACGGAATGAAAGTAAGCGTGGCCAAGCGTTACTCGAGCGGATTCAAGCACAAAAGCAAAAGAGCAAGGAAATTGCTTGAACAATATGGCTTGCAGGAAAAGGATGCTTTGCGGCTCAATCGGAGAAGTGGCAACAAGTCGAAAATGTGAAGAGCCGAGCATTAATCTCAAAGTCTCTGAGGACAGAGCGGAAGCAACAACCTCTTCACACAAAGAACATTCAATTATTATCTGCTTGCAGAATAGTGTAAGTTCAGAGAACTATGCCAGCGCAACCAAGACAAAGGAACGAGTCGATTCCACATGCAGCAGCTTTCTCATGTCAAGTTGCAGAATGAATCGCTCATATCTAGATAAACCTTTTCAAAGTGGCAGCAGCCACTGAAAATGCCTCCGTTTTCTTGGAAGAAGCCGCCCTTTTACGTTTTGAACTTGAACCATACGAAAGATCCTCAAGACCGAGAATCATATCCTTAAGGTGTAAATGACACGAGCAGAGCAGATCGAGACAGCAACCTCGGAGGCAAATCCACTGGCATAGAACGATCCATCGCGGAGTCATCCTCGAGACGGCTCAAACTTGAGTACTGACTTGGGCAATTCTATTCCTGTCCCGGGAGTACTGACACGTCCAACAACAAACGTGCCCCAATTCTCCGAGAACGAGCACGATGGAGCGTGGTTGCCCAGCTTCGCTTTGGTGCTGGCAATCCTAGCTATCGTGACCGAGGTTAGACCTTCCCGGGCATGACATGAGACTGTTGCTTGCAGGTGGAGAAATAGAACAGGACTAACCTCAATAGGACATATGGACGCGGCAATGTTGTGGAACTCGGTCGACACCAGCCTGATTGACCTCAAACATGTGAAGCTCCAACGACATGATCTGAGCCTCGGATCCTCGGTCGCATTAATCAGCAAGAAATACAACAAGCTTTCCTGTATTTTGGTGTACCGAATTCAAGCCATACCGCCGCACAATGGAAGGTAGACCTTCATGCATGGTCAGAAAACTAGTCGGCCGACCTTTCGGAACGCACCCCGGAGGTTTTAGGTCAAAACCGCGACTATATACCATCTGAAAGTGGAATTCGATGCCGCATGAAGTCCACGAACAGGAGCAAGTTTACAGAATCTTCCGATAAACGGTCGAGGCTGACAACTATTTTTACTCCCTCCTTGATCAAGCCCCGCTGAGTCCCTGTTCAAAGGCTGTTCCAAGAATGATCGAAACCATCGTGGAAATACATCTCTGCTTGTGGAACAGTGTAGGCCACGAGGGCCTTCTATTTGCTATTGGCAAATTTAGCGGAGAGGTTGGCAACAACCCAATACCCAGCGATCGGTTTGGCTGGACAGATAGCAACTAGGCCAGCACCGTGATTAGGACAGTGGTCAGAACAATGATTAGGTCTAGTCATGCCTATCCCAACAGTTGCTCATACAAAATAGATGAAGCGTTTATGATTGCATGCCTGGGCACTAAATGGCTAGTGATGCTAGCCCCGAGGCTTAAAATAGAGCTAAAATCATAGCTCTTGGTGGACCCGGCCACGTTCATAGAGCGGCATCACCCGCGACCCAGAACGGGTGAGCAAAGGAAAGTGTTTACTCGCCTTGGCGCTAAACTGCGGAGACGTGATTTTCGTGAAGGCGACCCTGTGAACTCGAATAGTAATTAGTGGTCTCGAGCATGGCAGTACAAGTTACCACGGTCGAGAGGTAAATTATGGACCCTATTCTGTCACACATAATCTGAAGAAGCTCGGGCAACTCTCTAGAGAAATGGGGTGGTTTTGGGGAGGGAGGAGCAACCAAAATGATCCCGCAAAAGCCCTCGACGACGACTTGAAGCAATTCTTGAAAGAGCAACAACCCCGTCCATATGTCCCAGCCGAAGCCCCTTTGGAATCGTCAGAGCCGCCTGAAAAGCTCGATTCTACCGTCAAACTGCCCGAGCAAACTCTTCCCGATGCAGCACAGCCTCCTCAGGACAGACCGTTGCCCAAAGAATCGCTGTTTCAAGATGGCCGATACAAACACATCTGGAAGACCTACATTCCTCAAGACGAGATTACTGCAGCTACGTCGACTCCCGTGGAAAGAGTGCTCTCGGCAAGAAAAGACAGAAACCAGTCCATACACAAGGCTGCGCTGGAGAACTGCGCCTTCGAGGAGGAGATGCAACAAATCTGTTTCAAGGGCGGCAATGTGGCGGACAAATTGCGCGGAAGAATGACCATGTGCCATGAGGAGACAAAGGCGTTCAATCGCTGCTATACGCTACAGGCCAAATTCTTGCAGGCTTTGGGGTATATGACGAGCGCAACCAGTTCTGCCGAGGATGAAGAAAAGATCCAGATGCACGCCGACAAGTTGTATCACAGGATGATGGACTACGAGGCCGAGGTAGATGATGCGAAAAGAAACAACCAGCCGATTCCGCCTCTTTCATCGCTCTTCAACCCCAATCGACCTGCCCCAACACTGGATCAAATGGCCCTGCCTAAAGCGATGGAGGACAAGATGAAAAAGCCTCTGCACGAATATCCGCCTCATGAGCGAGAGCTAGCGGCAAGGGCAGCCCTGCAAGAAGCGAAATTGACGGACTTGTACGCCGAAGATCTTTTCAAGTATAGCGTCACAATGAACGAGGACCGGAAAAATCGGCAGGTCTTTCTGACAAGAGTGTTTGGCGAAGTTATTGGGAAATTTTTGATCCCAGATCCCCCCAAAGATCCGAACATTAAGCCTTATAGTCTCCAACAATTGGAGCGGGATATATGGCGGGAAGAAGATCCATCGTCACCGTCACCGCCGGCACAGAAGCAGGAAGCTACCCAGACGAGAAACCAGGGCTGAAGGTCATTATAATCCTGAGAACAGAACTTGGTTTTAACAGCATTCGATGAGACAACGACGCAACGTCTATGCTAAGAAAGCGCCAACCTGGACTTAAGGCTGGGATGCCTCTGCCAGGAGCATATTTCATAGAGCAAAGGTCTAATAGTGGGCGCAACCAGTCAGCTCATGGTTCGTGAAAGTGGCTGTCGCGTGCTTTATATCGACTCTTTCCAGACTCTGCTGACTTCAAGATACTTGAGATGGCGGTTCCCAGGACGGACCAGAGAGCACGCCCTCCTTGTCAGTTGTTTGATACGAACAACTCCTTCAATCAATTCTCTTGGAGCTTGAGAAAGCAGAAACATGGGTCGATCGAGATGTGGCGTCAGTGACGAGAAGAGGAGGATTCACACTTACGGCGGACTCAACGAGCGAAGGGGAAAACCGAGGTGTCAGTGTTGTAAAGAATACTTCGTTTGTGGGGGGTTTGTACTTGGTCGAGCCGGCGACCTCTTGGAGCAGGCGAGCTGCGACCTGTCTCCGTACAGCTTGTATAACATGTTCTGAATATCACTCTCCGTCTTCTCTAGCCTTCACATCGTATTTCCAACAAGACATTGCCACCCACGCCCAGTCATGGCGGGGCGTCCGATGCGAGTGGCCTTCAACGGGTGGCCCGCTTGATTCTCACCTTCCTGATCAGTCAAGGCCTCGAGTTCTCCATCAGCTGCCTCTTCCAATCCAGATTCCGCACTTCCCAGATCGCGTGCTTGTCAGCTCGAGCGCGAAAACGCCCAAAGCAAAGCTACAGAAGGAAGCTAGGAAATGGTACAAAAAAGGCGGGGTGAATGGAGGAATCAATCTTCAGCCTTTTGACGGCTTCTCCGAGAATCCATGTTGGTGACCGCATAGTGGTGGGTTTTCCCCAAATTCTCGATCTTTCACCATCTTCTATTCACTTTCTCTTCCACCCTCTTCATCCAATGTTGGCGATTGCGTGCTGGCTAACATCACTGAATTCGCCAGCAGAGCCCTAGGGCCTTAGAACGGGCCTCTCCCGACAAGATAAAGCAGACGACATCGAGGAAATGGAGACCGACGATGCCAGCTCCATGACAACCACCGACTCGGTCGACCATCAGAAAGCAGCGCTGGCACGACTCCCTTCAGAGATCATATTTCAGGTCCTCTGTTATCTGCCATGTCAGTCGCTCGTCTCACTTTCTCGCACTTGTCGCCGGCTGCGAGGCCTGGCTTCCAACGACTTTCTCTGGGCCGACCTACTTCGCCCAAATATTCCTCCAGAAGACTTTCCCGCGGACCCGTACCCTTCATCGTCGTACCGCGATTTGTATATTACGCATCACCCCTACTGGTTCGTCCCTCGGAACAAGATCTGGATCTCCGATGAACCGCATATTGGGCGTGTGATGATCTGCCACTTCGACCCACGGCGAGGCTGCATTGAAGGATACCGCCTGCTAGCTGAGAGGACTCCCTCGATGGGTCTTCTCTGGCCCTATGAACCCAGTGTAGTGATCCACAACTTCAATCCACGAGTGCATCTTTGGCTGGACGACCCGATCCTCAAACTGCCGCATGACATTGTCCCCTTCAATACTCGCCAAGGTTGGTGGGAAGCCGAGATTAAGATGACAGTCGGGCGACCGGGACACAACACGTCCGCCTCTTTCTTCTTGAGCAGAGACATTCCGCCACATTTGCAGAACAAGTCCATGGATCTCTGGCCACCGAGGACAATTCCCAACATGCCTCGCGTGCGTGCCGCCAGCGTTGATAAATTCCGGGGTTCAGGGCATAAGCCGCAAAAATACGACCAGATTTCGCAAACAACCTTTCGACTGAGGCACTGGAGTCAGTTTTCAACGGGCATGGCACACTTTGGGATTCGGATAGGTGAAGAAGTCTCTACGTGGAGTACCATCGACCCTGCGCTGTACACCCCAACCAAGGAAAAGCCTTACCAAGGCATCTTTGTGGGAGATTACGCGGGCCACGGATGCGAATTCCTGCTGGTCATGCAGTCGGAGAAAGGCCCCGAAATCCCCCAGCGTCGGCCCACGGACGCCTATTTGAGAGGGCTTATTGGGCTCCCTCCCGAGAGCGAGGAAGACGAGCTGGAAGAGCCGGTGCTTGCTCAGCAGACAGACGAACAACTCTCTCAATCACAGTCGCAATACCAACGCGACATGATGGCCATGCACGAAGAGGAAGGGATATACAAGGGCTCCATCCAGGCGGTCAAACTCACGGGGGATCCACACGTCCCGAGAGGAGAGTACACCTTCGTGGCGGACGACATTGGCCCAGGCGGACTGATCAGGATCGCAGAGGAGCAGCCATTTAGAGGCTCGAGGGTAGTGAGGAGTAGGGGCCACGTCGCCGCCAGGGGATTCCAGAATGGTGAGTCCGAGACAAAAGTCTGCCTTCCACCTCTTTCTTCACGGACGGCGCATCAGATTGTATATTCCATCCTATTTTTAAAAAGGCGCGAATCCCCCCCCCGCCTTCTTGAGCCACCCATTCTGTGGGCAATTTGCATGCGTATTTCAAGGCGGCCTGTGCTTTACAATCTGCTAATCCGGTGCCAGACGAATTCATCCCCTCCCAGCTCATCATGGTCTCGCCCAACAAATTGGCCCAGTACTGGGTGCCTTACGGCCATATATCCTTCTACCAGAGGATCGACCTCGACCGGTTGATCGACGACACGTTTCGTGGAGGGCACGGATAGCGACAGGGAAAAGAAACGGCGAATGTCGCGGTGTGGATTTCGAGAAAGATAGGCGTATCTATCTACATACAGGCTGGGCTGCTGAGGAATGGGCTACTGTTAATATGACGCTGGATGACAGATATGATTGTTTCACAGCACGGATAGCGTCGGCTTCTTATGTCGCAAATGGGTGGTTAGAGCCGGGTTTGTTTGCTGTTGTTCTACATTGCAAAAGAGCTTGAACATTTCAAATCACTCTAGAGGTCGAGCAAGGAGTACTCAGTGTGCTTATAGAGTAGGTGTTTTTGCTCCAACAATGTTCTCGCTTTGTTTGACAAGAATCCTGGGCGATGTGTAGGCCGAGAAGCCTTGGCTAGCTAGCATAACAACAAAGCACGATATCTCGTGGACTTGTCCTGACAAAAACAATTCCATAACCCGAGGAGTTGAGTGTTTCGCAGCACGGAATTCCAAGCAGAATCCAACCGACCAAATAGATATGCACTTCCTGTCCCATCTCTTCCTAGCCCTGGTAGGGAGGGTTCCCATCCCTTGTCCTCGACGCCGGATAACCATGCTACTCTCTGATTCTTAGAGCCTCCTGTATAATCTTGAAATGTCATCCCCTCTCCTGCTTTTCAACCGTACAAGGGCAGTCCTCCTTGTACACAGCGTGTATATGACCCAACACTCAGGAGACGTGTTTTCATGTTTCATCGCCTTCATCGCCTCCGCTCAAACCAACTGCTACTGCCCATAAAGGCCACACTCTGATCCATCACCCATTCGCCCACTCCAAGATAGCGGTCGACCCAGGTCTGCAGTTCTTTGCTTTCGCCGAGTGACGAGGCTTTGACACTGGTTGGTCTGTTGTGTCAGATATCAGAATCAGAGAGCTTGAGATACAAGAATGAGAAATGGAGCTGGATAAAGGGGAGGACTGTGGGACTATTTTGCGGCATTCGTATCTCGGGTGTGGCCTCGCGTTCACCCCAATTCATCCACTGAAGGGATCACTCGATCCAACAGAAGGGAAAGAGGGAGCGACGGAGAGGCCTCGGGTGCCGGTGTACGTACGTGAGACCAGTGCTTCTCTTGATACCCGCGAGACAGGCGGAGATCAGGACGGCGTCAAAGGCGTAGTGGGTTAGGCGTCCGAGCTATGCATGTTGTCGGCTCACATATTCTGAGGTCTAATGCGATTGATGGAAACTTACCACCATGGCGACGAAGACTGGGAAGATTGTGCAGTGATCTTGGACAGAGAGGGAGCTGCAGGTGTGGAAGAAGACGGAAATCAAGCCTGCCTGTTGTTCACATGTGATGTTTAAGGCGCAGGCGGAGTTCGAGATGCGCAGAGGTCACCCGAGCAGCACAGTGGGCAGTTGTCCACCGGGCAGCGACGCGGCAGGGCAGACTCGGAATAACATTGTTGCGAATCCGACAGTCGCGTATCTTATCAGCATTTGGCTGCGACTCTGCCCCTCACTTGCTGCAACTTTGAAGCTGGCGGCCCCTCTCTTCAGCTCTCCCGCAAGGTTTCAATGGGGCCCAGATGGCCCTCCCATGCCTCCCCATCGCATTCATGTCCGGCGCCAACCATCCGTGCCATCTCAATAGTCTCCCCCATTCGCAGTTACTGAATTTCATTAGCCTATAATTCGCCTGATATTTACAGCGTGGGAGTGCTGTCACCCCCGTCGTCCAGCTCTGATAAGCGTGACGTGAGAGCTCCATTCTTATTCAACCTTGCGGCCCAGCTGGTAACTAGGCTGGGTTGAGTTCAACCGTTGCCCGTCGCGAGCGGCTGCCATATTTTTTTTGCTGAGCGGTGATACCTTCAACCGCTATTCATTCATTTACCTCCTGAACCTCTTGCTACTGTATACCTCCTCGAGTCAACAGTAAGTGTCTTGTCACCTGCGACAGGACTCACTGACTGTATACTGTGTTTGCTACTTCTGTGACTAACGGAGTCTCTCTACTTGACTTTTAGTCCTTCGGCGGCCGACTACCGCTCTTTGAGAGACACTTGCATTCCTGCGTTCTTCGCCCAACCCTCACCGCTTGAACTGTATACCCAGATCAATTGAGCAAAATGGGTGACGCTTTGGACCATCTCGCCAACCGCACCAAGCTGGAATGGCAGTGCAACCTCAACATCGACTACTTGCCCAAGAAGAATCACCGACGGACCAGTATCATTTGCACCATTGGTAAGTTTCCTTGCAAGCAGCAACGACCACCACCACCACCGAGACAATGAAAGCTAATTGAGATCTTCTCTGACAGGTCCCAAGACCAATTCTGCTGACAAGATTACTATGCTGAGGAAGGGTATGTGAAAACGGACACCGCTTCAAAAAGGAGGGGCAGCAATACTGAATGGATCGCAGCTGGTCTCAATGTTGTCCGCATGAACTTCTCCCACGGCTCTTATGAGGTATACAGCACACCTTGCAAGAGAAGTAGGAGTAGCTAATGCTGTGCAGTACCACCAATCTGTCATTGACAACACCAGAAAGTCGGCCAAAGACTACCCAGGTCGGCCCGTTGCCATCGCCCTCGACACCGTGAGTGGAGCTATATCCTTTATCTGAAAGACCAAAGCTGAATATCTTCAAGAAAGGACCAGAGATCCGAACAGGAAACACCCCTGGGGACGCGGACATTTCCATCAAGGCAGGCCTTGAGCTGAACATCACGACTGACGACAAATATCAGACCGCCAGCGACGACAAGAATCTGTAAGTTCGAACCTTCTGAGCTGCTTCAGCAGGTCTAATTTCTGTCAGATACGTCGACTACAAGAACATCACCAAGGTGATTGATGTCGGCAAGTTGATCTACGTCGACGACGGCATTCAATCCTTTGAAGTCACCAAGATAATCGATGACAAGACTCTTCGTGTGCGAGCGCTCAACGATGGACAGATCTCCTCCAGGAAGGGGGTCAACCTCCCTGGCACAGACGTCGATCTTCCCCCCTTGTCCAAGAAGGATATTGCCGACCTGGAGTTTGGTGTCAAGAACGGCGTCGACATGATCTTTGCCTCCTTCATCCGACGAGGAGATGATATCAAGCATATTCGACGGGTCCTGGGCGACAAAGGCAAGGAGATCCAGATCATTGCGAAGATTGAGAACCAGCAGGGAATGAACAACTTCGACGAGATTCTCGCCGAGACTGACGGTGTCATGGTTGCACGTGGTGACTTGGGCATTGAGATTCCGGCCGCAAAGGTCTTCATTGCCCAAAAGATGATGATCGCCAAGTGTAACATGAAGGGCAAACCCGTCATTTGTGCGACACAGATGTTGGAGTCCATGACCAAGAATCCTCGCCCTACCCGAGCCGAAGTTTCTGACGTTGCCAATGCTGTTCTCGATGGAGCCGACTGTGTGATGCTGTCTGGTGAAACTGCCAAAGGCGACTATCCCAAGGAAGCCGTCGCCATGATGCACGAAACATGCTTGTTGGCCGAGGTTGCAATCCCCTACGCCAACGTGTTTGACGAGTTGAGGACAAGCTGCCCTCGTCCTATTGAGACGGTGGAATCCATTGCGATTTCTGCTGTGGGCGCAAGCATGGAACTGAACGCCGGTGCCATTCTTGTATTGACAACCAGGTAAGTTTACCTAAGCTCCAGCTTCGGGTTTCTTTGATTGACACTCTACGACTAGTGGTTCTTCGGCACGCCTCCTCTCCAAATACCGACCAGTGTGCCCTATCATCATGGTGACACGCAACGCCATTGCTTCACGCTATGCTCACCTGTACCGTGGAGTGTATCCATTCCTATTCCCGGAACCGAAGCCCGACTTCCGAGGAGTCGACTGGCAACAGGATGTGGACAGACGATTGAAATGGGGCATTGCTTCGGCGATCAAGCTTGGTGTTCTGGCCAAAGGCGACAGCGTGGTTTGCGTTCAGGGCTGGAGAGGTGGCCAAGGTCACACCAACACCATTCGTGTTGTACCTGCGGAGGAAGACTTGGGTCTCAAGGACTGACTAACCGTCGATGACTTCTTCACCGCACTAGGGAGACCAATGCCAGTCATGTCGTCGTTTACTCCGCCGCAGTCTCCGACGCGGGGAATGAGGCGATTTTGAGCACATGCTGGAACGGGAAAGCAAAGCTGGGATTGCCGACCGGACAATAGATGAAAGCAAAGAAAAGGAAAGGGTTTATTGTCCACAAGTCACTCGATGTCGAAATGCCCGGCAGGATTCAGTGTTTGCATCGAGCTCGAAGGGAGAATGAAGAAGGCTACTATCTTTTATGGACTGCCGGTTCGATTATTCGCTACGAAAATGAAATATGATTATTCCCCCAGCACGTGCCGAGCGCGAGTGCCACGCGGTGACGAAGAAGGTACCAAGGTCTATAATCATCCCGGAACAGAGGGAGAGGCTATGTACTGGCGGTCAGCAGCAATGGCGGGACAGGGGGGATCAGGAGCAATAGTTCCAAGTAGTACGGAGTAGTCAACGAGGGCCATGGCTCCCATGAGGCGAAAAGCTTGGTGGACGTTAAGCATTCAGGAGTACCGAGTACCTCGTACGGATTACCTGACATGTGGCGGGCCCCCTTTAGGCTTTGGAGAGAAAGCGTTGTGGGCAAAGGCCTGGAGGATCAGCTGGCTGGTGCACCTGGAGCACCTGGCGCGAGCCTGTGGCGCTCGTCCCCGCTCAATGATGTTTCAGAAGGCCAGCAGGTGCTATTCCTGGCCCCAGACTGCATCTTCAATTTCCGTTTCAGATTCAGCCTAAGTGCAATGAATTTATTGCAGTCGCTCAACAATACGCTTACCATGTCCCTTAGCTGTCCTTAGATCCCTCCATCACCTCTGATTCTTCCCTTTACGACGGTGGTAGCATTCTCCGGTCTCAGGCGCGCTCGCGGTCCCGTTGTACAAACCGCGTAACTACACATCCTCCCCAGCTGGTGGGCTTCCGCCGTCCGCACCTACGATCAATTCAGCGCACCTGCGCCTGCGCCTCACAAGACTGTTTCTGTGGGAATTTACCAGCGTGAAGCGACGTCTTTCTTCTGAGCAAGCGATTGATTGGATTCCTTCGAGCGTCAATCATCACAGATGGGGTCCGAGAATCCTCCCGCTGGGAGGCCAAAGGTGCCCGGCTTCACGGATTCATTCTGGTCCGCCGACTATGCTGGAGGGTTGGGGGTACTCTTTCAGAAGCTTCAACAGGGCGTGGTGGAGAACCAGCAAGTGCTCACAATTGCGAGCATGAGAGCAGATGCAGAAGAAATGTATAGCGACCGCCTGGGAGATATCGCCCCGAGCATTGATCGGATGACGGGCGGGTTTGCAAGAGACGATGGTGCGAGTACAAGAAAGGTAGGGATCCATCGCGGGCTCCAATTCAACATCTTTGCTGACCGTCTCCTCTTTTGAAGGCATACGAGGGCGTCCGAGGCGAGATGGTCGAGGCCTCCAAAAACCACCGCAAAATCGCTGACAACATCCGCGAACTCGTCGTAAACCCCTTCTCGCGATGGTGCGATTCACACGCTACACGGATACAAAATTCGCAGGACGACCTACAGGCGAAGATCAAAGCCCACGATAAGCAAGCAGAAGTGGTCAAGAAGTTAAGAAGCCAGTACTTCAACAAGTGCAGATTGGTCGAGGATCTCGAAGAAGAAAACAAGATGGCATTCGCCGGGCCAGCTAAGGAGAGTCCTAAGCCACAGAGTCCACCGCCGCCCAAGATTGTCCTTCCAGAAGATGAAATCGAAGACTTACCGGTCGAGATTGGTGACGAAACTTACCCGCCCGAAAAGCTGAAGTCGCTTCTTACCGATATGCTCGAGAAGATTCCCCTAGGCGAACACAAGGTCCCTATACTCGGCGTGTATCAAAATGTCTCCGCAGGCACGGATATCACCGATTACATCCAGAAATACATGAAGGCATCGAGCGTCGGGTACGCAGAGAAGATTGGACAAGATCTGATTGATCGTGGATTCTTGCGTCTGATAGGAAACATGGGCAACACATTCGCCAATAGTTCCAGAATGAAATATCAGTGGAAGCCGCGGACTTTCCAAATAACGGGTGTGCCTGAGAGGAGGAAGCCGTTGAGCAGATCGACGACAGGGGCGTCGGCAGATGGACTCTTGGAGTCGCCAACGGTTGGAAATATCACCGAGACCTTGCAGAGCTGGAATCCCTTGAACAACCCGTTTCCCAATGAGACGCAGGCTGATCGGCTGAAGCGTGAGGCTCGAGAAGCGGACGAGAAATACAAAGCCTCCGTTCGGAGACTGGATCTGTTGAGATGTAACCTCGAAGAATCGATGATGGATCATCTCAAATTCCTCGAGCGATGCGAAACAGATCGTCTGAAAGCCATCAAGTCTGTGATCCTGGACTTTTCGGGCGCCATCAGCAATAGTATACCATCTTTCCAGAGCCAGGTTGACCACATGATGCTATACCAGGAAACTATCCAGCCGTTGGGAGACTTGCGATATCTGCTTGAGAATTACCGAACAGGCGCATTCGTCCCCAAAGTCACACCGTACGAAAATTACTACGGAAGCGTGGACGACCAGACCTTTGGGGTTGACTTGGAAGCCCGAGCGCGAGCGGATCGGAAGAGAGTGCCTATCATTGTCACTTCCATACTAACATTCCTCGATAATCATTACCCCGATTTGGAGGGAGACGAAGCCAGACGGAATATATGGCTTGTGGATGTTCCTCTGGCAGCTACCCACCACCTGCGCAATCAAGTCAACAATGGCGCGCCAGTGGCCCGAGAGATCCTCGAGAAATATGAGATGCCTATCATCGCGAGTGTATTGAAGTTGTACCTTCTTGAGTTGCCAGGTGTGTTTACCCGATATCCTGTGAAAAGGAATGAAGCACTGACTCTTAGCAGATTCCCTTGTCTCTTCTCAAGTGTACGAGATCATCAAGACGATCTACGCGACGACATCCGATGCAATTCCAAACCCAATCTCAACCGACTCTGTCGACGCCTTGCCGAGGATAAAGGTCTTACAATCTACCCTTGGTCAACTTCGTCTCAACAATATTGCCACTCTCGACGCCATAGCGACACATTTCACCCGTCTAATTGACCTGACGTCCGCGGACGAAGCGTATGTTTCAGCACTTGCCAACGTCCTAGCTCCATGTATCTTACGCCCACGGACCGAGAATTCCCTGACACTAGAAGAGCGCCATGCATATCGCCTGATCCGTGACCTATTCGACCATAAAGAAGCGATCTTCGGTGAACTCAAGCGGCAATCATCCACCCTTTCGGGATCAAACAGTCTCTCCCACCGCCAGCGTGCCGTCAGCACTACAGATGAGAGCTCTCGACGAGCGAATATGGAAGCTCGCGCACGGGCTATCACGGAGCAGAGAGAACAGCGACAGCGAGAAAAGTCCCCAGCACCCACGAATCGACATAGGCGAGATAAGAGCACGGATGGGAGCATCGGTCGGTTTCCCGTCGTAGCGAGTCCCAGGCCTGATGGGAGTCATGGGCGAAGCGTGAGTAGTGTGGGCTTGCCGTCTGCCACGAAACGAGGGAGTCTCGAAGTTCCTGGAAGCAACGAGTCCTCGCCCATCCAGGCACGGAATCAGAGTGCCGTAGAGAGGAACGCAACTACCCCACCAACGGCAAGAAACCCTGAGGGTGCATCCTCAAGCTCAGTCACCACCAACGGCCAAAGCCACGGGCAAGATCATATGCTCTCTTCACCAGATTCGATAACAAGTGCGAGCCTGAACCTACCTGGTACATTTAGTGGAGGAGGGCCGGGCCCGCACATTCCTCCACCACTAGACGATGACGATCATGATCAGGAATCCGATACTTCCCCTGTTCCTGTATCTACAGCTTCGAATGCAGGATCCCGGCCAGGATCACTAAAAAGAGTTGCAGCCACGAGCGACCGCAAGCCGGTTGGTGTGTCAAGGTCTGCCGTTTCAGGGAGTCTGAGCCGACGACTTGCCAACTCCGGTGTTAATAGTGGCGGCCTGAGTGAGGACGCAACTTCGAATCACCCTACGGCAAGTGGTCAGGCCCACGGCGTCCAGTTGGTTGATAGGGCTATGGATGACTTCTCCTAATCGAAATTATAATAACGAGACAGCCACGTATCGTATGATGGGATTGGGGCTTTGAGAATGTATACTTGGAATTTGTCCAGGACGGTCAGTTCAATGTAACGAGCACGAAGACATTTTGTGGATCAGCTACTGCAGCAGGGCGCTGGATGACTTTCAGCCCACCATACCGTGGCAGCAAGGCGGGACCCTGTATCACGAATATTCCTTCGAGAGATCAGAGAAGGATGAAAGGAGAAACGTTTCTTCATCATGATGGCAACAGTGGGAGCATGGACGGTGGGGGACACATTGTAGCGAGGACTCCATATTGAGCGAATGCTACAAAAATCAGCTTCATCCCACGTACTCACGATTACCATCTCCTCCACATCAAAGCGTCAGCGTCGATCCAGCAAGCACTAAGCGTTGCAATTGTAGCCGTAGTTCTTCTTCTCCAATGGGCTTTATATCACAACATGGTGTCACAGGTGCCTGGCAGGACATGCTTGGACGGTTTTATGATGGTCCACGAAAGGCAGATGTGCTTCATGCACCCAGGCTTTTCTGTGGGAGTTGTGTCATGACAGATTCAATAAAGGATCTATGCAGAGGACTGCTACTTTCGTCAAACAGTACAACCTTCTCAATTTACCAGCTCTCAATGCCGTGTCATGGCACCCAAAACGTAAGGAAAAAGTCTCATGTGTCCGTGTGTGGGTGGAAGAGGGATTCAGTACATCGTTCCATAGACCCGTGTCAGAACAAATCCAATCCGTTCCTATCCGTTCCAAGCCTTCGTTGCCTCTCCCAGCTGACCTAAGGAAATCTTCTTCAATGTGTCCTCGAAGGAAGTATGTGGGAAATCCAAACAAGACGACCGCGTAGGGACCAAACCACGCCGTGTAGTTCCACCGTGTCGAGCGGAATCGTGTGGAAAGTCGAAAAGGTCAAAAGGCAACTTTTGTCAGAGGCAAGTCGATGGTCGTTCAGTCAGAAGTCGACCAAGTTGAACTCAACACATGGATGGCTGCTGGCCTTCCCGTTTGGGTTTTGATGGCCGGCACCTCCTCATTCATCAACAAACATTAAGCATGCGTCTAAAAGGACCCCCCAAAAAAAGTCTTACACCCTCATACCCAGGTCACTGTCGAAGTCGATCTCGTCGCTCTCGGAGCTCAGATCTGGAGTCATGACACCTCGCTGGGCCTCGACCGGCATTTCGTCTTCGGCCTCGCTCAGGGGGTCCATCCCGATCCCGCTGTCGTATCGTCTCCGCCCGCGCTTCTTCAGGATACCGGCCGCGGGGAACGCCGAGGTGGAGGGGAGAGTCACCGACGAGCGGCGGCGACGGTGCTTCTTGCCCCGGGTCAGTTCCACGCTGCCCGCGACGTGATCGTCCGCGTCGTCGTCGGGGCCGTCGACGTCGCCGTGCCCTCCTCGATCATCCGCGTCCTCGACTTCGGAGAACTCGGAGAATCTGACCACACTGGCGGGTGTCATGGGTCCTTCTCCTCCGAGGATCTCGTCGCTGCGCATGTCATCGCTCTCCAGCTCCCAATTGGCGTGCCGCACCTTGGCGCCGCGGATGTATTTCTTGATGTCCTTTTCGAATTGCATGTTAGTCCGGAGGTGGCCGTGGTAATTGCCGCGGAGGATCTCCTCGCACACGGCGATCTCGTCCTTCCAGTTGGCCTCGAGGTTGGTGTTGATGTTCTTGAGCTTCTGCAGCCGAGTGTTCAGCGCCTCGACCTCGGCCTTGTGCTCGCGGTCCGACACGCGGCGCTGGCCCTCGAGGTTCTCCAGCCGCTCCTTGATGCCTTCCGAGTACTGGCGCGCCGCGCCCAGGGCGGACTCGAGCTCGTTGATCTTCTTCAGCCGCTCGACGGCAGACTCTTCGGCCGCCCGCCGCCCGCGAGTCTCGGCGGCCACTTTGGCGTCCAGGTCTGAGAGCTGTTGCGTGAACTCTGCGGTCGTGGCGGCCCTCACCTCCTGGAGTCGGGATGCTTGTTCCGCTTCCACGAGTTCAACCAGGTCCTCCAGGCGTTTGACTTCCAGTCGGTACTTCTCCATCGCGGCAATGAGGCATTGTTTGTTGGCTTCGTGCTCTCTGGCCTCGCGCTCGAGCGCCTGAGCTCGCATGCGTTGCTCGAGCATCTCCTCGGCATTCTTGTCGATGGCGTCCTCGAGTTCTTTGATTCTGTTGTTCGCCTTCTCCGCTGCGACAAGGGCGTGGTCGAAGTTGCCCCGCAGAGAGCGCTGCTGTTCTCGCATCGACTTCAACTCTGCTTCACGATCCCGCACCTGGGTGGCAACCGCCTTCAGTTTCGCCAGCATCTCGGGCATGAGGCGCGCATAATCGAAGGACATGACCGTTTCTCCGGGGACGAGCCTTTCAAGCTCGAACCGCATGTTGCGGAAGTGTGTCTTGATGGTGGCGATGCATCCACTGGCGTCGTCGGTGTTGCAGGGAAACCCCAGGGATTTGATCTCGACGGCCATGGCTTGGAGTGCCACTTCAGCTTCTTCCGCTCGATTGATGGCGGCGTGGAGTTCTTTGGAGAGTTCGTGAGAAGGAATCTCGGGGGGTTCGAGGGCTGTTTGCGGCGCGCCAAAGGAACGGGCAGGCGAGTCTGCAAAGTGGATGGTGTTCGTCGAAGAGCCTTGGCTGGATCGGAAGAGGGCTTGTTTTTCCTGTCGCGCTGACTCGAGCTCCAGGTCCACCGTGGCATCGTCCTCTGGGTCGATTGGTTGATTCTCGTTGCTGGCAGAGTCATCCTCGTAGATCTGAAAGCCGTCCTCGCCATCACCGAAATGTGGTGAACTGCTGCCGCCGAGTCCGCAACTGTCGTCGTTGGATCTCTGGGTCAGCTCGGCCACTTCAGCTTCCAGCTGGGTGATTCGTTGCTGGCTCCCGACAGGATCGCATTGCGGAAGAGAGACTTGACGGAGCCTGGAAGCATCCAATTCATCCTTGAGGGTTTGCAGTTCCTTGTTCTTCCGCTCAAGTTGGCGTTGCAGCTCGGCCTTGGACTTCGTCTCTGCTTGATACCGATTCATCTCGTCGCTCAAGCCGTGTCGCCGAATCCGTCTGGTGGTCCTGGCGTCAAGTACTTCACGGAACGGGGTAAATTGGATTTCATCGTGATCCCGATATCGGGTGATGGCCGGAGTGGACACTCTTCTGAACTTGGGGGTTTTCAGAGAAGCTTTGCCAACGGCAGGTGTGAGGCCTGTTGTTCCATGGGGGAGGAGTGGTTCAGAGAAACGAGCTCTCTTCTGAGGTCTCTTTCTGGACGGGGTGGTTGCCTGTGTTGGTTTGATGGGCGAGATGGCGGCACTTGATCTCTTGGTCCGGCGGACTGGAGCTGTATCTGCGGAGTTATTGTCGGCCATGTTGGTGTGCAGGGGGGATCATGCAGAGTTATTGATGCAATAAGCAATCAGCATCCAAACTGTTGAAGAGAGAATCGAACTTGTAGAAGCAGGAGAAAAACCGTTGTGGTCGGGAAAGTGGTTGCATATAAACAAACGGCGGCCGAAAGAGGCAGTGGACCAACATATTTCCCGAAGCGGTTTAGGGGTATGGCCGGACACGCCAAGACGAGGCTGTCTAAGCCCGACGCGTGGAAGCGTGTTTCAACACAAGCTGAATGATTCTGCATTGATTGGTTCTGGGCTGTCTACCTCGTGGATGGCAATTGGAGACCCTCTTTGAGCTTTTGGAGGACAATGAGCTCACCTGCTTCAGCAATCCTAGTGCTTGTCTCTGCTTGATAGAGCATCGCTTCCACCGTTACCCACGGTATTGAGGCCACCACTGCCTCAGCCTCCTTCACCAGGCTCAGGATGAATGCACATGACGAGATTTTGATCCCTGTTTCTCCTGGCAACAAAGCAGGGACTGTGTCTGGCAGTGTGCGGAATCGGTCGACCGAGACGTGACTCAGCCTTGTGGTAATTGGACACCACATCTGAGAAGGGAAACGGCTCACGGGTCACCCAGCTGTGGTCTCAGAGGACTGTGCTCTGGGGTTGACTGCATGTTTCTCACTTCTTTGATGCGAGGGATATATATAGTATTTGTTCCAAAGGGTGCACCTTCAAGGGAGAGTCTCTCAGTGAGACACCCTCTGACTGCTGTCCAAGTTGACCCTGGATCAGATGTTCAGAGGTACAACTAGACCTGTCTTTAGTGCATTGTCCCTGCACAGTGACCCTCCGTAAATGGGCCAAGAAATCAGATCTGTCCAGCACGGTCATAGACGTTTTAGTGAGGATGCAGGGAAAAGACATCAGGGTTGTAAACAGACCCAAGTTTGTCGACGGGTGAATGCGGCATCTGGGGCGAATTGCCATTGACGTCACCGACACCTCGAAGTCGCAGTCGGCGGAACAAATTCTTTTTCTGTAAACACTCAGCCGTCCAGCAGCTGGAGCTCTCATTCCTCAACCACCACACGCCCAGGCAGACAATATCCAACTCCTGCCTGTCATGGGAGACTCCTCCTCCTCTCCAGATCAGTCACAAACCCCCCACTATTCTCAATATCGCTTGCGCGTGACCGCCGGACCCTCCTACGATGCCGCCACCCACAAAACCGTCCCCGTCAACAGCTCCGAGACGCTCACCTTCGAAACCTCGTCCATAATCCTCTCTGTGTGTGTGCGCATCCGGCATTTTACAGGCTTCCCGCCCTCCTCCCCCGTCACCGCCGAGAAGTACTTCACCTCGGATCTCCACAAATATGATCAATACAGCATATCCTTCAGCTTCGTCCCCAAGCAGGACATTCCTGGTGAAGAGCTGGTGTTTGGGAATGACTTTGACAGACCTATACGGGATAGATTGCCGCCGGGATTCAACCAGGCGTTTAGAATTGTCAAATGGTGGATTGACCCCGGGTTGGACGGGGATGTGTACGCGGACAGGCCATATTTGTACGGTCCGGCCTTGAGTAGCTGGAACATCTTGAGGATATGTGACGAAGTCATCCCGAAGGAGCAGCTGCCATTCTCGGCCTCTTCGTCAGATGCCGAGGACGGGGACGACGAGAAGAAGGTCGACGACGATGAAACCCACGCGTGGAAGATCCCCGAGGAGCACACCCAGAACTTCCACGACGCCGTCGTCGAAGAAGGCGGCGAGGGCACAGGCCTCGCTCTCCGCTCCGAGGCAAACATCCCCGCGGACCCGCCTGGCCGCCAGAAGCACTTCCTCAACCGCACCAACCTCGCCGCCTTCACCTTCGAGCGCGGCCGCCTCTACCAGTCCGACTTTGGCAACCCGTACCTGGACTTCAACGACTTCTCCCTCAAGCTCCCCGGCTTCACGCTGAACGTGATCCAGTACGTCGACTCCAAGACGCACGAGCTGCGATACACGCTGAAGAACAAGCGGAGCGGGGAGGTCTACGGCGTCGTGGTGTTTACATTGTTGTTTGGCCCGGAGTTGCGGGACGCCGCTCGAGAGTATGGGTCGGACAATCAGGACGGCGCGGAAGGGGAGGAAGACCGTGATAGAGAGCGTGAAGACATACCTTCGGATGAGGATGACATTGATTGAAAATACAAGGTCGATAGAAAGCGTCCTGGTGCACCTGGATATAGGACAGATAATGATACCCGACGATAGAGAGCGCGTCGTCTAGCTTCGGCTAGCCTCGTCTCGTCTCACTTCGTCTTCTCTACTCACCCTGTTTTGTTCGTCGCATTGGGGCTCTTCACGATGGCACATTGGGAAGGACGTCAGCAATACACGATGATGGCCCGCTCTACGAGATGCTCTACAAAGGGAAGCAAGACGGGCATTTCCAATTTTTCTTCTTTTCATTTGCGCCTGTCGCGCCCGCTATGTTCACCACGCGGTCCAGCGTTTGCGCTGGACGCGGGCTCTTTTCTCATTCTACGTGCCGTTTGCGCACGTTTTGTTCAGCACGGCGACGACCTCTTCGCGGTCGACCGCCCACCACCAGTACCACCACCACCACCACGACGAAAAAAACCACACAACCACCCCACCACCGCCACCGCCCATCAGAGCGTGGTGCCGCTGACGCGGTCCTCCAGCTCGATGTCCCGCTGGCCGGGACGCCCGCCCACGCCGGCGCGCCAGTCCTCGGGGATCTGGGCGCGGCGGGCCCTCATGGGCCAGGCCAGCTCGCCGTTGGCCGCCTTCGCGACCAAGAGACAGGCGGAGACAAGGCAGGCGGCGACGGCGCAGCTGACGACGCCGACGAGGGACCAGCCGAACGCGTTCTCCAGGGCGGCGATCGACGCCCCGAAGAGCGCCGGCGTCACCTTGCCGTCGACAAAGGTGTAGCCGAGGAGGAGGAACAGGGCGTTGTCGACGCTGGCCGGGTAGGCCACGTCGTTGGCTTGTTCCAGCAACGCGAACTGCGCACGGGGCCCGACGTGCATGAAGATGCTGCCCGCGGCGGTCAAGGAGACGGCCGCGCCGAGGTACACGGCGAACAGGACGAAGGCACGGTTGTGCAGCGGGTGTTTCTGGCGGGCGTCCTGGTTGCCCCTCGCAAAGAGCGGTTGGAGCAGGTCCATCAGCTGGTGCGCCATTGACAAGGTGATCGCGGACCAGAAGCCGATGCAAGCAAGGGCGAACTCTTTTGCGATGGTCGGTAGGCCGTCAGAGCCGGGCAACACGGATGGCGTGTTGATGAAGAGCAGGGCGGTGCCGGCGAGAAGCAAGACCGACGAGACGGCGCTCCAGAAGCTGTAGCTTGGGACCATGGGGTACCGCATCATCAAGCCGCCGCCGAGGTAGACGGGGATGACCAAGACCGAGATCAAGTGAGGACCTGTGGTGGTGAAGAAGAGGTAGAACGCCGTCGTGACTGCCGAGGGCTGAGGACGCGTGACCAGTTGGTAGAGCGCGGTGTACGAGAGCACGGTCTGGAAAATGGCGGCGGTGAGGAAGACGAGGACGAACAGAGCCATGGTCTTGAAATGTTGCAGGTACTCCACAGGGAAGAGGCGGGTCGACGGTGAGTTAAGGATCTTGTAGGCTTGCTGAAGGATAAGCAGCACGATCAAGATGATGCCAATGACCAGGGAGATGTACAGGTATCCACTTGTCCAAGGAGTCAATGTGCCGGCGAAGTTGAATGTGATCAACAGTGTGATGATGCCGAAGAAACTGAGCAGACCACCCAGGGTGTCGATGCAGTTGAGGCGATGACTCCAGTTGAAGACCGGTCCGCAAGCCCAAGGTGCGTTTGCGGCAATCTCAACCTCTGTCGGAAGCAGGTAGAAAAGGAAGACCAAGACCAAGGCGAGAAGGATGAACGCGGTGTAGAAACCCCAGGACCAGTTCTTGTCTCGATGGGCAAAGATAGAACCGAAGATGGGACCAACGATCAGGCCAAGCGTGGAGCTGACAGTGAGGAAGAAGTCGCGTCGGACCTTGTCTGCGAAACTGCTCTTGTGTTCCAAAAAGACCAGGGTGCCAAAGTGTTGACCTGCCAGACCGACGCCGAGGAGCATTCGCGTGTAGAAGAGAAACGCCATGTTTGGGGCAAAGCCAGGTGAGATGGTGGCGATCAAGACAATGACGGCGAAAACCATGTAGATCTGCTTGAATGGGACGATGACATAGAGGTGACCGGCGATGAGAGCTGTAGCTGCCGCGCCGATTGCTGGACCAGCGATGAGCCACTGAAATCCTTGGACGTTGAGGTCGTAGATGATGGTCGGGATCATGACGGGCATCATGCTCTCGGTGACCATGGTGATGAGATTGACAGAGGCCAACAGCAACGCAGTTGCAACCCATTTGCTAGTGGTAGTGTTGTCGATGTTGATGCTTCCACCTCGTCCATTGTTCACTTCGGGCTCAAAGAGGTTTCGGGTGAATCGCGACGCAGCGGACCAGACAGTGGCTTGGTAATGGCTGCTCGAGTCGCCGAAGATGGTGTTGGTGGAATTGTTCGCGGGTTCAGGCTCGATAAAGACTTCTTCGACGGTGAAGCTGGTTTCGACTCGGATGACGCCTTCGGGGGGAGTTGGTGGTCGTGCGTCGGTCCAGCCGCCAGCCATGACGGTGGTTGTACCAGGCATGATGAAGTCAGGGTCGATGTGATCCGAGTGAGAGTGGAAGCTGGGAGGGCTGCCAGAGAGATGACTGAAGCTTGGGGGAGGAGATGGTTCTGAACGGTGTTGAGAGTAGGCGGAAGAGTGAGAAGAGAGGTGAGAGCGAGAGCGTCGAGACCAGCGTCTGGTTGGGTAATTCAACGACATGTTTGCGCGGTTCAACGTCTGAACGCTCCTCTGCGATGTGTGTTGGAACTCTGGCGGATCGGTGGGAGGCGAAGTGCGATGTGGTAGTATGGCTCTGTATCTCAAGGTCAGTCTCTCAATTCTCAACTGCTCACAACCAATTTCTCTCACCACCGACAAAGGCTCTTTCAGAACAAGGGCAGTCTGCCTCTGCCGCGTCGACAGGGGGCACTTGGTCTTGACAATATTGCTATCAGCAGGATCAATCACAAGAAGGGTGCAAGAGAGGGAGGTGTTGGTGGTTGATGGTTGATGGTTTATAGGGGAAAGGAATAACAAGGAAGACGATGGGGCGAGGTGAGGAATTCAAAAGGCCGGTCCAGCACAGTGGAGGCGTCTCTCTTTTCATTCATTCAACTCTTCTCTCTGTCTTCCTCTCACTTGATTCCTTCTGACAGAGCCGAAGAGCAGCCGACTCTGCGGGCAGCTGCTGGCAAAAGGCCTGCTCAATGCCTCCCCATGTCCTCAAAAGATCAACCCAAGTCGAGACTCCTCTCATTTGGTGGCTTTTGTTGTGCGCCCATTGTTGCTCCATCTTGCCGCCAAGCAGCACGCAAAGGAGACAGACACTCATGTCTTGGTTCAGGACCTCACAGGGTCAATCGGGAGCTTGGAGCTGCAGTGTTGATTTTCCGCGCGTCGGAAGGGATCAACCACGCTCAAAATCATCCTTCTGCTTCATTTTCACCATCTCTGTCATCAATTTCCAGCCCGCAGCACCCCCAGCAGCATAGACACGAATGCGGGCGACCGAAACTAGTGCTCCATTCAATGTTGTGATGGAAGATAAGCCGTCAAAGAATGAGACGTTTTCACGATCATCTCCTCTTGGTCGTGGCGTAGAGTCTAATTGCTTGTCAGACACACGGTTATTGGCTGGTCGCTCGCCAAACCCGCAAGGCTGAGTTCCCTGCACTGGCATCCCTATCTTTTTGCATTCAATCTGATACACTCTTTGTATATGTCTTTTCGCACACACCAAAATAGGTTGACGAACGGATACAGCTCTATTTTGAATGTATTGGCTGAACGGTTAAAGAATGCAGCGGTTTTAGCAAGGATTGTGTGGATGGACCAATTTAATTGCCATATCGACGCGGACCCCTTCTCTTCCTTTATAGCTTGGGTTTGTGACTTTCCCACAAAGCCTGGTTTTCTTCAATATGCTTAGAACAGCTTTCAAGCATGCAAGCGAGATCCCGAGACAGCATTGATTTGATTTCTTCCAAAAATGGTACAAAGAGAGCATGAGAGTGGTTGTTCTCGATCCCCTTCTGTTGGCTGAAGCTAAGACATGCCTGCGGTCATTGGCATAACCTACATCAGAATCCTCCTTCCCCTGAGGGGGCTGAGTCTAAGATTGCGGGAAAATGGATTGATGCAGAAGCCAAAATGAGAACCATGCGCGTAAACGAAGCCGACGAACTGTCGAGGGATAAAGCACAAATCCGATACGCGCTGCAGAACGGGGGAGAATCTTACTCATGCTGGATCCTACCACTAATAGCACTGTAATTCAACCTTGCAGCCTCTAGTGATGGACAACACGAGGGTCATTGTTTGCTTTTCCACCCCTGTTGGCTCGAGCATCTCGTTCGGAGGTAACTTGATGATCGGAAATCTCTGAATCAGTCGCACGATTGTGTACGCAGCTTCGGTCACCGCAAAGTCCACTGGATATCATGTTAGCATGTTTGCGCCTAGTATTACAACCATGGCAACGCCATACTGCCTAGACATGTCCTTGGACCACCATTGAACGGGAGATAGCCCCATTTGGCATTTGTAGAGTCGTGGTTAAGGGGCATATCTTCGTCCCATCTTTCCGGACGGAAGATTTCAGCGTCCATTCCATAGAGGTCGGCTCGTCGATGCATCGAGTAGACGCTGTAGGCAATGGTAGAGCCTTCGGGAATCAGCACCGGAGATTTCCTGTCTGAGCCACCTCCCGTCGGCAGGATAGTCGTTTGTGTCGCTGTCCTGGAGTTCACTGGGACAGATGGATACAGTCGAAGTGCTGTCGACTTCAGTCAGTATGGTTGGATTAGGCTGAAATTCGACCACTTGGAAGTGGGAAGTACAGACTTTCTTTGATAACGTTTTGAAGATATGCCATGCCCCGCAGACTGTTCCGATTCAGCTCTGTCTCTCCTTCACAGAAGATGCTGATTTCACTTCGTAGTTTTTCGAGTACGTTAGGGTGCCTGACCAACATGAAACTATACGTCTAAGTCAGTATGCTCCAGGCGAAAGTCCAGAAAGAAGGCGAGGGCGGGTCATACAAAGTCCATGACAGGAGGCAAGCAGTCGTGTCGCGACCAGCAACTAACAGGTTAATGATCTGGCTGCGAAGAGCAGTTCGTTCCGGTATGTCCGTCGCCACAGTATCCAGAAATGAAGACTCGCCGTCGTCGCTTCCTTCTGCTCGGCTTTTGTGCGACATATTCTGTTCAATGATCTGATCAGCGAAGCTGTGTACAGTGTTGCACGCCTCATCGAACTCCCTTCTGCCAATGAACCAATAAAGATCCAGCAGCCGGAACCGTTTGGCAACATATGCTTGTGCGGTATTGAAAGCGTCCGCAAAGGACTTTTCCTCGACCAATTCAGGGGTTCTAAGGCTCTTGACGGATTCTCCAAACAAAAAGGCGGTCGTGGTGTCGAGGGTGAGGCGGAAGAAGAGTGGCTGCAAGTCAACGACACCTCCACTGGCTGGAATGGCACTGAGGAGGTCGTCGACAGCGTCGCGGACCCTGTCCAAGTTTTCATATTGCTTGTGGGCAAAGTGCGGCCTGAGCAGCTCTCGTGAATGTTTCCACGCAGCGCCTTCTTGGGTGAAGATGCCATCTCCAAACATGGGAAATGTGATTTCTCTTCTCAGTCCCATGCTATAATCTGATCAAGTATAATAAGCCTCTAGTGAAAGCGTTATGGAAGATGCTCACGGCCAAAGTTCGTGCTTAAGATGGCTTCCAGGTTGGCCGGCTCGATCGTGCCGAATGCCTTTGTTCCCAAGAATACCTGTTCAAGCGTGCTTCCCGTCTGGCGAAAGTGGAACAGGAAAAGCTCCATGAGCCTGGACTCGGCGTTGGCTCTGAAGATCTGCTCGAGGCGGTCGAGACCGAATGGCCGTTGGTTTTGAAGCCTAGAAGGTGGAAGACACCCATGTATGGAAGCAAGGTTATTGTGCTCCTAAACCCTGTCAATCAATGGGTATTACACTTGAGTTCTGCTGGTGACCTGCCTGGCATCTTTTCCGATGGACGAGTCGGCGATGCACATAAAGAGCAAGAGTCGAGGCGGCGACTGCTACCATAGAGAAGTAGAAATACATGCTCCGTCGGCGTCTGCACTCTCCCTATTCTATCAATTGAGGTATTGATGCTCTCTCTCGCCGGCGTTATAGAAGATTGATGCTCAAGAGCGATGCTGGGAGACATAAATAACGACCCAAGTTCCTGCAAGGGGTCAGTGCACATGCAACCCAAAACAACTCCCCCTTGACTGCGACTCCATCGGTGCTACTGATGGACGGGGAACCACGGAATCTCTGCAACGGAGCAACCAGTGACATCAACACGGGCATCAGACCGCTCTTCGCGGGGATGATCTGAAGAGGGGCACTGACAGCGGGAGAAGGGCGGATGTAACATGCTAAATCGTAGCCATCTGAGGGGGAATTTCAGTCACAAGAAACAGTTCTCACAATGGTTGTCGCAGTTGTCAAGGTGCTAAGAGTAGACTTGCATTCCGTGCCTCCCTGTCGCGGTATGCACCAAACGTATCATCCCCCATTCCACCCGCCACTTTGTAAACAATTATTGCCTTTTCCCAATAAGAGTAGTCCGTCATATACCACCATACTCAGTAGAGCCTTGACCTCTCCAAAGTCTATTTCCGTTTCCAGACCCGAATATCTCGTCGTTTGACCGGAGCCATGATGAAGCCACTCTGAGCTGTGGCCATTTTTGAGGTGTTGGTAGTGAATTTAGCCGAACATAAAACCTGGAGCAGTGGGGGGCGGAGGTGCTTTTAAAGCATCTAAACCATCAAAGTCATTGGGTTTATGGGGGCCAATTTAGAGAGCGGCCTAAAACCATGATATAGCCCTAGCGTTGATTGACTAATTTGTATAGCTCCTGTTGGGCTCGATCTTGATTGCTCCGCAACGTATTCGTACCACGACTGCACACCGACTTCGGCAAGTAATTTAGCGGTTTTTCACCATCTGTTTTCTCCTTGCCTTGCCTTTCCTTGCTGCTCTCATTCCTCTCCCAGCAGAATCAATGGTAGCACATGAGATCCTCTCGTCCCTGACCGCCCCGATTCTATGCTGCGAACATGGTTTGAAAGTCTTCGAGGTGGTGCGCTTGACCCTGCAGACTCGAAGCGAGGTAATAGGTAAACAGAGTCACCATCCGCCCCAGGTGGGAGTCGGGTTTTCTTATCCACCCAGCAAACGTTGCTAGATTCCTGCAGTTCGTGGAGCGCCGAACGTAAGGGTGATGAGATTGATCAACACAGACCTGTTGACCCTGGAGGCGTTTATGGGTACTGGGAGTCAAATCCCGAAGTACGCTATCTTGTCGCACACGTGGGAAGACGAGGAGGTTACCTTTCAAGACTTTGCCGACCGGGGGCTTCGGTCTCGCCAGAAAGGATTCCACAAGATCCAGGTGACGTGCGACTTGGCGAAGAAAAACGGAATCAAGTATGCGTGGGTCGATACCTGTTGTATCGACAAAAGCAGCAGCGCCGAGCTGACGGAAGCCATCAACTCCATGTTCCAATGGTACAAGGATGCTGCGGTTTGCTATGTGTGGCTCTCCGACCTGCCGTCTCAACAGCCGCCCGACAACTCGTTGCTCAAGAACTGTCGGTGGTTTTCCCGCGGATGGACGCTCCAAGAGCTCCTTGCGCCGCCACATGTCGAGTTCTATGACGCCGGCTGGGTCCTGCGAGGGACGAAGCCGGGACTCAGCAGTATTCTCACGCAGATCACTCGGATCGAGGCAGGGATCCTGGGAAACCCCGAAGACATGTACAGCCTTTCGATCGCGCAGAGGATGTCCTGGGCGGCGACACGACAGACCACGCGGGTGGAGGACATGGCCTATTGCTTGCTGGGCATCTTTAACATCAACATGCCGATGCTGTATGGTGAAGGGCCGCGAGCCTTCGTGAGACTGCAAGAAGAGATTGCAAAAGGTGCCAACGACCTCAGTCTCTTCGCCTGGAGGACGGCATCCGCCCGTCAGAGGTACCACGGCGTCTTCGCCACGAAGCCGGCAGACTTCCAAGGCTCGGGGGCGATTCAGGTCTCCCGCGACATCATCTACAATCCCGAGTTTTTCATCACCAACAAGGGTCTACGCATCAACACCAGCATCTACGCCGGCCGACAGGGGGCATACTTCCTGGGGCTGAACTGCTCCGACCCGAAATCCACCGGATCCCAAGAACTGGGAATCTGGATCAAGCACCACGGAGGAGGCGTCTACAGCCGCACCGACATCGACAAGCTTCCTACGATGCCGCTGAACGAGACTGCCAAGGTGGTCCGCATCTTCGTGTCGACCAGCATCAGCGCACCACGCTCCCGGTTTCTCGAATGCAGCCACGAGGACGCTTTCATATTCCGCAAGGGCTTCAACGAAACGGGAGCGTCGTACTCGCCCGAAGTCCCCTTTGAAGCGTACCATTTGGTCCCCGCCATCCAGTGGGACTCGCAACAGCGTTCCTTCTTGACGCGAGGGGCACCCGATTTTGCCGCGTACGCGATCTTCCAGAGCACGGGGACTAGCGGGGCCGAGGACGAGGAGCTCATGGGCGGCCAGATGTTCATGCTGGCGTTTGGTCGGACAAGCGGCCAAGATGAGCCTTGGATTGTCATTTCGTCCCCCAGAGATGACCCCCAGGGTTTATGGGGCCAGATTGGGGATGCGGGAAAGGTGGCGGCCGTGGCTCGCGGCGTGAAGAATCAGCACATGATCCTGACGAGAGATGGCATGAACTACATCGCCAAAGCTGTTCACGTGTCGTTGGAGAGAGCCCGTCTGGCCGGTGAAACCGTATACTACATCGACCTCGAATACAAGGACGCGCCGGACGCCGTCTTGTGGGGGAAGGAAGGGTCAGCCAACAACCCCCGTCGCCGCAAGTATTACCAAAAGCCGAAGAAATAAAGTGCTCCGTTTGGGGGCCTGTAGTTCGCAAACCCTAGCCATCTTTTTGTCTGGTACGATGCATTAGCGATCGGGCAGCCGCAGTAAGCGATACAGCACACCGACATAGAAGAGATCATCGCCGACGATCAGTGAGTATTTGAAAGACGACCGTTTCAAGCAGATCCTCCCGCCAGATCATCCCCGCGTGCTGAAGATCTACAAAACAAATGCTGGAGATTTACCACCTGCAGAACCGCGCGGTCGAACTGAAGGCGATGAGCAGAAAGATGTGGGTGTCTGAGTGGTAACGAGGATGTCTGACTGTGAGATATAGCTGTGTGGGATGGTGGCTAACCCCCGTGGCCCACCAGCGCCGTATCCCGAACTAGTTCATTCTTATCTGTACGAGGTACACCTGCACCCTATTCGTGATTGAAAATACTCCATCACCGTCTATGACACTACCAGAAGGCGATGTGAGGCTAACAGGTGGATGTCGATGTGTGTGCGTGTGTGTGTGTACGAGGTGTGTATCGTGGTAATGACGATAGTCTGACTGAGGAATATATAGCTGCGTGGGTAGCCAAGGCCTAACAGCGATCACAAAGGCCGCTGGGAAAATCTCCAATCGAAAGGCTGAATGTTAAAGCTTAGCAGAAGTGTGGAAGCGGTGAACGAACGACGGGCATCTTTGGGAGATATGGCCATGTTTAGCAACCCCTACCAAACACCAGCCGAGTCCCGGTCATGGTCATCGGCAATCGGACTCACGCCCCTCTATCTTTGAGATCGGACGGGCCCCAAAGTCCTTCAGCCGTTTTAGAGGTTCTCAGCGACAACGGTTGTCAGTACATGTACATGCCCGGCGCCCACTCTCCCTCGCCTTTCTCCTCCTTCTCCATCCCGGCCATCATCCGTTTCTTGATCATTTCCGGGGGCGGAGGCCCCGCGCCCGCCGGGGTCTTGCTGGTGTCCGCACAGAAGAATGCCACGGGCTTCACGCTGTCGGCAGCGGACTTGATGGCTTGGACGTCTTGTGGCGAGAAGCCCCCGCCGACGATGATGAGGGAGATATCAGACCGGCCGGATCCCCCCGTGTTGGTCCCCAGACCCGACGAGGGAGCGGTCGTGTCGCCTTTCATCAGGGCCGGGATCTCAGAGACTGCAGCGTCGGCGTTGTTGCAGACATGGACGACTAACCACGACGAGCCAGTTAACGAGCCGCTTCGGGCCCAGCCAATCTCCAATCGACTGACGTCCCTCCAGTAGGTGCACGTCTTGGGAAGGAGACTCACCCTCGATCTTGGGAAGCAGATTCTTGATCATGAACTCGGTCAAATGGGGCTGTTTCCCGCAAAGCACGGCAGCAACTGGAGCCATGTTGATTGTGTCTCGTTGTCCCTACATCTCCAATTAGCCAAACAGACGCCGTGAAAGGATGGAATGCCGTGGGTGTGTGGGACATACCGTAGTATATCAAGGCTGCTATAAGGATGCCTGAGTTTCTCAATTGTAGTTGCAAGCACCAGCACGAGAGATGCTTCCAATGCGATGGGGGCAAGGACCTCACGCCCCAATATATTGAACCCGACTGTAAATGCGGTGAGCAGAGGGGGCATGCAATGCAGCCTTGGCGAGCAAGCCTCAAAAGATTGAAGCCTCGAGTGCAGTTCGTCCTACTCGTCCCGCAGAGTGCTTGTCAGATTCCAGGAGGAGCCAGACCTCTTAGGCTTTGCTCAATCGAGGCGGCCTCCATGAGTGATAGGCTCAGGAACGGTCTTCGGAGGATATGAGCCGCAGGATCAGCACTACAAAAAGCCTTAGCATCCGTGAAACACGGCGTCCCTCCCCCTCAGCGTGCCTGCCAAGCTTCCCACGAGGCGCAAAAAGGACGGTTCCGTCTCCTTGCAGTTGCAGGAGGATCAGAAAACTTCCATGTCCTCATCCGGGTCGGCAGAAGTCAGCCATGCCAATGGTCTCACCAATCAAACCGTCTGAGGGAAGAGACGCAGTCACGCAGACTAGGAGACAGAAAAACTCAAAGGTAGTTTCGGCATTTAGCTCAGACCTTACAGGAGGCCGGAGGTCCCTGCATGTTTGGAAGCCCGATATCTTGAGCTTGTTTATACTTGGGATTGCTTGTGGCTACCCACCTCCTTGGCCAGGTGTGCCCGGACAGAGCAAGTTTGTACTGCCTGCAGACTAACCTCATCGAAGCCTTGGTAAGGGAGATAGGAATTTTACAGAGCAACAGCAAAAGAGGCCAAGTCGACGAACCCGACTCTGGGTGACGGGCCAGGTGTTTGCCGTTGCAAACTTTGCTAGCTGCAGTTACACAACGGTCTACATGTGTCGGCAGAACAAACAGTCAGGTCGAGAACAGGGGCGTGTACGGACTGCGCCAGTGCGCAGTATTTTCAAGGGGGACCCAAATCGTATCTGCAACAGTGGCAACTTTCCACACTCGCAGTCTTTTGCTTAATTCCACACAATATATATATTTACACATATTTACATGGATAATCACATGCAAGCCAGCCGTTAAAAGAAGAGTTCGCTGCCCAGTAACACAGCAAGGATCAGACTGCCAACGATAAAGGGCAGATTCAGATAGGCAGTCCCTTGAAGCAATGAACCTCCTGCTCCTCCTTGAACAACGGTGACAGTGGCCGTGGGTGCGGCAGTAGCGGTGCTGGGAATAGTGCCCGTGGTGAGCACGACTTGACCTGAGGTTTTGTTGATGTTAGCTCCACGATTCCGTAAGGGGCATCTCCCTTCAAATTGGTAAAACCTTAGAGTGGGAGAGAAAGACAACTCGGGCAAAGGATGGGCGAGGGATGGATATCGTACCAGCAGCGGTGTACCAGTTCTGCACGCGCGGGACGGTGCCCGTGCATATCGAGCCGCACGGGCAACAGCCCATGGAGGATCCAACGCTGGTGAGCGTCGCGGAAGAGGTGCAGCACATGGGATTCGAGCCCATCATGTTCATGGTATAGTGGTACCCGCTCCCTTCATAGTCAGGACATTCGTACTCGGATCCCATCATGCCTCCGCCGCCCATCATGCCCGTGTGCGTCGGGTGGGCAGACAGCATAGGGCAGAAGACTGTCAGGCTGTGGGTGCCCGCGGAGCCAGCTGTTCGGCAAACTACCCCGGTTGACGATGGCCTCGTCGTTGTTGTCATGATGCCATTGCTGAAGCTGTAGCTGGTGGAGGAAGTGTGGCTTGCTCCAGAGAGGCGTGTCGACGAAGGTGTAGTCGAAGTATGCTCGGTTTCGGAATGGTGCGTGGAAGTAGTGATTGGCATAGTCGAGGTATGCTCAGTCTCGGAATGGTGAGTGGAAGTACTGACCTGGACGGTCGAACTATGTTCTGGATCTTCAGTCTCAGGATGATCGTCAGCACTGACGAGCACCAAGAAGAGAGGCAAGAGATAGAGGAGCTTCATCCTGTTGCCAGAGACTCAAACGTGGTCACAGGAGACTTTTCAGAATCAACGGTGGAATGGCTTTTGCTCAAAGGAGAACTTCTTTCTGGTTCGTCGTTGACAGCTTTCAGGATACGTGTTGACTCTGCAATCATATTAGTATAACAAGCACAACAAGTGGCCTTTTCTTGCCATAATGTGCTCTGCGACATCATGCAGGTCAAATTCATATGGCTGGATATCATGCGAATCTGGTGTGAGAGGTAACGTGATGGTCAACATCGACTCACCAATTCGGTCTCGACGGTCGAGGACTTGGCAAAATATGATTCGGCTGCACGTTTTTCCGGGCCCTTCCCTTTGGTTCTGTGGCTGCGTATCGTACGACTCCCGCACGAAAAGGCGCACGACTACCAAGAGAACTGCACACAGGCCAAAAGGTGAGCAGAACTCAGCCAAGTAAACTAGCTGGCATGGTCTTTGTGCAACAGTGAAGCCAATAAGGGCGAGCCCATCGCCTCAACAACAGAGCTACAGCCATATACAGAACCTGAGCACTGGACAACTCACGCAGGCGGTGACGCAAGGCACAAGCGTCGCAGAGCAGACCATGGCAAACATCATACACTTCGCAAAGGTCTCTTCGTGCTCGCACCTCCCCAGTCTTGGCCAGGACACTCACAGCCCGGGTGGACCGACCACGTTGTAGATGGCGCACTGAACGCATGTGCCTTGGCCTATGCTGCCTAGCTTGTCTGGATTTGTCTTCTTAACACGTTGTCAACGCCTCAGAAGCCTCCACCGTGACTGATTCGATCACCAAATCCTCTTTCTTTGACGTGGTCAACCCAGAGGCTCGGTCGTCCGCAAGGGCGGTGGAAGATTCTCCTCGTGGATGGTATTGAGAGTGCATCGCAAGAGCAGGGTGGGGTCTACCTGCTCGATTCGAGCGATCTACTGCTCGACGAGCTTGATGCGCGAGTAGCTGAAGGACACGAAAGGAGGCTATGTCTGTAGTTGACTGAACACTCAGTAACCTGCAAGCCAGGACTAACCGTAGGTGGACACCATTGTCAATAGAGTAACATTGTACCTGCAGCAGTCCCTGAAGTACGATAGCCCGAGGATCAGTCGCGCAAGTCAATATTCTAGGACATGGCAGACTTTTCCGTGCGTGTCGAGACGCTGGGGCTGGCATCGGCGACTCCAGTTGCTAAGCAGAATATCGAGATCATAGTAAAAATAGAGCCATTTGATCTTTTCAAGCCAATGTAGATATCCAGGTGGAACACATGTCGCACACAGAAGAAAGGCGCTCAATGGGAGGGTATGCTGGACAGTACAGGCGGCTTAATGGGAGAAGAAAGTACATCGCAGGACCTGGACACGTGGGTCAAAAATTCGGGTCGCCCGCGCCACGGTTCTCCACGATGCTGCGCAGTTGATTCAGGCTCGTGAATCTGGTACTATCCGTGAGTAGCCGATATGGGGGACCTTGATCTCCATGTCGTTAAGTGAGTAGCATCAACAAGTGCTGCAAGGGGCAACGAATTGACGAGAGTGAAGAGGGTATGGGACCTTTGGCGGTCAACGAGTCGGAAAGGCCTGGACGCATGGTACTTCGGAGGAAACAGCTCAGCATCATCTGCAGGTGATCTGCGACCGGTTTCATTCGCAGTCGGCACCCACAGCGCTGCGGCAGGTCATCGTCGTGGCATGCAGTAGGAGCTGGTGCCAGCTGGATGGCACGGATTGGAGGGATTTGTTGATCGAATCTGCAGGAGGGACCAAATAATGCATGGCCCTTTGGACTGCCGCGCCACGCGCCTGATTAGAGGCTTTGAGGTCGGTCGAGCACCAGAGCATTTTTGACAGGCACAGCTGCTGCAGCGTATACTCGGTACTGACACTCCATTCTGGAAGACTGTGCTGATGTGTTCGCAGCAGATCCGATACCTGAGAAGGTTGGTGACGGGACACCGAAGAGTGCGAGCCGACACAAAAGTTCCGCCAAGTCCAGAAACTTTTGGCCCGGACAATGAGCGGGCTCGGAGCAAGCAAACAAGTTCGGAGCACGCAGACAGAGCCAGACTGCCTTTTGGCTCGAGTCATCATGCAATTCTCTTCCTCCCCAGCTCGCACCCTCGCACTATGCCCATTGCCTCGAAGCCCGCCGAGGTCCCAGTGGAGCAGTGGCCGCGGGCCCTAAATCCAAAATTGCAGGAGCTTTGCCCAGGACTCCAGTGGCCCGCCGCTGCGGGTGCAACCATCAAATTGGGAACCATCCGTGAGCTCCATGTTCGGTTTCCATCCGGCCGCTTCGACTTCTGACTCGAGGATGACCGGATGGACCTCTCTAGGCCGTGTTCAGTGTCCACTGCGCCCGCCGCAGCTAGAAGCGAAAGGAGCTAAGGCGCCGCCTCACCCGTCACTCTTGATTGGGACGCCCAGGGCCCAGGCAGTGTTTGCACGATTGGCCGCTCTGCATGACGATCTTATGCTTTCCGACCGAATGCTTTTGGGCTGCGGGATCGACATTGAAAGGAGACATTATTGAGGCGGGAGGACAAACTCTTGATCTTGCGCCGGGCAAAGGCGGGCACTGTCAGCCGCAATGGACAAGCAGAGAACAAACACAAAAAGACTGTGGGCTTGGGAAAATTGACACGAGGTTGATAATCATCGTTGTTATCGATAGGCTGATGGATATGATACGGCAATCGATAAAGATAGACACACCCTGGTAAAGCTGGAATGCCCTCATCAACAACGCTTCTTCACCCCGCCGCGTACATAGAAGACTCGCGTCCTTGGATCTCTATCTGAAATATTTGTGACATTTGCCCATCTGATCCACAATCAGAGACAGGAGGTCTGGGAAAGTAGCCAGGACCTCGAAAGTAGTACAAAAGATGCGTTGAGTGGCAACCCTTGACCGATAAACAAAGGAAAATGCTTGTGTGACAGTCTTCCTGAATACTCCTCAAGAGTATTAACCATGCATCAATGCTCCAAAAGAACCCATTAAACTCCAATCATGCTCAGTCAAAGCATCCTTTTTCCCTGACTCCTTCCGCTTGGTATCAAATTCCCATTGTTCAGTATGATTCGTACAGGCATTGCGAGCGTTTTTCTGGTTGAGGTAGCGCCGTGCTCGACTTTCACCTCCATCTGTTATGGCTCATGCCCGAGGATCTGGTCTCGTCGCGGGTGACGGTGTTGTGGTGAATGACGACTACCTCCCGCTTGACAGGCTTGCGAGGTTCTTTGCGCTCGCGTGGTTCTCTTCGTGAATCGTGGTAGATTCTCTCACCGGCGCTGCTGGAGCCAGATGAGCTGTGGTATTGAGGAGACATCTTGACAATTGGTGACTTGAGAGTTGGAGTGTGTCTGCGACAGACTTTGTGTTCTTTTTTTTTGGAGTGGCAGGTGAAGCCTAGAGGGACAATGCGTAGGACGCAGACCTCAGCGAGGAGACGGCTTGAAATTTATACCGTGGATGTAAGGTTCACGGGTGATGTGATGTTTTGGATCTCAAGAAGGTCTGGAAGGATGGCACTCTGGGAATTGGGAACCTTGTGGCGATGATGCTAAAAGTGGTGACAGTGGATGGAGGTGGGGGCGAGTTCCAAGAATGTCGCTAAGGGGGTTTGGGGGGATGTTTGTGTTGTGATGGGTTTGTGTGTGGCTTGAGGGTGCTGACTGATGGATTGTATGACAGGAAGAAGGGGACAGAGGGAGAGGGAATTGGAAGCGTCTTTATAGCAGGAGCACAGCGATGCTGAAGAGTCACAATTGCAGGAATCAGCAGTTCAGGCTTATTGGGATGTTGAAGCCTGGTGAGAATGGGTCGGCATCAGGCAGAATGCCAAATCGGGACCTAGCATCAGGCAACTGAAAATCCTAAGCCTTGCTGGCGTGTTGCCAGTGACTCAGATGACGAGGACCAGGGATCCGGGTAACCAAAAAGAAAAACAGACAAACGGCAGCATCCGCAACAGGGCGAGAGATGCCAAAGGGGTGGGATGGGTGACGGGGGATGGAGAACCAGAAGGCTATGGAAACGGTTGGCAGGGCTGTGGGTTGGCAGGGTGGTGGAAAGGGGACTTTGTGAATCTTCAAACCAAGCCAACACGGCCGACGCCCAATGGAGCAGCAGAGTCGCACACTGCCGTGACGGGCTCGGATTCGTGTTCCCAAAGATTGGCAACCAAGCAAAAGGGTCGGTGGTGAAGGGGGGGGTGGTGCGAATCCCCTGGGAATGTGGATTAATTGGGCAGCCAACCCAATTGACTTTGGCTGGAAATTGAGACAATCCACTGGGGCACGGCACTGGGTGACTTGAGACGTGGTGAAGAAGGGGAGGGGGGCAACCCCGGGCGCCGAGTTACGAGACCTCGTACTTGTTAGTAGTTGGTATGGACGACGCTTGTAGGTGCGGCATATTTGATTCGAGAGGCGCGTCCGCCCACCCTTTCGCTTTTCCCTTTTCCCTTTCGTTAGGTTGAGCCGGGGCGAGGGAATGACGTTGCGCCGAAAGGGCGGAGAGCCCGGTAACTGACTACCAGGTTGCTACTAGAGCCAAGTCAACCTGCTGCTGCAGGGCTGGGGAAGCACGCTGCAGGTGCACAGCTGGGGACAACTTGGTCTCTCTGGGGGGGGGCCCTCTTGTACCTAGCCAATGCATGTTTAGTTAAACTGCGGGCGTGCATGCCCTCTGTGTGGCTCCCTCTCTGCCTGTCAGAAGCCAACCCGCCACAACCAACCTGCAGGTGTTCCATCATTCTTCTCTCAAGCCTATCGTAACCCACCTGTTCCTGCAGCAGCTGCGGCAAACACGAAAGGGATTTTGTGTCTCGTACTTTCGCACCCTATCGTGGACCCTTTGGTTTGATTTTGCCACCGTAGCATTGCCAGTCTCCAGCCCACCTCTTGCTGCGACAACATCATACGAGTAGCGACTTGATCAGTGACCCTCCTGATTTGATTGCCTGCAGTCTTGCGAAGCGCTCTCCAAGTTCTCTCAGGGGCAATTGCTCCGACGATCACAACGAGTCGTCTCAGCATTGGCGCCTGTTTGTGAAACCAATGCGCCTCAGCGTCACTGCGGTACCAGACCTCCGTGCTCCATCCTCCGAAACCTTCAAACAAGCCAGAAACCAACCTGTGGAAGATATGACCCGCACAGCCACCGGTACGGACCTGAGTTGGGCTGCAAATTGGCATACAATTGAACTGCCACACGCGAGTGATAACGGAAAGGAGAGTTGAGCCACGTTTGCTAGGGTTTCCAGCCTTCAGAACGCCTCCTCCCAATCATGCCTCACTATGGTTGACTGACAAACATGAAGAGTGCCTCATTTTGTCCTGTCCTGCGCCACAATCCTCCGCTGCTCCTTGTATTTCCACCCAGCTCAAACAATTCGGGCCATCTTATCTCAGAATATGCTGTTACCATACCAGCCTTTCCCTGGTCAAGGCCAATGAATCAATTACCAGCCTGAATGCGGCTGCCCACTGCCCGGTGGGCTTTTCACACAATCCCGTTGTCAGCACTTTCCTTGCCCCCCGGCACCTTCTTCCCTAAAGTTGGTACCGTTTTTTCGCAGCCCAACTGTGGATGCCGACCCGCCGCAACTGTTGCTTCGAGATCGTCGTCTGTTGACCGAAATCTCAAAGAAGCTCCGCCTAGCTAAAGCGCGTTCGACTGAGGTTCGCACAGCACTTGCTAGGTGAGGCGGCCGTGAAAGATCAATTCCAATTGGGTGCTCGGAGCGGAACCAGACCGTGGGACAAAAGAAGCGTTGGTAACCGCATCTCGGGCGTGCTAGAGGAACGAGTTCAACCTTGACGAACTACACGCATTGGGTTCAATACGGCCACAAGAGCTATCCTATGTCGCCTGGTACTTCCTGCTCGGCCTACAACAGAGACGGGATAGCAATGAAGTCAATTCGTGCCCAACCGGGGCGGAGATCGACCTCGGCTTGAACTCCATGACCGGATTTATAGTACCATGGATCGACATTCAGGCTATCACTTCCCATTCCAGGGTTCGGGTAGAGAGCGCAAGTGTATGTCACCATCGTTCAAGGGGACCTCCTGGGTGCCTTCCAGTCACGCCCACCATCTGAATTGGTGCATTTCCCTTCGACTATCGACATGGTCATGCGACTGCCCGTTCTCGACCAGCGCTTCCAAGACGCTCTTGCCGTCATAGTGCATGCAGCTGTTCGTTGCACTTACACCCCAGTCGTGTTGAAGCAGAGACACTCGGTTGCAATCTCGGAATGCATGTCGCTACTGCTTCGTACCCGCGCCGTCAGCGTCTTTCGCTCCTGCGGAGCCCCGACAGTACATTATATCGCTGCCCAATACCCCCTGACGAAGCCCCGAATGTTTCTGAAACGAGGTTGTTTACCCACTTCCTGGGATATTGTCAAGAGCCTCAAGAATGTCTCCCCCTGGAGGAGAATTTCGACTCGACAATTGCCGGCGCATCCGGTGGTGACCATCTGTCTTGCCTCTGTCAGTCTTATCAGTGGCTACAGAACAGAGGAGAGGTGCCCGACCAATATGCGGTAGGCGATCTTCGCCTGCCTAGGAAGCCAACTAACCGGTGTCTTCAGAGGCGAAGCGAGGCGCAACGCTCTGGAGAAAGCTTTGTGCACGGACGCCCGCAAGTTTACGAACCATTAGACATGGGCCTCCCCTCTATGCGCACCAGCGCTGCTGCAACATGAGGTCATGGGTGTCCTTCACTGGCTCTAGAGGCCGATGACCTGCCGAGTATTCCACATGGCTAACATTTAGGCGAGATGAGGCGGGTTGGGGACGGGATGGGTGGTCTGGTGCCCGCACCCCATCCTGTCTTTGCGAGGCCTTGACCCGCCTGCATTTTGTGACGGGCGGCAGCCACTGTATTGGGCGCTGTCGTCACTGCAGTCTCGTTCGATCACATGAGCTTCCGCGAAGGCATGTCTCGCAATCGTTGTATTTGCCGTCCAGATGCAATCTACACTCCAGGCGGCAACGCGTTTCGATGTGCCACACTCCCTTTAGAACGTTTCTCTTTTCTTTCACATTGACTAGTTGTCGATTGAAAGACCGAATGGCTTTGAACGGCTTGCCTATTTTGACACTGAGAAGCATAGAAGAGCTGAGGGAACAGAAAGAGTTCCATGTGGAGCAAATTTAGGTTCACGAGGTTCATACCCAATCCTAGATTCTAATACTCCGTACAGTTGGCACATTACCCAGAAGTAAGTGGCTGAACTGATACATTCTCAATCCAATGTTATACAATCTCAAAGTCACCATTCACAGCCAGGGCTGGCCCATAATAATTACAGGTTTTCGAGCGTGGAAGGGAGCCCAGAAGTTAAGTTCTGATAATTGCAAAGTTACAGTATTAGAATGCGTTTTATTCGCAGATAGAATCCCCAATGAAGACTCAACCACCGCAATCGAAGTGACCATATTGGCCATTCAATTCAAGTCTTATTTACAAGAGTGCGACCATTCCCAAGAGGAGACTGCCCATCATTCCCACAGCTGGCACGGCATACCCATCCGCCGCACCGTTACCGGCTGCGCTGGTTGCACTGGTTGCAGCAGCAGAGGCACTGCTCGCCGCTGATGACGCAGCCGACGACGCAGCCGACGACGCAGAGGATGAAAGCCTGCTAGCAGTGCTGGAGGCCGATGTCAAAAAGGAGGATGCTGCTGAGGTGGCGCTGCTCACAACGCTGCTTTCTGCGGAGCTTGCGCTGGCCAGGACACTGCTGATTTCACTCGAGAGGCTGCTCTGGGCGGAGGGGCCAGCTGTGGCTGCCACGGAGGAGAGGCTGGCAACTTTGGAGGAGGCGGCAGCAGAAATGGAAGAAGCCTGGGATTCGACGGATGAGACGAGTGACTCGACGCCGGTGGGGATGCTGCTTGCGAGCGACGACGCAAGTGACGCTGCCGAAGTGACGGCTGAGCCAGCGGCCGAAGTAGCACTGCCAGCAGCTGAGGTTATGTCGCTGGCGATGGAGGTGGCAACCGAGATGAGTGAGTTGATGTCCGAGCTGATACCGGTCTGAGCAGCAGCGCTCGCGGCAAAGGCCAGGATCAGCGGCTTAGAGAAATGCATGTTGACAACGTCTAGTCAAGGGAGGGAGGGATCTGGGTAGTCTTGCTGGGTGGGCGTCGACGTGGAAGACAAGTCGCTGGTCTAGATTTCGAAAAAGTCAGACTTGAATGAGGAGCAACACTCACGGACGTCAATAATATATACTCGAGAGTCAATTGCGTCTGAAGATGACGTCCTGAGTCCTGACAGGGGCAACTGAGGGGTGGAGCATTGACATGTCCCACAGATGAGCCACCATCATCACGTCTGCTGTTTGTGTGTCGCAGTTGGTGACACTCCTGGTGGCCGCGGTGGGCACCAAGCCTCGCGGGATGAGCCAAGGAAAGTCTCGCAGCCTTGCAGAGGATCCAGTTGCGGCCGGGCTCGCCAGTGCCGGGAGGTTCCAGGCAAGGCACCACCATTGAGAGCCCAGCCAATTGCACCCTGAGTTGCGTAAGACAGGCATCTCAAGCATTCTTATCATTGGCTGGTGTCGCGGCGCCAAGGCCCGCCAAACCCTCTCCGCCTCAGCCGCTCAGCGTCTCAGCCACTGCGTCATCGTCCGCCACAACGTCCGCGCAACCACTGCGACAAATTCACTCTCTGTTGACCGTCCCACACAGCCAAAGTATTGGTATCTCGTCTCCAGGTACCTTATGGTAGGTATACAACGCCTAGCCACGTCCCCTGCACAGATGCATAGTGCTGATTCGGATTCTGCATAGTTACAGACAAGTACAAGCAGATGCTCGAACTAGAGCCGATGCTGGGCTCGGACGAGACAACCTCCCAGCCGCGTCATTGTCCAGGACAGCAGGGCCGTCGCTGCTACATACCACCACTTGACTTCTACTTGTGTACTTTCCAACACTTGAAAATTCCCTCCCACAAAGGTTAGTTGAGTGAATGCTAGCCGAGAGACTCTAGGCCTCCGATTGAGCCGTTTCAATCCAATTGGCCGGCAATCTCGTCCGGCCATCTTTGGCCCTGTGATTCTCGAGACTTCTTTGTCGGTTGACATTACCCGGAGAATGCGGAGTACCAGAAGGCAATGGCATAAACACGCCGCTCTCTGGTACAGAGACCACAGACCACGATGACAAAAGGCCTGTCACATCACTGACGCATACAGCCACTCATCCTCGAAACAGAAATAGGCTAACTGACGAGAAGCTTCGCAAGCCCACGACCCCAGTTCTACCCACAACCGACGATCTTGGTTCTCGGACTAGACCAAATTCAGCCTCGATAAGAGCTGGGAGTTTGCAAAGTCTGCAAGTCGGTGCACAGACGTCACAAGCATGGTAAAACCTTCAAATGGTTTAGAGCGATCAACTCGACAGCTGTTGACCTCCGACGAGGCTGCGGCATCTGAATCTAAACGATCGGACGGCATCTTGAAACCGCAATGTGCCCGATGGCCCGAGCGAAGCTCCATATCAAACAAAGACCGCTGTGGCAGCAGAGCATTGTTCTCGCCCCCAAGGGAATGCTTAGCCCTTTATCCAGGTAGTCGGCATTTATGGTTCAGTGCAAACCGGACAGATCAACCTTTTGTGGTCAAATGCCCGTTGCGCGGAGAAACTGCGGCTCGTTTCCATTGGGGCCTGTCTGAAACAAATCAAAGAAGCGAGACTGGCACGCGGAGGAGCACACTTGGTCGGGGTAAGCGAAGATTGTCGTCGACAGCGATCACTTCGTCACGTTGGTTAGCCTGATGATTCTCGAGATGTCGACCAGTACATCATTCTTCAACAACAAAGGCGAGTCGCTGGAATATGTCCTCTTTGCGCAAGGCCCCTTACTAATAATCATACTACGGTCCCTGGTCCCTGGACCTTTCGGTGCCGAGAAGTGGCCATCTCCGCCAGCAACTAAGCCCAAAGTGCAGAAACGTCAGCACTAATTTCATTGGATCAAGGGGCGAAACTGGACAAACAAGAGAAACAAGACTCAAGCGATCTTCCAGAAGGCGCTCGATGAAAAGCTTCTTCGCGCGAAGAAAGGAATAGCCGACGCGCAGTCTCGACTGGCGGCAAGGACTAGGAGCTTCAATCAAGGTCGTGGATCGAGCGACGACTAATCTCACATCCTTTTATGTCGTTCAGCCCTCTCTCCTCTGCCTTACGCATACACTTCGCGGCCTGCCGTTTCTGTCTGCTGCAAGTATAGCCGAGGAGAATCCTCCGACTGCTCAGTTCCCCCCCTTTCTCTGCCGCGCTGCAGAAGAAGAATTGAGATACACTACGGCTCCTTTGGCCAGCGCGTCTACAACTCGCAGAGGTCTTTCGGTCTCACTAAGGACGAAATTCTACGCCAGCGGCTAATTCCAGTTTCACAAGCATTTCACCCTCATGGCGCTGTCCTAAATCATAACCCATCACCACCGCCCGGACGCTGATGAACTAATCAGCCCTATTCAGCCTGATGGGAGCTCGCGAGTTCATTGGTCACGACAGTCAGAACCGCAGTCGAGATGGCTTCCCTGGAGAAGAGAAAGGCGAGCAACAGGCGATTAACGCATCTCGGGGGTTCGTGACCAAGGCGAAGCTCATTATTACCCCACTGGATTCCCATCGACGCGAGGACTTTGCGTCGTATCCGTCAGGGGCGGGACCTCTCTCAACGGAGAGTGTTGATGAATGTAAGATCACCAGCTCTCCAGAGGCACAGATTTGAGTTGACCTTGGCAGACATTTCCATTCTCCGCAAGGAAGAACTGTGTTTGAAAATCACTCCCGATGTCGAGCATCCAGCGATATCAGTCGTCTTTCCGTTGTCGATGCAGGACCCAGGTCTCTTCAAATGTCTGCTCGTGGGAGCTCAAAGCCTGCATGACTGGCGTCGAGATCCCTTTCATGTCAACCGGTCCCGAACCATGCTCAAATTGCAGAACGAAGCCATCCTGTCTCTGCGAAAACGCCTTTCCGCACCCTCCGCCCATCTCGACGATGGTGTCTTGATTTCAATCACTCATTTGATGATCGCCGATGTACGTCAAACCAACCTATGGACTTCATGCATCTAACCTCTCTCAAGTCGTGTCGCAGGGACTTGACGTCTCTGAAATCTCATCTCAAAGGGGCAAGGCAAATCATCTCGCTACGTGGCGGACTGGGAATCACACCTGCCCACCTCGCGATCCGGGCTCTTTTGACGACGTAAGTCTTTGGCGGAAGGGTTGCGCAAGTCGAACTCGACTGACACTAGTGCCAGAGTTGAGTTTTACATTGCGCTGGGCCAATACCTTCAAATCAGCCCTGATGACCCGACTGCCATCCCTAATAACCAAATTGAATACATCCGACATCCATTCCCTCCGGACATCTGCCGCGATGTTGCTACCCTTCCCGTTGGCCTTGCTGAAGCAGCCCTTTCCGGGCATCTGAGTGTTCAGTGCATCAAGCTCCTTGCTTCGGTCGCATCATGGGCGCCCCTAGTCAATGGGCCCGCTTTTTCTGAGGACAATCAAGAGCAAGATCCGAAAGACCGATATTGCAGGCTCTTCTGTGAACCTAGAGAATGTTCCCGAAGCGCTATAATGATCCTGCTTGATCTCAAAAGGTCTGGCTTGCCAGTTGGCTTGGAGCATGTCATCTGCCTAGGCTTAGCCATCGCCGTTCGTCACCTCAGTGGCGAGAACCGTACCAACATCTTCGACACTGCCTCGCTCGCCGCGTTGACCAAGAGTGTCAAAGGCATCGACAACCCCTCCGTTTCAGACTCTGAAGTCATCATCTGGCTTTCCCTGGTCATCAGCTGGCGCACACAATCTGCGAAGCCTGTACCAAAGGCAGACGCTCTCTTGGACTACGTTCTGGATTCATTCCCAGCGGCTCGTTCCTGGAAGAAACTATCAGTCATATGTCGGAAATTCTGGTGGTACGAGCGTTTTCACGCGGAATGGGAGAAATGCTGGTCTCGCGGAATTGCACGACAGCAGCAGCGGTCGTTGATGGAACAATCTCGTACCGTGAGCTCCAGAAGACGATCATCGGTCGGCCAATCAGCGAGCATTGCAGCTCTTCAGAAATACACCGCGCATATCGAATCTGGGTGAAATACAGCCTCTGGTGATGGAAGTGACACGAGGAAGTCCGACCAAACTTAGTCCCACGGCGCGGGAATGCTCAGCAATTGCTCTGCCTTTGTCCCTCTGTCGACAACCTGATGCAGCCATGGGCCTCTTCCCAGCCTAGGTTGAACCCACTGACTTTCTTGCTCTGTGAGGAGCTTCTGAGTTCCGCTCTAAGTCTCGCATGAGTGTTGACCCTGAACCTCCTGCTAGGCGGCACAACTAAGCCAATGTTCCTAGTGTCTTCGTGACATCAGAAGGTCACTATGCTCCCTAACGACTTAACTAATTACAAAGGGACGGAAACGATGTCAACAATCGCACTGCATGTGATAGATTTGGGCTTTCTGAGAAAACACTCTGCCGGAAGACCCAGAAGTGCACATCCTGGCAGACTTGAAAGGGGGGAATATCGATTTCGACGGCAGAATTTGCCATGTTGGCAGCTTCCTCTCCAGGCGCAGTTGGATGACGGACGGCCAGTTGCTAGACACTCACCGTACCAGCACGTTCTTCACCTTGTCCATCCGTTCTGGCCGATAGTACAACACCATCTTACATCGAGCTTGTCCTGCGCGAAACCAGGGTCTCATCTTTCCCGCTCTCCCTCAGTCATATGGGCCTCATGAAGCACTGCCGTCTCCTCTTTAGGTTCGTCAGTTCCATGCACACCTCTGAGCCGTCGAGGTTTCCTTCTGCGCTGGGTCTTTTGTACGCTGGGGATTCTTGACACACCAAGATTTCCGAGGACTTGAGAGGGGAGCTATTTTCCAAGCCCAGGCTTTTCGCATTGGGGGAGGGATGGCACGCAAGACCCTTCTAGTATAGCGCCAATGCAGCCAGTTGCGCCCTCTTCTGTTCTCTTTGAAGTGGCGACTCGTTGAGAAAGAGAAGGAGGCTCACAGTATACTCGTGACAATGGTGAATTTCACATAATCGTGTTCGATAACGATGCTGGGAAGCATCTGGGCGCAGGGCGTGCGGCCGAATCAACACTTTGCGTCGGAGTTCGAGGTTCGCTGGGCTGCGGGAGGTAGAAAGAGGGCTCGATATTGTTGACCAAACCGTTGTCTAGGCCGTGCTCGAGGCTGTAGAGGCTCCTTGCTCAGTTAGCGCGCTATTCGAATGCAGTGCATCTTCAGGGGATGTTGGAAGTGCCAAAGTTATTGCTCCATGTGTTACGGGCTCGACGGGGAGTACGTGGCCCGTAGAACCAATGACACGGACGAAGCAACGGTTGCCGCCCATAGGACGTGGGGCGAGTCTTCGATAGACACCGTGTAGAGCGCTTGGTTGGGCGGTTACACGCCTTGTTCGGCCAGTGAAGGAGTCGCACAAAATAGCAACCGAGCAAGCAGGGCTCCTGGTCCCGCTTGACTATCACGAGAGCGGAAGCATAGAAAGGCTCATCGTTTATGTACCATTGCTGTCGCGTTGCTGGGAAGAAGAGATAGACAATTGCGAGAGAGCGAGCGAGGAAAAGAGAGCGACAAAGTCCAAGTTGGGCGTCGAGTCAAGGCGCCAACCGGTTCCCCTCCCTTGTACTTGAGTACTTGTGCTGCTGCTCTCGCGCGCACAACTCTCCTACTCCTCCTCCTCAGACTCTTCAGAATCCTCCCGCCAACTCTCCTTTTTGCAGCGCTTGTTTCGTATTTTGCTCTGGTCATCTTTCAGGTCTTGCTCGGCATCAGCATTCCCCTTCTTCCGTTGTTTCTAAATCCGTGGCCTGGGCCCGACCGCAGTTCAACCATATCATCATCATCACCATCCTCCTCCTCACAGGGCAGGCCCCACTCCCAGATTGCGAGTCCTCTACCGGCACCGAGATCGACAGCAGTATAATCTACGTTCTCCTCAAGAACCGCAAGTCCTCCTGAAGCCATGAGTGCCTCTGGCCAACATGGGAGGCCCGACGGCGAGATGTTCCTCAATCGCCCCAATGACCGCGACTCCCCCACCATTGTCGAGCCATTGCGCATTAATAAAAGAACCTCAAGCGCCTCATCAGGTGTACCCTCCATTGCAGGCAAGCAAAGCCCTGCTCCCCAGCCGCCTCCTCAGTCTACGACCGTCTACCCCATGCCGTCCCTCCCATACCCGGACGAGCAGGCTCGCCAGCAAGCACAAGCCTCCCGATCCAATGGCTCTCCTGCGCCATATCCATACCCGGATGTGAGAAGAGTAACGTCTCCTGAACAGAGCGTGAGTGCAGGCAGCGGGACAAGACAACAGGCAAAGAGGACGACTTCAGGAGATGGGCGTCCCGGGCAGACACTTGCTGAACGCCGTGGGACGGCACCAAAGCCTTTACCAGAGTCCCCGGGCCCGGATGCGCCAGATAAAGAAGGACTGTTCCAGCGCCCTCCTCAGCGTAGAGACGCTCCGAATACGGCTCCCCTCCCGAGCCAGAATGAGTCTCGTCAGCAGTATTGGCCGCCGCCCTCCGAGTCTTCGTCTGCTGCCGCGGATGCTTTGAGCAGATTGAAGATCAGGGACCCTACTTCGATCAACCGAATCAGTTCCACGGCTTCAACTTCCACCACCAGAGCACAGCGAGGATCACCTCCTCCGCCAGAAACGCCTATTGTTGGCCCGGGGGCTCGTCCGCAGACCGACATCGAAGCCCGATATGCGGCATCTGGCATTGCGGGCACCGCAACGCTGAACAGCTTACAAGCCCAAAGCCTAGCGGCCCAGCAAAGAGCCTCCCAGTACAGCGCGCAGCCTCCACCCGCCCAAACACAGAGCAACGCTCCCCCGAGGCGACCTTGGACTCCCACCGAAGCCCCAGGTAGCTCGCAACACCCTGCTCCCACTGTGTATCAAGGCATGGAAGAAGCCCGCCCTTCATCACCACCTGCTGCCGCCGTACCCACGCCTCGCTCAGCCACCGTTCAGTCTCCAACTCGGGCCCAGCACCCTGTCGAAACCGAGATATCCAGGCTCCAGCCGCATGAGGAGCCACCTCCGGCATACTCTCAGGTTCCTGGTGGCAGAACATTGGCTGGGAATGAGAAACAGAGAAGAAGTGTGGTCGGTGCCGCTGTGGCGCCAGCGACTTCATCAGGAGTCGCGGCCGCAGTCGCTCAACAACCGGCCAGTTTCATGCCAGGGACACAGGTTCCCAACCAAATGGACCATCCGGCGTTTGCGAACGACCCTAGGCAAGCGGTCCAGAGTCCACTGGCCCATCCGACCATGAACGGACAGATACCGCAGGCTCAGCCCGTCATGCCCCAGACGCCATCCCAAATTCCTCCCGCATCTCCACCGCCGCTCCCAGAGGGCTGGATAGCGCACTTGGACCCGAACTCGGGACAGTACTACTATATCCATTTACCTACACAATCCACTCAATGGGAGTTCCCCAAAGGCCCGACCCCCCTCAACTTGAACGAAACCCCATTGTCGCCGGTGGCCAGTATATACCAGAACCCACTAGCTTCACCTGGCTTATCTTTCACTTCCAAACCGCTGGCGTCGCCGGGTCTTCCCATGACTCCCGGATATGATCAGCAAAGTGTTATGGGTTTGCCCGGCCCAGCGGCCTTCACAGGTCCGCCTCCTAGCGCCGGCGTGGACCTGTACAAGGTGGTGGCTACGAATGGTGTATACTTTGGCCCTTATCTGCGCTACGTCAATATGGATATAGAGCGAGGCATTTGGTATGGATCTATAATGCTAGTCACGGACGCACCTCAGCCACCAACAATACACATCCATCAGAGCGTCGACCTGTCTCCCAATCCGCGCCAGTTAAAAGCCAACAATATCTCCTCTCATCAGCGGTGGACATTTTACAAGTACGACGTTGATCTGCGTATGGAAGATTCTGGGGCGGCGAAGTGGACATATGCCATCACTTCCCATCTTGGTTGCACGAGATACGAGTTTTTGGTGGCTGGCAAACACGAGACCAATTGGCGCTTCGTTTGCACTTCCGCAAATGACTTTTCGCTCAACGTAAGCGCCAACGAGCGCGCCAGACTGGGCGGAGTGGGTTTCATGTGGAAGGACATCATGCAGAAACACGCCGAATGTGGCGGGTTCCATTGCCAGCTCGGCTTGGGCAGTCAGATCAACGCCGACAGGCTGTGGAAGGAAATCCCATCGCTCAAACAGTGGCTGTCGACGAGCGGCAAAGAAAACCGAAAGAATGCTGTCTGGACAGCTGCGCATGAGGAAGACGTGACACATGCATATTTTCATTACTACACGAGTCATTTTGATCAGCCATATTTGCGTGAAGCTTTTGCCCAGATACCCCATATCCTGACGATTGACGATCATGACATGTGAGTTGATCAGTTGCGGTCGTCCGAATGAACCACGAGGCTGACGAGAGCAGATTTGACGGTTTTGGTTCTTACCCCGAATACATGCAATTCAGCAACATGTTCAAGAACATTGGACGGATCGGCATTGAGATGTACCTGCTGTTCCAGCATCACACCACCCTAGAACTTCTTCGCAACGTGTCCGACGACAGAGATCTATTTACCATTACAGGGACGGGATGGCATTTTGTCAAATACCTTGGACCGGCGGTCGCCGTCGTCGGTCCCGATACTCGAAGCGAACGGACGCTCCATCAAGTCATGGCAGGCCCAACCTACCAGGGGCTGTTCCCTAAGATTGCATTGCTCCCTCCGACCATTCAACACTGTCTCCTGATGATTCCGGTCCCCCTGATCTATCCCAGGCTGGATGCTGCAGAATCGATAGCACAGACCGTGGCTACCGGCAAGAAAGCGGTGACGGGCGCCTACAACGTGCTCGGCAAAGTGACAAGCTCCGTGGCGGGCGTGGTCGGAGCGAAAGGGGCGGTCGGGTCGGGCTTTGACTCGGTGAAACGTGCTGTCGGCAAATCCGGGCTAATGGGAGGTATTCTGAGCCCCTTTGGCGACATTGACGTTCTCGACGAGCTCAAGGACCAATGGACCCACGATTCAAAGGTGAGTGCAGTTGCAACTGTTTTCTGCTCGATTGTGCTTTGCTAATGTGATTAGGATCTGGAGCGGACGTACTTTATCCGCACACTCCAGGGCATCTCGCATCAGCGATCGATTCGCATGACATTTGTGTCGGGAGCGGTCAACACGTGTGGCGCAGGACTCGTCCATGATCCATCTCACCCATCAGATCACAAGACCATGTACCAGATCATCTCATCGCCGGTCGTGAACACCCCCCCTCACGGCTATGTCATGAAACTGCTCAACAACAACAAACCCCTCTACATCCCGGCGAATGGGCAGCGGTCAACCCCATCACAGCCGACCGACACGAAAGAAGACATGATGGAGATCTTCACGCACGACGTGACAGGACAACCCATCAACAACCGGAAGCTGATGGCGCGGCGAAACTATGTGGCGATTGTGGTGTACGATCCTGAAGTTGTCAACGGCACGTTTGGCCAGACGGACATGCACCGAGGATCTGGCAAGCTGAGTCTGGCGGCCGACTTTTTGGTGCAGGGAGAAGGCGCATATGGAAGCGTGGTCAAATACGGGCCTGTGGTGGTGCCGAGCCTGGAGTATGGGCGTTGAGCTGTGATAGAAGGGAGTAATGATGCATGGCAAGCGATTGTGATCTTGCAGTAACGAAGAGATGGACTATGGCCCTTTGCTAAGCTATCTGGACATGAAGCCATTGCAGTGATGTGTTTTGAGCGTATTCACGTCGGTTCTCCAAGTTGACTCTGATTATATGCTGTCCCAATATACACATGGAGTGTATGTGTCGGTATCCTACCCGCTAAGGTAGTTATACTCCCTCCACGCACGTGCGCATGTACATCTACTACCTCGTGCCCACCAACACGTAGATGATCTCCGACGGTCTCCCGTAGACATTGGCTGGTTCTGCGGGAATACCTCACTCCGATTCGGGGGGTTTCCCTCCCATTTTTTCTATCTCGAACTCCCCACCCCTCCGGGTCATCCCCTCCTTGGACGGTGATTGGGCGGCGATGACAAATCGCAATATTTGGAGAATATGGCTTGATATTCAACGTCCCGCTTCATGGGAGGGGTAGAGGAAGGATTTAAAGGATTTAAAAAGGTATTTATCGAAAGGATTTATCTTAGTCGTAGATCTTGCTTGGGCCTGTCACTTTCTCTTTGCTTGATTAAATACCTGTTAGCCCCTGTAATCTGATCCATTTCCTTCATCTATCCATCTCTCTATCCATCCATCTATCTACTTATCAATTGGGTCTTCTCCCTCATTCTGCTCTATACTTCTTCCCCCCCAGCACAGACACAAGACACACAACACCGGTAGCTGTCATCAGTCAGCCATGGCCGCCACCAACGGGACCAACGGCGCCGCGCCCGACATCATTCTATACACCAACCACGGCTGTCCGTGGGCGCATCGAGCGCACATCGCGCTCAGGGAGCTCGGACTCTCGTACAAGGAGGAGATCATCGACCTGGACCGGCCGCGGGATCCGTGGTATTTGAAGGTGAATCCGGTATGTCGTTGTCGTGTCCCTCGCTCCCCTCTAGTTGATATTTATAAGCAAATCTTGTGCGTTTGAGATGGGTTGTGTGTCTCTCGCTGCGTGGGGGGTGTTTTGTTTTCTTGCTGACCCCTCGCAACACCCCAGCGCGGCCTCGTGCCCAGCATCAACTACAACGGCAACGTCATCACCGAGTCCGCCGTGGTCACGCAGTTCCTCGCCGACGCGCACCCGTCGCCCCTGCTGCCGCCCACCGGCCCCGTCGGCGCCGCGCTGACCCGCGCCCGCGTGGCCTTCTTCGTCGACGCCTTCATCTCCAAGGCCCTGCCGCAGATCTTCGCCGGCCAGCGCGCGCAGACCGAGGCCGACAAGGACGCCGCGGCGCAGGACCTCGTCGCCGCCCTCGTCAAGGAGGTCGAGCCCCTCTTCAACTGGGGCGGGCAAGGGAACGGGCCTTATTTCGGGGGCAGTGACAGGTTGACTCTCGCGGAGGTGAGTCTTTTCCCCTCCTTTTTGTGTGTTTTGTGGCTGGTACTGCATCGCATGGCGTTTTGCGTGGTCCCACCATCCATCCCGCCCCTCTCGGTGTTTTTGCAAGGGATAGATATAGTGAGATATAAGGAAAGCGAGACGAAGAGAGAGAGAGAGAGAGAAGATACTAACCTCACGTACCTCGATCGCCCCGTAGGTCCAAACGGGTCCGTTCCTCCTTCGACTCCTCGCCTTCACCAAGCCCGAGTACGGGATCCTGAGCCCGAAGCTCGACGCCCTGCTGGCCGAGAAGACGCCAAAGTTCCTGGCCTGGGCGTCCAAGGTCGTGCAGGAGCCCAGCGTGACGTACATCTGGAACGAGAAGGCCGTGGCCGATCGGACAAAGGCCCGCTTCGCGAAGTTGGCGGCGGCAGAGAAGAAGCTGTAGACGGAACGGGGCGGGTTACTACTATTGCTGCTTCTGCTTCTGATAGTGGATGATGTTTTCGATGAGATGGAGTCAAAAAAATTCCGGCTGCTCCCACTGTTCTCACGCTATTTCCGAGATCTAGGGCTCTTTGTCTTCATTTCTGAGATAGACACGATCCAACCTTGCCCAGCCTTGTAGCGGAGATTTGGTGTAGTTTGTCAGTGTCGACCTTCCGAAGCTGGGAACGGCTCGGTAAACCTCGCCTACCACCCAAGGGCATCATAAGCTGTTGAGAACAGACATGGCAAGCAGCAGGCTTTGTGCCCGTTATTCATCTCTCTGCCTCAGTACTGACAGGTTCCTGATCCAGCCGGTCGGATCATCAGACTACGGCATCTCGGTCCGGTCCCTGCATCAGGAATCACAGTTCCCATCTCACCGGCAGGGGAAATTTCCAGTACCCGTGTCTGGCAAGTGTAGCCCATGAAGAACCAGCATGCCAAACGGATCACGAGTATATTCCATGCAGTAGAGCCTTGGCAAAACGATCGCTGTCGCCCAGCGCGGCTGTTGAACTGAGTCGAGAGTGGAACACATGCATAGTTATCATCCTTTCGTCGGTCGGCTTCCAGGATCGTAATCCCTCCGTTGCAACCACACCGTTGCTTGCAGCAAAGAGAAGCTGCACCCTCCTGATGAAACATGCGATGGATCGTGGGACCATGGGCAAGGGGTGCATCCTCTTTGCTGAGTAAGTAAGTCGTCATGTGGAGTGGTCAAGGGCCATTCATTCGTGTCTGGAATAGGAAGTCGTGAAATGGAGCGATCCTGGATGATATCGGGCAATTGGATACCTACTGGATCCAGATTGGCATTAGCTAGAGCAGCCAACGATATTTTGAGTGTGATACAGTAGATCTGAGCGAGACTTCGGCATCACAGTCCTGCAGTCGGATAGGTCCGTGATACTCATTGACCTCGAGGTTAACCAATCCCACTCTTCGGCGCCGTGCAGGGCACCGAGCGAGATGTTGGATGGACTGTAGAGAGGATGCATCACAATGCACGTACCTGTTTCGGTCACATTCCGCACCCACTCCAGCTCGCCAGTTCTCGTAAGCATTTGCTCCGCAGTCTTATTCGGTAGATGCGTCGCAGCCAATGGTCCTCAAATACCCCTGACGCAAATTCTCAAATCAGGTTGCTGTGTGGCCAATGAAGCGAATCGGCCAGGATAGATTCAGCCTAAACGAGGAGTCGACACGGACTGTGCCAAGTAAATGGATCTTCATTGCGCCTTAATCCGGATGCCGCTCCTCGAGAGGCCCAATGATCCGGCGTGACTGTCGTGTGTGATTATGTCTATCGGGAAACCGGGCAAACCTGTCCACGGAGATTTGAGATTGACTGTTGCATCGTGGTTGACAGAACGAGACTTGAAGAAGGTATATATACTTGGGATGCGGCGTCGGAAGAGGGACCCCGAACTTCTCATGCCATTCACATCAAGAGTACCGTTCTGAAGGCCCTAACACGCAATTTACAAACCATCTTATCAGCAGCTGCGCTTTGACTTCTCAAGATGCCGTATCTCACCACCAACGATGGAACTGAGATCTACTACAAGGACTGGGGCCACAAGGATGCCTCCGGGACCGTCGTGTTTTCCCACGGCTGGCCGTTGAACAGCGACAACTGGGAGAATCAGATGTTCTTCCTAGCCAGCAAGGGATACCGGGTCGTCGCCCACGACCGCCGAGGGCACGGCCGGTCCAGCCAACCCTGGACAGGCAACGACATGGACACCTACGCCGACGACCTGCTGCAATTGTTTGTACACCTCGACTTGAGGGATGTCATGATGGTTGGCCACTCAACCGGAGGCGGTGAAGTGGCCAGGTTCTTAGGCCGCCATGGCTCTAGTCGGGTCAAGAAGGCGGTTTTGGTCAGCGCGGTGACACCGCTCATGCTCAAGACCGAAGCCAACCCCAAGGGCACGCCGATCGAGGTCTTCGACTCGTTCCGGGCGGCCATGATCAAGGACCGCTCACAATTCTTTATTGATGTCCCCTCTGGTCCCTTCTTCGGCTTCAATCGCCCGGGCGCTCAGGTCTCCCAGGGTCTCATTCAGTCCTGGTGGCAGCAGGGCATGATGTGCGGGTTCGTCAACTCGTACGAGTGCGTCAAGGTCTTCTCGGAGACGGACATGACCGAGGACCTGAAGAAGATCGACATCCCTGTGTTGGTGATGCACGGCGACGATGACCAGGTCGTCCCGATCGAGGCGAGCGCGCACGAAGCGATTAAGCTGTTGAAGAATGGCAGGCTGGTGGTGGTTAAAGGGGCACCTCATGCGTTGCCCAACATCAAAGCGGACGAGGTGAATAGCGAGCTGTTGAAGTTTTTGGAGGAGAAATGAGCTCCAGTTTGGTGGCTGGATGTTGCCGGTACATGAGGATCGATAGAGAATTGACTTGTATGAGACATGAATCCATGATAAATGAATGATATGCAGCTCCAAAGGTTCAATTCACAATGTACGAGGGCGGCGAGAGATATTTTCCGAATACGGAAAGGTCAATGGCCAAAATCCAATGCCGTTTTAAAAGGTCGAGCTTCATTTTTCTGCATCTTGCATCACACACGTCGCCCAGTCATATACATTGTCCATTGACTGGAGATACTAGAATGCGCCATTCGGGACTTCAACGCGAAGTCCTCAAGCTATACCGAGCTTGTCTGCGTGCTGCAGGCAAGAAGCCAGAGGTTGGTCCCCTTCTTTCCAAGCCTCGCCACATCTGTCAGGCAGTCATCTCACACTCTACCTTGCTCCAACAGGCCACGAGAGAAAACTTCCGGAACGCGGCAAGGTGAGTTGGGACTCTTCGGCAGTCCTCACAAGTCAGATATTAAAGGGCCATTGGTTGATGAAATTATCCTCCAGACGCGAATTCCGCAAGAACCAGAAGGTTGACAAAAAGGACTTTGGGGCCGTCGAAGCACTGATCAGAATGGGAGCCCGCAAGCTCGAGCTCTACTCGTCGCCTGGCGTCAGAGACATCCATTGAGCCCAGCGACAGACAGGATTCATATCGATATGGGGGCCCTCTGGCCGTCTGCTTGTCGTCGGCCTGGCGTCGCCTGGCGAGATCACGTGACGCAGAAGCTTCTGGCTGTATGTCGAAGCATCTGGCGCCTTGTGGCAAATTCGAGCAACAGGCAGAGGATGCTTGCGTTTCCCAGAAGCATCCAGCACAAGAGGTGGCAGGGTCGACATAATCTGCTTTCTCATCACTCTCGACTGCCCCAGCACCTTCTATCAGGCAAGATGAAAGGTTATAAAATCTTTGTCGACGCAGGCCTTCCTGCAGTTCGACATCAAGCAAGTTCAGCAAGTCTTATGCACTCAACTCGAACGAGAATCATCCCTCAAGCCTCGAGAATCATCAAGCCAACGCTCTCAACCACCAGAAACATGTCGTTCCTCTTCCCAAGAATCGCCTTTGCGCCCGCACGCTGCGGTCCTACCCGCCGTGACATTGCTCCTCTCCTTTCCCTCTTCGACGACTCTTTCAATGAACTCCAAAGAGCCAGCCGATCAGCCCGGAAACAATTCAACCCCCGCTTCGATGTCAAGGAATCAAATGACTCCTACTCCCTTGAGGGTGAACTCCCCGGCATCGAGCAGAAGGACCTGAGCATTGAATTTGTCGACGAACACACCCTGACCATCAAGGGCCGCACCGAGCGCACCACAAAATCTGGTGCTCGTCCTCAAGCCGTCGAAGCTGAGAAGAAGGCTGCTATTGAGGAAGGCCCTGCATCTGAAACCAGTAGCGTCAAGTCTCATCAACCCACGGTCGAGGACGAGGAGCCCGCCAACTCATCTGCCGCCGCTGCTGAGGAGAGCAAGACAGAGGTCGCTGCGCCGACTCCTGCTCCTGCCGAGCAACAGCCGTCCAAGGTCGAGGAACAACAGCCCGCACAACAGCAATACTGGATCACCGAACGCAGTGTGGGAGAGTTCTCTCGCAGCTTCTGGTTCCCACACCGTGTGAACCAGGAGGCGGTCAGGGCTTCATTGAAGAACGGCCTCCTCAGCATTGTGGTTCCCAAGGCCGCACCTGAAAGCCGACGCATTGCTGTCGAGTAAAGGAGGCGACTGCAGACGACTATATCTGTACGACACCGGCATAAAGGCTGCATAGCATGGCGTTACCGGTATGACGGAACAGGTTCAGGAGTTAGTTTCTCACGGGACATGCAGGGAGTGACTGGGATGTATGAATAGATGATCTCGGCTCCCTTGCAGCTTAGGATGATGAAATTAGAAAATGCAATTCACTTGATTCTTCTCACTCACAGCTTAGTGTTTGTCCGATCTTTCCCTTTAATTTCCCTTTGTCTTTCCAATGTGTGTAGCTGTTGGAACTCAAAGTCCGACTATTTGCACATGTCTTTTTGGCTTACTCTCTTGGCGGCTTCGAGGCACATATTTCCGAAGCCAAATTGCGCCGTTCGTTGCATCCGGATCCTGTAGCTTCTCCACTCGAGTGCGGGAGAGGCTGGGAAAGGACAGAGTATTCCATCTGTCAAGAGTGCTCCAGTTAGTGTTGATATACGTAAGTGTCTCAAATATTGATGGAGTTGGGACGTTCGTATTCGCTGCTTACCCAGGGTGCCCAAAGCATTCTTTTGTCGGGCAGTTCCCATTTACAGCATGTGTCCGGTCTTGTGGTCCGTTGTTCTGATTCTGATAGTTAAACTCCTTCTCGTAGCTCCCTCTCACCGCGTTGTGAGATGTGGACCGTAGACACATTTGTAGCGCAGTTGAGACTCCACGGCGGACAAACCGCCATCAGACGTGCCAGCACCACCACCCATTGCGGCAAAGATTATCGGGGTTTCTTCGTGAGAGTGCTTAGCGGAAGTCTGGACCGTCAACTTTGAGATAAGAATGGGCACTGATGTGGGTGAGGATCGAGGATCTCTGGAGAGGTAGCCGGAGTGACACAGCGGATCTCAAGATTTGGGGCTCGTCCATTAGTGGCTGGATCGATTGCGTCAGGCGTGCCCCCCCCTTACGCGCCCCCAATGAATCAGCGAGTGCCTACTTCTAGGCCCTGGACCCTGGACCTTCTTTCCGGGGGGCGCCACGGTCGCGATGGCGGTGGTCCGATGGTGGGTAGCAGAAGGGTTTAGCGGTGGCTGATGCTTGGAATTAGCCGTGCAGAAATCCGGTTGTGGGCGAGGCCGGGGCGCTGGGCGCTGGGCTTCGGGTCTGTTTGGCTGCTGCGTCTCCGGGCGACCTGAAATTGTTTACATGGGCGAGTTTCAGCCAATCAAGCCCCTTCCCCTGCCCATCCTGCACTCGTCTGCACCTCCCGCACATGAAAGGATCAGCCCTGCATTATCCATAGCTTCTGAGCTTCCCAGGGCGACTTGGTCCTTGCGTTTTCGTCGCCATTTCCCCATGAAATATGAAACGGAACAATAGTCGAGCTCGTCACTGCGCTGCTGCACTGACCACTTCTATCCACCTCCACCGCCACAGTCCTCTCTCTTCCTCCTCCTCCTCCTCCTCCTCACCACCACCACCTCCACCCACTTCCTTCGTTTGTCCGGCAACAGATTACTCGATTCACCGACCTTGTGCTGCTCTTGTTGGATTTGTTTCGCCCCTTACCTCCTAATTCGTTACAACAATCCATTCCTTTGGGTTCTCACCGACCTTGTTTACCACCCGTCGTTCGTTTCAGAATCTCCACCTTGTTCTCGCCCGCCCGCCCGCCTGCGAACGGGCGACTGTCACCACCTGGGCCACTGACCTCATCTCATCTGCCCTGCTTGACAGATATACAATTCTGCTCTTCTGGTCGATACTCTCGGCCGTGATTCAGCAACCTCTTCACAACCAATCCGCTCCGTCGTCATCTCCTAGCGACCACCATATGGTTAATGGTTGAGCAATGGTGGCAATGTTATAACCTCCCAGTTGAGAGTAAGGCCCAGGAAGCTTTGCCTTTGCAGGAGTGAACACATGGGCGTTGTATAAAGTTCAACATATATTGCATCTGCCAGCATGTGGTTTGCAAGGAGGAGATCAAGTCTCGCTGCAGAGTCTGCGCAGACAGAACCCGAGCCTCGTCGAAGAAACCGCTTGTCTAAGCCCCCTACAAGCTACACAACCAAATTCCCCACGGGGATCTCGACGTCGAGTCTCAGAGTCCAGGCACCGCTTTCGCAGAGCCAGAATGCTAGCGGTACAGAGTTGTCGAGTCCATTGTCCTCCGGCTCGGGCAACGGAGCTCCGCGGCAACAGTCTCGCGGAGACACCACTGTCACAGACTCGGGTTCCCCTCTCCGCGCACACAAGAACGATTCGAGCTTCAGCGTCGCCTACATGGTCAGTCAATTAGAGGGCAAGGCTACTTCAGCTGGGACAAGTCCATCACGAACGATGCAACAACCGGTAGCACCCCCTCTGTCACCTATCAAACCACCAAAGAGGAAGTCTCTGCTGCTCCGGCGTTTATCTCTACAGAGGTCTTCCAGTATAAGCCGTACCCCCAGCAGCGAACGCATGAACCCCCTGGACTCCGATACGGCAGTGGTCCCGCAATCAGATGGGTCTATGGACAGAAGCCCCGATCCGGCGCCCATTCCTCCCATGCGTCGATCCTCATTTGCCCCTGGTACAGCGACTAGAAAACCATCCCAAATCGCCGCAAAACAGGAGATCCGGCAACCCAACCTGATTCAGGAGATGGAGGACCGAGGAGTGACTGCTTTCGATGTGGATGACTTTGACTGGCAACCTCCGCCTCCGAGGACAGTTGGCCGGGCTGGCACACCTTCAGATATCAGCTATTCACATCTCGGCGGACTAAGACACGGGTCACTGCAAATCGTCAACGGACGAGCATCGCCTACCTTCAGCGAAGTTTCAAAGGCGTCCAAACAGCTTCGACCTCCTCCAGCGCCACGTAGAGATGTGTCAAGCGATTATGGCGATGCTGAAGAAGATTTTGACCTATTGGTCTCTGCGTCTGGAAATCTATCCAACCTGAGGTCAAGCCCACCGATTATCAACGCCGAATATCGATACTTTAGCTGGGAGCATAATGATGACAAAGCTGGGCCACGAATCCATCCACTGCAAAGCGTCATGACAGCACAAGAAGTGGTCCAGCCCATTCCAGCTGACGACGAGGCTTCACTGATGGCCAACGAATATATCGCGGAGCTCGGGGCTGGGCCATTCGACCAGCAGAAATCAAGCTCTCCGGTCGGCACAATTAGGAGAACCAGGTCTGAAGGCTCGCTCTGGAGGGCGAGTTCCTGCTCGTCACTCCAGAAAACGCCTCCACCTGACAACGCGCCTAGGGATCTCTCCCCAACCAGTCCTTTGGAGAGGTCACCTTCTCCAACTGGTTCGGTGGTCCGCAAGTCGAGCTTTAGGTCCAACGAAAGCCGTGGTCGGCAAATTCAGCAGGATGACGAGACGACCGACGAATCTCGACCCTGTGAGAGTCCTATGAGCTGGCATTCCCCCATCGAGCCAAGGGGTTCGATTGACGAAGGCTTCCAATCGGCCGTCGAATTCCAACCCCAGTTGTCTAGCCATAGTCTGGCACCCCAGCCTCCTCGTGCACCGGGAAAATCAGATAGTGGTTACAGCTCAAGCAACTCGCTTCGATCACTTCAAGTAGCCCGACCCACCCCATCACCTTCAAAGTTCAGGGCTCTGCCAGAGGTGCCAGACGCACAAGTGGCTATCGATGAACCAGATCCGGGTCGTGTACCATCCTTCTCTGAACAGAGAACGTCCATTCTGAAGTCAAGGAGTGAACCTTATGTACCGACATTTTCCAACCTTCAACCCCGTGCTATATTGTCAAACCCGATGCCCATTGCCCCAGCAACGACGACTCCGGAACCCGAACCTCTTCCCACTAAGCCTGCGAAGGCCCGGAAGAAGCTGCTGAAGAAGCGACGCCCATCGAGCCAACCTCCGGGCAAAGTAGCAGTTGTTCGAGTTCAGTCATTCGAGCTGGACAGTGTTCCGCACATCTCCCCTGAGGCACAAGAAAATCTTCGGATACGCTCGCACGCCGTACCAGAACTGGAACAAACATACTCGCTTGGCAACAGAGCTAGTAGCTCGACCCTTTTTCTCCCTCTCAACGAGATCAGGTTTCCATCGCCTGCTCCCGAACAAATACTCCAAACTAAGCGACGTCGGTCTCGTAGCAGGCCAAGGTCATGGTTTGGTCGACCTAGAGAAGAAAAGGTGAAGTCAAGGGACCCTTCCGGAATCAGCCAGACTGAAGCGATGGCTATCATCAACGATCTGGGCACTGTCAGTACTTCACTGGGGAAAAGCCCTTATGAGTTTGTCGAGGCAGGCGGCGTGTCCAAAGGCTCCTATATTGCGACGATGACGACTGGCTTTCCGCAACCGCGGCCAATGATGAATGACGAGACCGCCGTAGAATTGTCGCGGTCTAGAAGCAGATCCATACGGGACCGAGAAAGTATCATGTCGGATCGGAGGTCTTCATTTAACGACAGAGGAGGCATACCAGGCAAGAATCTGAGGCCCGCCAGTTTTGCCAGTGATGCACCACCGATCACGCCGGATATGATAGAGAAGGCATACCGGACATCATCCATGCAACGACAGCCTTCGGTCAATAACGAGGTGGGACCTCCACCTCCTCCGCACTCACCGCGCCCTGCATACATTGATTATGAAGGGGGCTCTTCCGACCCCGTAGCTCCTCCTCCGCCATCTCATTCGCCTCGACCGATTGATATTACTCCAGATCCGTGGGCTACGCAGGCTGCGGTATGGAGGGCTCGAAGAAAGAGTGCGAGTAAGGCGCTAAGGCAACAATCTGGGGAGGCGCGAAACTATCACCAGGATAACGAAGAGGCCGCAGATGAGTTGCTCTACCCGGTTATACCTCCACGACATGCAGTGCAGCCGCTGGAATGGAAGCAATGCCACCCTCCTGACGAATATCGCGCCTCTTCTCATGAATATTATGACGCATACCATGAGTCGTCTGGACCTCAGCAGCATCGCTACCCGTCGTATACGCCATCTTATCGTGATCCTTACGAGTCTGGATCTGCATATGTGAGACAAACTCGACGGAGCTCCAGGACGTATGACCACCGACAATCTCAAGGCTACGCTGTGCATTCACGAGGGCCATCTCCAGGCGGCCCCTATTCTTCTCGCCCTCAGTCGTATGCCAACAGCGTCCGCAGCTTTGCTTCGTCGTTGGCCGAGGACTTGCATCCAGCCGAGCTGGAGAGGCAGCATCCGCCACCGGCATTCGGGCGGTATTCGGGAGGGCTCAACTACGGCTATGAACATGGGAACGGATTCGGCGGTTCAGCTGGGACGAGGTCAACGAGTGGGAAGGCCGAAGCGTCGTGGAAAGGAGTTCGGCTTAGAGCCAGCGTCGGAGTCGATCTCGGGGACGTGCCTCTGGGGACCGTGGCGAGGGGATGAGCATGACGTGATATGGGCTTTGGGTAATGATGGAGACAGATTGGAGAAACAGGCCGAGTCGAGAATATCACGAAGGGGTTTACGAGATTCTTTCATCTGGAAAAGTTTTGGTGTACCCATCTCGGCATTGTTGGCGTCTGTATTGTGAGAGGGCCTCGTAGGAACATGTTTTGGGCAAGTTTGGTACTTTTGCATTTAGCACACAGCCTAGGGAGGCTTTGGACGGGTTGATCAATTCATTTGCGTTGACGTCTGTTCGAAATAGATGCTTGTTTCTGGTCTATCCGCGACCCGATAGTTGAGCTCTAGCACAATTGGCGAGGCCGTCTGGATGGGATGGTTGGGTGTGACATTGAATTCAAAGAGACAGGAGCAGCGGCAATAGGGTTTTGGCCCCTTTATGACGAAGAGTTCCTTACAAAGTCTATGCCAGGGGATGTCGCGCTGAGGAGCATTGTGATTGGTGTTGATGCCGCTGGACGTAAACATAACCGGCCGTTGAGGCTGCATTCGGCGCAGTCTATTGGCGACTTGTATAGAACGACCAATGTGATCTTTGGTGGTAATGGGCTATTTTCGTGGCACACAGGCCGGTGACAATGGTGCTTGGGAACGAGGGGTTGTGCACGCGTGCTCCATCTCACTATCTTTATCCTCGTCTGCAGGCAACTTGGATGGAGGAGCGACGCGGAAGCGACACACGGCTGCAACCATGTCCAACACCCTGAACAGAGCTTAGTCGAGATCCTAAAAGTCGGTACCGTCTTCGCTTCCACCTTCAATTTCCCCGATTGTCTCTCCAACACTGCTTGCTCACTATCTTTGTGTCTCTGTTCCCTCTTTTGACCCGGATTGCGCAGTCTCTCGTTGTCCGATCTCGCCGTCACAGACCCAGTCGTCTCTCCTTCGTTTCCTGCCAGTCAGCTATGGCACAAGTCGAATCGCCCGAATCGCCCAAGTCGCCGACCCTGCCTGACACTCTCCTGTCGGTCACGGCCCTCGCTCGCTTCGAGTTTGAACCGGGCAAAGGGAACGATGGCACCAAAGTGATGATGGTTGAATGGCAAGACGATGACGAGGCAAGAGATAAATCAGGCCGATGGCAGGTCTCCTGGCCCGGCAAACGCACCGTCTTTCCCGCAGACGACAACCCCTCGGACAATATCCGTCGTGTATATTTCCTGCTGCCTCCGGGTGCCATTGTGCCACCTCACATCACTTTGGCGTATCATCCTCCCATAAACCCCACCGAACCTACCGAGACCCCAGCGGTGGAGCAAAAGGCTCCTCTGAGAATGACAGTGAACCCGCTACCTGCTATCTTCACCCCCGAACTCGGGGCTACGGCGAAGGCCAGCGGGAGGAAAGGGGTGCTGCACACCATATGGGCCAAGAAGAGGCTTCAAGTCTTGGAGAAGGAGATCAAGCAGGAGGAGGAACACAACCTCGAAGGCATCGCCTTGGAAATGGCACGGTCGGAAAAGTCTTGGATCGAGAGCAACTTCGGCCTGGCTCCAAAACCCCCGAGCCTCGATCTGAGCAATATTTCCAAATCTCTAGGCCCCACGAGTCCAGGCATCCAAAGTCCCAAGTCTCCTGGTGGACGAAGGCTGAGCGAGAAGCTCAAAGGCTTGAGCATTGGTACCAGTGACAGGGACCTCAATGCTAGGGGCCTCAACACTCCAACCCGCGAATCCCATCCTCTCTCACCCGAGGCATCGGATATGGCATACTCGTCGTTTAGTAGCTTTCGCAGTGGCCCAGGGTCCGCCTCATCTGCCACCACTGGCAAAAAGATTGTCGCTCAAGCACCGCCAGACTTTATCAGAAAACAGCAGGGACAATCACCCGCCACTGCCTCTCTGAACTCCATGAGCCAAGCAGCGAAACTGGACGACCCTGCAGACGATGATCTATTTGCGGTCGCACTGAGTCCGAGGTCACCAGATGGCCCAAAGAGTCCGTTTTCAATATCGAGCGCGGAAGTCGGTGCCTTTGCAAAGATCAAGGGTGAGCGATGAGGAAACACCACCCTTGATATGGTCATGACAAAGTTTACAACGTGAGACGATTCATAAACGATACTAGAAACCTATTTGAAGACTGCATAGAGTTGGAATTCCAGCCCCAGATCATGAGAGCCACGACCCTTTATGTCCAACATTCACCCACGACATTCAACTGAACTCCCAGCTGCTGAATGACTGCGATATCCTTGCCCTTGGCTGATGTCGGCAGCCGTCCATGCGAAACTTCCCTAAAAAGATGCCTCCATCTAGAAAATAAACAAGACAAGATGAAATTCTAGAAACCATCCCGAAATTATGCAAACATTGCTGCCGCAATCAATCCCACAATAGCCATCACAGAGCTTCCCAATTGGTTCGCATCACCCTGGAATGTCGATGCTGAGGGCGCCGGGGCGCCAGCGGAGGTCGAAGTTGGCGAAGGCGGCACATTTCCACCAGGCGGAGCGGTATAGCTTGTGCACCCGCTTCCAGGACATTGAGCGGTGGTAGGAGCCGGGGCCATGGCGGTCTTGGTGCAACCGCAGACCTCGTCATACCAGGTGTATTGTGTGCCGGCCAAGCCTGAGCCGGTGGCAGCGGCTGTCGCTGGCATCTCGGATGTCTTTGTGCATCCACATTCGTGATCCCAATATGTGACGGTTAAGGTTGGGGCGGCTGTGGTTGTAGCGTCGACAGTGGCAGAGATGGGATTGCCGGTGACCGTAGCATTGGGCATCGATGTTGCCATTGAAGTGGGCATTGAAGTCGAACCAGAGGATCCCGCGGGAGAGAGGCTCACGCTGAACAGCGGAGAGAAGTCCATGGCACCACTCTGAACCAACGCCAGGGCATAGTTGCCAGCAACAAACCCGTCGGGGACTGCGACGGTCCAGTCATACTCTCCGTCGGTGGCCGCTTTGTTTTCTGTGCGACAACCGTCAGTCAGTCCCAGCCTCATATCGCTCTGTACGTTCGACTTACCGAAGATTGGGGTATTCCAGCTCGTGTTCCCGAGGAACAAGGAGACGGGGGTCCCATCGCCAACAGTCCAGTGGATCGGCCAGACTTGACCGACTGTAACGGCATTCCACGCCATGTCGGGGGTAAAGGTGGATGTTTGAGCCATTGCCTTGAAGGCGAAGGTGCCAACGGCGACAAGCAAGAAAGAACGCATCGTCGTTCGGGGATATGCAAGTTGCGGAGATGGAGAAATGAGTCTTTTCCAGGCCGTCAAGGTGTGAGATGAACTGTTGCAAGATATGGAAAGGAAACGGCAAACGAATGACAAAGTGCAAAGGAGTGACTGAAGAGCAAAGAGAAGACAAAAGAACTGCCAGAGCACGAGCGGCGAAGCCACGTAAATGAAGGTGGCCGGCGATGCCAATGTTTGTTGTTGCCGGTGGTTGAACACGGTGCATTCCAGTGAGGAATGGACTCGGATCAAACTGGTTTTGATGTCGACGGCTCGCACAGGTCGCATTCCTGGCGCCCTCGACGAATGACAGGACGGATCAACCGTCCAAGCTCAAACCGCCAGGCCTCACCTCTGATCTGGAGTTGCATTGCGTCGTCTGGGCTCTGGCTGGTTGTCCGAGCTTGGAATGAGAAGGATGATTGCACCACGGCCCTGACGGCCAGCCAGCCACCGCAAAAGCAGGGAGCATGGTTGGCAGAGGTTGATTGCGGGCGACTGCTTGGATCTACTCGGTACTGATGCGCTTGTCGCGCGCGGCTGAGGTCGGAGGGAAATGCTTAGAGCTTTGGCCATGGCACAAGGGAGGCAGGCAATCGTTCAAAGAGAGAATAAAGGGCCCGGACTGATAGATCCCATACGAACATGCATTACGGAGTACATAAAATGCACTGCTGCGGGCCACCAATCTCTCAGCCATGGCACGGCGATCTTGCACACCGAGCTCGACAAACTCCCTCTTGTTGTCCTTGTTTCACAGGTCCGCTCCGAGCTGATCTCGCAGGAGCATGCAAATGCGCTCAGACGGTACCCAGAACACGTCCGACGCCTTGCTTCTCCCATGATGCCATCCATGCCCAGACTGTTTCCCAACGAGTGCCGAAAACAAAGTCACCTTCTCTCCTCCTGCGTCTATTCAGAATGGGCCCATCCCGTGGAATTCCCGCACTGTCTTTTGTCCCGAGTTCGGGTGCCTGATGCGGAAGAGTGCCAGAGGAGGACACTCTCGTTTGGGTTGTGCTTTGGAAATGGTTGACAAGTGATTATTAGGTACATAGTTGATACAACTCGGGCAAGGGTTTCATCATGTCCCATCCATGTCCCCGAAATGAAAAAAAAAAAAAACCGCAAGGCCTTGTTCTTCAACGGCATTGCAATTGTCATAGCACGTCATGTCATGCCATGCCATGACCCTGCCTTTCCTTGCTGTGCTGAGAAACACCGTCCCGCCTTGCAGCACACTTGCCCGTATGAGGGATCTTGTTGACCGGCCACCTGGCGCCGCTACAACAAGGCAACAACACCCACCACGGCGGCCGGCACCAAGACACCCACCCCCGACAAGGCGACGGTACCAGCCGCGCCACCGGTGCTGCTTCCACCTCCCGCCGTTGTCGCCGCCGAGCCAGCCGCCGTGGTCGGGGTGGACGCGCCGCTGTCGGTACCTGTACCTGTCGCCGTGGCGGAAGCCAGGGCGGTGCTCGCCTCAGAGACGTACGACGAGAGCAGACTGGCGCCGTCGCCGGTCAGGGACAGGGCGCTAGTGGCGCTCTGGATGGCGGACTCGACGCTGGTGATGAGCGGCTCGGTGGCGGTGTCGGTGCCGATGACGGACGCGACGCTCGAGACCAGCGAGGTCGCGTCCGAGAGGAGCGAGTCGAGTTGGGCGTGGACGAGGGGACTGGCGAGAGCCAGTGTGGCGAGGGTGAGGCTGGGGAGACGCATATTTGTTCTCTGGTGTCTAAGCTTGATGCGAGAGATGGTCAGGGAGGTGGTGTGGTGATCTTGTGGAACTGGCGCTGCTGCTCCACGAAAAGAAGATTGGCGATATGATAGATGATAGACTGGTGAATGGATGGATGAGTGGATGGAGGTTAGGTAAATGAGTGACAGTTTCGTGTGGTGGGATGTTGTTCTCAAACAAGCGGTACCTTTGATACAAGTCTCCCGATCCACGACGGCAATGAAACACGATAACGCGAAGTAGAGCAGTGTGTGTTGTGTGATAAAGGGGAGTGAGTGGACGAGAAAAGGACAGAACGAAGGGGCAATACGTGATACTTAACTCTTTGCTCTCCCTCCTCTCCCCTTGTTATATCTGGGATCTTCCAAGACACTCTCACTCCCACATCCATCGTCACCATCATCATTCCTCTTCTCCCTTCCGTTCCTTCTCCATTGTTCTTGGCTCAAATTAATGAGAGGGGCCGATCGTTGTCTCCGCAATGGATACGGAGAGCCCCTTGCGACTGGGGTGTGCGCTGGCCAAACACCTAGCCATCTACCAGCAGCTAATGGCCATCCAGGTCTCTGGCCCGAGTATCCACGAGGAACCCCGTACCCAGTATTGTACCCCCACTCCCGTAGGCTTACTCGTAACTCGCAATGTAGCGGTTCGTGTTTGATGTGCAGGGGGCTGTGTAGGTGTGGAGTGCTGTTGAAATTCTCCGGGCGATCTCTGTGGGGGAAAAGGGGGTTGCGGTAGGGGGGATTATGGCGTACGAGCAGAACTGAGGCTGAGGGACGAGGGCGACGACGTAATACTCTCGTATTCGCGTGCTGAAGACTGATGCCGAGGCTCTTCTTTTTCCAGATCGTGACTGCTATGGTAGGTGGGAATCTTAGGGGGAGAAGAAAGAGACGCAACCCATGAGTCTGGAGTCAATGATGGTGGGAAATATCACTGTCGTCGTGGGCAGTGCCTTTCCATTGAGACTTGGCAACACTGCACTCCGCACACCGTGAACTCTTCGACTGATTCTTCTCTACTACATACTCTGTACTCTGTACAGTCCTTCGCCCACCTCCTCCGATCATCGACACCTACCTACCTACCTGCAATCGAATGAACTCCTAACATCTCAGACGGATCCTGAACTCGTGTCCAGCCACAGAGTGCCTGGCCACCTATGATTGAAGAAAGAGTTGGAAGTACAGGCCAGCCCAGTGCTTGACAAGGCTGAACCAGGGTCGAACCACATCCAACCACACCGGTTTTAGGGTGACCAGCGCAAAGACGTAAAGAACTGCTGGTGGATGAATAGGCACATCAAGATTGAAATCACTCATCTTAGATTGACTACAGCGACACTACCATATCGCATTCCCACACCACATTGGTTAGGCCTACGAACCCCGACACGATCCATCTAAACACTCCTCAACAGTTTCCCACCACACCACTTCTCGCACACCGGATGGAAGTGGCCCCCTTTCCTCCAACTGCTCTGCGTACTATTATTTCCGACGGAGGTCCTTACTCGGCGTATCTGAATCCTCCGAGTTTTGATACAAGATCTTCGGACTGGCAACATGAGTGGTCGGACGGGGAACGGCTAACGGCAATGGATTCGGTTGCGCTCGCGGCATCACTGGCGCTGGGGACTGCACCCCTCGGGCAATTCTTGCTTGTCGCCTCGCCTCTTGCCTCGCTCTCTGTGCCAAGACCCGCGTATTCCGCTGGTTCAAATAGTACACCTTGAGCGCGTCCTCCAAGTCCCACCCTCGTGGCCGACACCGAGACGTTAGATCCCCAGTAATATGGCGATACCCTTCGTCGGCGCCGTGCCCAAGTTGGTTGCCTTCTCTGTCGAGCGCCATGAGTTTGTTGATCAGGTCGTCCTTGTTGTACCTCCTCCCCAGAACTTGGTTCAGGTCCGGGAACCCGCGATTTCGGAGCTCGCGCGCCAGTTCGTCCACAAACATCAGCTCATAATCCGCACGAGTCGGGACAATCGCGTAGCGTTTTGGAGGAGGTCGATTTCCGGCCAGCCGCTGTCTTTCGCCCGAGGAAAGGGTGTCCTCGGAGTCCGAGTGCGTGTCGTCGCTGTGCTCTTCTTGATTGTCTTCCTGGCCCCTCGTTCCACTTCCTTGGCCCTGCTGATCTTGACGACCTGCCATGTTTCTATCAGTCCCTGTGCCGTCGTACTCCAGAAAAAGAAGTCGCAGCTCGCTCACTGCTCGAATGACCCGGTTGAATTGGTGACGAAAGCCAAGATTTGGTCGAGGATGCTTCTCTTCAAAGAACCGATATAGTCGTTCATATTGCTGTTTCACATCGGCCGCCGCTCTGTTGCAGCGCTTGATGGTGGCAGGTACGTCGGGGTTTGGCAGCCGTCTGTCAGCTCGCGTTACTGCTTCCATGAAAGGCATCGGGGCACCCTTCTCCAGCAAGTCCAGGTACTGGTTCCTTAATTTCATGATTTCCTTGGCCAGATCATCGATTTTGCTACCCAGGCGCTTCCGAGACGCGGTGTCAGTGATCCAGTTGGGCGGTAGCGCATGCATGTCAGTCGCAACCTCATGGACTCCAGTACCAAGATCTCGGAATTTGCTTTCAAATCCTTTGGCAAACACTTCACGCACAAATCGATCATCGTCGGGTCGCGGCTCTTCTCTTTTTGGACGTCTGTGGCTGCCAGGAGGGGAAGGGTTGTCGTCGTCCGTAGCTTGATCCGCGTCGCTGGCTTCGGAATGTTGCCCTTCTCGGTTTGATGGGGGATTCGAGCTCTGATTTGGTTCGTCAACTGGATTCTCATCCTCATAAATATCGATAGGCGACGGCGCGCTGGAGCGTATAATGTGGGTACATCTACACACATGATGGTACTGGCCTTCATACGTAGGGCAAGGATGACATTGTGAATGAACTGGTTCAGGAGTAGGAGTCCCGTGTGGAGTCTGAGAAGGCGGAGGAGGCGGAGGAGGCCTAGGCGTACGGTTTTCCTGGTTGGAGTTGTTGCGAGGAGACTGAGGAGACTGAGGAGACTGAGAAGGCTGGCAAGGCCCAGGCACATGGTTTTCTTGATTGGAGCTGTGGCGAGTGGTGTTGTCGCTCCCACCATCATCGTGAGTTTCTTCACCCACTGGAAGTTCACCTAGCACTTGTCTCGGCAAAGCTTGCTGGTGGCCGTGATTCTGATCATCATCATCACCACCACCATATTCTCCAGGTGGGAGATCTTCAAATATGCCAGAGATTGGTTGAGCCGGACTATCCATTCGGTATGCATATATCTCTGCGTTGTTATCGACCGAGGTCCGTCCGAAGAGTTTTTGATATTGATTCATCTGTCTAGCAGCTTGACTAGAGGTAATCCCCCCTGAACGAAGGTATCGGCGTGGTGCAGTGGCGGTATCTCCAGCTGAACCAATGTTTTTGTCTCTCGTGGATATTGGGTACAATTGTAATGCCATCCCGACATCGTAAGATGTTTGCTTCAACAGCCGCAGCATCTCGTCTTCGTCGAAACGTACGCTGCGACCATATTTATTCTGGATTTCCCTTCGGAAGATCTCCATCATCATCCGTCGATAGGCCAACGGATCGAAAGCACGTTTTCTATAGGATGATGCTGCTGGGCGGCTCGATGGGAGTCCTCCACCTCGAAGCTTGAGGTTTGGAGTTGCTGCAGAGGTGGACTTGTGCACTCTGGCTTTTGAATCAATGGGAAGAGGGGGTGGTTTTAGTGCAGAAATTTTTTGCGAACGACGCGAAGGAAGAGGGTTGATTTTGGGATGTTTGGCATTGGGGACATGTCGTCTCTGTGGAAACAGTCGCTGTATCGCCACGCGAATCCATTCAAACGGACTGAGCGTCCTGTTCGGTGCTGAAAGATCATCGGGATCGCGAGCATGACGAGGAGGTCGATTGATGAGAAATTCGACACGTGGACCTTCTGAGACCATTCCTGGTTGGCCCATCTCTCTGGAAATTTGCTCGTGCTGGACCACTTCATGAGCACGCGTCTCAGGAAATGGGTAGAAGACGTAGTCAAAAGCGCTTTTCATGTTGACTCCCTCGGGATACGGAAACAAGCGTTTATGTGGTTTCTGAGCCACATCTCCAAAAGATTCGCCGCTGTCGACGCCGACAAAGGATGACCGTGATCTTGCACTTGAGGGAACATTCGAGTAGCTAGCTCGCCTCTCAGCGGTCTGCGGCAAAGGCGGAGAGGGAAGATTCAACGCGACGGTTTCCCATTCTCCATAGCCGACATCATGCTGCCATCTTCTGACTTTGACCGGCCCACCACTAATCTCGTTGAATCGTGCCACCGCAAAATGGATCTTGGAGAGGGTGCTCGTCTCAAATTTGCCTGTTTGAATGAATTCTCGTAACGCTTCTTTGGTGTGTCTTTCCAGAGGCGCGTCTCGTGGTCGCTGGAGGGACTCATATTTGTTGCCTGGATCGACCTGACACTCGTAAATGTATCGACAGTATTTTCCAACCATATCTTCAATGCTTCTGGGATTGGCCGCATCCGGTGAGCTGATCAGGCGTTTGAATTCACGATATACTCCCGGTAGCGCGAAGAATTTGCGATCGCGCTCTATGTTGGTTGGAGACGTCGGAGCTCCTCCTTGCTCAAAAGCAGCGAAGGCAGTCTTCAAGCCTCTCCAGATCAGGAGCCACAGCTGTTTTTGTTCGGAAGTGTAAGTTGAGTTCTGAAACACTTCATGCAAACGAGCGCAGCGGTCCAACAAATCCTTTGCTGCATCATCAGACACGAGCACCGGAACGCTGTCATGAGCAGTGTCTAGGAATACCAGCAAGGGGTAGCTCGAAGATGCAGTGCGAATATCTGACACAAGCGAAGTAAATGCTGGTTCTAGCAAGGCTGTGGGATTCTCCTTCACCTGAGACTCGGTACGGAGGAGCTTGCCGATAAGAGCGCGATGAATAGCTAGGGCCCAAATGCTGACGAATGTTTCGTATCGTCTTCTGAACGTTTTGAGCGAACTGCGGACCACGAAGGAAGAAATTACCTCTTCGGGTAGATCCATGATGTTTTGCAGACAGGTGTTTATAAGTCTGATGTCTTCGAAGACGGTTGCGGGTCCTTCGACAAGCTTCTCATCGGTCCATTTCAACAAGTAGTCGATCATGTGTGTAATCATGTTCTCCACTTCTTCCGGTGAGCTGTCACCGTCGATCTCAGGTAGCTCGAGGACCTCAAGAGAGTTACGTTCCGGTGGGATAAATCGATTGATCGATGCATGGTTTAGGCGGCCGTCTTCGAGTCTCTTGATGACTGAGCGTAACCGTGCGAGCTCACCGTAAGGTTCATTCGTTCCCGACGCTGCCAACAGACGAATATTTCCCCTCGAGGTCGGCGACTGACGTGGCCGAGGGGAGACGTTGGGAGCGAACCCTTCCAGCTGCGTTGTGGTGCCGATTCTAGCCAATCGACGCGAGGATTGGACCAATCTCGATTGTACGTTGGAAGAAGCATGTGAAGTTCTGGCGGCTCTAGACGACTGGCGCTTGGAGTCGCTGCGATACGCCCTGGGAGCCATTTTCTTTCACGACGAGAGAAATCAAAAACAACAGGTGCAAAGGAACCGAAGGTGGCGAGGATGAAGGAAATAAATCAAGACTTACCTTGAGTCTGGCTCAACAAAGAGCATCTTCTGTAGCTGGCCGCGTGCATCAACGACGGTCCCAGCAGCTGCATTCGGTGGTTTAGACATATTGAAAGCGGCATTGTAGTATCTTCTGGACGGACGCAGTTGTAAATCCGGTTTGGGAATAGTGCACACGAGACGCATTGTCTCCTTCAGAGCATAGCAACCAGACTACATTCCAACAGCAGCCAGGGTCCAGGTGTAGTGGCCTGTGCTCCAGGCCCGTTCAGTCTTCAGCAGGGTACTTGTGGAAACCTGCGCTACGTGTGGGAAAGTATGACTTTGGTGGGCGGGAGGGTGAGGGTGTTCCGCAAGGACCCGGACACTCAGCTGACGGACGGTGGAAGAAGCCGTCGCAAAGCGTGCGTGAAGGTCGCTGTAGCCCCGGAAAAGGATGTTCCCATGTGCACATAGTGATGCCCCTTGGAGAAGGTTTGTTTATTATTCACCTGGCCTAGCCGAGAGTACTCCGAAAATGCGTGCTAGGGGCTGTTGCTGGTGGATTCAGCGGTGAGACCAATGTACACCGGCGTGAGTGAGACTCGTAGGTAACAACAAGAACTTGCGAAGAACGTCGCGTGTCAAGTGGCGTGTAGAATCCGTAGGAGGGCGCGAGGGCGTACTGAGAGTGGCAAAGTGAAGATGGGAACCTGTTCCCGAGGAGAGGCGTGAAGGAGAGAGGACAGGTGAACAGGGCGCAGATGATGGCCGATGGTAGATGAAGAGAGGAATGACTGAAGGAATGATTGGAGCCCGGGGATGCAAGGGTGTCGATGTTTCTTGATGCCTGGCCGCCTTTACCCCACACTTTGTGACTCTCTGCCAAGGCCCAGGCATTACAGTAGGCGCCGATCATTGGCCTTGGGCGCCAGGGCTCTGCTTCACGGGGACCACTAGGGGCTAGCGACGCCCAATCTTAGGCGACTGCAGGCTGTGGAAGAGCCGGCAGGGCCTGGGGATGGCTCAGCGAGCTAATGCGGCCCCTTCCCTTTGGGTGCCCTTGAGCATTTAAGACCCTCCCCGAACCCAACTTGCAGCTTGCTTCCGCGTCCCTAAAGCCCATCGACCAACCAATTGGACGTCTGGCTCGGACCTGGCTGCGTGTTTTCGACCCCGATGCAGCCCAGGAAAAGGAAAGCGAGCTGGGCCCGCTGGTAAATCTGGCATCTGAGCATCTGCTCTCCAAGCTGCAAGTGGTGTGTGTGACTGAGTGTGTGATGCGTGTATGAGTACGGAGTAGGTCTGTGCAGTCTGGCCCTCTCCTCCAGTTGATTTCTTATGTAAACCATCGTTTCTCTTCCCCCCTTCACTTCTACTTGCTCTCCTTCTATCTCTCTCTCTCTCTCTCTCTCTCTCTCTCTCTCTCTCTCTCTCTCTCTCTCTCACCTACTCAAAGCCATTCTCATCCTTCTGCTCAGTCTCCCAGCCAAAAAGTGCCCATCCATCGGCCCATTTGATCGTCGCTACCGTCCATTGTCCCCAGCCGTCCCACCTGAAACACAGATCCCCCACCAACCGCAGGCTGCTCACGCTACAATGACGTGACTGGGGGGACAACTCCTTTGTCCTACAGACCTGACCTTCTGTTAGTCCTCGGACCTTCACCTCACGTTGTCAAGAGTCCAGCTACAATCGGCCTATACAAGATACAACCTTCATACTTCGAGTTCCATCTCCCTCAGAGGCCCTACGCAGCTCCATATAAACCAGCTTCCTACAATGTCTGACCGCAACCCTGCACCGCCGTCTCCTCCACCTCCACAGCACCGTCGTCGCTCGTCCTTTGTTGATATGTTCAATCCACGAACAGGCTCCTCTCCTTCTACACTCTCCTCGTCCCCTCCCTCCTCGGGCGTTCCATCCACTCCCACCGTGCCGCAACACCGAAGAGGCACCTCCATCACCGCTCTTGGCCTGACTACAAACCCTTCCAACCAAACCCCCTTCAGTGCTTTCGGACTGCAACGACGAGCGAGTGTTGCAACGTCGTCCATATCAAGCTCTCCAGATTTCAAAAACAGCTTCGGGGATGAGCCTGCCGTCATTGAGGAGGATGACCCCTCGCGAGCCACCTTACACCCCCCCTCTTCGCCATCTTTTGCTAGACGGGTCAGTTTTGGAGCACAAGCTTTAAGAGATGTTAGACTAGGAGGGAGCCCTGGTGCTGCTGGCGGTGGTAGGCGCCCCTCCTCCTCCCTTTTCACTCTAAATGAGAATTCCGAGAATGCCACTCCATCACGTCGAGCTACGTCGGGGACGGCCAAGACTGCAGGTAAGAGTCGAGGCCTGTCCCTTTCATACCGTTCTGAATTTCTCATCCTCCTTCTCTGTCGAACTCGCAAAACCAAGTCAGTTCGTTTGGCATGTCACTAACGTCCAACAGGAGAAGGCTTCAATTGGTCTGAAGCCCTGCGTGACAGATCCCGACGCTCACCATCCTTTTCCTCCGGCAACCCTTTTAACCAAGGAACCACTCGCCCTCGCTCCGCGAGCATCTCCAACCCGGAGCCGCCAAAGGAAATATCAAAGCCCGTTGAACCACCGCATGCCAAGTTGATGAAGAAACCAGATGCCCTGGGTGAAAGAATGCTACGTGGCGATTTTATGATGGATTGAATCCGTCCTTGCGGTGTCGAGGTTCTTTCTTCTCTTTCGGTATACTCCCAGAATGGACATGTATATCTGATTCGAATGATGTATAAGTGATGCTTTGGTTTGATGGAGCTCGAGGCCAATTACAGTGGGGAATCCATTACCTGTATCCATTAGCTTCCGGTGGTATTGTGTGTGAGATCAGTTTCGAATGTCATCCGAAGCAAATCAGGTGGGCGGGCTAGTATCAGGGGTCAAGGGAGGGCGAAGGCGACCGATATTTGCTTCTTTACGATCGTTTATGACTTTTTGGCTTCGCACTGGCACGGGAGCAGGCGGAGCTTAGGGATTTGAGAGCAAGTTCCAGCATTTTGGCTGTAGGGGCCACGTATGCTTGACGTTACAGCAATTCGGATATCGAGAGAATGAGAATCAAACAAGCAATGTGCTGAATGGATAGTTTGAATATTGACTGACCGAGCCAGCGTCCGGCTCATCACGTCGTGTCTTTTGGCTTGATTTCCCCGTCTACGGGACCCTGAAACCTGCCTTCTGAAAGTCTCACATGCGTACTGCTAGGTGTATACGGAGTAATCACCTATTTGTGCTGCCGACGTCAAAGGCGCCGCTTGCGGTGAGATACTAGGAAGGCGGAGAATCGTAATTCCGAGGCCGAAGCCCTCCTCCCTCCCCCGCCCTACGACGCCTTGCACAGTTGCACAGAACAAAAAGGTGGCAGGGCATTGTAACACCTGCAACATTGCGTGCTTCACTCTGTTTCCAACACCGAAAGCATTTGCAGCAGACAGCAAGGCTCTTTATTATTTCATTACTGTCTCATATACAGGATTGTTGACCCCCATTATTGAATGAACGACCGCATTCCACAACCCTAGACGACGATTGGCATTTCTGCGGGACTAGAGTCTTTCTGCTGACGTCCTTTGGCCTGCCTCATATCATATCGGAAAGTAAAACTTGTTCAATTCAACCTATATCAACGTCATTCCCACTTCGTTCCCCAAAAGGGCGCGCGTGCTTGAGGGTCAGATCCAGAGCAGACACCGAGGCCGTTCCCAGACAAGGTTCCCAAGCGCTACAAGAAGCCACCTGGCGGAGAACACCTTGCTCTTGTCTTCTGCAACGCCGTTGCATCTGCCGCTGTAGTTATGTCACAGACTACAACAGTCGCGGAATATCTGTTTACACGCCTGAGGCAATTGGGTGTGGGCGCAGTGCACGGCGTGAGTTCTTCTCTCCCGCAGAGACTTCTTCGTTTGTATTTCTTCCTTGGTGCAGGCTGACAGACATTGAACAGGTCCCTGGGGACTACAATCTTCGCTTACTAGACTATGTTGTCCCGTCTGGGCTCCTCTGGGTGGGGAATGCCAACGAACTCAACGCTGGGTATGCCACGGACGGCTACGCGCGGATCAAAGGCATTGGAGCTCTGGTCACCACATATGGAGTCGGCGAGTTATCAGCTATCAATGCCATTGCGTGTGCTTTCACCGAGCGGGCGGCCGTCGTCCATATCGTGGGCACACCACCCCGCAATACGCAAGCCTCCCGTTTGATGGTGCACCATACTCTTGGAGATGGAGACTACCGACACTTCGGCCAGATGCAAGCGCATGTCACCGTGGCGCAGACCAATCTGCTCGATCCTCGTACTGCTCCTCAGCAAATCGATCAAATTCTGGAGCAATGCATATTACACTGCAGACCGGTCTACATTGAAGTTCCTCTAGACATGGTTTCGGCCCCAGTCGTTGCAGAAAGGCTTTCTCACGAGATCGCGATCCCAAGAGCTGTCCCCAATCCTGCTTACGATGTGGTATTGGACAAAATCCTCGAGAAGATGTATGCTGCGAAACAACCTCTCGTTCTCGTGGACGGAGAGGCTAGGGCGCTGGGTATCCTGGACCAGATTGAAAGAATCGTGTCTTCAACGGTATGGCCCACATTCACGACAACGTCCGGGAAAGGGCTCATCAACGAGACGCTCCCCAATGTGCATGGTATCTATCGCGGCAGCTTCGCAGATGCCGGGACAAAGGCTTTCATCGATGGCTCAGATCTGGCTTTGTATTTTGGACCTCACCTCAGTTCGACTAACACTTACAACTGGACTGGCGTGCCCCAATCAGCTGTCACCATCTATTTTACTTGGGAGGGTATCAAGATTGGTGACATCCTCCATCGAGACATTTCGCCAGCATATGCGCTCGCCCAAATCTTGCAGAAATTAGACTTGACAAAGCTGAAGAAAAACGACAGCTGTCAAACTTTCCCTAGTGAACAGCTTCTATCGTTCTCAGAAGTGTCCAAGGACGAGCGGATCAAGCAAGACAAAGTCTGGCGCCTCATCACGCCCTTCTTGCGCCCAGGAGACATTGTCTTTGGCGAAACAGGCACTGCAGGATATGGTGTGCGAGAGATGCTCCTACCCAAACATACAAGACTCTTTACCCCTATCACCTGGCTTTCTATCGGATACATGCTACCGGCTTCTCAGGGCGCGGCACTGGCTCAGCGCGAGTTGATAGCCTCGTCAAAGTACCACGATCTTGCACACGCGCGAACAATTCTGTTCATTGGCGACGGCAGCCTTCAGATGACAGTCCAGGAGCTCGCCACTATCATCAGACACAATCTCAACGTGATAGTATTCTTGATCAATAACGACGGCTATACAATAGAGCGCTGTATTCATGGTTTGGAAGAAGGTTACAATGATATATCTACTTGGCGCTACCTGAAAGCACCCAGCTTTTTCGGGGCTCCGGAAAATGCCTTCACTGCGTCCACCAGGACGTATGGCGAGCTCGAGCAGGCGCTAAATCACGAGAAACTCGCTGATGGAACAGGTTTAAGAATGGTGGAAATTCATATGGATCGGTATGATGCGCCGGCTGGCCCGCTGACAGCGCTCCTCAACCAGCAAAACCAGCCACAGGGTGTCAAGGTGTGATATGGACGAGATAAACAGCAAGTGAGTTGGTCGAGCCATTCTCGTCATTCAAATATCACCTCAGCATTCATTCATTCATTCTTCTATATCCCAAATTCTTTCTCCCTTTGGTGTTTTTCTGCGTCTGTCAACGTACCTGCTCGAAAAGAGCCGGGAATTTCACCATATTGTGATGGCGATGGCTCTACTCGCTAGCGATGAACCCCAAGGGGTGCGCTCTTCGCGACTGTTCTCATTCTCTATCCACAAGATGTCGCTGATTTTCTAGACATCCGCGGTGCATCCATGAATTGTCATTGTACCTTGATTATGAAGCATATGTCGAGGCTCTACATCATCTCCGGTACTTTGACCTTTCCCATAGTTTCATCACCTTCGGATGAGCACCACGATACTACGCAACCAGCTTCATTAGATCAACGACGGTGCCCTCTTCGATCCGGCCAATCTGGTCACAGATTTGCTGAGACTTGGTCATCCCGTAAACAGGCTCTGCAAGACTTTTGAACTTCTTCTGGACACCAGTATCCCATTCGAATGGACGCTGGGGCTCGCCAAGAGGATAGATCACTTCGTCCTCGACCGTGGTGCCATCCTCAAATTCCACTTTCAATCGAGACTCGATGCTACCGTATGCCTCATCAACCTCGCATGTGATTCTGCGGCAGAGTTCGTGGACCTTCCCATCTCGAATCTTGTCGTATATGGCCCAGCCGAGGTCAGTGCCGTATAACCACGAGGCAGCAACTTGGAAGTATGAGCTAAACTGAGCGTCGACGATACAATCTGGTTGCATTTTGTTTGGAGCCGGAACTCCAACGATGGGGAAGCATCCTGGTGGGAGATAAACTGTGATCCGCTTCGGCAGTCCATGAGAAGCATGGGATTTGCGCATTTCCCCGATCATTTCCAGTTGGCCGTGGGTCATCCTGCACGCTGGAAATGGCTTACACGCTGTTGAGAGGAAAGTCCACTTCTTTCCCAGAGCCTGAGTCAAAGTATCGGGGTTGCCAGTCTCAGAGTAATTGTGAAGGAGTCCATATTTGCCTTCAATGGCCTTGGTGGCGCCAATCACCCCAGCCTCAGCCAAGCTGACACAGAGAAGCGCGTCGTGAGCGGCAAATCCAGGATGAAGACGCTTGTTCCAGCTACCATTCTCCAAGAATTGCATGGATCCGGCCGCTTTGGAGAGCGCGAGGCCAAAAGCATCCTCGACTACCTGCTGCGAAGATCCCCTGAGCTTGCAGACGGCTGCGATGGACCCATACAGACCGACAGTGCCTGTATTGTGGAATCCTCTGCGGTATGAGCCTAGCCCGAGTGCGATTCCAATGCGACAGGCAACTTCATACCCCACAGCCAAAGCCAGGAGAAGGTCGGCTCCGGACGTATGGAGGATTTCAGCTTCCGCCAAAGCAGCAGAGATCAGGCTGCACCCTGGGTGGAGGATTGCCTCAGCAGTTGTATCATCAAAGTCGTATGTATGACACCAGGCACCGTTCAATAGCGCTGCATATTGAGGTGGAAACGTTGAGCCTTTGGTCAAAACGGTACAGCTGCCTTTGGCATCTTGGGAGAACTTTGCGATACCTGCCAAAAACTTGGGACTGGACTCAGCAAGGGCGCCTGCTGATGCAGAAACCCCGATATAATCGAGCAGCAATGCCTTGAGCTTGGTAACGATCTCTGGGGAAAGAGCATCACCTGAGAACGAAGCAACAAATTTGGCCAAAGCAACAGTCACCTCCTCGGACGTGCTCCCATTCTGTTTGACGCCATTCGAGGCTTCCTTCGTGCTGGTGGCCATATTCGTGAAGAGTAATGATCGAAAACAGTCCAAGATGTGTGGTCGCTGTGGCGGCAACCGAAAGGGCTAAGCTTCAAGAAGTCTTCGAAGTTGTTAAGGACTTATTCAGGTGCATGCTAAGCATATAAGACTCAACAAAGTCGTGGAGGTGGCTGTTCTTCTCTGCGTTGTGATTGACTCTCTTCCATCCCCCAACGTCGAGCGGGCCAACAAGCGAGCAAAGGAGAACGCAGTCCGCAATCCATCCGCAGAATCAAGTGCTTGGACTCCCTCTTCTTGCAAAATCCGTGGACCAGTAATCCGAAATGCGCATCTCGGCCGTCCGGGGTATGAGCGTTGACTGTGGCTCCGTGGGCCAAGATGCGATTTTCGGATTTCCCCAGGCTTGCTCGGGTCTGGAGAGGGCAGCATATCTGTTCCACTATCCTCGGCGCCCTACCAATTCAAGCAGAGAAAGTCGCACATCGGCCTGAGGCTAACGTCTTCCAGCCTGTTTGCCAGACACATCCTTCGAATCTCTCCGTACAAATGGCGCGAAGAATGGAATGGGATAATCCCGAATAGTCCGAATGAAGGACTTGTATTCGATGGATCGACCGGAGGAGCAGCGGTGCCCACTGTTTACGCATCATTATGAGGAGGATTGGACGAGTCTGATTCAGCATATATACCTCGATAGGTGTGAAAGGCCGTCACACCTGCACAATTACAACCTAGCAGCACTACGTTAACTCGTAGGATACCTTCACTGTTAAGATTTCTACTTCGCCTTTTACCAATCCAAAAATGATCTCCAAGGCTCTGCCAGAGGTCGAGCACTTCGTGCCTGTTCAGCCCTCGAAGCTCGTCAAAGACTTTGTCAAATTGCGCACTGTGGACCTGAGTCGCTACGATGACGGCCCCGAAGCTCGCAAGGAACTGGCAGAAGAGGTGAGACTTGCTATGACCACACAGGGGTTTTTCATCCTCGTCAACCACGGTCTCAGCGAGGATGACATCTCACGCCAAGTCGATATCGGCCACACAATCCTGGCCCGGACTTCAGATGAGGAAAAGCAAAGGTTGAAAGCACCTATCGTCGAGGAAGGCTCTTACCATGGCTTCAAGCCTCGCGGTCACTGGATCGCCAAAGGCAACGTGCGCGACAAAGTTGAAAACTTCAACATCAATCGTGACATGACTCTTCGAGAGCAGCCATCCGTGAGTCTGATATAGCTTAGGACCTTTCCATCAGCCTACCTAACTCTCTTTGCAGACTATGGAGCCTTACAAGCCCGAGATTCAATCCTTCATTGATTACACCCACAAGGAGATTCTGTTTAAGCTTCTCCGTCTGTTTGCCACCGCTTTGCAGATTCCTGACGAGGATTACTTTGTCAAGCTGCACAGCTATGAGGGGCATGACGAGACTTGGCTCCGATACATGGAGTATTATGACGAATATACAGAGGAGGAAAAGAAGGTGACGGGAGGTCTATGGCTGAGTGGCCATCAAGACTTCACCAGCCTATCTATTCTCTTCAGTCAGCCCATGTCGTCTCTACAGGTCCGGGATTACGACAACAATTCCGAGTGGACCTTCGTGCCGCACGTACCCGGTGCAGTCATCGTCAATGCCGGAGAAGTCTTCAAGTGGTGGACGGGAGACTATTTCAAGGCGGCAATCCACAGAGTGGTTCAGCCACCGGAAGACCAGCGCGGCCACAATCGCTGCAGCGTCTTCTACTTCTGCGTGCCCAACGACGAGGTTGTCATCAACACCCTGCTCGATGTGAGCCCCGTGTTGAGAGAGGCGGGGGTACAGATGGCCCACGAGCCACAGAATGCTCCTACTAGCAAGGCATGGAGTAATGGCCGGATCAAGATCACTGGCAGAAATGCAGTGTGGGAGGGAAAGAAAGAGGGAGAAAACATGGTGGTGGAAAAGGTGGGCACCGTCGAGACACGATGGTTCCGATGAAGACCACGAGCCTTGATGCCGTGTCTTGGGTTGCAAGTCTGCCTTTCTCGGTTGCTCTTCAGTAGTGCGATAGTCGTGAGAGAGTTATGGGATTTGAATATCTAGATACTGGCCTGCAACATCTCAGAATGGACGCTCTTCATCAACGACGATCCCCCACATAGGTGCGATTCGATAGATGCATCTTTTGCGAGGAGACTGGTTTCAACAGAAGCTCGAGTGATCCAGCATCATCTTGATCTGTTGAGACCACCTGCCTCACCATCATTGCACAGTAAGAAGTAGCTGCTGAACACAACCGAGGCTGTCGTGTTCGTCGATATATCATACGCTGTCACGTGTGTGTCTGATATATCTTCCCCGCTGCATTCCAATCCTTCATTATTTCCCAGAACAGCTCGAACACGAACCTCTAGCGTCTTCCGGAAGCAACCTCACCTGCTCCAGTCTCCTACGCGCAGCTTCATTACTCGATCGAGGCCTCTTCTCAACTGCCTACGATATATTCTTGGTTTTGCTCGTTTCGCCGGTTGATACCAGAGAACAGTACGCGGCCCGCCCATGGAAGAGGTTGGCCCGGACGCCGGAAAACGCTCGAGGATCAGAGCTTGCAATTATTGCAGACAGAATAAGGTTGAATCTCATCTCCATCGCTAGTACTCGGGTGACTTATGGGTGTTTCACAGCTGAAATGCGATGCGAGCAAAAATTCCACGAAGCCGTGCTCCAGGTGCTCCAGCCGCAGCATCGAATGCATCATTTCAAACGACTTTCGCCGCGTGGGGCGACCAAAGTATCTCTGACAGCATGCTTGTGTTGCCACACTCCTGCTAACTAAGTCGAGGATGTACCAACTGTTGGCCGAAATCGACTCTCTGCGACGAGAGAAGCAGACGACTACTACTCAGTCCAGCCCACACGTTTCTTTCGAGGAAGCTTATGGTGGCCTGCAGCCAGGAACACCATCAGTCCTTAATCGCTTTCGTGATGAAGGCTCTTCTTCACAGGGAGGAGCTCAACCCTGGGAAATGACGGCGGAAGAGCCAGACGTGTCATACAGGAGTACAGATTACTCGGGACTGCCTCACACGTCGGCATCGTCCCTATCACGCACCTTGCAAGATTTGTCAGTGTCGGGTGAGGACGTTGATGCTTGCTTTCAGATGTCAGTACTCAACTCACAACTGTTCTCTACGAGATGCATTAATCGTGGGCGACAGGTTTTTACAACATAATCTGGAATATGTGCCGATCCTAGAGACTTCATTGCGTCCTGACGACTGTTATGTCTACTCTCCCTTGCTATTCTGGACCATCCTAGCGATAGGGAGCATGCGTTTCGAGCGAGATCCCACATTGATCATTGCGATCGCTCCAATGGTTATGGACCTGGCCAAAGATGCCGTTTTTTCCTGCAGAGACGTCATCGCGACCATTCAGTCATTCACACTCCTCTGTTCCTGGCCGATGCCCGTAGACACTCTTGAAAAAGACCCCTCCCCAGCTCTAGCAGGGGCAGCTCTACAACTAGCTATCAACAGCGGTCTTCACGTTTGGGGAATTGGCCAAGACTTCTCTCGTAGGAGACTCAACCCAGGTGGGCAGAATTCAATTGATTTTCGGGCCAAGCTCTGGGTGAATTGCCTGATCGTCTGCCAGAGGTGAGTTGTTCCCATTCTCTCACCACCCAACCAGCCTTGAGATGTCTATCTGAGTCTTCAAAGAGTAAACATCACCTTTGGTGTGTCTCCGCCAGTGCCCCCTGATACATATCACCGTGAAAAGTACGGCGAAAGATTATCTGCAACCTTGACCCCGAGTGTCGAATTCCAGAGGCGGCTGTGTCTTGCCCACAGCGAGGGCATTGTAACTCTTGAAAAGACCTTGAACTCCAAGTCATCAGATGGTTACACTGAGACTATGAGATCAAACATTGAAAACATTGTCAGCAATTTGAAGAATCTCAAGACCAAGTGTCCCACATCTTTCGGTAGGACCTTGAACGCATCCTTCCTCAATCCTCACTTGCTAAAGGCAATTAGACCAGTTTCTTTTGGACGGAGCAGTGCTTCAGACTTCTTGCTTCCACTTACTGCTTCCTCAGTCGTCTCTCAACAGTGAAAAACTGTTTGCTTTGTACGACACTGCGGTCGATTTCGTCCGTCTTGGAATAGAGCTGGACCAAAAACGAAACATTGCAGAGCACGCTCCTCCGTTCTTTTCGAGGACCTTGTTCTTGGCATGCTGTGTAATCCTGAGGATTGCAAGGTCGAGCTTGCGCGAGGCCTTGGACCTCAAAAGAGGCCGTGAGGCTTATTTCAAGACCATCAACATGCACAAAAGGCTCTCGGTTCGGCATGACGATGCTCACTCGAGAGCCACAGTCATTCTGTCACAACTCTGGGCTGGTAAGATGATCGATGTGCAAACCAAACGGAGCGCAGGACAAGTGCGGTTGAAATGCAGAAGCAGGTTAGGCATGAGCTTGCTGTATGATTGTTGGTGGATCTGGCGTCAAGAATTCCAGGGGCAGCCAGACCCCTACTCTGAGGAAGGTCAGCGGACACGCACGCGTTACATCTGAAGAGAGACCATGCTAACGTGATCAAGACAATGGCACAGATCCCTCCGCTGAGGACATGGCGTTTCACGCCACGCCAACGTCCACGGACTTCGGCAACATGGATTTGTGGTGGCCGTCGTATGAGATCTTCACAGGTAACTATGCCCAGGACGCGGAGACAAGGCCTGAAGGCTCGGGAAACATAGCTGAAATGGGGACCAATTTTTCCCCTGCTTTTCAGAGCCTGCAGACCTTGTCGTCTCCGTTTACCACAGCAGCCAGGGCCGAGCAGTTTCCTCCCTAGGCGAATATCTCCGCACATAGGAGAGCGACCATTTTTGGCGAGTCCGGCATGAGCCTAGAAGCAACGTCCGAGAGAAGGCTCTGTTGTCTCGGCTAACTCCCAATCGTGGGCTCCCCGTGTCGCGGCCAAGTCTATTCTGGCTGTGGGCCAAGCAGCTGGGGAAGCGACCCTAGAGAAGCGAGGGAAATCCCGACAACTGCGATTTTCGGCTTTCGCTTGCTCGGACTTTCGGATTTCTGCACCAATGGTTTCCATTTTGATGGTCATCCAAAGGATCGAGACTCAACCTCAGGCTGCGAAGGTCGGGCTTTTTCGCGGGGACTCTGGGGTTCGTTTTGTGGGGAGTCCATGATATCGCAAACATCAATCGGCCTGGGCTTTGCATGATAAATGGACTTCCCATCGTCGGGTTGTTGATCAATGTCTGGGTAGCAACTCTCAATAGTTGATTCTCTCCTCCGAGTTATCTCTGGCCGTCCACCATAACCAGATATGTCGACCACTCAGGCAGAAAAGAGCCCTGCCTCCCACGTGGAGATTTTCCACAACGAAGACAAGAGCGCTGAGATTGGAGTCGATGAGAAAGCCCGAGATGAGCTCCCTTTGGAGTCCTTTACGGCGAAAGAGGAGAGCAACCTGGTGCTCAGACAAGACCTGATCATTTTGCCACTTCTGGCTTTGGCCCTCTTCTTTGGATACCTGGTAAGCCTTGCCCGCTCTTGCAGAACGGGAACCTGATTCTAATGCTTCATGAAGGATCGCGGGAACATTGGGAATGCGCGGATCCTCGGCATGCAAGAGGACCTCGATCTCACCCCTCAGCAATACTACAACATCGTCATGATGTTCTGTGAGTCGGCTCCATCTGGAGAATTGGCACTGTGAACTGGGTTCTCTCGCTAACCTTGGTCCCGTTTCCTCAAGTCCTTGGGTATATGGTGGTTGAACTGCCTGCTGGCATGGCGCTGCGTTATTTCCAGCCACGATGGGTCTTTGGAGTCGCCGTCATTGTCTTTGGAGTGTCTGCTGCTTCTGCTTCCGAAGCCAAACACTACGCCACCTTAATGGGCCTGCGTGTCCTCATTGGTCTGGCGGAAGCATTTGCAAACAACGCCTATATCTTTGTTTCACTGTGGTATAAACCCTCAGAGCTTGCTCTGAGGACAGGTAAGCGAAGAATCTGACCACGCCGAGCCAGAAGGCAAAAGGCTGACCCGTGGCAGCGTTGATCTATTCGCTTACGCCAGTCGCTGGCGCATTCAGTGGCATCATTTCCTACGGTGTGGGCAAGAACTTGGAGAATTCATCAGGCATTCGGGCGTGGCAATGGCTCTTCATCATCGAAGGCGTCATCACAGTGGGCATGGGTTTTATTATTATGGCATTCCTCCCTGGCCTACCTGAAAGCGTGGCTCAGAAAGGTCACTTTCCCGGGTTTCGTGACCAAAGACAGCGCCAGCTGATTCTGGCACGATTAAGAACTTGTGAGTCTACCACGAACCTGTGTCCAATTTGGCCAGTTGCTCCCCTCATCATGGTGGCCAACTAATGCCACAGATTAGCCCAGAATACTGAGGGTGCCAAGTTCCGCTGGCAACAGGTGGTCATAGCCCTCAAGGACCCTAAGATTTTTCTCGGAGCCGCCATGATTGGATGTCAGGGAGTTGGAATTGGTGCCTTTGGCGTCTTCCTCCCAACATTCATCAACGAATTTGGATTTTCGCCTCTGCAAACCCAACTTTATTCCATGATTCCATACGCATTTGGACTTGTTGGCCTCCTCACCGGCTCCTGGCTGGCAGACCGTCTAGGACAAAAGGCCATGATGATCTTGGTATGCCTTTCAACCACCATTGCAGGCTTCATTATACTGCTGTCCACAACAAACAAGGTTGCGCTCGTTGCCGGGGCTTGCTTTGTCACCACGGGCGCGTACCCGGGGCTTGCAATTGGCGTGGCGTGGTATCTGTCCTGCCACGGCGGCTACACGAAACGTGCCACGAGTATCTGGATATGTCAGATCTTCGTACAGTCCTACAGCATCATCTCGACCCAGACCTACCGTGATCCGCCGCGGTTTATCCTCGGCCATGGCGTCTCACTTGGCCTGTACAGCTTGGGGGTCATTTGCACGGCTGTCCTGTACCAGATCTGCAAGCGGGCCAACGCGGCCAAGACGCGAAGGGCGCAGGGATATGAGGCGGAGGGAGTCGAGGATCCTTTGGCGTCCAGGGACATCGAGGAGCTTTGCGACTATCATCCAAAGTACATGTATGTCTTGTAGACGCTCTGAGCAGGAGATGGGTGGGACACAGAAAAGGAGGGGCTGTCTGCCACGATGTGGCGAACTAGTCCCACCTGTCGAATTGAGGGTAGATAGAGAGGAGTGGACAAGATCGTTCATAGGCGAGTGGTCAGCAGTATCATAGGCAGCCTTTCGCCAGACCACGCAGAGCTGGATCCATCAAATGGCGAAGTTCAAGTTCAATAAGCAAAACAAAAGCTCAAACCACGGGAAAGGCCGGCTCAGCTAGAGCGCAAATGATTCATTCCGTATCAGATCGAGGTATTGTTGTCTTGCTAGGCGCTTGTGAGAACGAAGGTACAACGCCATCACCGACTCCGCTGACACGCCCCGTAATGGTATATTAATATTTCGTGCTTCTGCGGACGCTGTGTTCAGCTCGACGAGGACGTTGACGTTACACCGTGGATACTCCTCACTTCCCACTAATAATGTCCGCATTGACCCCCATGATTTCCATACTCTGTTATACCTTTTGACCTCTCTACTCCCCTCCTTCTCGCCGGCGTGCCTGGGCTGCGTAAGGGGGAACAGTTTGTTCAGCACAACCATTGATAATTGGAGACGAATCCCAAACCGGCAACCCGGATTTCGATCGCTTCCCCCGCCAATTTACGGATCAGGAATCTCTGCAATTGGAAATGCCGGGTAAGCGAGGGTTTTTTGCAGGGGCATCGCTCAGTCTAAGCGGCAGTTGCTGTAGCGGGTTGGAACTTGTGTGGCTATCGATCGACCCGGTCCTGCGCCAGGCTAGAGTGTATTATGTACGGAGTACCTCCCTAAGGGTGGTGGAGTTACGGGTCCTTTCCTCGTATACTCACGTTGATAAGCACCCTAGACAGTTACTTGATGGCTTGGTGGGTGTCATGGACGGGACTTCAGGACAGGTGTATATAGTCCAGAGCTCGGGGCTTCGATCATGGAAACACAGGATTCTCGGTCTTTTTGGGCGATCCCAAGGGAATTGATTGTGAACTCCTTTCCTGACAGGCAGTGGTTCTATATATCAAAGGTAGACTCCAGCGCTTCTGTAGTTTCTAATCTCTTTTGCAATGGATGCCTGATTATGCCAGGGTCAGGGTCCTTCCCTCATTGCATCGACCTCTGCCTTCTCCGACTGGAAAAAAAGCTGCGAGGGGCACTTCTCCCTAATAGCTCGACTCCCGGCGTGTTGATTGTTATTGATCTCGACACAAAAGCCCTGGAGAAACGAGTGCGGACCAACGAATGTAATGCGACTTGTTGGTATTGTAGCGTTGGGGTAGCGCGATATCGGCGCCATCGGCATGTGCCGACGCTGCCTCCAAGTCAGCCCCTCTAGGAGTCGGCTCTCCAATACGGGGTCGACGGGCTGGGATGCGGAGAAAGCGTGATTCGACTTCATTGCACCTGGAGTACCTCAATGTAACTTGGGAGTCTGGCTCGGTGGTGGAACCTATGACCCCGTCCACATGAATGACAAGGGACGTTGTCTCTGCCTACATATACCCTAACCAGATGATCATGGGTGCGAACACTGCTAAGCCGGCCGCTAGTTCCAGTCGGGACGTAATACTTGCCTAAGGGTCCACCGCGGAGGCAGGGAGGGCTATGCATGGGTGATCTGCGCTGCTAAGGATGCATAGGCTATAGCGACAGCTATGATGCCGGGCACCTCCCGTCCAAATTTGCCGGATACCCTTTCGATACTCCCGGTGGCAGATAGCATGGCGTGAGGGTCTGCGTGCGCCTGCGCTGCGACACACGAGGCACTCCGTCCATCTCCTCACTTAGGCGAGAGTCTGACGAAGTTGGGAGAGGGTAAGGAGGGGATGGATATAAGTACCCAGGAGCCCCACGCTGCCATCGCTCTTGCAAAGTAGAGACGGATACCTCTGTAAGAAGTCGCAGTAAACCGCCCAGCAAACACTCAGAATGCCTCTGTACGGACGTCATATGGTGTGGGCGTAAGTTCCAATCCGTACAACCCGTCTGTGAACGAGTTTGCTGAATTGACATGCGCCCCAGCGTGTGCCTGGTCGCTGGTTTGGGCATCATGTTCGAGGGTTATGACCAGGGTGTCATGTCTGGAGTCAACATAAGTCCATCGTACATTGTCCGTGGTGGCCCAAAACCGTCTTCCACGAGAGAAGAAACCACTGACCGACGTACAGGACCTGGTCAAAATCGGCGACGGCGCGACTGGGACAATCACCAGGCCCACCAAGCAAGGTGGTCTTGTCTCGATATACTATCTCGGTACCCTCCTTGGAGCACTGATGTAAGCTCCTGCTCGCTTGCTTCATCTCGAATAATCCTGAAAATGAGGTCTTGTTGAACAGGGGCGGTGCTTTATCCGACAAGATCGGGCGGCGCAAAGCTATCTTCTTTGGCTGTATCTGGGGTATCTTTGGTCAGTCGATGCAAAGCGCTGCTCAGAATGCAGCCTGGATGCTCTGTGCCCGATTGATCGGTGGTGTTGGGACCGGCTGTATCAGCGCTGTGATTCCGGTCTGGGGCTCAGAGCTCGTCGCTCACGACATGCGGGGAATGGTGATGGCCTTCGAGATGTTCATCAACTTTGCCGGTATCTCCACTTCGTGTAAGGAGTCTCCCATCTCTTGATGATATCACTCCCACCGCTGACTCTCATAGACTGGCTCGAGTATGGCCTGAGTTTTCTCAACCACGGGAACACCGAGGTTCGATGGAGATGTAAGCCTTTGAACTTCTTCTTGAGAGTGATCCGCTGATCGATTGCTTCAGTTCCTCTTGCTTTCGTCGAGATGTGAGCAATTAGTTATCCTCAAAGTGCTAGACATGATCGTTGACATGTATCAGTTTTCTGGTTGCTCTAATGCTCATCATCCCATTCATGCCAGAGAGTCCAAGGTCAGTTCGCCATATCTGCACATCGTCCGTGCTAACGTGGGCCACCAGATGGGACATTGCCAACGGCAAGCAAGAGCGCGGGAGGAAAACCTTGGCAATCTTTCGCGCTCGGGGAGATATCAACCAAGCAGATGTCGTGGCGGAATTCAATGAAATCGTCGCCGCTGTTGGCAAGTTGCACGATTCCAGTTGAACGGGAGTGTTACTGACAGCCATCGCTCTCGTCCAGAACTGGAGGCTGAATACCCGGCTCGGAGCTACTTCCACTTGGTCACTGGAATCAAGAGTGGCGATCTTCACCTTGGACGGAGAGCCTTTTTGGCTGCCTGGCTCCAAATAATGCAGGCATGGTGCGTTGATTGAGGATCTGCAGGTTTTTCGGGATGCTGACTGGGAGATCTGCATACAGGACTGGTGTCACAAGCGTCGTCGTCTATGCTCCCACACTCTTCCGAATTGCTGGCTTCAGTCAACACAAAGTGAGATGTTCCAGCAGTCTCACCAGATATCCTGCTGACGACTTGTTCACAGGCAAACCTCCTCACCGGTTGTGCAAACCTGGTCACCATGGTATGCTGCGCTTTTGCGTTCGTGACCATCGATCGTTACGGCCGCCGCAAAGTCCTTATGGCCGGTGGGTTTGGTCAGAGCCTGTCGTTCTTCATCCTCGGGGCTCTGTCCAAGGTTGGGGAGGACAAACAGAGCCAGTCCATCGGCGCCGCTGCTGGCTCATTCGTCTTCATATACAACGCGATCTTTGCGGTAATTCCAGTTCACCTCTCTGTTCCATGACACCAACTCATAATCTTCACGCAGGCAACATGGCTCAGTGTGCCTTGGGTGTATCCTTCGGAGATCTTCCCACTCGCCATCCGAGCTAAAGGGAACGCGTTTGGCATAATTGGTATTTCCACTTCCCCCGGTGATAAAGTAGAATACTAAAGATGATATTGCAGGTTGGAGCCTGGGATGTGGCTCTGTATCTCTCGCGGCGCCCGTGATGTTCCAGGCATTAGGCCCGCAGGGTTTCTATATCCATGCGGTCTTCAATCTGCTGGCCGTGGTTATGGTATTCTGTTTCTACCCTGAGACCAGTTGCCGAACATTGGAAGAGGTAGGTGGCCGTTCAAACATGGATCTTTCTAGACCGCCGTCTGACTAGTCACCCTTGCAGATCGATCTACTGTTTGCCAGTAAAACTCCGTTCGTCTGGGAAACGGAAAAGAAATTCCAAGAGCTGAAACTTCAACACTCGGCCCTCGTCCGTGGAGGACAAGACGTCAAAGTTATCTCCGAACATCTTGAAGGAGAGAAATATTGAGCATGAGGGCCGATTACCTATGGAATTTTCGACAACTGAAACCCGAAGCACGAAATGGGAATGCAGAGTGGACAGACTCGTCGTACTGGTCGATGCTCACAGAGTAGGATCTTCAGTTCTGTGGCGCAGAAGCTCAAGGTCTTGAGGTTGACGAAGAATGAGAGAGCCTCGGCACCACGGTTTGGTGTGCTACCTCAGACGAACAAGCTCTTATATTGTTGCCTTAGAAGTCCTATACACATAAAGGAACTTGCTGGCCGAGAAGGAGAAGAGAGGAAGACTGATCTGGTCTACAAGAGACGTGCGGGTAAACAAGGACATGATATCCCTGTTATCACTAGTGGAGGTGTAATGGATATGGTAGGTTTGCCGGGAAGCCTTACGTAATCCCGATGCTACTGCCAAGAGGTGGCAGGGGAAGCTCCGGGCAACGACGGACGCCGCAGGTGGCAGGTGCAAGTCCAGTGCGCCGTCATCAGGTCGAGTGGCTTGAACGCCCGTAATATCCAGCCTGCAACACCATCTCACAGGATTCCAATTTAATGGCGCCATGGTGATAGGGGCGTGATAGATATACCGGGATCTGGTCATTTGTCTCTTCTCCTCCTGCCTCGTCCTCCCTCCACGCTTTTCCCTACCTGTGCATCGTTTCAGTGGTTATTGTCGTGGAACCGCTCAGCCTGCCTTTCGAGTGCGACTGCGCCGGCCATCACAGCAACAAACCAACGCAGTCCGACCCTGAGCAGCCGGGTCTGTTTGTGGCTGTGTGATCTTGCTCTGCCACCTCGTGCACTATGTTCTTGTGAAAACATGGCAACCTGCCTAGCATAATTCTTTCTCCTGACCTGACCTCGCCGTCTCTTGACTTCACCGGCCTGAAGCGGACAACTCGGAAACAGCCCTCCCTACGGACCAATTGCCGCGTCGTTCATCTTCCTGGAAAGAGCCCGAACATCACCCTGTCAGACAGACCACCATGGAGAAGATTGTAAAAGGCGCTACGAAAATCAAGGTCAGGATGGCAGACCGCGTAGACCGCTTGATCAGAGCTGACGGTGGACTAGCTGGCTGCGCCCAAGTCGAAGTACATCGAGCCCATATTATCTGCTACAAATGGCGGAGAATCAGGTGTCGCCGAAGTCTTCCGCACTCTACAACTTCGACTGAGGGACTCAACATGGACGATTGTCTTCAAAGCGTTAATTGTGGTCCATCTTATGATAAGAGAGGGTCAGCCTGAGGTCACTTTGAGATACATATCCGAGTCGCCTAAGCGATTGGCAATCAGCAGCTTCACTGAAGGTATGCAAAACAGGGCAAAAGATCACCAGGAAACTGTGTGCGCGGTCTGACGGGTGAATAGTTCAAACTCAAGGTCTCAATATTCGAAGGTATTCGGAATACTTGTTAGAACGAGTGCGGGCCTTCCGAGATACCAAGACGGACTTCGTCAAGTCGGGGGCTGGGAAGATGCGCAGACTGACTGTCGAGAAAGGGTTATTGAGACAAACTGAGGTTGTGCAGGATCAAATAGAGGCGTTGGTGCGATGCGATGTGAGTGGCGACGACAGACCCCAACCTCGATCTCGGCTCACTCTTGCAGTTGCTAGGGACCCACGACCCGGATAATGAGATTTCACTGACGGCGTTTCGTCTTTTAACCTTGGACCTGCTCGAGCTGTTCAAGGTGATGAACGAGGGCACCATCAATGTTCTAGGTAGGGAAAGCGGATCAAATGAAAGCCGCCATGGCTAACGCAGACGCAGAACATTACTTCGAAATGTCTCGTCCTGATGCTGAACGAGCATTGCAGATCTACAAGACATTCGGAAGGCAGACCGAAATGGTGGTCCAGTATCTCAGTCTTGCTAGACAGTATGAGACGTCGACTCGCTTGGAGGTCCCGAGATTGAAGCACGCGCCAACAACTCTGACCAATGCTCTGGAAGAATATCTCCACGATCCGGACTTTGAATTGAACCGAAGACAATATCTGGCGCAGCAAGAAGCAAAACGAACAGGCAAGCCGGTTTCCACCGCGCCATCGGCCAACCCGTTCGACAAGCCGGCAACAAAGGAAGTTGCCACCTCTTCGATTGCAGCCAAACCACAACCGGTGCAATCAGTGCACAAGGGACCAGCACCGGATCTGATTGACTTCTTCGAGTCGATTGAGCAGAATCAGCAGACGATGGGTCAGGCCAACTTCACCGCGCAGCCTCATTTTCAGCAAGGAGTGCCGCAGGTTCAGGGATATCCGCAAGCGGCTATGCCTCAACAGACGGGTTACAATCCTTTCCTACAGCAGCAGCCGACTTTCCAGAGCCAGGCTCTACCACAACCTCAGGCCCAGCCACAGCCTCTGCAGACAGATTTCACAGGTGCGGGATTCGGTGGATACGGGCCTCAACCACAACAGCATATACAGCCAGCAGGAGGGTTCCAGTTTTCGTCGCAGCTGTCACCGATTCCTCAGAACGGCGTGGCAAATTTCCAGCCGCAAGCCTTTTCCCCAGCTCAACCTTCTCCGATACAACCACAGCAAACATCCACCAATCCGTTCCGGCAATCCACAATGAACACTGGAAACGCCCAGTTTTCGCCTGTGAGCCCCCCAGCTCCTGTGCGGTCATCGACCAATCCATTCGCGAAGCACAACACTGGAGCTATTTCCAACAACGACCAGACAGCAGGAACCATCCACGACCAGACGACCTTTTCTCCAGTCTCTCCCGAGCAAACTTTCCCCTCCAATCCGTCTTTCCTCTCCTCTCCGCCGCCACTCCAACCTCAGAGAACCGGAACCAACCCATTCGCGAAGAACCGACCGACGACACCGGGAGGCCCAGTGACAACAAATGTGACTGGCAGCACGAATCCATTCCGACAAAGCGCGTTTGTGAATCAACAGACGGGTCAGGGGTGGCAGCATAGCAACCAGGGGACGCTGTTGGGGTTTGACGTGAATAATGTAGACACAGTGCCGATCTTCCCACGGCCGGGACACAGTTGAAGCTATAGCACCGTAATGTAATGTCCGGTTTCTGGATGATGGGGACGAATTGTACCTGTACTTCTACGCACGGCGACGAACACGAATAATCCAAGTGTTGGTTTGTATGTAGCAGCCCAATGTGGAGGGCCACGAGGGCCTCAAATTGCCACCGTCATTTGACTTTGAATTTCCATCGCGATCGTCCGCGCCTCCAATTTCCGCCACTACAACATTCCAGCTCTTCTCTTGACTGCCAACTGCACGTCACGCTATTTATCTCGAAGAGCAGAGAATCCACGGCCAGGCAAACTCGGATCGCGCTCCGTGACTCGCATCTGCTATGACAATGAATCTGTGGGAGATGGTGTCCTTCAGCTGCCTGAGAAGTCCTCCTGCGGCTTGATGCGGTCTCCTTCGCCTTGACTGGATCGCCTGTCCAACACCACAGTCCTCTCACAAATCAGGAACGACCGCCGCTGTAAGTCGCACCTGCTCCTCGAGATTCGATAGAAACTCCTTCAGGTGCTGGTGCCCTTTCTCCCAATTACTGCTGATCGAGTTTGAAGATGGAGGAGGGCACTGTAGATGATGTCCCGACTCTTTCCATCATCCCTTACGACAACAACCGTGAGATCGTGCTGTAAGTGTCACACACCAAGGCAGGGAGTCAAAACACAGCGGAACAATACTGAACTGATGAGACTAGCCGTCACGCAGACACGATTGTTTACCGTGACCCGAGAACGAACCAACTTGTTCCGTTCCATCGAAACCAAGACATAGAACGACGCACCAACGACTGTCCAACCTGTGGTCGACCCTGGCACGGCCCAGGACCCTCAAGCACCCAAGAGCCCGGATCAAGTCCAATGGAAGACCAGCCGAGTTTCATCACAGAGGGCTACTTCGAAATGCTCGCACGGAGTCTACCTGGCTCCAACGAAACATCTGCACCTCCCTCTCCAAGACGCCGCATCGTCCAGCCGGTACGCTCCCGGCTTCATCCTTCCTCAGCCGCGGTGTCTCCACCCCCCAATGCAGAGTTCATCGCCAGCGCCCCGGTGCCTGCCAGTCAGGCCCATGGGATCTCGGAGACGGCTTTTTCCCCCAACTACTTTGAGAAGTTCTTTGTGGAGGAAAGAGAGCTCGGAAGAGGCGGCCGAGGCGTCGTGCTCTTGGTCAAACACGTCCTCGACGGCGTTACCCTCGGCCACTTCGCTTGCAAACGCGTCCCCATTGGAGATGACCATGCATGGTTGGAGAAAGTTCTAGTCGAGGTCCAACTTCTGCAGACCTTGTCGCACCAAAATCTGGTCTCCTACCGCCACGTCTGGTTAGAAGACTTCCAGATCAGCACGTTTGGCCCGAGCGTACCCTGCGCGTTTATTCTGCAGCAATACTGCAACGGGGGCGATATGCAGAACTACGTCTTAGGCTCGGCACAAGCTTCCACGACGACGCAAGAACTCAAAGAACGAATTCGTCGCAAGTCGAGGGGGGAAACGGACCTTCCTCGGCGCGCAAATGAACCCAAAAAGTTACACTTCGACGAGATTTACAATTTTTTCAAAGACATTACCTCGGGCTTGAGGCACCTTCATCATAACGGCTTCATTCATCGAGACCTGAAACCGAGCAACTGCCTGTTACACACGGTTGGTGGCGAAACCAGAGTCCTGGTTAGCGACTTCGGCGAAGTCCAGTACGAATATGCTACTCGAAAATCCACCGGTGCTACAGGGACTATATCCTACTGCGCTCCCGAAGTGCTTCGACGCATCTCTCCGGGCGGGCCTTTTGAGAACTTTACGTCCAAGTCCGACATCTTCTCGCTGGGCATGATCCTACACTTCCTCTGTTTCGCAACCCTGCCTTACAACTCCGCAAACGTCCTTCATGAAGAGCGCGAAGACGTAGACGAATTGAGAGAAGAGATTACTAACTGGGGAGGATTTGACGACCAGCGCAAATTGCGTCCCGAGCTACCGCCGGCTCTTTACTCTTTTCTCAAGCGACTCTTGTCCCTGAATCCAGATGAACGGCCAAGCGCAGACGACGTCCTCCAGGTCGTTTCGTCCGGTCGACTTGATGACATTCCCGCTGCGCGGAGGCGAAACTCAATGGAGCCAGAGGAGTTGACGCCGGGCCGACGGATTCAAAAGTTGGATACACCACAGAAAGGGAACTCCCCACAGGGTAGACCAAGCCTTGATATGGGATCCAGGTCGAAACGATCATTCTTCAGGGCTACGAGGTCTGTGTCTCAAGAGCCGAAAAATGCCGAAGCAGTCATCAGTGATCACGGTTACACAAGCGGCAGCGAAGCGGACCGTGAACAACGTGCACCCAAAGCCTCCATGTCGACACGGCGCGAGTCTGGCAATCTCAGGCTTAATAGCACTATGATCCTGCGAGCCAAACGGGCCTCAGCGTCTCTCCCTTCCTCCCCTCTAAAAAAGTCTCCCACCACTTCCCCAGTCCGGCAACAGCTTCTCCTCGAACCCGCACAACAGCTCGATCGATCAGCTCTTTCTCTCTTCCTCGATCGAATCTATACTTTCCTCAACGCGCCTATCACTTCTCCCTCTACCCGTCTGGCCATACTCGGTGTAAAATTATTCATCACTCTCCAACCTTGCCTATCTCAGGGCATGAATGCGATAGTCGTCTATCCTATCATTGCCACCGCATTACTTGAGTTTTCGCTGACACATTTACGGATATGGAAAGCCTTAATCGCTATGCTGGCCCACGTCTTTGTGCTTTCGTTCGCATGGAGAACGGATAGGTTGTGTCAAGGCTCGAACGGTGGGTGGATGCACTGGGACGACGGTGACTGAGAATTTTGAGCCCATATATATCAAGAGCACAAAAAGCATGTTTTGACCGATCCAGGGAGGCTCGAGTTGCTTGGTCGGAGGAACACACAATGTCTTTTGCTTCCCATTGCGAAGATGTACCCTCCCGATGCCTATGAACCCCATGCAGGTCTCGCTATCGACCCCATCGGTCTGCCTCGACCGACTCGTGGTATTCCTTACCTTGCCTGCGATCGACCTCCTCAGGGGTGCGGAACGCCCCTTCTCCTCGCCTTGCACCAATACCCGTCAATTGTAATAGGCAAATATCTCAAATGGGAAGCTGAAAAACGTCATGTCAACACTATCAGGCCTCATTGGAAGTGAGGCCTGTGGGCATAGGGGCTTATGTGAATCTGTTCTGGGTCTTCTTGCAGCGGAATGCGGTTACGAGGGTGTTGTCACCCGAACCAAGATAAACACTAATACACATCCTTCCACAACCAGCGAAACGGCACGGTTATGTTCATGGTATCTAAGTGCAGTGGCTTGACATACGACTTCGTGTCACTAACATGCCTGGTTGAAGGGGCGCTGAACGTCATCCATTCCACATAATGTCTATCAAGTCTATCTGTTTGAGCACTGACTATGTCTTATGCAACAACGGTCTCCACTCGTTGGCCCTTTTTGTCGAACATCACCTTCTGGCCGGTTTTCAAGCTTTCCTGGAGAGCCTCTGCGATGGTCAGCGACGTCAGCGCATCCCGCACAGGGATTGGCATAGGGTCTCCATCCATCAGAGCATCGACCCAAGACCTAGCCTCGGTGACGAACGCAGCTTCATATCGATCATACCACCCTGGTGTAGGCTCGACCTTGACGAACCCATCGCTGTCGCACAGCTCTACACGGTTTCGCCGCGGGGTCATGTTGATGGAGATTTTGCCCGCTGTGCCAAATACTTCGGTTGCGTTGTCGTAACCATGGGCTGCCGTCCGGGAATTATAAAAGTACGCAATCTTGCCGTCCCAGAACTCGCAAATGCCGACAGCGTTGTCGGCATCGCCGTCTTCGGCCAGCTCAGTGTGTATCGCAGCCACGCCTGAAGCTGATACTGACTTTGGCCGGGACTCCAGCCCGAATAAGAAAAGTGACAAGTCGATGTCGTGGATGATGCTGTCGAGAAATATGCCCCCAGAGGCCTTGAGATACTGTTTGAAAGCGACGCTCGTGTCGAGCTTTTCACATCCCTGAGACCGGATGATGATGGGTTTCCCGATTCTGTTTGCTTGGATCTTCGCATAGGCGTCCTGGTAATTCTCATCGAATCTCCGGACGAACGCAACCATGAGTTTTGTCTGAGGATTTGCCTCGACTCTATCCATCAGTAGACGCAGCTGCGTGTTTCCGTGAGTTTGTGTCTGTATTATCAAAGCGCAAGACGGGGAAATAGGTACTCACCTCAGGCAGCGAGGTACAGACCGGCTTTTCACACAAAACGTGAATGCCTCGATCTAAAGATGCCGTCGTGTGTTCCAAATGCAGCTCTGTGGCCGAGGCGATAATCACGGCCTCCAGGCCCGGGGTCTGGATCATTTCTTCAAAGGTGGCATAGACCTGAACCCCGTGCGGGACGAGATGCTCGTCCGCCCAGATGAGATCCTGTTCGGCCGGGGAACATGCACAGAGCAGCCTCGCCCTTGGGACGCGCCAGAGGACGTTCATGGCATGTCGGCGTCCCATGCGGCCAATGCCCACCACGCCGACATTCAGCTTTCTCGCCGGCGAACTCGTGCCATTCAAAAAACTCTTCTCAACGCCGTTCACTCCAATGGACCCCATGATCTCGTCGGGTTCGCTCTGGAAATCTCGCTTTCAGTGATATTGAGCGGGACGGTTGGTTTTTCAAATGCCGACAACAAACATGAAAGAAACAGGGGAGGCAAGATACAAGAAAGATTACGATCTTGATAATAATAGATGAGACATCTCATTTTCGCACTTCCCCGTCTGGTATTAGATGCTACAGTATCTCGGACAGGTCGACTTGTGGGGTCTCGCGAAAGGGCTTCCGTAGTATCTGGGATTCGAATCCCGAAGTGGCCACTCCGTCGGCCCTTCGCCGACATTCTCGTAGCAAATGCCGACGGCGTCGGTATGAGCTGGATCAAGGCGTCCATCACGTCCACGTTCCGATATGACTTGACACAGGAGACAGTGTATGCGTCCTCGCACACGGGATCTACCAGTCAATATGGTTTGCCTGGTCGAGGTCGTCGTTGTCTCATCCAGCTTCCTCGTTGGATTGATGCCATGTTGCGGCGAGGGTTCTTCTAGCGACTGGGAAGAATAACGTAACTCCTATCACCGGCGGAAAGCCAGCATATTAGACATGTCTCAGTGCCGCAGTCTTGAGCCACTCGAGTAGTTGGGCCTTGGATTGGAAGGACAGCCCGGCACGCTTAACAATATTCAGAGACAGTGCCAGATTCTCCTCGCCAAGGTAGTCAAGTGTGTGGATCATGGGCAGGATTAAATTTGTGATGATGTCGTTTCTGTATTCCCATTCCTGAGAAATACAGAACCCGATGAACTTCACCGAAATGTGGTCTTTTCACTGGATATCGAAAGCCTTCGTTCCATTTTGTTGGGGTACGATCTTGTTTGAAGAGATGGACGGTTCCTAAAGTGATGCAGGTATAGGTTGTTGGATATAGAGCTAAGGACAAAGATTTCGATTTTCACGTGAGATCTGCTTTTCCAGACCTCAATGATTCGCTCTAGCTCCTTTGCATACATATCAGAAGCACCTCCTTGCCGTGGACAGCCGGTTCCATGCCATACTACCAGCACTTCCTTGCCCATTGACTTGGGAGGCAAAAGTAGGGAAAACCATCATCGTCAGCCATCTCAGCCGATGGTGCACAACAGCTCCAGCAAGACCACGTCACAGGCCACCGTCTTGCACCCTCAAATCTGCACAGGACGGGCGCGGGATGGAATTTACACCTCCTTGTCGACGATGGAGCCGCGCATCTGCGCATGCAAGACGGAGGTTTGCAGGACCTCGACCTCCTCGCCGGCCGCGTGGTCACCAAATGCCTCGTCCATCTCCTCCAGCGTCTTGCCCATGGTTTCGGGGACGAGGAAATAGGCCCAGATACCGGCCAGGAAGCAGAAAGACGCGAAGAAGATGTACGTCCCGTACCGGATGGACTGCAGCATGGGAGGGGTGGCGATGCCGACGGTGAAGTTCGCGAGCCAGTTGACCGCCACGGCTAAGGCGACTCCCTTGGAACGACACGACGTCGGAAACACTTCGGGCGGCAGCGTCCAGCCCAGGGGCGAGTACGAGACACCATAGACGAGGATGAAGGCGAATGCCATGGCCACACACCCCCACCCGGCGGCCTTGTGGGCGGCCCAATCCTTTTCGTACAGTCCGGAGAGGATGGCGATGATGATATAGCAGGCTGCACTGCCAAAGCCCCCAATGATGGCCAGAGGGCGACGGCCGACCAGATCGATGATGCTGAAGCAAATGAACACGGCAACGAGTTGCAGGATGTTGAAGACGCCAGAGAGGATCAGGGCCATCTCGGCAGACTGGCCGATGGACTCGAACAGCGTGGGCGCGTAGTAGATGAAGGCGTTGATGCCGGAGAACTGCTGGAAAAAGCACACGCCCGCGCCGACGGCGACCCGGCGCCACATCTTCTTGGTAAAGAGGTCCATCCAGGTCAGGATCTCCAGCTTGACCCCGCGGGCGCCCGGGTGCTTCTTCTCCTGTAGGATGTGCTGGAACTCGACCTCGGCCAGGATGCCGCGGTATTCGGTTTGGACCCGGCTGTCGTCCTGGGGCAGCCGGCGGAGCTTCGCCAGGCTCTCGAGGCACTGGCTGGGGCGGTTGACCAGCGCCAGCCACCGAGGCGAGTAGGGGAAAAAGTGGATGCCCACGCCCAGGAGCGTGGCCGACACCATCTGCAACCCCAGGGGCAGTCGGAACGCGATTTCGCCCGCCAGGGACTTCGTGCCGTAGGTGATCCAGAAGGCGATCACGACGCCCGAGACGATCGAGATGGATTCGAGGACGAGGAGTGTGCCGCGCAGATTCGGGGGTGATACCTCGGAGATGTAGAGCGGTGCACCCTGTTCAATACTCAGTCAGACCAACGCCTCCTTCTTCTCTCTCTCTCTCTCTCTCTCTCTCTGTGTGTGTGTGTGTGTGTGTGTGTGTGTCATCGAGGGGGGAGAACTCTTACCATCGCCAGTGTCCCCACGCCGATACCTCCAATCGCTCGCCCGGCGACGAGCACGCCGTAGCTCCGCGCTGACGTCTGCATGATGGCCCCGATGTTGAAAATGACCACGACGACGGTCAGCGCCCACTTGCGCGAGATCCGGTCCGCGAGCGAGGGGAAGAACAGGCACCCGACGAAGCAGCCCAGCTGCAACATGGCCGTCATGAAGCTCTTGCCGAACGCGGTGTTGGTCTGGGAAAACACGTCGTGGAACTGAGGCATGACGTTGATGATGGAGATCACGCCCTGGTCGTAGCCAAACGAGAAGCCGCCCAGGGAGGCGAGGAAGGCCGCGCCAAAGACGAACGACGAGCCGACGAGCCCGCGCATGCTGCTTGGGCCGTACACCACGTGTTCCGCCAGGTGGATCGGCAGCTGCTCGGCCGCGACGACCGGGGCGTTTTCTTCATGTTGGGTGATGGCATAGGACGTGCCGGTGTCGGCACCTTTGGGATGTAGTTCACCCTCAGTCGACATGATGAGGATTGCTGTCTTTCCTGCAACGACTTGGTCTAAGGAGGTATCCAGGATGTATCTGCCCTAAGGAGAATTGAAGGTGAGGGAAGTCTGAGCAGCGTTTGACCGAACTCCACCACGAACCCTTCGACCGTGCCTCCAGCATATTTATATTCGGTCAGTCTGGGGCCCCAGCGTGTGGTAGTGCTGAGGTGGGTTGCGGAGGTGCACACTTCCCCCAGAAAAAAGCTTGTCGTCATTCGCCACCAATCGGAGGCCGGGATCTGGCTCCCGAATCGGAATTCGATGTCCCAGAGCGGAAATGGGCAGCGCGACTCAACCCTTGACAGCGTCACAGTGAGCGGCGTGAGGGATCCTCCAAGATCATCACCACTAAGTTCGTCGAAGTCGGTGTTTCCCCGGGATGGGGTGGCGCGCATGGTACAAGTCTCCGCATGCCCGGTCCGGAGATGAAACGGCGCCAACGGTCTCGTGTTGCTGCGGCACCCTTGCGGTACTTGCTCAGTCCTGCAATGTTGGATTCGGCGAGGAGCCTCTTTTCACGTCTTTGACACCGCACTGATCACTATCCCGGATGCCTGCACAGTCAAATGGCGAGAGCACTGGCTCCGCCCCGAGGCATCGCCCCAAAGCATCCGGTCTGCTTTGGCACCCAGGGTTCCTGATTCCATGCGGAAACTCAACGCTACTCCAGGACTAGCTTTCGGCCACTCTGAGCGACCATCAGAAAGGAAGATCACGAGAGAGAGAGAAAGGAGTCCCTTGCTCGGATTCGCTCTTGGGTCACGTCCAGCAGCGTGGTTCAGAGAACTTTAGTAGCTTGAGCAATCCCGGAGGCGACTTTCGAGATTCGGGTTCCGCTCATGGTCCCCCGGGCAATTGCATCGTCCAGCCGCCATGGATGGAATGAGGGCTTCCTGGGAACCTTCACGTTGCTCTTCACTCGTTCAATCAGCACGACACCTGAAGACTGAAGCAGGAGGGCCGCTTCTACTGTCACCTGATTGCTTTAATGCTTAGGTTTGATAAATGCTTGCAGTCCCACACTACTCGGATTCTCGATTCCGACCGCGGCTCTTCTGCAGTGACCTGATCGTCTCTCGCTGAACGACATGTTTCGAAGCAACAGGTCAAAAAGGCATTTGTTTCTTCTGCCCCAAAGCCAGGCATTGATTGTTTCGCACTCTCGATATTGCCCTTTCCAAAAGTTCAAACAATCTCGAGTTCACCATGTCGCCCTACGACCATAGCCTCAGCGCCATCATCATTGGCGCTGGGCCCGCAGGCATCGCCATGGCGTACCGATTGAAGCATGATCTGAAGTTCGAAGACTTCACCATCTACGAGAAACTCGACGGTGTGGGAGGCACGTGGAGAACAAACACATATCCAGGCTGGTACGACAGCATTTAACTCCTGGGAGCGCAAGCGGGCGAACTAACATACGTGGCAGTGGCTGCGATCTACCTTCGCATCTATACTCATTCAGCTTCAATCTCAACCCGAACTGGTCAAAAGAGCTCTGTGAGCAGCCGGAAATCCTTCAGTGTAAGCACCTTCGCGCTCCCTGAAGACCCTGATTCATGAGATTGATGGATATCAGATATGGAGGACACGGTCGACAAGTTCGAGCTCCGCCCGCACATACACACCCAGGTAGAGTGCTTGGGCGCTCGGTGGAACACTCAATCGGAGAAATGGGACGTCCAGCTCAAAGACCTCAAGACTGGGATCCAGTATGAGCGATCGGCGTCGGTCTTTGTCTCTGCCGTGGGCGCCATCTCTTACCCTCGCGACGTCAAATTCCCCGGGATGGAAAAGTTCCGTGGACCAATGTTCCACACCGCCCGGTGGGATCACACGGTCGAATATACGGGCAAACGGGTCGCCGTGATCGGGAACGGGTGCAGCGCCGCGCAAGTCGTTCCAGCCATTGCTCCGAAGGCGGGCTTCATCAAACAATACGCCCGCAGCGGCCAATGGTACCACCCTCGGCCGAACCACCAGTTCACGGGCTTCGAGAAGTTCTTGTTCCGCTGGCTCCCGCTGTGGCAGCGCCTTCTGCGTCTGCGCATCTTCCTGGACGCCGACGAGCAGACGACGACCTACTTCCCCACCCCGAAGGGGACCAAGGCGCGCATCGCCGCCGAGGAGGAGTCCAAGAAGTACATCTACGCCCGAGCGCCGCAGAAGTACTGGGATTTCATTGTGCCGGACTTCCCGCTGGGCTGCAAGCGCCGCATCTTCGACCCGGACTACCTGGACGCGCTGAACCTGCCCAACGTGCAGCTGCTGAACCACGGGATCCAGGAGATCACGGAGACGGGCATCGTCAGCTCCGGCGGCGTGCAGGACGACTTCGACATCATCGTGCTGGCGACGGGCTTCCAGGTCGCGCAGTTCCTGACCCCGATGGAGATCGTCGGCGCGCACGGCCAGACCCTGTCGCGGCAGTGGAACGAGTCGCGCGGCGCGCAGGCGTACCTGGGCACCTACGTGCACAACTTCCCCAACCTGGCCATCCTGTTCGGGCCCAACACCTTCCCGGCCAACAACTCGGCGCTGTTCGCGCTCGAGACCCAGGTCAACTACGCCATCAAGTCGCTCTTCACGCCGCTCCTCGACGGCCGCGCCCGCGTCATCGAGGTGAAGCCGGCCGCCGAGGAGCGCGAGACGCAGGCCGTCCACCAGGGCCTGCAGAAGACCGTCTTCGCGGGCGACTGCTCCAACTGGTACATCGGCGCGCACGGGCGCAACGCCGCGTCGTGGCCCGGTCGCGCCATTTCGTTCTGGTGGCGCACCTTGGTCCCCGAGTGGAAGGCCTTCAATATGGAAGGCGGATCCCGGCTGTGGCGGCTGCGGGCGTTGAAGCGCAGTCTGAGTGACCAGTCGACTCTGCTGGCGACGCTGGCGGTCTTCGTGGTCGCGGCGTATACCTTCTACCCAGACATGCCTCGCAGATTGCCTTATGCGCTACCTTTTGTTTCGGGGCAGTTTAGAGCGTGAAAAAAAAGGGTGCAGTGAAAACCCTGGTAATTTGATTGTTTCCCCTACGGAGAGTGTTATCGGGTGATGATAGAGGGGGAAGAGAGAAAGCCGCTGTGACGAGAAATAGTAGATATACCGCATTGAGATTGCCGGACGTTCGCGGGAGATAGAAATTATCGTCTTCGTCCCTTTTCTTTTTTTTTCCCCAAAGTCCTATTTCTTATAAACCGGGCGCGTCGCTCGGGATACTGCCAGAGCCTCCCCCCAACATCCTCGACCGTTTCGAAGCGTGATCGAACCGGGAAGCCTGCGCCGCACGACCCCGTTTGGCGCCCAGCTTGATCTCTCTCCGCCGCTGATTCCAGTGGTTCTGCAGAGCGATCAGGTCCTCGCGGCTGCGCTTGGCAGACTCGAAGGACTGGCCTAGCTCGTCCAGCGCCCTGAAGCAGGTGTTGACGTCCCTGGCGAAATTGGACGCTTCGTCCAGACCACCACCGCCGCCGCCGCGGTGTTGCTGGCGCTCTGAGGATTCTTCGGCGATCAAGCCGAAAATCAGGATCAGCGACGCGGAGAAGATGATGGTGACGACGTAGACGTTCATCGTCCGGAACCCGTAGTGGGATTCGTAGGTTCGCAGCAGCGCCGCTATCTCGGACGCGGCGTTGAGACATACGCTCCGTGCGTGCTGGAACCCAGGCCCGATTTTCCCGGGCGGCTGCGAGCCTTTGGACGTCCACGGCCGGTGGATGAGGATGCAGAAGTTGTGGTAAGCCATGCTGTGCCACCCCCTCGAATTAGCCCCCGAAACTTTTCAAGAAACCAATATGCAACGGGTCTATGCTTTGCTGGATAGACTCACTGAAGGAGAAGCACTTGTGGAAGAGTCGGTTGGTCGTGCTGGATGTTTATGGCCTCGGGAATGGACTCTGGCCACTTGAGAAAGCGGCTGGACGTCTGAGAGGAGAGGTTTTGCAAGGCGTTTTTCGAGATTTTAGCACAGCCGTATCTGTTTCCAGTGTCAGCCTCGGAAAGTGCAAGATAGGTTACATTGGACAAGACACACAGTACGCGGATGAGAGGAGCGAGCTCTTCGCAAAAGTATACCCATTGTTCCAAGACGAGACAAGACAGGCTTTTGAGCCGTTGCGACGTGTGACTTAGTGGAGATGCGGTTGACGACGTTGTCGGCCACAAGGCCAACGAGTCAGAGTGCGACAGGAGCGTGGATCCCAGCCGTTTGACCGTAAGCTCCTCGCTATCGACTCGGAACGGACGCCCCAGGCTAAAGCTCCAGATACTAGACAAGGTCAGAGACCGACAGGTCAAACGGGGACGAGCCAGACGAACTGATTGACCACGAGACAGCTCCAAAAGCAGGTCCTGCGCGCCTCTGCCTCTTGAACAGTGAATAAGCCCTGGTCCACGTACGGGTCACTGTCGATATGGAGGCCAAGGTCGAAAGACAGCCTCATAGCGCTCCCTAGGGTCTGTAAATAACCGTACGTGATCCACGAATCGTGGCGCTCTTACCGCTGTACAACCACAGGCGCGCATCTCGACCAGCTGCGGCTTCGTGGCTACTCAGTAAGAGCATCGTCTGCAACGTAGACATGCAGGGACTGTCAAGCTCCAGCTCCAGCAACACCTTGCTCTTGTCGCCAAAGTATTCAGCCAAGGATTTCGGGAACGTGATGAAGGAATGATGATAGCGTCCTTCGAACGCGGCACCCAGTGCACACCTAGCGCAATTAGGGATCTGAGATCAGAGAAAGTGTGCCAGTCGTGGAGGGTTACTTACATGGCAGCTATCAGAGCTTGAGAGCAATAGGTGCTTTGGCCGTGAATGCCTTCGGTGCGGGCGGCTTCAAACATGGCCCGGTCGACCGTCAGGTGGCCCGGGTTGTGCCATTTGAAGAAGAGGTCGAGAAGGTGTGCTTCTAGAGCCTCGGGGACTTCAAGGTCCAACTCGGCGTTTTCCAGGGCGATGAGTGCTTCCCGCCTCATTTCTTGCGCGTCGACCATCTCTTCCCGGCGGGTGCTGTTGGCCAGGAAGTGGTGGTTCGCAGCACTCCCGTAGTAACGCACTCTCCCATCTGCCCCGACGCGCAAGGATCCGAAGCGAGCAGCAAGGCGAGGCACAATATCCGTCTCGAGCTCATCCTCCGAAGTCGAGTCCGATCCAAGCTGGTCGTTCGAGTTCACGTTCCTGTTTTGCACTTGCCCTGCAGTTTGGCCAGCGTTGAGTGGCTCGCGATTCGTGGCAGGATATACCATGGAGAAGCCCGAAAAATCGTTGAAGAGTTGCCATGGCCAGTCCGACGGACTCCCGTCCCAGGGATCCGACGCGGTGAAATCTGCCCAGCTCTGCATGTCGAAGGCCATCGAGGGATCAGACTGCCCTTCGACCGGCAGAGCATTGAAGGCAACGTCCTGAGCGATGGGTGCACCACCTGCGAACTGGGCGTTTTCCGTCCCATCGTTGGACCCCGGCAGAGGCGCGAGATCGGTCTGCGCCTGGGGAAATGGGAGGACTGATCTCAAGGGCAGTTCCAAGCTGGCGCAGATTTGCTCGAGCACGGATTCATCGGCCAGCGTGAGAGGAGGCAGGGGGAGGTTGTTCTGCACTGCCAACTCGGTCAAGCGCTCGACCCGCGCAAACAATACGTCGACTGCAGTCCTCAGGGACACCCTATTCTCGCACTGTCAGAGGAACGGCGGCCGTGCCAGGTCTTTCGCCTCCATACATACTTGCGCTTGTCATCCTTGGTGGAATACTGACAACGTCTCCCCTTCTTGGTGCAGGTCAGGCATGCTGGACGAGCTCCGTCGCACTGGGTCTTTGGTTAGTTGATGCCATTTGCCACCACCACCACGACTCCTCTGGGGCTTGGGTACTTTGATCTTGCTGTCTCGACAGATTTGGCATGCGGTCGTGGTATGTTTCCGCTGCATCCTGGCAGGAGAAGAGGGGATGTCATTGGGGCGACTACATCTAGGTAAGATATTTCGAAGCCCATTGTGCGCGATATCAGAGACTTGCAACGGAACAAATCCCCACTCACCCCGCTTCCAAATCTTGTCCCCGCGCTGAAGGAGACGAGGACTCTCGCTGTTGCATGGGCGAATGATGGGCGACGTCAGCTTGGTCTGCGTTATTGGTGAAAAGGCCCCAGAGCTTTGGAAGGGCCATTGAGACTCTTCTTTCAGCCCTAAAACACAAGCATCTCACTTCCCTCGTTGTCGCTTTCGTCCTGGGAAGAAGGTCCTTGGAATGTACGGCAACCCATTTTCCGAACGCCACCCACACCGTTTGCCGGACGGGCGATATGCACTCGGAACATGGATCCCGCAGCACTGGAGACATCGCATCAAATGCCGACCTCGTTGGACACGGAATGGGGGAGCGGTGGCCCGGGATATTGCAGACAGCCCAGCGGAGAGGGAGACTCGTTGCTTACACGATGTGCTCTTTGCGTGATTTGAGCCATATATCCACGACATATACCATGACGAGCGGTGAGGCAACTATTCTCTCAGGCCTCTTGCGTGCTATCCAACATGGGGAGTCTCGCTCCAGGATATTGTGAAGCGTCCCTTTCGCAGGTACAATTGACTCGCCCTCTCTCCGACCTACAACAGCCCTCATTAACACTGATTGATAGTTGAATAACCGTGGACTATTTATATCAGAAGCGTTCGTCGGCGGCAAATGGGTCAAAAAGGACAAGAAATTCGCCGTTATCGGTAGGGACAGCTTACGCCTCTCCAAAGCTCTTTGGCTGACGACGGTTGCAGAGCCGTCCAGTACATCTGTCCTTGGTGAAGTTGCCGATTGCGACCTAGAAGATTTCCAGACAGCCATCAGCGATGCCTACGATGCCCAACGGAAGTATTTCGCCAGTACCACCGGCACGGCAAGAGGATCGCTCCTCCGTCGGTGGAACGATCTAATTCTGGCAAACAAGCGAGACTGTGAGCCAATCGAGACATGTGGTGTATCTGGGTACTGATGTCTTCCGCAGTGGCTACCATCCTCTCTCTTGAAAATGGCAAGACCTACGCTGAGGCCGAAGGAGAGGTCGTATACGCGGCAAGCTTTGTGTCCTGGTTCGCCGAGGAAGCCACCAGGAGCTACGGCGTCACCATCCCTTCGTCCACCGCCAACACCAGTGTTTTCACGACCAAGGAGCCTGTTGGAGTGTGCGGCATAATTACGCCGTGGAACTTCCCTGCCGCCATGATCACCAGGAAAATTGCGCCAGCGTTGGGCGCCGGCTGCGCCGTGGTTATCAAGCCCCCCAGCGAGACACCATTCACATGTCTGGCATTGACAAAGCTGGCTGTCGAGGCAGGGCTTCCAGGGAGCGTCATCCAAGTGTGCCCGACCAAAAACCGCGAAGCAGCCCTGGAGCTCGCAACCAATCCACTGGTACGGAAGATCAGCTTCACCGGGTCGACCGCCGTGGGAAAAATGCTGGCAAAGCTGGCAGCCGGGACTCTAAAGAGAGTGAGCCTGGAGCTCGGAGGGAATGCACCCTTCATTGTCTTCAAAGACGCCGACCTGGATCTGGCGGTCGAAGGGGCCATGTTCTGCAAGTTCCGCTGCTCGGGCCAAACCTGTGTCTGGTAAAGTGGTCCCCAGAGACTCCGCGATGAGCGTAGAAACTGACAGATTTGACAACAGTGCCAATCGTCTGCTCGTGCAGAATGAGGTGGTGCCGGAGTTCACGAAGAGGCTTGTCGCAAAGGTGTCTGCCTTGAGTAACGGCCCCGGACTCGATCCAAAGACCACCCAAGGCCCGTTGGTGAACAAGGCCGCCGTCCAGAAGGTAGCCAGCCATGTTCAGGACGCCGTCGACAAGGGCGCAAAGGTTGAAATTGGAGGCACGCCCGGGTCAGGCGACGGATTCTACTACGTGCCTACGGTCCTAAGCGGCGTGACCAAGGACATGCTGGTCGCCAACGACGAGACGTTTGGGCCCTTGGCCCCAATTTTCGGCTTCGAGACGGAAGGCGAGGCTGTCGAATTGGCCAACAACACGGAATTCGGATTAGCAGGGTATTTCTTCTCCAGGGACGTCAACCGCATCATGAGAGTCTCCCAGCAACTTCAGGTCGGTATGGTCGGGGTCAACACTGGGAAGATCTCGGCTGCTGAGGCCCCCTTCGGAGGAGTCAAGGAGAGTGGGTACGGCCGGGAGGGTAGTTTACATGGCATGGACGAATATCAAGTCATCAAGAGCGTGACAATTGGCAACCAGGACAGATAGACCTTAGATATTGTAGGGGATTGAATCTCTCCTTGCCAACATAGACAACCCAAGACTCCCTCTTCATTCTCGCTCTTCTGACAAACGATTACCGTGGCTGTAGCCACTGGGTCAGTCAAATAGCGTATCTCTCACGGCGGCCAGTCGCTGCTTCAGCGCAGTTAAGGCTTAGAGCCAAGGTACTCAAAGAAAAAGCGCAAACTCGTAGATTCAGGTATCGATTACGACTTTGATGACGAGATTCCCGTCTGAATCTTGGGAACTTCCTGCCAAACCGAAGGCGTCCTGGACATTCTCCAAGCCCTTGTGATGGTGGGTGATGATCTCCCTGATATCCGGCTTAACCGACCCCTCCGCGACCTTGGTCATTAGGTCTATCGCTTCTTCGTAGCAGTTGGCATACCTCCAGGTCGACATCAGGTCGACCTCGCGTGCCCCAGCTTCAGATAGCGGCAAGGTGTGGTTCGGGGTGCCCATCCCGACCAACATGACACGGCCCCCGGACTTGGTGGCCTAGAGAGAGATCTTAGTATCGAGCACCATTGGTTATCAGGTCGCGCTCCGGCACTTACATAAATCGAGCTCTGGACGCATGACGGGACTCCTGTACACTCAAAGGTGATTGAGGGCTTTCCCACTGGCCCTCCTTCTGGCCAGTTCTGCGAGGCAATATCTCGAGCAAGGGCTTGTGCATTGGCCATTTCCTCCTCAACGTTGGAGGCTCTTCGTCGGTCCACCACCCACCCCACCTGGGCGAAGCCCTTCTGCAGGGCAAAGTTGACGCGGCGCTTGTCAATGTCACACATGACAATGCGTGCACACCCCTTAGACCGGGCCACTGCGGCACAAAGTAGTCCCACCGCCCCAGCTCCAAAGACGAGACAAGTAGAAGCAGGTGTCACCCCGGCTCGTCGCACCGCATGACAAGCCACGGAAAGCGGTTCAAGCAGAGCGCCGTCGTCGAAGGTCAAGCAATCAGGCAATCTTCGATGGGGTCAGCTACAGCATCTATCAGTGAAAAACAAAGCGTACTGCACTCACCTATGTACCCATTTTGCCGGATGGATGATCCTTTCCTGCAGCGTACCCTGGAAATGTGGGAAGGCGGAACCACTCGATCGGAAACGCAGCTTTGGACAAAGATTGTATCTCCCCTCAACGCAGAGTTCGCATTCTGAACAAGGCACTCCGCACTCGACTGCCACTCTATCCCCCGGTCGCAGGCCGTTCACGGCGGTGCCCACGGCCACAACGTCACCCGCCGACTCATGTCCCAGGCAAAGCGGTTCCTTGACGGTTATGCTTCCATTTCGACCGTGGGCGTAGTAGTGCAGATCTGAGCCGCAGATGGTCGTTGATCGAGGAGCAATTTCCACCTCCTCCGGCCCCAGCTTTCCTATCTCGACTTCCCTCAATTGTAACTGCTTGGGATGAAGGAGGTATTGCCCACGGCTGACCGTTGATGGAAGTCCCATGGTTACAAATAAGTTGACAGGGCAATCGATGTTGGAGAAGCTGTCAAATATGCAGCATGGGTGTGCGAAACAAATGAGAGGATGTTTTGTCAGGAATCGCTTCAATAACGCACTTTGCAAACCGTCACTCTCCTGCAAGGATGAACGGTGGTCACCATCTCTGTTTACGAGAGAATGGGTTAGGTTGCATCCAAAGCCCTTGAAGATGGACTCTCTCGTCGGAAGAGCTTGAGTGTCCCGAGAGTCCGCTTCCGGGATCCATATCCCGTTCCATTTCTCCATCATCTCGGGGCCCATTCGACATTGTTGGTTGATAGCGACCAAGGCTTAGGTTCCATGGTACTGCGTACGCTATGGGTATTCCAAGCGTATACAGAGAACAGGAAAAATTCCACGATAGAAGACACGGCTGCGGTTTGATAGCAATGATATGGGAGTTGCTAATAACAACGCGGAGCACAGCGCTGCGGGATCAGGCTTAGCGGAATAGGGGCGGGTGGGGCTAGTGAGGCTACTTGTTACTTTGCGGCTGCTAATATCAACCTACCTTGACCACCTGATGATACCCTCTTGGTTACAGCAAACACTATCACTATCCAGACCAACAAGCATAATCCAAGCGGAAATTCCTATCGGCTCCGTGATGCTACGATCCACGAACACAATGTCCCCAATCGATTCTGATCCGGTGGAGCCAGGAATCTGGTTTCCGATGGGTCTTGTCGTTACCATCTGCGAGGTCCAACATCATCGGCACTTCAGTCCAGACTCAGCGTATTCCCATATGTGGGCAGAGATTGGCCACTCCTCGGTCTGCAGACATGGATGCCCATTTATCAAGTCTTACTCTCTCCCCTTTCCTCACGCTTCTCAATGAAGCATCTTGAATCGCGGTTTCGGATCGTCCAGACCTTTCTCTACCGACACAATGCATTACAGAGAGACAGCAGGGTCGACTTCTGGCCCAGATGTGCTATCAAAGGGGGCGGATGCCCCCAGTGGGCTCGTTAACACACTTTCCACGGCAATCAAAGAGGATCAGGCTACCTCGTCTGAAACAAACGGAAGGCACCACAGCCTGGACAGCGACGACGATGTCGCGGTTCTGGCGTTGAGAAACCTGATTTTCGACATATGTAATCAGAACGGCGGCGGCCACGGGGGCTCGGCCATTGGCATGAGTGCAATCGGAGTGGCCCTTTACAAGTACATCATGCGATACAACCCTCTGGATTCAGAATGGTTTGACAGGGACCGATTTGTGCTCTCGAATGGTGAGTAAAACGCGGTTCTCGCGGCATGGCTTCCACCTCAGTGGGTTCTAACAATCGCGTCAGGTCACTGCGCCATGTTTCTCTACGCACTCAACCACCTGGTCGGTTTCCCGAATTGGACCATGGACGAGTTGAAAGGCTACGGAAGTGCAAAGACGAACGGATACACGACCATCTGCCACGCCCACCCGGAAATCGAAGTCCCGGGAGTGGAGGTCACGACGGGGCCTTTGGGCCAGGGCATCGCCAACGCGGTTGGACTCGCCATCGCTTCCAAGAACCTCGCGGCCCGGTACAACGAACCTGGCTTGGACGTGGTGAAGTCTCGGATCTACTGCATGACCGGCGACGGCTGTCTGATGGAAGGCGTGGCGCTGGAGGCGATTTCTCTGGCCGGCCACCTGCAACTAGACAACCTCGTCCTGATCTACGACAACAACGCAGTGACCTGTGACGGACCGCTTGACTGGATCAACAGTGAGGACGTGAATGCGAAAATGAGAGCTTGCGGCTGGAAAGTGCTGGAGATCGAGGACGGCAGCTATGATGTCCAACGCATCGTCCAAACGCTGCGGAGCGCAGGGGAACACAGGGGCCAGCCAGTCTTCGTCAATATACGGACAGTCATCGGGATCGGGACGCAGGTCGCGGGCACGGCAAAGGCGCACCACGGCGCCTTCGACGAGCTCAGCGTGCGAAAGTCCAAGGAGCTCGCCGGCCAAGATCCCTCGACCACACATCAAGTGCCTCCCCGCGCGATGTCGTATTTCCGAGAGCGCCAAGCGAACGGAGAAGGCCTGCAAGCGGAATGGAATGCCCTGCTGGACGAATATGCCGCCAAACACCCGAAAAAGGCAGCTGACCTGTCGGAACGGCGACAAGGCGGGCTCGGAAGCCGCTGGGAAGAGGTCCTGGACGGCATCGACTCTGCGCGCTTTCGGGGCCAGGCGACGCGCGACAGCAACGGGGCGGTGATGGAGGCGATGTGGCCGGTGTGCGGCGCGCTGTTCGGCGGCGGCGCCGACCTGGTCACCTCCAACAAGCTCTACTACTCCCGGTCGGACGTGTTCCACCCTCCGGACGGGTTTGCAGGACGGTACATCCGGTACGGGATCCGCGAGCACGCCATGGCGTCGATATCGAACGGCATCGCGGCGTACAGCCCGGGCACGTTCGTCCCGATCACGGCGACCTTCTTCATGTTTTATCTCTACGTGAGTCTTCCACTCCCCCCTTTTCCAAAAAGCTCTTCTGTGGTCTAACCTCCCCCGCGCGCGCGCAGGCCGCTCCAGGCGTCCGCATGGGCGCCCTCAGCCATCTCCAGGCCATCCACTTCGCGACGCACGACTCGTTCGCCGAGGGCCAGAACGGGCCGACGCACCAGCCCGTCGAGCTGGACTCGCTGTACCGCGCGATGCCGAACCTGCAGTACATCCGGCCGTGCGACGCCGAGGAGGTCATCGGGGCGTGGAAGGTGGCGCTGGCGGCGCGGCACACGCCCTCGATGCTGTCGCTGGGCCGCGACCCCGTCGTCACCCCGGTGCCCAACACGGACCGCACCCAGGTTGCGCGCGGCGCCTACGTGATCCACGACTACCCGGGCCCGGACCGCGCGCGCCTCACGCTGGTGAGCTGCGGCACGAACCTGCACTACGCGGTGGCGGCGGCGCGGACGCTCGACGCCCAGGGGATCCCCACGCGGGTGGTCAGCGCGCCGTGCCTGGCCCTCTTCGACGCGCAGGACCAGACGTACCGCGACGCCGTGTTCCCGAGCGGCGACGCCGACGGAGGGGGCGACCCCGTCGTCAGCGTCGAGGAGTACGTGCCCGCCGCGTGGGCCAAGTATGCCACCGCCAGCATCGGCGTGGCCGGCTTCGGCTACTCGGCCTCCAACCCCAGCAACTACGCGCGCTTCGGCCTCGACGACGCCGGCATCGTGCGCCGCGTCAAGGCCTACCTCGCCGACCTGGCGGCCGCGGGCTGCAACGCGCGCATGTACGGCTGGCGAGCGATTTGAGAAATTGAGAAAAGTGCTACTTTCCCAGAAACGGTGGTTTGATGGGTAGCTAGTGGTATTGCGGAGACTTTTCGATGATATCAAATTACAAAATACAGATCCGTCGCGGCATCTTCATGGGGGGTGGTTGGGATGTTGTTGAATCGAAAATAGTCCCGGGCCATTGAATGACCTGAACACATTGAAACACACATTTTGAGAGCCTGAAGCTCGATCAAATTCCGCCCGAAATGCTCTCGCCGTGGATCGTAAGCTGGAATTAAGGGGCATATATTGTACTGTCTCCAACGACGTGGTATCATAACTCACAAGTGCCGACCATCTACACACTCCCACACATTGCTCATTCCCGCACCTCCTGTCCAGACCGCGATCTTCTGGTGCAGATCTTAAACCTCAGGCCTGTTGACCCATTGTAGCCCATCTTCCCGTACTATACAAAACGTGGCTGACCCAAGCCATCGCCAACCCCCGCCCCAAAATTCGTCAACCTTGCTGATTCATATGGCTGGGCAAGTTCCAATCCGCATAGTCGGCGTGCACAAACGCGCGGTCCACCGCCGGCACGCTCTCGAGCACATACTGCAGACTCTCGCTCAGATCGTGACTGTCCCGCAAACTCATATTCTCATCCAGAACAATGTCGACCTCCACATTGAGCTTGTCGCCCGTGTGGTACGCCTGCAGCCCCTGGATGTAGCGGATCGGTTTGGCAAAGCGCATGGCGAGATACAGCAGGACGTTGCGCTGGTCCGCGGTGGCCGAAACCCCACAAAGATTTCGCACATGCTCGACGCTGGTGGTGGTCCAGTTGAAAATGACGTAGAAGGACAAGAACAACCCACCCAAGGCGTCCAGCCACCAGATCTGAAAGTAAAAGCCCACGAGCGGGAAAATGATGGAGAAGATGTTGAAGACGACGTCGGTGGCGGCATCTTGAGCGAGCGCTTGGACAGAACTGTTTTTCACTAGTCGACACCAGAACCAGCAGAAGCCCTTGATGGCGACCGTACTCAGCATGATGGCAATGGCGGGGATACCCAGTTCCACGACGCTGCGGTCGCCCGAAATCAACCGATTGAAACACTCCAGGGCCACTTGGAAGAAGGAAGTGATCATGATGACACTGAAAACGAGGACCCCGACTGGCTCCAATCGTCGTCGACCGATAGGATAAGCGTACTGATCCTGTCGCGAGATGAGTTTCGTAGTGGTCCAGACAATGGCGGTAGACAGAAAATCCAACGCCGCGTCGACAAGAGACGCGAGCACCGAGAGAGATGAGGTCAGGATGATGACCACGATTTTACCCGCCAGCAAGATGATGTTGGCGGCTAGATTGATGTAGATTGCCACGGTTACAATCCGCTCGTTTGAGTCCACGCCCTCGTCAATGTCTTCAAAACTGATTTCCGGAACGGCTGCGTCGGGGATCGCTTCGGCGTCGTCTAATAACAACGGCGTCTCTTCACTGGGGAGCTTGTACAGGTTTTTTGGTGTCCGCTTGAGCTTGGTCTCGGTGGGCGTGTTGGGAGCATTCGGTCCATTTACCGGGGTCATGTTGCCCGAAGGGGGCTCCTCGCAGATGGTGTTCATCGCGCCATTCGAGCGCGGTTGGCTATACTCTTGGATGAGGTTGTGCGGGAGCGACGAATCCAACAGCTTGTCGATGTATAGGTATTGTGTGACCAGAAAATTGTTCCGCTCGTAGTATTTCCGGATGGGTTTCCTCATCTGCTTCAACTCCTCCTCCGTCTTGAAGTACTGGTGCCAGCGGTATCTGGGGTTGCTCTGCCCAATCAGTCGCATACTGCGCACCTGCGGTGTCATGAGGATCTCGGGGCCCATGCTCATCCGTCGCGGGTCTGTTTCCGAGGGCGTGCTGGGGCGCCACCGGCCTGCGGCAATTGCCTCGAAGCTTTCACGAGGACCGTGCTCCTCATCTTCATCGGACCGGTGGCTCGCGACGGAGCCCCTTCGTGTTGCCGGCCGGCGCTGCAGGGTGAGCAGAGATGTGGTTGACCGGCTCTGGATCAGGCTCGGCAGGCGTTGGCCGCGTGTCGATATTGCACTGGGCTCTTCATTGAGCGGGATAAAGTTGGACAGTGCGCCGAGTTGGTAGTGAGGCCGGCGGGGACTCGCGACGTCCATGGTGGCAGAGAGCAGCAGAAACAGAGACAGCTGGCAAAGGCAAGCAAACTCACCCAAATGAGTCTAGAGGAGGCATGTTTGCAGTGTATACGCGTGTAGTTTGCTCGCCCGGGAAGACGGGGAAATGGCTAGTTCACCTGGAGCCGCGGAAGAAGAAAAGTAGTAACAAAGACGTCAGCCAGCCAGCTAGCGAGCCCAGCCAGCCAGTCAGCTTGCGAAAACACCACGCATGCATGCTATCAATTCATTCAGCCACATGTGCTCGCCCCCAACTATCCAAGATTCTGTCAACTTGACAAAATCATTGGGACAGCGCACACGCGTCGATTTCAACACTCTTCATCGTCGTTCATGACACCCTGGCCACGGCCCATCATCATTACAGATTAGATTTATCAAGTACCTAGATATTCTAGCCTCAGTCACACAACTATTTTCCAAATGACCACCCGCTCGTCTTGCTTGCCCCCAACCCAACTCATATGATCCACGGTCGTTGATAGCATTTGGCACATAACCCTTTTGACTCCAGACTGGTGCAAACATCTTTTGATCGTAAATCTTTCGACAGCGGAGACTCATAAACGCCGTCTACGTCAATGATACCCTGGCACATGCACAAATATAGGGCGAAATCTACATTATACGCAAACAAGACAGACTCCAGTCAGCATCACTGAAGCGATTGTCGTCAACACCACCATAGAAAGGCCTGTTCTCGATGCTGCGTTCGATTGGGCTGAATTATCCGAGTGGGTTGATGAGGAGGAGGATGAGCTATCAGAAGTAGACGTTGCCGCGGGCGCACTTGTACCGACCGGGGTTGTAACAGGACGAGCATCGGGGGTGCTAGCAGCCAGTTTAGAGCATGCACTGGCGTTGGGCTTTCGCTGGCCGACCGGTGACCCGATATTGGCAATAACAGCTTGGGAATCTCGGACCACGATATTGGCGCTCCCATCACTGCCAATTTTGACTCTCTCAACAGTGTTATTCACCCTGGTAGCTGTCCCGTCACCGCTCTTCTCGTAGCTGATGCCGTTCCAGGTTGTACCGTGCTTCGCGTCCGCTCCGTCGTTGGTGAGATATGCGAGGTATAACTCCTGTCCTGCAAACTGCTTGGGCAGGGACAAGTTCCACGTAAGACTCGGCTTGTTCGGCTCCGAGACGTTGGCAGGATTCGAGTTGATCAAAACGATTGAGGCCAGGGTACCGGCTTGATAGACCGAATAGGCCGCGATTCGGCCGCCATATGACGCAGGAGGATCTTGAATGATATACCCACCAATCTGGGCCTGGCACGTTGGTCCAATGGTTTGATCAAAGGCAGCGAACGCATAATAGTTCGGTCGCACAAATGGCTGATTGTCATAATATGGGATTGGCTGCCAGGCACTCGCGTTGCTATTGTCCGTCATATGCATCTGAACCGAAGAGATATTGAGGGTAGCTGCATAGAGGAAGAAATTGAGGGACCACAGCGCGGCGCCAAAGACGTCGGTAATGTCACTCAAGCCAATGGGACCGACAACGCCCATCTCTCGCAAAGCATACGGATAGCCCGTGGCTTGCGCTTGCTGGATTTGTGAGACCCACGCGGCGAACTGGTCATTGGTCGTGGAAAGCGTCATGAAATCGTATGCGGTCAGTGGATAGGTCGACACCCCGATGTAATAGTAGTAATCATGCTGGTTCCAGCTGGCAATATACGGTTTCGACGACCCGTTGGCCTTGACGGTAATCCCATACTGGTCCAAGTCCTGGACCTGGAAAGACGTCCCAATGGTCGATGCCGTGGCTCCCGGCTCAAAGAAGTTGCTGGGGAGGTTGTTTGGTTGGAGGACTTGCTCCCAGATAGCACCTGCTCGGTCCAGCCACTCTTGGGTGTAGACTTGCCCGCCCCAGGAGCCAGTGCGGAATCCATTCTGCAGGTACAGATCGGGCTCATTGCCAATCTCAAACGACACCAGATTGACGTCGACCAACCGATTGACAGCCTGTGTAGCCATAGTGGTGATTTGCTTGATGTAGTCGGACTCTGAGTAGGCCAGGTTTAATCCAAAGGTGATGGGTGTATTGCTGGGGAAGCGATTGATCACCTCGAAGAACTTCGGGCCGATGATCATGGAGTCGCTCGCATAGGCTCCCTGCCCGACCGAGTGAGGGTTGGGCTCCCACGCATAGTCATTTTGAGAGCCATCGTAGATGAAATAATCCTGGGTGTTGCCTCCAATGCGCAGATGTGGTGGCGTGCCCGTGTAGTTTGCCAAATTTTCCAACAGATTCTTGGTCAGCTGGTTCTCGTCGCTGCCTCCCGTGAAGGAGAAGAGATTGGAGGACTCGATGCCGAAGCCGGCGAACGAGGGACTGATAATCCCGGAGGCGCCTGAGGTGGGCTGGGCTGTGATGGCAAGGGAGACTGTATTTTGAGCTGCAGTGAGTGTGAACAGGAGCGTGCCCAAGACTGATGACAGGTAACGAGCGGACATGTCGCAGCGAGGGTATAGTATATTCGCATATAAAAAGTTCAGACACCACCGACCTCGGCTTCAACCACTCAAGGACGCCAACGAACGACAACAAACAATCTTGAAGACAACGAGCAGGTCTATGAGAGGCAGAAGCAGCAAAGGGATGGGAAAAAAGACAAGATGTGGTCATCGATCAGAGTGGGCAGCTGGGCCGCCAATGCGGACGCAGAGATCGCGGACAGAGCTGCGCCTGCGATGACAGCAGTGGCAGCAGTGGCAGTAGCTTAACCATGGCTGTTAGGGTGTGGGGGAATGGCATTCAATGGGCATTCCCAGTTTCTGCTTTTCCCCCCACGGATGAAGAAAGAGGACGCGCACACGACGGTGTCTGTGGACGGCACTCAACGGTAATCTCGGGCCAAACTCAGAGAATCGGGGTGGTTGGGATGGTGATTTCGTCATGGGCACCTGGCAAGACTGGCACCACTGGGCCCGTTGCGGCGGACTCTCCTCCTTGTTTCTTAGTCGATTGTCCTAGCGGAGGATAAACAGATCAGCTTGGGCCAACCACGACGCTTGCCTTACAGCGCTATTCCTCAATCCCTCCATCAGCCAGCGGCCAGAGTGCCGACTCTTTATCCACCTCTCCATCCGATGATGCCGTCGAGATCCACGAAGAGGGGACCGGGTGGGTGATGAGAGGCGCAGTGACAACGCAGGTAAAAAAAAGGGGGGAAAGGAGAAAGAGAGTGGAAGACATGCACAACGGCCACTTCTTCGCCGACTAGGACAGAAAGATACGAGGTCTCCGTGCCTATCTGGCAACCGCCGCACGCAGTCATCTTGGTCCATCATCTAGGCGCCCGTTTATGTACAAGTTTGTTCTATTTCTGATACCCAAACGCGGGGTGAAGTTCTGCCACCTTTACCTTACTCACATAGCTCCAGGTCATAAGACACACACACTCACATACCCCTCCCTCCCTAGGTTGACGCCGTTTGTTCCTGGCGGCTGCTTGCGGATGCAAAGTCCGCTCTACCCAATCGAAAGCCAAGGTCCGAGCTCCTACACCTGCTGCTCGTTCGCTGGCGCCCAGGCAGCCTCCCCCTGTTCGCCATGCAGGTAAGACGTGATGTTGCCTAATAAGACCGCAGGCACTACGGCGCAGGGATACGAGACGGAGCAGATACAGGGCACCACAATGCGGCTGTCTTGGGGGTCTTGGGGACATTCCGGCCACAGGACTCGGGCACCTTTCTTCACGGCGGCAGGGGTGCGCAGTGACTTCATGACTCGAACGAACATCTAAAGTAGGGATCGGAATAGCGTGGGTTGTGATAGAAAATATTATCCATTATTAGATAGACACGCAAACGCTAGCTGGTAAGGAAATGGTCCATCGCAGTGTGACCGGGTCGGTCCCTTCCCAGAACTCATCATCATGGGGCTCATTAATGTCCACTCAAGTAACGTACAAAGGCCTGTCACTGGGCCCAGCCGGGCGACTCAGCAAGGCAAAGCGAGAGACTCTTCTTCCCTCCGCAAACGAATGTGTCAAGTTGGGGTATCCACTATTGGTACAGATATGCAAGACTGGGTGTGCTGTTGGTACATGTTGTAGGGAAGTATCGGGCGCAAGTTGTGGGGAATAAAGTGGTGTGTCATGGAATAGATAGGTAGTTCGGCGACATGGATTAGGGGTGGTGGTGGTAGTTGTTGAAAGGATCCGAAGACACTCTTCGTATCTGTAGGCAAGGGCCTCGGTATCCCTGGTTGAGTATTTTGCCAGATTTGGAAATGCGGTAGAATGTGGGCGCGAGGCAGGCTGCCTCCTGCAAGAGTGTTGTGCTTGTGACCGGTGGAGTTGCCAACGCATCGAGCCATGCATAGCCTCTTCTTTGTATGCGCGAACGAATGCTATAATGCCAAGAACTTCCCACATGGAAGGATCTCCGTGGTTTGTAAGACATCTGTTGCTGAACCTCCTCAAAAGGTGGAGAACGCCAGTTGTATTGCATTAGATTGAGGTCCTGCCTGTCATGTGGCTGCCTGACATGTGGACGTAGGCAGGGTGACTCAAGGGCGGAGATATTGAGGTTCAAGGTCGAAATCCATTTCCCGTTGAAGCCAAAAACGCCGGTTTCAGGGTGAAGAGCTTTTGCTCATGCAGCGTGCTTCTTGGGAATTGCTGGAAGAGGTCGATTGGGAGGAGGACCCGGGCAGGGAGGATATTTAGATCCGGCAGGCATTGTGAGGGCTGGGATGGTTGAGCGTCGACGAGTATAGTCGAGGAATGCTTTGTTCCAAGGTATGCAGTAGTGATGGGAAGCTCTTTTGAATGCTTGCCAGCTCGATGATTGAGTCTCTGGGGGCTCAGGTGAAGGGAGCAGGTGATGATGCTTTTTTGACTGAGAAAGATGGGCTTGTGGAAGAGGGAGGATACGAGCCAGGTATTTATTTTTCTGATCCCAGGTAGCCTCACCCCCCGGCCGCACCGAAAATTGTTCCAGAAATGGTGACGCTGACCAGAGTCATCCATGCAACTTTTTAGCGACTCCTTGGCTGTGTGACAGGCTGCCTCTGGGGTGGAGCCCGCTTGAGGCTTGCCGGTGCGGTGGCATGTTCTCGTTTGCAAGATTTTGACACGCAAGATTTCGAGACTCGTCAGGAGGCGCCTCCCCCCCCCTTTGATGCCCCTGGCTTCCACTCTCCAGAAGCGGCCTAGGCGCATATAGGCTCCTCCAGTTTTCTTGACTAGGCCCAGGCGCTAAGTCTCTCAGGCGCGCACACTGACAAAGACCAGGACCCAGCTGACCGGAACAGCCTGGGGTTTCTCGGGCGCGCCTCGCAAGGAGAAGGGGAGATTGTTGTCGCTGTCTCCGCTTGTGTTTGCCCGGAAATCACCAAGCAGATTGTGTGACCCATCCTTCTCCTTGCCCACGCAGGGAACTCGGCATCAGGGACGTTGCTCCCCAGCATTTTCGATGGTCCCTTTGTTTAATAATAATAATAGTGATTTTGCAGTTCCACTTTTGCCTTGCTTCAGAGATAGCGGTGTACAAGTCTGAGGTCAAACTTTCGGGAGAGAAAGTGCAACCGGCCTCGACGACCCGTAACTATATCCCGAAGGGGAAGAGATTGTGCTGCTCTGAGCAGTGAGCATCTCGCACGGTGCCCGCAAGGACTTGGAGGACCTGGTCTTCAGCGGTGTGGGTGTCGTCCTGTGCCGAGTTGCCCTTTAGCCCGAGCACGAGTAATTGCACCAGCTGGGACTGTTGGGAATCCGTACCTGGTTGCTCTCAACTCCTCCCAGCTTTCCGGTTTCACCTTATTGCCGGCAATGGGCTCATTGGCGGCGAGAGAGCAACGTGGCCTTCAACGTATGCCATGATGGTGTGTATGCCCACTCTGGCAGTGCCACAAATGGTTGTTCCCGTACCTCCATCAAGAAAAACCCGAATCGGAGTTCCAAAAGCATACGAGTCGTTTGGTCAGCGGTCGACCCCGTGATCCGTAGAAACCTTGGAAAGTCGTGCTATGGCGTTGCCCTACGAGTCACTATGCCGCTTTGTGCCTGTCAGATGGGATGTAATTGGAGCGCCCAGCTCTCCCCTCAACCGATGCACGTTCTCTGAAGGATGCTGAGTTGCGGACCAGGTCGGATACCGAGGCTGATTCCACGGCCTGATTCGTTGGCCAAGGCACGGTTCCTGCAAGGAAAACCCATCACCGCGCTCTTCCGGCAACTTCCTTCTCCAGGCTCAGCTTGCAGCCGTTCGTACTATGTAAAGCGATCGCAGATGGTCTTTTTGAGGTTCGCTCGGTTAAGACCTGTCACGCGGAGGGCATGTTTCAAATCGTGGCCAAGCGCGCGCTTGGATTGGATGTTACCAATTGACCGGTCACAAAGGTGACATCTTGTATCCATCATGGGTGGGTTGGGTACCCTGCATGGATAGGCAGTTCGAGGAGTCGAGGAGTGAGGGGTGAGCAGCAGTGAGCTCGCGAGAATCCAAACTGCATGCGCCATATACTGTGTCGATTATGCAGTCATAGTGGTCCTCCTCGTGCCATCCTCTTCAACGGTCTGTTTCAAGAGGGGATGCATGATGTGATGATGTTCAGATCATCAGCGAGCTTCAAGCTCTAATGGGCAGGACTGCGTATCGGTTTGGAGTTTCTGGTGGTGTGTGACGGTGGTGGTGGTCAGCGGGTTCCTGAAGATCCTTCTCTTTACCCCTGGATCAGCACGCAACGAGGCCCTCAGTTTTGCCACCCCCCAAGTTTTGGACAAACACTGCAGCTGAGAGTCGGAAAAGTTTGTAGGAGATAGTGTGTTTCATGTTTGGCTCCTGAGTGTGGCGATCTGGCTACAAAGTTTTTGTCCCAGCACAAAACTACGAGGAGGTGTGTGAGGTGTGTGAGGTGTGTGAGGTGCCTGCGGTGCCTGCGGTGCCTGCGTCGCAACTGATTTCGTCATGATGACCATCTGAGGCACCTCAACAGTGAGTCGCCATCATCATACCACAGCGCCGTCAGTCACTATCGGCGCAGTCACATTCCTGTTCTCTGCGGAGCACCTTTCTTGTTCGCTTGGGTCGCAATCCAGCGCATGATCTGGCCCTGACTCACATTGGGCGGTCCATGCCCCCAGAATATCGCAATCTGCTGCAGTTCGCACCACTTCCTGTTTCGACCGTTTGCGACGCCCTCTGCAAATGTCCGTGGCGTGCGGCCGGCCCATGCACGCAGCTCAAACCATGGGGAAGCTATCCGCATTGGTGGTAGCCACTTGTCCAAGCCCAGTTACTTGGGCTGGTTACCGAGTTAGCTCAAGAGAGATTTGGTGGCTGGCTGGATTTTTGCTCGCTTCTCGAATCTGGCATGAGATTCCATGCAGCTGCCGTTTCGTTGCTAGCATCGTTGAACCGATCAGACGAGGATGGCCCAAGCCCCGCGGCAATTTCCCTACCATTGTCACCGTCGCCTCTGCGATGGACATTAGCCAGCGTGTTGCGACTTGAACACGGACTGCAGCAGGATCAAAAGAGCTGCCGGGCCATCCCGCTGATGAACAAAGAATCTGACGCTCCACCTTGGGCACCGTCAACCATGTACGCGATGCCTCGAGGATTATGGGCTGTAGTTAATAATCAGCAGGTGCATCGTGCGTATCTAAAAGTAGCATCCTGGTCGGGCAGCCTTCAAGAATTTCTGTACGTACATAGTAGCGAGTGCTACCCAGGTACCTAAGGAGCCATGCAACATGGAGCACGTATTCGGTACTCGTAAGCTTCTCCTGCACATTGCAGTGAGGCTGATGGCTTGATCAACTGGTGACGGGGGAGCCGCTGTACCCGTTACATCCCGCACTCAATCCTGCATTGTCTTCAACTTGCTCCCTCGTGTCTTCCATGCGCCACCACCTCGTATATGTGCGACCTGGAACAGGATGGAACGGGTCTGGCCGCCGGCCTGGATACAAAAGTAACGCCCCCAAGCCATGCATCATGCAGGGTTCGACTTTTCCAGGATAGAAAAAGGGGCGGCCACAACCACGTGGAGATTGCGTGAACGAACGCCACCGAGCTGCAGTCCAGTGGGACCTTGAACCACAAAATCGTCCCAAACTCCTTGTATCACACTTGGCACTTGGTTGATGCGACGCCGCACCTTTGGAACGATCGAAACCTGCCTCGTGTCGCCAAGGGTGTCCAGCCCATTTTCGTAGCCGAGCTGAACTCAGTCATTCGATTTCCCGGGTTGGATGAATAGCGCCATGTAGCCTGACTCTGGTTACAGACAACAATAAACTGTTTGTCAGGCTGCGAGGTACTCCGTACTGTGGCCAGAACGACGCGGCTCCGAGCCATCTGCATCAAATATTGATTTACAGCCAACTCCCTTGGCACCGAACGCACCTGATGCCCTCGGCAAAGGGGCTATTATTCGAGATAGGGGCTGGCCAGACTTCACAGACATGGAAACCTCCGCGAACGCCATCAGCCTATCTCTTGATGCCGGTCCTGAAGCCCGAGATCCTTCTCAGAACCACCCTTCAAACCATTTTTCCACGTGGGTGCCACGAGCCGACGCCATGGGTACTCGGTACTTGTGCAAGAACTTCCATTCTGGGTACGGTACATCAGGCTCCGCTGCTCTCTAGAAGGCGGACGTTATGAATCGTCGTCCTTCTGGTCCTGAGTTGATTGGATCCAGTCCTGCATGAGTGCCTGCGAACTGCCTGGGAGCCCAGAAGTTTTCTTGCTAGGACCACCTTTGCGCTCAACAAAGAGACACAGCACCCAGCCCCAAATATTGAATCCCTCGTACGTGGTGGTAAACCCTAGCTTCTTCTTATCGTCACCCTCCCCTTCCGTGTCCAGATTGCGACCTGCGGATGTGTGACTCCCTTCTCGGTCTTCCGCAGCCGGTATATCGTTGAGATTGACATTGTCTTCGTCACTCTCGTCCTGGACCATTACAGCGTCATGGTCAGCTCCCGTCAGCCTGTTGCCATTGTTGCTCTTTATTGGGTCTTTTTGCTTGAATGTCTTGTCCTTGACTAGAAGGCAGTGGCGGGTCCTGATCTCGGTGAGGAAGATCGAAACTTCAAAGTCATCTAGATGCGCCTGTCAGAGGAAAGATTTTGCAATTGACGAACAGTGTAATCACCTTGTTGAACTACATCTTTGACACTCTTCTTCTTTTTCCCCTTGCCCCGCGCCCGCTCTTTCTCTTCCCGCAGTTTCGGCAGGACGTAGGGTTTGACAGCCTCAAAGACTCGCGGAAGGGCGGGGTCTTTCTCATTTAAGAGCCACCTTGGTTCATCGGCAGGGTTCTCGAGGAAGATGCGACACTCAAGGACGAAATGCTTGCTGATCCGCAGGTAGCGACGGATGGGAGCCATGGCTGCAGCTGCAGAGCAGTGCTGTTCCTTGTGGGAGCATTATCAGCTTGTGCAAATCACCACCAGCCCACTTCGAACAGTGTCAGTAAGAAGGTAATTGCGAGATGGTTGGCAAGCCGTGAAGCGCGTCACAGAAAGCCAAGAGATTAGATAAGACGCGACCACCTTCGTGCCCAGCGCACGACCACTGCACTTGGCCCCAAGCAACCTCACATCTCTGACCTAGATGAGCAAAATTGCTTCCCAAGGAGACACATTGTCGGCGAAGGGAGTTGAAACGGGAAACGTCGTAAGAACTTGCCCGGTAGTATCTGGCTCCTTGATTGTGTGCTGGACGGATCAGCTATGGAGAGCGGTGCACACAACCGTCCAGATACGTCTGGTCAATGGCTCAAACTTCAGAGATCGTGAGGGGAATAAAGACCTAGACGGTCTTGAAAGAAAATGAGATGTTTTCGATCGTCCGGGGGGGGCGTGACAGCCTTGTCGATGGTTGGGAATGGTAACTGAGCAAAGGTGGCTGCTATTCGCGTTTCGCGGTTCGAAGCGCAACGCTCCCCAGCGGTCGCACTGAGATGCTCAACGCTCCCCAATATTGCGCGAGACTTCAAATTGTGTCGCTGCAGCTCAGTATGTCTGTCTTGCTTGCTCGTTCTTCATGCATCAAGCCTGTGGAGTTTTCCTCGCCGGCCATTTTTGTTTGCTGCTTCGCCCATCATGGCACCTTCCTCTGCGCGCACCCCGAACTTCTCACGACCGCTGCCCTCTCCTTACTCAACAGGTGCTCCTCCTACACCGTACAGAGGTTCAAGTCGAGGAGATGTTATGAAAGAGCTTCCACCGAGCGGGACAATGGCAAATGCACCCATGGAGAGCCTGACAAAGGAACTGACCCCCAGCAAAGGCCCGTTTGACACAGCGGCGACCATAAGCCCACATTCACTTTTGGACAAACTGGCAGAGTCTCCACGAGGGAACCGCGTTGGGATCGCGACCTCTCCTGGGGTGCGGCATGGCCGAAAGCTCTCTAAATTTTCCTTCAAAACTGAGGCTGATTCCAATCTTGCCCATCTTCTGTATGTCAACCCGTCTCTACAACATCAAGCATGGACTCACCAGAGGCTAGTGTCGACGTCGGCGGCTTCGACAAGCCCATCGTCAATTTCCGTCCTCAACTCTGGCGCCATCTGGACAAAGATCGCCCAATCCTCAACCTCGACCTGTTCTGGCCGATCAAGTTGGATGAGATCAACGATGATGAAGAGGACGAGAACAGCGACGGCGACTCCAAGGGCATTTTCCCATTCAAAGACCTGAAGCCTCTACAGATCTTCCACAATCTCCACTACCTCCAGTTGAACGGCATGATGCGATCCTATCAACCCATCATCTGGGCCACTTGTTGGGTGAACAAGAACCTCACCAAGCTTCGCCTTGAAATGGCCCTCGAACCAGAAATGAATGAAGACACCAAGCAAATGTACCGCAAGATCGACGAGACATGGTCCTATAACGGCACCTCCGACCAACAAGTCGAAGCCGAATACCTAGGCTCTCACGGCAAGGGCATTCTGCACCAAGAATTCGGCGACGGAGAGTACCTCGACCAGCAAGCCATGAAGCAAGCCCAGATCGACGTGGTTGAGACCCTTCCTCTCGAGAACATGCGCTACCTTCCCATAAGCCATCTCACCCTGATGAACTTCGCCGTCGACGCTGGCCCGTTCTTCCGCTGGTTCGACCCCAAGAAACTGGTCGAGGTCAACTTCCTCGGACAGTGCATCGACACCGGCTTCTACTTGCCCGACGACATGCAGTCCCTCGTCAAAGTCAGCGGCCCCAAGCCCAAGCCACGCCCGCAACCCATGATCGCCAGGGTCGTCAAGCCAGGAGAGGTCAAGCTGGTGACGTTGAAGGGCGGGAAGGTGGTTCCCGACGAACCAAGCGGGAGTGGCAATGCGGCCGGAAAGGGCGTCAAGACCAAGCTGAGCCAGATGATTCGCTTGGGCAAGAAAGACTCCAAGGATACAAAGGAGTCAAGCAAGGAGACTGCGCAGCTAGAGCGCAATATGGCCAACATGGGCCTTTAAACGGGTGGAGAGAATCGCCCTGGAACGAGAGACATGAGCAAATGAAGCAATGAGCTGTACAAACAATGAAACATTGGAGCCGGCGTAAGCCGAACGCTCAAAAAAATGAAATGCAGTTAAACACGCGCCTTTCCACTCATCTTGCTAGTCTCGTTTATCTTACAATGTAACTGCAGGCACTCTCACCCCTCCAGTTCCAGATATCACCCCAGCCCCGCTTCCGACGATCTTCCCCATTCATCAATATTTCTGATAGCCTCGCGAATATCCGCTGCTTGCGTACCCGCTGCTCGCGTACCCGTAGCCCGGGTTCGGGCTTCTCGCGCCACCCATCATCGGCGACGCATGGCCGTAGCCCTGGAGCGAGGCCCCGGCGTTGCCGCCCATGGGACTCACGGGGCTGATGTGGACGCTGGTCCCCATCATCTTCTGCTCGGCCCGCATCCGGGACATGTCGGCGCGGTAGGCCATGACCTCGGCGGTGATCTTTTCGTACTTGGCGTCCTCGACGAGTTTCTCGTGTTTGCCGGCGCGGCGCTGGCGGATGCAGCAGAACGCGAAGATGAGGATGCAGAGCGCCGCGACGCCGCAGACGACGGCGATGATGATGTACTTGGTCTTCTGGGGCAGGCCGTTCCACTTCTGTTCTACGGATTGCGTACTGGATTGGCTGTTTTCGCCGTCGAGTTGGATGGGTTTGGTGTCACTAGAGAGAAAATATCAGCCTTGCTTCCAGCCTTGAAAAGGGGGGGAAGTCATCCATACTTGAGAATCTTGATGCTCTGCCAGCTTCCAGAGGTGTCGCCATAGACGTACTGAGTACCTCTGCTGGCGTCGGATACTCGGACGGACTTCACAGCCATGGTGAAGGGAACATCGTCGTAATTGGTCTCGCCACCGGCCCATTGGATGGTGCCCTCCGGCTCCTTGGGATCACCACCCGCCCAAATGCCGAGTCTGAGGTCGCAGGGAGTCTGGGGGAATTTGAGCCCACCGTTGGCCTCATCATATGTCAGAGTGCGAATGACGTTTCCGTCGACGATCCAATCTAGTTTTTCATGCGACCAGTCCAAGGTGTAATTGTGCCACTCATTTTGAGGATCATTGATGGGATACCAGATGGCGTTGCCGTAGTCGGTCTGATTGCCCTTGCTGAAGAAGTTGGTTTCAACATATGAGTTGTTCCCTCCAATAAATTCCCAGTCCACCTCATCCAGATCCTGCGATTGCAAAACAATCGAAGACACGATGCCTTGACCCTTGGCGACCTTCATGATAACCTCGACTTGACCAAAGAATAGATAGAAGTTTGTCTGGACGGTGGGTGACTGGCCACGCTGGTTGATTGTAAACTCGGCACCGTCGTCTGCATAATTGATGGCGCCAGCAGTGACGTTCCACACCTTGTCCGACATGGTATATTGGGTGAAATCAATCGAGTAATTGCTGACGCCGAGCGCGGTGTTGGGCGGGCAATCTGTCCGCTCCAAGGGATTGCATGATGTGAAAGTCTGAGCGAGGGCGGTGGTGAGTAAGGAGAGGAGGGCCAGAGACGTCGTCCGGAAGGAATACATGGCTTCAGATGGGTTTATTGCCTGTTATGGACTTTGTTCAAGAACAAAGAGTAGATCAGAGCACACTCAGGTCTTGCTCGAGGGACGATGTGGGTGACTCCGGGTCTTGCCAGTGACGGGCGAGTGGCGCAGGGGAATTTGTGAAGCTCGGACTTCCGGTGATTGTATGCAAAACACAATGGTAAATCGTAAATGAGTGTGAGGGCGCGTCGCAGCACAGCGCGACGGCGAGTTGGCAAAAGAGAGACTCAAGAGCAAAAGGAGCGGCAACGGGCGACACAAAGCGTGCAGCTCGAAGAGGAGAAGGAGAGGTTGACTGCGAGGACGCGAGAGAAGGTCTATCAGAGGCTCAGAGCATGTCTTGCTGCAGGAAGACGGAGCATGCGAGAGGAGAGAAGGGATCCCGGCATCAAGGTGAAACGCGTCGTCGAACCAATCCGGGAAAAGGGGCGACGCCCAGCTTGTTATGTGCCAATGATAGAGCTTCATGGCCGTCACCCCCTTGTCCTGCTTCCTCCAACCATCTTCCTCCCTCACCAAACGCCTCCCACCTGCTGCAGTTGCGGCATCTGCCGCCGTCCGTCTCATAATGAGGTCCCCTCGGTCCATTTGAGCTTCATGTTTCCTACGACACCGCACTCTTTGTGACAAACATCCTCCTTTGAACGACCCTCCGTCCGCTGACCACGAGAGACACAATACCTATCTCCTGCCTCGAGTGAACCTTGCAATGCCGCTCGCAATCCAAAAACACCAGTAAGAGCACGGGTGCGATGCTGATCGCAGTGTGGATCGACAAGATGCAATTTGGCGAGTGGCTCCGATTGCCTATCAGGATCCTGGCGCGTCAATGCTAGACGTGGCTGTGCAATAAATACTCGTACCAACCTTGAGCGGCTTGATTCGGTCACTGCAACCCCGCGATTTGATCCAACGAATTCGCATCACCTTATCTACGCCGTTGGTGCTGTGTTTGACGTCTCGTGATTTGAAGAATGAACTCGTATCCAGATTCAAGCGTGTTGTCGAATATTTGTCTGAAGCAAATGTTGCCATTGAGATCACCCCAGAGACATGCAAGGAACTCCCCAAAAGCTCCTCCGAATTTGTATGGAATAACACTGCCCAATGTCCGCAGTGTTCTCGGAATTCCTGCCACTCGAAATGGGTGTGTCGCCTCCCCAGTTTCCGTGATCGATCAACTACAAACAAACGGGACTGCAAAAGTATGGCCGGCACGATAGTGGGATACAGCGTGACAAGCCAAGGCCATAACTGGTTCAGGATGAGGTACTCGGTACTCAATAAAATGCTGAAAGCAGGGGGAGCACTGCGCCGACTGATACAAGCACGGCAATGATGGCTTCTTCCCAGTCAACCACAGGCCTTGGAGACCAGCCGGCTGAGCAGGAATCCCAACAAGAATAGAGAAATTACAGGCGTTCTAGTTGCAGGAAGGCAAGAACGATCTCTGGAACTCGCATATATTGGGATTCACTTGGTACAGGACCCAGCTCACAGGATGCTCAAAAGCAGTGGAGAGGTTCCCTTGAAACGGAAACAGAAGGCTCGCGTTGTGTCGCCTGAGCAAACTTGCCATTGGTCCTAGTGTCAGTAGCGCTGCACACGGACTGCTGAGGCCTCAAGAGAGCTGGAAGCCTTTGACGCTTCCAATGAGTTACTTGTTCCGGACGTACTCCACTTCTCTTATGCACGAGTAGTACGCAAATGATAGACCGATCTCATTAGCCGGTATCGTTACCCTATTCAAGCCGTGAGTGATGGTTTACTAAGCAGGAATGGAGTACAGAGAGTGGGCAGCGAGAAAGAACACGAGTGCATCCGTCACTGTGGCTGCCAATGTGAGTGAGGCTTCTAATTACTCAATGCTGTCATTGAGTCCGTCTGCCATGCCAGACCGTGCATGATGGGCGATGGATGATGTCAGGCCCACCACATTCAGCGGGCCTGATTTTGTGGAGATCTTTAAGGTACCTGGTATAAATTATGATATAACAGCCTTGTGTGTTTATTACAAATACATATATCATCGCTGGATACCGAGATCTATCTCAGTGGGCTATTTCTACAAGGGTGATCTGGATTATTGGCTCGCGTTGTCTGAAGACATAAGGAGACACAACACCACAACAGTGTCCGCCATGGCGTTGACAAACCGCGCCGCATGGCTCCGCGAAGTAAACTCGCCGCTAGAGGTCGGACCCTCTGAGGTCGGCAAGCCGGGCCCCGATGAAGTCCTCGTGAAGAACCGCGCAGTCGCCATGAATCCCGTCGACTGGATGATGCAGTACGGCGCCTTTCCGGCCGGGCCACTGCCCAGGATCCTCGGCAACGACGTCGCCGGCGACGTCGTCGAGGTCGGCGAGGGGGTCATGCGGTTCAAAAAGGGCCAGCGGGTGCTCGCGCACGCCATCGGCCTGGCTACCAATGAGCCCAAGCACGGCGGGTTCCAGGAGTACACCGTCGTCCCGACCGTGGGGTGCACCGTGATCCCCGACGGGATGAAGTATGAAGAGGCGAGTGTCCTGCCGCTGGCCATCTCGACCGCCAGCATCGGCTTGTTCCACGAGGCTCGGCTGGGTCTCAGGTCTCCCGTGGACGCGACGGAGAAGGGCTCGCCTGGGAATGAGGCGATCCTCGTCTGGGGCGGCAGTTCCAGCGTCGGCGCCACCGCGATCCAGTTGGCTGTGGCCGCCCAGTATACAGTCATAGCGACGGCTTCGCCGCGGAACTTTGACTTGTGCAAGAAGCTGGGCGCGAGCGAGGTCTTTGACCACTCGAGTCCGGGCATCGTGGGGGACTTGACGGCCGCGTTGCAAAAGTATACCTGTCGCGGCGCTTTTGATGGTAAGTCTCAAGTCTTGATACTACAATGGCATCTATCAGGCCGGCCGGACACTGATTTGGAGTCTTCTTTCCAGCTGTTGCGAAGAGGGATACACAGTTGAACGTCGCACAGGTCCTAGCTCAGCTGGGGGGGGGCAAGATGGCGTCGGTGCTGCCACCCGTCGAGGAACTTCCGGCCACCGTGCAAGCCAACGGCAGTAAGTTCGCAACACCGCATGTGCTATCATCTGTCCACTACTGCTAAGCTGATCCGCACAAGTCTACGCCGTGTCGATCCTCCTGCAAGACAAGGCGCTCGGGAAAGCAATATACGGAGATTTCCTGCCGCGGGCGCTCGAGCAAGGTCTGATCCAGCCGGCGCCGCCGTCGGATGTTGTCGGCCACGGCGTCGAACATATCCAGAGGGCTGTTGATAAGTTGCGAGCAGGGGTGTCGGGGTCGAAGGTGGTGGTGACTTTCTGAGTGCAGTTCGATAGAGTTGCTGGAATAGTCAAGCAGAATACTGAAAAATAGTGCTGTAGGGTAGAGTAAACCTTCCCTAAGGCAACCTGTTGAGTCAATACTTGCGAGCTGTCTCCTTATTGCCTCGCTTAGGCTTAAAGTCTTCCTTAGGCTTGAGTTAGCCACAGTCGGAGTAGGTTTTATGGGTATTCGATTAAGGATTAGGTCGATTAGGAGGTACCTACTTATATAGAGGAGGTATTCCCGGAGGCTTAAACGGATTAGGTAGCGCGCCACTTACGAGTATTTTAGTCAAGGAGATGAGGTAGTTAGCACTTAAATAAGAGCCCTTTAAGGAGATAGAATAGGACGAAATCTCAATGGTGAAATAATCGGCGATTGCGAGTGTGTTATTATTGTGACGGCGATGGCGCAGAAAGCGCGAAATTTGAGTCTACTACGTGATTGGTCAGATAGTTTAATACCACGTGACTGTAACAGAAATTCACCAATCGGATGAGTTTATTCTTCCCGACCAATCAGATCCGCGGCTTTTTGGAAATTTTTGCCCCGTATACCTGTTTTCGCTTCGCTCAACAGGATGAAATAGCGCTAGAAAGCGCAACAGTGTTCCGTGAGGTTGGATGGTTTCCTGAAGGCCACGCGCACACGACCAAGCGGCTCGGCGGCAATTTAGGTAAACCCTATTCAGTCTGACACAAAATAACATGTAAATCAAGACACTGACACAAGTTCATTCTGCGGACTAAAATCAACTCCTTCTCACGACTGATACTATAGTAAGTGCGCAAAAATTAAGCTACCCAGATATAATAAGCAGTTTCTCCAGCCTACTATAGTATTGATCTAGGTGATATGAGGGTTTGTTGTAGCGCTGAAACCCCAGTTGATCGTTGTAGTATCCGAAAATCAACCTTGTCTGACCAGTAGTGCAGACGGCTAACCCTGTCAGACTGCTCGGACTATGCCCACACTAGTCGGGGCGTCAGCGCTGCTCCACGCCAGATTGATCCCCCCGTTTTCTTGAAGTTTGGCTGCAGCGCTTTTGTGGTCTGGCCACTTGGCCTGCAACCACATCACAGCTCCAACCGTTACACCACCTCCAGCAAAAGCCCAACGCAACACGACAATAAAGTCAACACCACTTCAAAATCACCTCAGAACACATATTCTAGTATGTCTCATTGATAACTCGACGATCCTGCAGTTTTACCATGAAGGTGATGGCAGACCAGCCAGGACTCCACGGGGACTTGCCTGCCACCAAGGGTGCATGGTGAGCGCACAATGACCACGACCAACCATCAACACCACGATTTTTGGTAAGATGAGGGATTTTCGTGATCAAGAGGGGCACGCGAGATCGCATGCGGGGTAATAATCCTGCAACCTCAAAATACAAGACCAGAGAAATTCAGATCGCAGGCCAGCCATGAACTTGGAGGGGTCTCCCAGAGATTGACACTTTCCCGCCGGTGAAATCAGTACCCTGCGCCAATACCCTCGACTGCAGATAGGATGGCATCAACTTCGGCAATAAGGTGATTAAAGTGCTTGCGGTCAGCCCGGTTGGGATGCCATGGATCGCTCCCAGCTGGAGAGTTGGTATAGCGAAGAAGTGGGCTGGACACGCCCTCCGGAGAGGAATCTGAGCCACGCTTCAGAATATGATCCCAGGTAGGAAGACTGTGCTTGAAACTGACCTGCGCCGCCCACGCCAGCCGCAACAGCATCATCAACTCCTGTGCACGAGACAGCCATGCTCTTGTGCGTGCTCCTCCCACTCGCGGGACTTGTGTTGGGTGCCGACGACATGATCTTGAAGACAAGAGTACAGAGAATGAGAATGGCAGAAGAAGACGAGAAAATGGCTCAGATGAGAGAGATTGAGAACCAGAGCCTGGTGCAGTGCGTGAAGAAAGCGAGAGAGAGAGAAAAGAAACAGAGAGGAGGGGACTCGAACAATATTATACCTTCCCGTCCGAGTACTTAAGGAAGAGGCATCTCTAGTGTGCTAGGTGGCGCACAGGCAACGCCCTGCTCGTTGGAACACAGGCGAGTACATCAACCCATGGTGCAAAGAAAATAAAGAGTCCGGCGGTGTACTTTGCCTCTAGCAAATCCCCCTGTGGCCGCCCACAAGTCAGCAGATTCAGAGAGCGGACAGGGGTATCATCCGTAGCCATGATGTAGCAGTTACACGAAGCTGCTCAAGATCAGGCATGGTTGTTTCGCGCAAGACCTTTCAGAGGACCGGGGGGAACAATGGAGGTATATCTGTGGATCAGGCCATTCTTCCTGAGAGTGGGAGTAGGGGAGATGGGCGTAAAACTTCGAAGGCATTGCTCTTCCTTCGCCAATAGCGGACTACCAGCGTCACTTTTCAACCATCCTTCATTCCCTCATTAGAGACTCAGATTAGCTGGCACACGCCTTTGCAATCCCCAGAGCTTGTGGATATTCTTCTGCTGGCTGTGGTGCACAGTATGAAGCTCATGAATGTGGGCAGACGCAAGAGGATGGATTGGTGAGGCTCCCTCAAGTACTCGTATCTTGTATTTCTTGGGCGTCTTCGCTAAGCTGTCACCAACTCCGGCCCTGTTGGCATCCAGACAACTAGGGCTTTGGGGGCCGAACTTCGCGTTGCTCGTTCCGTGCAGCATCGGATCAGTACCTAGTGTTTGGATTGAGCTAAGGCGCGGGGATGAATTTTCTGCGTTATGTCACGCGCATTGCAAATACCATCGTATTTGAAGATTGCCAACGGCGAGAAGAGTCCAAGGGAGGTTCTTGCGCTCATTCAGAAGAAAGGCCCGGATAACGGGCCGCTGATGACATTGATTTCAGGCAGACAGTTGCAGCGTTTGTAAGTTGCGTTGAAGAACACATCTTAGTCCGCCAGTGTTCATCCTGTGACCCTAGGAATTGAGAGATACATATTTCCACAGGACATGAAGCAAATGGTCTGCAGCGGTCATTGAGATTTCGTTAGACTTCCATAGAATGCTTAGGGAGGGCGCGGATAAAGTCAATAGTTAAATGCTTGAGGGGGGGTACTCCGTATGCGGGGAACAGCGATCGGCTAAACAGTGGCGGTCGCTTTATCTGCGACATTATGTCACACGTCGTCTCTGGAGGAAGTGCCTGCGCAGTCTCCCATCAAACACTGACATTGTCGCTGCACTACGGTCTCTGCTGGACCTTGTGCTACGTACCTTCCGCTTCCCAGGCGGCTGCATATTAGAAGCCTAGAGGCAGACTCACAAACCCTCTCCTCCAGCTCTCAGATGTGGTCTTTGTTGGGCTGGTCTCGTGCTTGTCAAGATGGCACAACCAAAGCTGCCAGAAGGCGTCTTCTCTTTCCTGGATACCGACCTTTACAAGCTGACGATGCAATGTGCGATCCTCAAGTACTTTCCTTCGGTCGATGTCGAATATAAATTCACGAATCGCACTCCGCAGATGCGATTGGATCTAGAAGCCGTCGCCTGGCTGCGAGAACAGATTGCGAAGTTGGGGAATATCACACTCGAACAGCAAGAGTTGCAATTTCTCAGAAAGCACTGTCCATACCTGACCGCCGACTACTTGGAGTACCTACAGAAGTTTCAACTCCGACCCAATGAGCAAGTACATCTCGAATTCAAGCCAGTCGATGGACCGTACGGAGACCTCCACATTACCGTCTCGGGCTTGTGGGTCGAGACAATCCTCTATGAAATCCCCCTCCTTGCCCTGACGAGTCAAGCATACTTCAAGTTCATTGATAGGGACTGGGATTACGACGGACAAGAGGAGCAGGCATACGAGAAAGGAGTGCGGCTATTCAGCGCAGGCTGCGTTGTTTCGGAATTCGGCTCTCGGAGGAGACGCGATTTCCACTCCCAAGATCTCGTGATCAAAGGTCTAGTAAGAGCTTCACACGAGAAAGACCTGCCTGGAAAGCTGTCGGGCACGAGCAATGTGTACTTTGCGATGAAGTACAGCATCCCACCGGTTGGGACAGTGGCACACGAGTGGTACATGGGCATCGCCGCCCTTACGGGTGACTACGAACATGCTAATGAAAATGGCCTCCGATATTGGCTGGACTGCTTTGGCAAGGGAGTTCTAGGCATTGCACTCACAGATACGTTCGGCACGCCCGATTTCTTCAAGGCGTTCAAGAAACGGATACCGGCCCGGACGTCGGCCTCGCGCGACAATTCGACCGGGTACACCGACGAAAGCCATCCGGCGACCGATCAGCCTTCCTACGCTGAAGTTTTTGCAGGCATCAGACAGGACTCTGGAGATCCCAAAGAATATATCAAGAACGCTGATGCCTTCTACAAGTCAATAGGGGTGGCCAACAAGAGTATTGTGTTCTCAGACGCACTCAACGTGGAAAAATGCATCGAATACCGAGCATTGGCAGAAGCCAGCGGGTTCAAGCCTTCCTTTGGGGTAGGCACATTCTTCACCAACGACTATAAGCACAAGTCGAACCCTGAAACCAAATCCAAACCAATGAATATCGTCATCAAGTTGTCCAAGGCGGGCGGCAGACCGGCAATCAAGTTATCCGACAATATTGGCAAGAACACAGGTGATGAGGAGACGGTAATAGATGTCAAACGTCGTCTTGGTTACACGGAGAAGGAATGGAGGGGGGGTGATGAATCAAAGAGGTGGTGACGGGTTGGACCTAGCCAATGCTCATGGCTTTAATGTCGCAGCCTTGCACCCCCTGGGAGACTGTGGATCTGACGGAGCGAGGCTCTAGCACCATTGTGGGGGTCGTGGCGGAGAGCTTGTCACTGATCGGTCGCCATTGGGGCCGTCAAAATCTCTTTCGAGATGTGATTTTCGCTCCAGGCAGCTGGGATTCAAAGGTCGGTGCCTACGAGTATCTCACGCCACAACGGATCACGGGGGGCGATGTGAGATTTACTCCGACTCCTCGATAGTGGCTGCGGCGAAAAAGCCACGAGTATGCCTCAATGGCGACAACCACAATCACCACAAAACCTATAGCATTGTCCGACATGGGCAAGAATTTTCAGGCAATTGCTGAAACAGTTTCTGATGTGACTATCCCCACGCCAGCGATCCGTCTCTTTTTTCGGAGCCTGAGGCGTTATTGGCAACACTGGTGAAGGAGGAAATCGTTCCCCATGCTAAAGTAAGATTGGGAGTGGTTTGATTGGGTGCGAGGAGCAATGCAGGCTTGTAGCGAGGCAATGGTTTGTCAGAGTGGTTACCTGGTCCTTGAGAATCCATCAAATTATCTCATCCGGACGAGGTCGGAATAGGCAAGGGAGGACGGGGCAAGCGCTGACTTGCGTCTGAGACGACCCAGTGATGATCATGCTGTCGACAACGAACGTTTGCTGTGAGGGCTTGTTGTATGGTTCGAGTAGTAGTTGGAGGAGCACAGCCGCAGTCAGGTTGAAGTGCGCACACTCTAGTCCCCACCACACAACTGCAGGGTGCAGCTGCGAGGCGCTAGGCCCCGAGGCCCCGAGGGCTTCTCTGGGCATGCGGCGTAGACAGAGAGGGTGCCCAGACTTTTTGGGTCGAAGCCTGGACGCAGCTCCTCGAGTAGGGCGAGCTAGGTCCGAGGGGCACTTTAGGCTCCCCTATGGAAGAGTCGTCAGAATTGCACCCAGGGTCGCAGGGTTCCTTTTCTCTGCAGCTCGCTCCCTCGCGCGCCGCTTCCTTCCCTCCCAACTCCGTCCCGAGCTGATCAGATTCCTCGCAGCTGTGATCACTCAGCCCGCCATCTCTCTAACACCTTCAAGTTCTTTCTTCTTTCAGATTTTCTATTCAGCCGCTGCTGATTCCACCTCCATCTTAGACTTTCATCATCCTCCTCCTTTTATTCCTTCCTTTCCCATTTTCTTCGATTCCTGTATCGCGTACCTGAGGCAGTTGCGCGTGAACCTCCTTTCCAGGGTTTCCTGATACACGGTTTCCTGCGCTTACCGGAGCCCTCGATTGAATCTTTATTGTCACCTATACGCCTTTTGATACCCGCCTCATTTTCCCGGCATCATGAGTGTATGTCTTTACCATCCCGAGGGAGACTGGGTCGCCCTACCCTCCCCTCAACCCCTGAAATGCAGTCAATGGAAATCTATCGCCTTTGCATTGCACTCCCCTTTGACAACTGTTGCTGACATCTACATCGGTCCAATCAGAACTATCAACAAGGCGGCCAGGGCTACGGCACCTACAATCCCTACGGACAAGCAGGAAATCCTTACGCTCAAGGAGGCCAAGAAAATGAAGCATACGGCAATCAGGGAAACTACAGTGAACGCCCGGAGCCCCAACAACAAGGGAGCAGCTATTATGCTCAGGATGAACAGCGGCAAGGCGGTTACGGTACACAAAGCTCGACGATACCTCCTGAGTAACTGGTGACTGATGAATATCCTCTACAGAAATGAGAAACATGAACGGCGCCGACCCAAACCGAATCCTCAATGAATGCCGGGCTGTCGACCAGGCCATTGATGAAATCGAGGCCGACCTGCAGCGTCTCAAGGGCCTTCAATCTCGATACCTGGCCGACACCAACACTTCTGCCCAGTCGCCGTTGCGCATGGAAGTCGATCGCATGGGTGATACAATCATGACAAAATACCGCGGTCTCGTCAGCCGCGTCAAGGGCATCAAGCAACAGCCGGAATCCGGAAACCCACGCAATGCTCCTCAAGTCGGCAAGGTTGACCGAAGATTGAAGACAGCCATCAACCAATACCAACAGGTCGAGCGGGAATTCCGGAAAGCGTCTCAAGAACAGATGGCCAGACAATACCGTATCGTCCGCCCGGACGCGTCAGACGCAGAAGTGCGCGAAGCTGTGGAAGATCCCAATAACCAGCAAATCTTCTCTTCTGCATTGATCCAGAGCGACCGACGCGGTGAAGCGCAGACTGTGGCTCGGAACGTTTCTCAACGTCATGAAGACATCCAGAAGATTGAGCGACAGATGATCGAGCTTGCGCAGCTCTTCCAGGACCTCGAGGCATTGGTGGTGCAGCAAGAGCCTGCAGTCACCCAGATTGAGGAGCAAGGCGAGCAAGTCGCGGAGCACGTGGCCAAGGCCAATGTTGAGCTCGAGGGCGCGGTTGTCAAAGCCCGCGCTGCCCGCCGCAAGAAGTGGATATGCTTGGGCATTGTTGGTGAGTGTGACTCGGATTTCGCCAGCGTGAGCGAGCTAACCTCGATCCAGTGCTCATTATCATCATTATCGTTGTGGTCGTGGCGGTGGCTGTTACGGTTACGAATAACCATTAGTATGACGGCAATAACAGCAATCCACCGTCTTGAATCACAAAACCATCTTCAGTCGCCTGCGGGGATCGTGACATGCATGGAACGGGCAACTCCGCAATGCAGTTGATTCTTGCAAGTCTACATTTGACTTGATGTCCGTCAAAGGTGGACGGCATTTATCATTGGTGAAGCAGACCACAATGCGCCCTTTATTTTTGATTGTTTTTGGATCACCCGAGAGTCGACGCGACTCGCATTCGTGAGGAGGATCGGAGCGCGATAGAGCGGGCCAGGGAAGGTGGCAGGGAGGGTTTTCAGAATCTCATATGTTTTCGCAGAAAAAGCCGGCGCAAAATGCTCATTTGTCTGTTTTCGATTCCTTCTGTCCACGGAGGGGACTTCGGGCTGGTTGGTCGGGTGACATTGTACAGCATCAAAACGCCCATTAGATACACACACTAGCCGCTAATAATTCCTTTCGAGTTCTCTTCGATGAAGATTTGTTCGTGTTCTTTGCAATTGCAGCGGTAGAGGCAGAACGAGCCGGGTCGTTCGGTTTCTCGTAACATGATCGACCGTGACCCTGCTCACCGGTCGCAAGAGACGGGTACATGGGCAGATACAGTCCATCCTAGTCCAGAAACACTGTATGCCGTGTGTCGTGCAGGGAGTGACTGAAACAAAGAGCAATGGGGGGGAGAATGCATAGGGGATTCTGTAATATCTGTACATTCCTTCCGAGGAGATCAGTTCATTCCTGTGCAGATTTAAAGGATCACTATCTGAGTGGTTTTGGAGCGGTGATCTTGTTTACGCATGTAGGAGGTATTGCGTACTAGGTAGGTAGGCAAGTATGAGCATTCGTGTATTGGGTCTACATTCGACACCGCATCCAGCATGATGGAGGTGCTCTCTACTCTGGCCGTGTCTGTTCCAGCAAACGAGAGAGGTGTCTTTCTCTGAGCAGAGCCATTCGAGAAGGGATACCGACGGGTGTTGTCAACAGCGGAAGCGAGCAAGTGGTTCGAATGAACCCCCTGATTCCTGATAGAACAAGCCACGGTGCAATAACCAAAAACACCCCCGGTATTTTTGTCGTCTTGCCAGTTTTATCCGCCCTGAGTCGGCACTCACGCCGCCGCGCCTTGAGCGGCCTTCTGCCTCGCGAGCTCCCTCTCCACCTCCTCCGGCGTCTTGGTCCGGAGTTGCAGCGCGTGGATCCCGCCTGGCCGGTCGAGCTCCTCTTTCAGCAGCGCGTAGATCATCCGGTGCCGCGCCGGCTGCGGTTTCGATTGGAATGACGGCGATGTGATGTCGAGACTGGTCTTGCGTTAGGGTGAAAGCGGGAGAATCTGGGGAGGTCATAGGGGATATCGGGTAGGGAAAAGACAAAGAACAGTTAAGAAGCGGGATGGATATGATTGTAGAGGGATGCAGATGATCCTCAAGCGGAGCAATATACATGAGTTGGTTGACGAGGCCGGCATGGAATTGGGTTGCTAATAGGGATGTCTTTCAACTCATTGGGCGAAGACGTGACGCTTGCGAACTCCGGATTGAGGCTGAAAAGGTCCAAGGCGAACAGAGCATCACTCACAAGAAATGCGTCTCCTTCGAAGTCGAGCCTGCCATGGCCTTGTGGTGGGAATGGAGATGCGAGTCGTTCCGAATCGTGAGGCTTGTGGGGTTCAAGGCCTCTGTTACCTGTCCTGCTAGTTAGACGCTGCATAAAGGGGATTTGTTTGATGCGTGAGAAGACTGGGGAAGGTGTCTTTGGGGCCCAGCAACGCCACGGCCTTCTTCCTGACTTTTACCGACGACCACGAGGCTGGATCTAAGCTCACCTTTCTCCGGATCGTGTCCTCCACCGGGGTGGTGGAGCTGCTCGCCATCCTTCTTGTCGATACTGCACGGCAAAGAGAGGCGCCAGCAGTCACATACCGCCTCATTTGGCTACTGTCCAGACGTTTCTGATGCGGCTGAATGCTAGTAGGGGCGGAGAAATTGGACAGGATGTTCAGGATCGAACTGGCTGTAGTAGGAAATGCAGAGTACGGAGGAGCAGAAGCTGAAATGTGGAATTTTCTACGTCGGGACAAAAGGACGTCTAGCGCATCCCACGAGGCTATCCACGGCTATCTTGGGGTCAGCTCATTTTGGCGGGGAAGGAGTGTAACAAGAGGTCTCAGAAGGGTTTGAAAGATTCAGAGGTAGCAAAAGAGGATCAATACAACGACGACGTCCTGTTCGTAGAAACTGCTTACAAGACTAATATACAACCGGGATAGCCGAGCATCCTTCTGCTCCTTCTTGTCTCTCATCTGACGGACTTTCAGCTGCGTCGCCTTGGAGCTTATTTGGTGGCGTGCGCACCGCTGATGATCTGGGATATGAGAACAACTCTTACCACCATAGCTCGCCAATCTACTCTCTACTCATCACGCTGAGGTTGGCTCTCCCTGTCCACCATGTCCGACTCACCCTCGTCCCACCTCGCCTCGCACATGGCCAAGCTGAACCCGTTCTCCAAGAAGAACGGCAAAATCGACAACGAGGATGCTGGCGACGTCATCGATGCCTCGACTGTTGCTGGCGGCGGCCACGCCTCTCGCGAAACCGACATCACCAAGCACCAGCTCCGAGTCAGCCATGCCCTCAAGGCGTATCTGGCACAGCACCATGTCCTCTCCGAGAAAGATGCCGCTCTAGACAATGCAGACCAAGTGACCGAGCCACTCCGTGCGCTCCTCAGCAAGCCGCATATCAATGTCCCGCCCCATATCACGGATCGGTCCCATCCACTGTCAGAATACTTTATCAGCTCCAGCCATAACACCTACTTGGTGGCTCATCAGCTTTACGGCACTTCTTCTGCCAATGCCTACAGGACCGCTCTCAACACTGGATCGCGCTGCGTGGAGATCGATGCCTGGGACAACGAGGAAAACAAAGATGAACCCAAGGTCACGCATGGCTACACGCTTGTCTCTAACGTCCCGTTCCGCGCGGTGTGTGAGACGATCCGCGACGTGATCGACCAGGAAGCTGCCCAGTCGGCCTCTCAGCCAGGGTACAGAGCAGCCCCCATCTTACTGTCTCTGGAGAACCATTGCGATGCACATGGCCAGATGCGTCTCGTCGAAATCATGAAAGAGGTCTGGGGCGACCGGCTGCTGAGCAAGGCTGTCCGGCAAAAGGGCCACGAGGAGCAGCAAGGCGCGGGCGACCAAGTGACTCTCGAAGAGCTTGGGTCCAAAGTCGTTCTCATCGTCGAATACCATTTCCCCAATGAATCCAAAAGCGAAGACGAAAACTCAAACTCGGATGATGAGGATGAAGAAGCCAAGCAAGCCAGAAAGGCCTACAACGAGAAGAAGAAGGCTGCGCCCACCATCATCATCCCTGAACTGGCCGAGCTGGGCGTCTACGCGCAATCAGTGAAACCGCGCGACAATACATGGTACAGCGAGGCCGGGCTCAAGGAAGCACCCCATCATCACCTCATCAACGTCTCAGAGACCGGCCTTAAAGAGCACATGCCTGCCGAAAACGATAAAATTGCTCGACACAACGCCCGACATCTGATGCGGGTATATCCCAAGGGCACGCGGATCTCCTCACGAAACCTCAAGCCGGTGCAATTCTGGGGTATTGGAGCCCAAGTCTGTGCCCTTAATTGGCAGACGTTCGGGGCCAGCATCCAGCTGAACGAGGCGCTGTTCAGCGGCACAGATGGATATGTGTTGAAGCCCGCGGCTCTCCGAGCGGGCGGATCTGGCAGACTCAACACCGGAAGGAGGAAGATACTCCGTCTCCACGTCGCAGGAGCCTCAGATGTGCCTGTGCCAGAAGGGCGTGAAGCGGGCGACATCAAGCCATACTTGACTTGCAAACTCTACCATCCTGACATCGAAGAGGACGATGCTCCGAAGCGTAAGACGGCACACTACAGGCAACACAAGCTGGGGCTGCTGCATCGAGGTGAGAACCCACCACCCACGGATCCCGTCTGGGATGAGGTTCTGCTATGGGAGTATGAGGACAACGAGCTGGTGTTCTTGCGTATGCTCATCAAGAGCGACGACAGCTTTGCGATAAACCCTATCTTTGCCGTTGCTGCAGTGAGGTTGATGTACGTGTCCCCGGGCTGGAATTTTATCCGCATGCTGGACTTGAAGGGAAGGGAGACCAGATGCTCCATTCTGGTCAGATTCCAGATTGAGGATGCGATATGAATAGGGACGTCGGTGTCAATGCGAGCCCGATCGTGTGTATGGCAGTAAGACGCTGTTTACAAGGTGGATGAGGCAAAGGGAGGCCTCTGGAGCTATTCAATAATGAGAATGCAGGATGTTACGAAGGAAGCTATTATAGACTGGCTCGACTGTTTGAGATTTGATGCGCAGTTGGCCAGAAAGCGCAGCCGCCGCAGTACCGCGCTGCACCACCCACACCTTTCTTATCGACCGTACCGTGTCCTTTTCACCTCTTCTCTACAGTGGACTGAACAACTGTCTGCATAGTTGCCAGATCTTGAATCGATGCTCCGTCACAACCAGTGACATCGGTATAGCCATTCTCCCGTACCCTCTGCCACGAGATCAACCTTCATTATGCAGGAGCGAAAGATGCCTCCTCTGCAACGGCCAGCCAGCGGACATCGCAGACCGCACAGCCGGAGAGCCATATATACGCCAAACGATCGAGTGCCACGAAGGAGAAAGTGGTCGAAGTCCACAAATTCTTCTTCGGCGAACGCATCATTCCTAGAAGCATTCACCCAAGCGTTGCGACAGTCCCGTGTAGCGAAAGGAACGACTTGCACCAGTAAAATATATACCAGAGCGGGTTTCAGTTCCGTGGACGAGCGGGAGTATCTGGAGAAGTGGTGTTTCAGGGCACATTATGCTGGGATTCAGTCTTGCTCGAGGATGGACAGGATGGATTGTAGGCTTGGTAGTTAGATGCAGTGCGAAAGGTAATTGTTCGAAAGTACTCCGTATAGTTCGGGCTTTTCCAATTGCGGCGTCACCTGTGGCTATATACACACCAAATCTCCATTCCATACGTTTCTTCGGTGTGGCTGGCCTTGGGCTTGTAATCATGTCGACCCAATCATCGCGTCGAAACCCCGATCAGACCAGTGACTCAGTTAGAGCCCTGACTGCATGGGTGCTACGGCAAAGTCTTATGCTTGCGAATTCTCTGTACCATTCAGATATTCCCGCAGGGAAGCAGTAGATTGGCTCTGTTGGAGATCTCTGCGTTCATTGCCGCCGCCTGTGAATATTAACGTATCTCTCCACGCCGTTTGAGCCTGTCGGTAGTGCAAGAGGATAGGATCGGCGGGGCCATCAGACAAGGCCATGCGGAGCTCACAGATCCTGTTCCGCGGGGGCGATGTCGGTAACGAGAGGGCCTGGATCCCCGGAGAGCTGGAAAGGGCGAAGTCGTCCACCGGTCCCAAGTCCCGGTAAAAGTCGCCCTCTTCGATCTCCATGACCCGGCGCGCGACCGACGAGGCCATTTTCGAATCCCACATGCCTTCTCGGTACGACGTTGTCTCCATCAGCCGGATAGCCTGGAGCCGGACGCGGTGGGCCCGGCATTTGAGGGACGTGTAGTAGAGCGGCGCGATCCAGCCGATGTCGACGATGGACCGCGACATGTGGATGCGCGGCCATGGGAGCGGCCCTGCGACCGTGTGTTCGGCCCGGCCTGCTTTCCACATGACTATGGCTCTGTCGAGGATGGAGACGAATCGCTGCGTATGCACATCGAAGACGGATTCGTCGTCGGCGCGCAGGCAGGTGTCCGCCATGATGGCCGCCATGTGGTGGTATGTGAACAGCAGGCCGTAAGCCAGACCTCTTGAGTCTTGGTCCTGCATCGAGTTTCGGGACGCTTCGAGGGTGTCGAAGCACCTGGATATCTCCGCCTGGATCTGTGTCAGAGACGATTCCAAGGACGATGGTTGTTCCACGGTGGCATGGCGAGAAACTTGTTGTTGGCGGCGCGCCAACTCGGTAAGATGGAATACGCGGCCGAATATCTTCTCGATCTGCGTCCACGCCTGGTTGACGGAGCGGAAAATCGCCGGCGACGACGACGATGACGACGAATCCTCAGATATTTGCAGAACTTGACACGGATGCCGATAACAGTGCCTGAATAGCTTTGACTGGAGGTCTAAGCGGCAGAAGGCCCGGACGATGGCGTCGTCGATGGAACCGGGAACAAGCTCGAAGAGCAAAATTCCATTGCCTTCGGTGACGGGCACTGCTAACTCCCTGAGGAGCCTCAACCCGTTCTCGAGATGGGCTTGCCCAGTCGCCAAGTGACCGCAAAGAAGTTCCAAGCACACAAACACGAAGCAGGTCATGAGAGCCGTCCGCGCCGATGCCTTGTCCCTGATCGCGAAGGGCGGTTGCAGATGACGAATCGCCCTGGTGTAATGCTGCAGGGTGAACCGTTCCTGTTTGTCCGGAGTGTCGCACACCCGTCTTCCGTAGTCGCTCTCGTAGACCTCCCGCCTGTGGACAGAGCTCAGGGACAGGACAGCGTGCAGGACGGCGGGCTCGCTCCAGCACGCCGAGTAGAGTAGCGGGTCCCATAACGCCAGAATGGAGGCGCCGGGGATTTTCTTGGATGTGCGGTATTTGAACCACTCAAGATACTGCCACTCTTCTGTGGTTCCAGTGAATGGGTAGACACGCGGGCGTTGCAGATAGCCAACGCTGCCGATAGAACCCGGGGCCCGTAGCGGATGAATGTAGAAGTTCACCTCGCTGCCTAACACCCCGTAGCCATCACAAACTCGACCAGTTGAAACGCACCGTCGGCAGGCTGGCCGATTTTCGTCGCACTTGATCTTCCGGACCCTGCAGTTGTCAGCCCGTCTCTCGCTGCTCAATACCGCCGTCGACGCAACCTGGAGACTTACTTGCAAGTTCGGCAGCCGGTCTTCACCTGCACTCGGCGTGCGCCACCGCGAATGCTCGGCTTGTGCGGCTGACCAGCTCCGCCCATCAGGAAAGAAGTCTTAATGTGGCTACTTATGCATGCCGTTAGCCATTGTTCTCGACCCGACGTTCCAGGAAGTTTCACAGTTCAAGAGTCTTGCAAAGGAGCCGGGCCGTAAATCAATGCTCTGTCTGTCGCTCCAGGAAATCGGCCAATGATTGGCTGAAAGTTTGATATGGGGCACCGCCAGAGGGCTCTAGCCTCGTCATTGGCCGGATCGGGGTTTCAATGCGATGATTGGCTAGACATCCAAGCCAAAGCTCCGTCCACATAGAAGATATTGAATGGAACGACACACTTACCGAGTTGTGCAGTATATCCTGGGTTGGATTTTCACCCTCGAGTGAGCCCATGGACTTAATGGAGCCAGCTTCGTCCACTAATACCGGGCACTATCTGCACTGCAAGACCATAAATACCTTGCCTTCCTTCCCATACACCGGCGGAATTTGTACTATAATCAGATCAAGAGTTGACGCTCTTCCCTTCCCTATCAGCCTTGACCTACTTCACAGTAAATAACAATGGCCACGAAGCCGGTTCCACTGCATAAGCTGGGAAAAGATGGCCCAAGCATTCCCCCAATGGGTTTCGGGTTGATGACGATTGCTGGTGCTCATGGTGACCGTCCCAATGACGAAAAGCAATTCAGCATCCTGGACCGCGCCCTTGAGCTGGGAGACACATTCTGGGATACTGCTGAGTACGTCTCCGAGCACGTTGCCCTGGGAGGAGACACTCATCAATCGCAGCATTTACGGAGACAATCTGGAAGTGCTGGCCAAGTGGTTCCAGCGCACCGGGAAGCGAGACCAAATCTTCCTTGCATCGAAATTTGGAATCCTCATGGGAGAGAATCTCCAGCTGAAGGGATTCGACAGCTCTGCTGAGTACTGCAAGAAGGCCTGCGACGAGAATCTCAAGCGGCTTGGCGTCGATTGCCTTGACCTATGTAAGTCGGCGATATGAGCTTTTTGAAATATGACATCGGGAGAATTGTCGTCGGTTCTTGATGCTAAGCCAATCAGTCTATGTTCATCATATCAACCCGCAAACGCCTATCGAGGAAACGATGCGAGCAATGGCGGATCTGAAAGCGTAAGTTTGCCGACTTTTCTTTTCTTTTCTGTTTCTCTCAACGTGATAGTATCTAACGCATCTCAGAGAAGGCAAGATCAAACATATCGGATTGTGTGGGCTAAGCTCGAGCACCCTTCGTCGTGCTTGCAAAATTGCACCCGTGGCTGCGGTGCAAGTTGAGTACTCGGCTTTTGTGCTTGACATCGAAGGAGAACGCGGCACCAACCTGCTTCAGACTTGCCGAGAGCTGGGGGTTGCTGTCGTCTGCTTCGGGCCCATTGGCCGCGGCCTGCTCACAGGAACAGTGACAGGCACGGAGTCAATTTCTGGGACAGGCGATATCCGCACCAAGTGGGTTCCTCGCTTCCAAGAAGACAACCTAAAGAAGAATCTCAAGGTCGTCAATCAATTCAAGGCTCTGGCGGACAAGAAGGGATGCACTTCCGCTCAGCTGGCTCTTGCATGGGTTCTCAAGCAGGGAGATGACATCTTCCCGATTCCCGGAACCAAGAAGATCAAGTATCTGGAGCAAAATTGGGCAGCGCTTGATATACATCTCAGTGACGCCGAGGAAGTCGAGGTTCGAAAGATCGTTGCGGGCTCGGAGCTAGCGGGCTTTGAAACCCACCCCTCTGCGTATGTAGATACAAAGGAATTAGCTTGAGCATGCTCTAGTTGTATGGTCAATGTGTCAGAAGGGTAAGCCTATGGTGGTCTCAACACCTCAGCCATTGCGGCGACTTTAGAAACAGTCACCGTGTCCACGGTCAATGTTCATCTTGTGGCCTCTATTGCTCTCTCTTTCTAGCCGGCCTTTCAGTGTCTGGGATTTGAGCGTCACCGATGGAGCAGGTCTAGAAAAAATCGCCGAGGTTTGAGAGAGATATTCTGCGACGAGGTAATTCCTTGCAGAGCCGATATTCTTTTTCGATCCTTCATAATGAGGGTGTCCTCTGTCAGGTAAGCGATGCAATAACTTCCATTCTCATTCTTCTTTATCCAGGCTGCTTGTTGATCACCGACTGGAGGATTCTGGCTGTAGCCCAGGCCTGAGCAGCCAAAGAGCCGGCTCGGATGCCATCTGAAACGGTGGCTGGTAGTGCAGAGACCCGTTTGACATAGCTTGAGTCGGAGTCGGCTTTGTTCGCACCATTCATCACGAGGGCGTTTCATGATCTAGGACAGTAAAAAGAGATACGGATTTAGTTTCAAAGGGAAAGAAAAGTTGGGCAAGAAATTGGGCCTTTTGTGTGGTCGATTAGAGAGCTTATACTACCTCAGGAGTAGGTGAGTTACCCAGCCAAAAGAACGTGGATAAAGGACGAGGTCGAGCTCAAAGCCAGCGTACGACTCTTCACCTGCGGTGCCTTGGTGCATAATGGGCAATCTCTATGGTCAAGTCCGTAGTAGGACGAAGGGGGCAAATGTGTGCGGAGGAAAAGAGTGATGTAAGTTGGTGAGGGCCGGAGTGAGTGCGTAGCACGTGAGTGAGCTTTGGGCAGCTCCGGATACTCCGCCAATAGGGAGGAAAATGTGTTGAGCTGCAGCACTTTTCGACACTCCGTCCCCTCCATACCATTCTCACCACAATCTTGCACCCGCGTCCCAAATATTTCTTACTCTCTTCTTAGATTATTTCGAGACTAGGGCTCGAGCCTGATAGTTTCGGGAGCGAGCTAACAATCGACAATGGTTCTGGGATGGGTCCTACCCCTCCAACCTGTCGCCTCATCTATGCGGCGAACTTTCAGCTCAGAAGAGCTGCTGGGCGTATAGGAGCAGCATCGTCGTGGACAGCTTCTTCCTCAAGCGCCTTGACATTCCCCTCCACGATATGCAAGAGCCCCCGAGGAATCTCGGCCAGAATGGCCTCCACCCTTCCCTCCTCTCCCATCTTCGCAGCCATTGCCAATCACGACCCAAAGTCTCCTGCAATAATACACAGTGCCTCTAATAGGACCTTCTGCTACGGCAGTCTACTACATGATGTTGCTGCCGCAAAGGACAAGTTGACCGCTCTTGCTGGGGGAAGATCTCTGGTAGGTGAGAGAATAGCTTTTCTGGCGGAAAACGGGTATGATTATGTGGGTGCGGGACCAGTGCTGCAATCCTCGTGCTGCTGATATTAACAATGCTCGAAGTGACGTTCCTCTCAATCCTCTCACACGATGCAATCGCCCTCCCCTTGGCGCATTCTCACCCGAGCTCCGAGCTCCGATACATCCTCGAGAATAGCGAAGCTGCATTGTTCCTTTCGACGGAGAAATTCCAAGAGAAGGCGAAAGAGGTGCTGAAAGAAGGAATAAACCATGCACCGAGACTGGAAATTCTGTCCAAGATTGAAACCGGAGCACTGTCCGCCGAGAATGTCAGGTTTGGCTCCAAGGCCCTTGAAAATGGAGGGTTCATGCTTTATACCTCCGGGACCACTAATCGTCCCAAGGGCGTGGTTCTATCTATGGCCAACATGACGGCACAATCTAGTTCCTTGATCAAAGCATGGAAATATAGCGCCTCAGACCTGCTCCTCCACGTTCTCCCACTGCATCATATCCATGGCACTATCAACGCGCTGTATACTCCGCTTATGGCCGGTTCAGCAATCGAGTTCGCCTACCCATTTAATGCGGATACGGTGTGGCAGCGACTTGCCGCACCGTTCCTCCCCAACACCTCTCCTTCCTCTCCAGATCAAGCTAAAAGACCTATAACTTTCCTTACCTGTGTTCCGACGATATATAATCGCCTGCTGGCAACTCATTCTTCTCTGCCCCCGGAAATGCAGACCGCAACCCGCACCGCGATCACCCCTCGCTACCTCCGACTGAATATATCTGGTTCTGCAGCGCTCCCTGCACCAACGAAACAAGCCTGGACAGAGCTCTCTAATGGTAACGTCCTTCTCGAGCGCTACGGGATGACGGAGGTTGGCATGGCACTATCTTGCGGACTGGCATTTGAGGATCGAGTGGACGGTTCGGTTGGATGGCCGTTACCCGGAGTCGAGGTACGACTCGTCGATACCGAGACAGGCACAGTAATCGAAGCGGGCGAAGAAACGGATCAGAACGGCGACCCGCGAGAAGGGGAAATCCAACTCCGTGGCCCGACTGTATTTAAGGAGTATTTCCGCAACCCCTCCGCTACAGCGGCAGAATTCGTCGAGTCTGAAGACGGAAAAGGAGACTGGTTCAAAACAGGAGACGTGGCAATCCGCCAACTCGTGCCGGGAACCGGCAAAAGCGAGCAATCCTGGGCTCATGGGCCAATGTACTTCATCCGAGGCCGCAAATCTGTCGACATTATCAAAACGGGCGGGGAAAAGGTTTCTGCACTGGAAATTGAACGGGAACTTCTCTCGCTCCCAGAGATCGCCGAAGCCGCGGTAGTGGGGATCCCGAACGAGCAATGGGGTCAGAAGGTCGCGGCGGTGGTGGTTCTGAGTGAGAAAGGGAAGAGCGGCGGTAAGGGAGGCAAGCAATGGGGAGCAATGGATATGCGCAGGGCCTTGAAGGATAAGTTGGCGAATTACAAGATTCCGCAGGAACTCAAGGTCGTGGAGAGCATTCCGCGGAACGCCATGGGCAAGATCAACAAGAAGACGCTCGTGAGGCACGTCTTCTAAAGGGGCTTCGGTGAGTGAATCACGGGCCATCTGTTTAAAACTCGGCCAGGACAATTTCCTTTGGCGCATGGACTGAAGAGCGACAAATTGACTGGACTCGGATAAGGGTGTCAATCGGGAGAATAAAAAGAAACCGCGAGGGCGGCGGGATAGGTGGAACATCTGGGCTCTATTGTGGCAACTGGCTTGATGTACAAGTAGCTGCATACAGGCAGCATCTCGGAATGCTGGTGTACGAATTGAACAAAAACCATTCGCCACTCCACCTGTGAATACTAGTGTTAGGCCAAGAAAGACTGCAGAGCAACCACCAGTCAAAGATATAGCCCAGAAGAGGCGGCTGGAGCTGATCCTTCATTTGTTGGACTGTGGTGAGGGTGGACGTCGTCCGAGCGCCAGGTGGAAGACTTTCCCTGTCTGGATTCTGGGCCTGATTTCTCAATGACTGTGGCCGGACCAGGCGAGATGCGAGGTAATTGTGTGCGTTTAATGGCCAACCCTTTCCGATCCGACCGATGCACAAGGTCCGTTGTCGACTGCATATGGCATTCTGTCCCAGAATGGAAACATATTTACCCGATGACTCATCCAACAACCGGGTACGAGGTTTGGGGGCCTTTTCTCGTCCAGGCTGCCATGAGGTACCTCGTACACGCATACCCATTCATTCTCTTGACCTTCTCACCTTTGCTGGCCTCTGGAAGATGGAATCTCGCCCATGTTTGCTGTGGCACAAAATCGTTGAAAACACGTGACTTGAGCCTCAATCTTGAGGATTCAGGCGCTGTATGCCTGGATGTCAGCTGGTCAAATTGCGGAGCCATGGCCCAACGGGCATGATGTGAGAATTTGGCCGCTGGTGTTCGCCTTGGCCGCAGCACTGCATTGACAAACTACCCCAAAAACCTGGTTTTTTTTTCTTTCCTTCTTTCAGAATTGGCTCGAGTCCCTTATCAATCGGCCCAGCTTTCGTTATCAACCATCATTTTGGTCCAATTCCTCGCGGTTTTGCTTGTCATTTCTGTTTCAGCATAGTGCCTGGGACTCGCGGTCATGCAGTCTTCCGAAGGATTCAACCCAGGGAACTCAATGTGTCAACGCCGCTGCATACGTCGAACCCGAGGGGCAATCTCCTTCTGCCATTGCAGTTGGTAGACATGGTCAGGAGGCGGTTGTGTTTGCCAGGGTATGTTAGGTCAACACCTCGCCACGTTAACTAACATACCGCTCATGGTCTGATGACGAGGGCATCTGTACCCCAGCCAGTGTTCAGCATACCCACTCAGTCAAGCTCGTGTGCCCAGTAACTGGTGTTGGTACAGTGGCGGATTGGAGTGGCGAAATAGTTTCAATCAGAGCGGGCTGCTTTAACTGCGCCCGAGAAAGGGATGGGATGAAGTGATCAACCTGTCGAAACAGATATCTACTGAACCATGACCAGTGCGCTGAGATGTTCACTCCCCCCTTCCTGTTGTACGCTGTCAAAAGAGTCAATCATACAGAAAATCAGTAGAGACGGGACAAGTTTCTGTTGGCGACAGACACTTATCGATCAGCACATCGAACACCACAACCAGTCTGGCAAGAGCGACAATGACTGGCACTCAGAACGCGCCAAAGATGGCTTGTGAAAGCGGTAGTGATGAGAGTAGGAAACACGGTGCCCCAAGCTTGAGACCGTTGCTGACACCGTCCACAGCAAGGGGAACGCAAGAACTTACACCGCTGAAACTATACATTGACTTGCCCCTCCGGGCGGACCCGTGGGCGGCATTGAGTATCGATGTTAAGGTCGATAAGCCTGATCGTCCACTTCTCGATCATGTGGGCAAGCAGAGCGACCTGGCAATCGGCCTTGTCAAAACGCCGCTGAGAGCTCAGCTGTGAGTGAAGCAGAGAGGTGCCATAACGCGTTTTATTCCATCTTCCAAGGTAAACTTGCAACAAGAAATCTCTCTTCACTCTGAATAACCCCGCACTGACTTTTTGGCAGCTCGGCAGCTAGATAGGTTGCGACTTTTGGGAGGTTTAGGTGCGAAATGGCCGATTGGCGGTGGCGGTGGCGGCGGCGTAGGGGGACGCATGATCAGGCAGTCGAGCTGGCGGCTCGGAGTGGCAGTATCGTGTCCACGATCACGTAGGAGAGAGACTGGAAGCCTGTATCCAATAGAGCTGGTTCTTGAATTCTGTAATCTTCAAATCAACAAAGGCATCATGTTGTTACTACGTTTGAAGACCAACACCCAGAGACAATCTAAGCGTCGAACTCGGCGTGAATCAGCCGGGCGACTTGCTGAATACGGCCAAATCGCGGAGTAAGGTTAATCCGTTTCTGTGCACTGGCCCTCGCCCCCATCCTCCCGATACGAGGTTCTCTTTCAACGTCATGTATCTTCCCAAGGAGTAAGTGCGTGTGATGATATACCCTCTTCGCCAGACTTCGCAACCCCCTCTCGTCGACGCGGGACAATAGCCGAGCCATCCGCCAGACACTCATCCTCTGTGGATGAAATACTCTCGATCCATTTAGCGAAAAGTCTGCAAAGTGCCGCTTTCCGGTCGTCCCTGAGCAATGAGGCTGGCACCAATACCATGAATCTCATGAATTAGGCAGAATTGGTCTCGCTATTTTACTCCTCTTCCAACATCCAATTACCGCTTCGCCCGGCCAGATTCCGACCGTGAGGTCAATGCGTTACCCCAGAATTTCCCCATTGCATCTCCGGCACCACCGCCTTTGTGCGCTTGTTTACGAAGAACCAAAACTTTGCATCTCCATGTTGTGCAAGGTGAATCTGGTGACCTGCAGGATGGTAGGTGAAAAGTCAGTGGAGAACAATCCGCCGGCTTTGAAGCCAGCTCTGAGCTTCTGCTTCCCCGCCATGGCTTTCCAAATATCCCTCTTTGAGCTTGAGACCACGGACCACATAAAACTGCGACTTGGAGAAGAAGGGTGATTGCCGACTACACGGTGCTTCCACACTGTCTACCTGCTTTAAGGGTTCGAATCAGACGTACATTCATCGCGGCCAGCCATGAAATTCCCAGTCGCTGGAGCTTCAGCTCTGCTACTCCTCCTCAACACGTTCACCCAGGCACAGGCAGTCCCTGTCATCGATCTCGGCTATGTGAAATACAGCGGCTACCAGAATGCCACCGCAGGCATCAACTACTACCGCGGCATCCGTTATGCCGCCGCTCCTACAGGTGAACTACGCTGGGCAAAACCCGTGCCCATCGAATATATGAACAACTATAACGGCCAGACCATCAATGCTTCAACCCTAGGCCCGGCGTGCTACCAATCCTCTGCGAGGTCCACTTATGCTACGCCGTCAGCTCCACAAGGACAATCAGAAGACTGTTTGCTCCTCGACGTGCTTGTTCCTTCCAAGCCTGTCTCATCAGCCTTGCCCGTGCTTTTCACGTAAGTAGTGTCTCTTGAACCACTTCTCCATAGCTAGGCCCAGTCTCGGCGATACTTTGTGGTGTATCAAACTGAGCGACAACTCGGAGAAAGATCTTGTCTTGTCTTGTGTGATTCAGTTTCAATCCTACAGTCATGCAGATTTTAACTTTGGATATTGCGATCCAGCATCCACGGCGGCGGCTACGTTGGTGGGAGCGCTCCTTTCTCCTATCCGGGCGATGCCCTGGTCAATCGGTCGGACGGCAACATTATCTATGTGGGTATTCAGTACCGTCTCGGGATGTTCGGGTTTATGGGCGGGGATGCCATTGCTGAGAACGGAGCATTGAACGCTGGCCTGCTTGACCAACGAGCCGCCATGGACTGGGTTCAGCGGAACATCCGTGCCTTTGGTGGCGATCCAGGCCGTGTCACTATCTGGGGTGGTTCGGCTGGTGGAGGCAGTGTCTCATGCCAGCTGATCGCGAATAGCGGTTCTGATTTCCCTCCCTTTGCGGCCGCGATTGCAGACCATCCCTGGTGGCAGCCCTTCGCGAACAAGAGCACGCAGAACACCCAGTTCAACACGGCTCTGAAGCTGTCAAGCTGTTCGGACATCAATTGCCTGCGAGAATTGTCTTCGGCTACACTCGGAAACCTCAACCAGGCAGTGATCAATGCCACGTATCCAGGACCAGACAATGCATACGGTGTCTATTACTGGGGCCCAGTGGTGGATGGCAAGTTCATCCGCGACCTCCCCGACCAAGAATTTGCAAAGGGCAACTTTTACAAGGTACCCTTGATCACCAACCGAGACGCCTACGAAGGCTATATCTTTTCCAATATGACGCAGACATCTCAGGTCGACGAGACGGTAGACGTGAGTTCAATCTGCCCTCTCCCACATATTCCTTCTCCGCAGCTACTGATGACATTTCCCCTATCTATAGGCTGAAGATCTCTTCCCCGCGGCCGGCCCGTCATTTTTCTCCCGTCTTTACTCTCTCTACCCCCGCAGCAACTTCAACAGCACCTTCTACCAGCGGCAGACGTGGTTCGGGGACTTCATCATCAACTGCCCGACCTACTACATGGCCTCGTCGATGGTGGACTCGCTGTCCAACAGCTCGGCGGTGTTCAAGCTCACGTTCGCCGCCGGGAGCGAGCTCCACGGGGCCACCAACCCGTTCATCTCGTCCAACGTGACCAACTACCCCAGCGCGAACAACCTGACCCTGGCGCACATCATGACCAGCTACTGGGTGAGCTTCACCGTCTTCCACGACCCGAACCCGCTGCGCACCGCCGGCGCGCCCTACTGGCCGAGTTACATCTCCGGGGCCCCGGGCTCGGCGGCCCAGGGCGAAGGCGTCGGCTTCACGATCCAGGCCGTCACGTACAACAGTATCGGCGCGACGCCGGATCCCGACGCGGCCGCGCAGTGTGACTTCTTCAACTCCCGGGGATGGCAGATCAGGAACTAGGCCAGATTGTGCGTCGGGTTGTGTTGGCTGTGCAACACGAGGACGTCTTTACGAGTGATATGAATGCTGAAGGGAAGAGTACATGTGCATACTGACGATGTATCAAGGTGGAGGAAGTGCTGTGGTGTCTCAATGAAATCCCGACAGTCGTTGCACACGCAATACTGCCAAGTAAGGACAGGTCCTTTTGCGAAGTGAGAAAGCGGCCCTCCTTGTTACCTAAGTAGGTAGGTAGGAATGGCAAGGGCCGCGGGCGAGTTGCCGTGTGTGTGAGTTGCGGGCCCGACGATATCCTCTTCGCCATCGCCATCTAATCTACGAGGTCCGTACAGAGTATCCTTGAACATCCATCGCTCGCTGAGTAGGTAGGTACATATGTAGGTACAGTAGGTAGTCAGCTACCCAGAAGAGTACATATGTGGTCGGTGATCGAGAAACCGCTTTAATGGCCTCCGAGCCTCGGCACAATACTGTCCCTTTCTGTGACGGGTTGAACCCTGAAGGAGGCTCGGTTCAGGCGAACCAGCGCCAAGCCCAACAGTCACACGTGACGGAGAAACAATATTCCGTACGCAAGGGAAGGAGAAACATGATGCAAGGATAGCGTACGCAAGGGATGGATGGCGTATACAGAAGAGGAGGCAAGGGAGAGAGGTAAGACAACGGGTACCCCTTGCAGTGGAGCGTACGATATAAGGAGAGAGAGGGAGTGTCCTTCCTTCTTTCTTTCCCCCCTCAGATTTGTCCTCCTTGTTACTAGGTTGGCTAGCTAGTTGCAGAACTCTTTCCAAACCCTCACAATTTACTCCTAATATTAAAGATAAGGAATATACGAGTTCTAAAGCACCTAAGCTGTACTGGTATAATTATCTAGGACCTTTGTGAGGTGGAAACAATGAACACCCTCTCGCAGCTTAGTGTTCGAGAGCTTTTCCGAATTTCAAGAGCCTAACCTTTTCGGTTCTGCTGCATCGAGCATTGATGCCTCGATGTTCAATAGACTCCTATCCTGGTGTGTGCTGACAACCCGGGTATAGAAGAGAGGTCGGGGGGTCATGAGAGGTAACTTCTGCCTTTGACGGATGTTCGAGCCAGCCAGACTGGCGATAGCTTCCTTTGCAGTACTGTGAACCGATCCTCTACAGCACCAATGCTCAGTTCAGTGCAGGGTGGAATTTGTACAACTATTTACAGTGCGTGACCAGCTGCGACTGGAAGCGATAGGACTGTGCTGGCCAGAGATCCATATCCAGTAGTTTGCTCTGCTATGCTTTCTCGATAGTTTCTGTCATCACCCCCTGCTTCTCTTCGATCGCTCTATCAATATTGTTCTTCTCTTCTTCCGAGGCGTGGGTCAAGTTCACCAAGACTTTCTCACCAAAGAGCTCGTTGACTTCCTCTAGCGACAGGCCAGCGGTCTGGTCATACTCAGCTTCCCGCAAAACTTATTTCGGATGGCAACTTACCTCGGGCACGAAAAAGTACGTGAGAACCACGGCGGCGAAAGAGCAAGAGATGAAAACCAAGTAGAATTTCCACCTGTGCGCCAGTTAGTGTCTTGGTTCCGCTCTCAACATGCTGGGGTCCTTACCCGATATTTTTGATGGCCGTGGCGGCAGGGGTGAGATATGCGATCGAGGCAGTGTAATACACGAACAGTCCGAGTGCCATGCCTTTGGCACGATACATGGTGGGAAAGACCTCAGCGCAGTACACGTACGCAGTCCCATCAATGCACAGGCCGTACATTGTCACGAATGCGAAGAGGAAGAAGACCGCGGCGGCATTCCCACCCTTGTTGTCCGTGCCTGCGAAGCTCGCCACGAGCGCCGTCTCGCAACTCAACATGACTGTCGTGCCGGTCCAGCCACCCAGGAACAGCTTCCGTCGGCCGACTTTGTCCATGATAAGCGATGAGATGATGTTGAAAAACATGCCGACGACAATGTAAAGGGCATACATGAGCAGAGGCATGCTCCCAGTCATTCCCAGGCCTTGGTACAGCACCACGCCGTAGTTGTTGATGACGAGTGGACCACACGACTGTGAACCTAGAAGCACCCCGCAACCAAGGAGAACGCGTCGGCGGAGGCTGGGTTTCTTGAACATGTACGACAGGGACAGGTCTGCGGCGCGATCGTACTCAATCTGCATGCGCATCTGATAGAATTCTTCTTTGGCCTGGCGCTGGGATGGGTCGTTTGGATCGAAATGCAGCTGCTCCGTGATCTTCCAGGCCTCTTCCATGCGGTCCTTCCAGATCAGCCATCGCGGCGATTCGGGGACCCATGGAGAACCGATAAGCAGGATCAACGGGAACAGGCACGACAACGACAGCGGGAACCTCCAGGCAAACGTCTCGTTGCTGGCAAAGTACGTTCCGTACCCCACCCAGGCAGACAGAAGGTAACCGAAAACCAAGGCCACAGCGTTCTGGCCAGTGAGAAAGCCTCTCTGCTGCGGCGGCGCAACTTCTGACAGATAGATGGGAGTGATGGTGATGCACTGGCCGACACCGAGACCATGCAGGAATCGCACAACCACCAACATCGGAATGTTCACACTGCCAGTCACAAGTGCGCCACCAACGAGCGAGAGCGCCGCCGCGAAAACGATCGTGAACCTGCGGCCCATCCAGTCGGGTAGCCATGCTATGGAAAGAGCGCCAAAGGCCGCCCCCGCCGAGAAGAGAGCATTGATGGCGCCGAGAATAGAATTGGTATAGGCAGCCCCGTGTCCTTCGAGGTCGAGGTTGAAGTACTTGTAGAATCCTGCCTGGCCAATGGAGGTGGAGAATACAGAAAAGGCATATCCGTAGGTCAAGGCACTCAAGGCCACGAACAGGACAATCTGCACGATGGGTCAACCAACCGCGTTCATGACACATAAAGGGCGAACACGTACCGTGAGATTGTAGCGCGTTGTTGCAACCATGGTTGCGACGTTGGTTGTGGTGTCGGTTCTTTCGCTCTTGTAATTTGACCGGGATCACTCGACTTGGCAGGTCCAGAGATTGTTATAGATGATAGAAGCCAGATACGCCGAGCACTTAAAGCCGGGATGGTGAATAGTCGGCTATCAACTCGCGCTGCGGCTTTCGCCGAAGCATAGGTGGAATTTCATGCCACTTGCGCATTCGTGGTCGAGACTCGTATGGATCATGAAAATTTGGGTCTCTCTAGCCTCTCGAGCCGGAGGCCCGAACGTGCCTGATTCTTGAGTCTACTCGACTGTGGGTATTAGTGTTGCGGCGTTCACCGAAGCATAAGTCAGGCAACGTTTGAGCATGCCGTCCCAGCCTAGCTATCCCGCGTATTCCATATTTCTTTCCCATGCAAGTAGGACTGAGGCTGGCTATACCTGAAAGAGGGTTGGTCACAGAATGCCTCGTGATTCTGATATCCACATCCCAACTTCGCCCGGCATCCTCCCCTTTTATCGGTTCGCTACCTCTATCCAACCATTCGACATCGACAAGACAACACCAACACCACAATGTCGTCCTCAGAAGAAGAACCTCTGGTGGCTGCTATACAAGCACCGCTTTTGAATATCCCTTCCGGTGCTACGGTCAGCGTGAAGATCATCGACGCCACTACCACCATCAAAGTTCCCTTGAGCTTGCAAATGGGCCCGAAGATTATAGGGCATGATAACCTTTTCTGTCCAGCCTATTCCTTCCTCGTTGAGCATCCCTCCGGCCGCAAATTGCTGTATGACCTTGGCACCCGCAAAGACCTTGAGAACCTCTCTCCATCCATCGTCAGTATGATGTCTGCACCCGGCTGGGATTTCAAAGTGGAAAAGGACGTTGCAGAGATCCTAGAGGCAAATGGAGTTTCAACGGAAAGCATTGAAGCGGTGATCTGGTCGCATTGGCACTGTGTGTAGCTTTTCTACTTTGGCATGCCGTGATGCTGACGACGATCATCCTTGCAGTTGACCACATTGGCAACATGGAGACCTTTCCATCCAGTGTCAATCTAATCGTAGGTCCAGGGTTCAAAAGCGGTCTGCTACCGGGGTATCCGACAAACAAGGACAGCCACCTGCTGGAATCGGATTGGGCCGGGCGAGAGCTGGTTGAGCTGGAATTTGACACACGCTTGAAATTGGGTCAATTCAGGGCCATTGATTACTTCGACGATGGTAGTTTTTATCTGCTGGATGCGCCTGGTCATGCTATCGGTCATATATGTGGTCTTGCTCGCGTCTCCAAAGGGACTGGAGGGGAAGAGGATACCTTTGTCTTTATGGGCGGAGACACATGTCACCACGGTAAGTGTTGAATATCTCCAACATCTACTCGGAAGCGTCTAATACCTCAACCAGGTGGTCAATGGAGACCCAACCAGTATCTTCCACTTCCCAAACAGGTCTTTCCCACCAAACCTATCCTAGGCAGATCAGTCTGCCCAGGGAGTGTGTTTCAAAAATTACATCGCCATAACTCAGCGGTGGAAGAATATTACAAGATGGCTCCCAACTTCCCCCAAGATTACCAAGAGGCAGAAAAGACGATTCATCACATGCAGGAGTTCGATGCAGCGAAGAACATCTTGGTCATCATTGCTCATGACTGTGCGCCTCTGGAACCGAGTAGCGGATTCAAATTCTTCCCCAATGGAACTCTGAATGATTGGAAAAAAGATAAGTTGGACCAACGAATCAGATGGGCCTTTCTGGAAGACTTCCAATCTGCAATAGAACAAGGTGCACAGCAAGAGACGAAAATGGAAGCAGGTCTGACATTCAGACCTCAGTGAACGAGGAGATCACCAAATTCCTTTCACATCTTTCGCGTGGCGTTTGTCAGGATTGAGCCTATCAGATGGGCAGGACGTGACAGCACAGTCTGAATCAACATTAAGGAGGTATTTCTCGGCGCATCGTCGTTCCAGAGCGCTCAATCGAGCATTGCGGAGACGAACCCACAGCCATCCTTGCGTTAGCAAGCTAGGTCTGAAGAGAATTTGCCCGATTGATGCTGGTTTCCTGCTCTTCCACTTTCCACACGGCGATGTCAAGTGTTTTGTGTTACAAATGTTCATCGTCCACTTGCAACGGCAGGATTCGATCCTCCTGGATGGTCGAGAAGCTGCGACTTCGGTGTACAGGGATAGCGCTTAGTCCGCAATAGATATGCAGATTTTGGGCAGTGGTCATAGCCGATGGTCGGAAGATTTCTCTGCCTTGAAAACGGAGAGGTTCTGCCAAGTCCGCTAGAGCGCCACGACAAGTTCTTCTTTCAACATGGCGAGTTCCTTAGTCTGATGAGCGAGCCGGAGCATTTCTATATCATCGGATAGTCCTGCAGCACAAACTCCCTTGACTAGGTTTGACTGCTGCGACTGTCACATACCGTCACACTGATGTGCAAGACTCCTCTAACAGTGCTTCGTTGGTACGTCAAGGGCATCTTAGATGCACACATTTGAACACTGTAGACTTTGCCGATCACACGTGCTATACTCCAGAATTCCATAAAGATAGCTCGACAGCGGTTGAGCCACACCCGACCGAAAATGGTCAATTAAGCTGTGAACACAAGAGCCAGCGCCAGAGCATCTAGCCCCCTTTTGAGACAAGGCCAAGTACTTACTATGCGGTGCTGAATTGCGAGCAACATCATGGTTGGCATCGAAGCCCGTGGGTCCGTGAAAAAAGCTGATCCGATTCCGAGAGCGACATATGTGAGGAACGAGACATTGCGAAGTCTTTGAGCTACCCATTAGTGACTATTGAAACCTCGATCAAGCAGCCGATGCCAGGTGCCTCAAATCTACTAAGGGCATAAAATCCACAAAGCGATTTACTTAGCATTTCGGGCCTTCAACTCAAGCTTTAGCTGCAGTACGGAGTATTGGCCGACTCATTTAAGGCCGTTGACGTTTCAAATGTTTTACTGGGTCAAGACTAAATGCAGTTCTGACACTGGGATTCAGCGCAAGGACAACACTGCTCGCTTCTCCGGTGGTTCCTGGGCACGAGGATATACATTCGAGAAGAACATCAAGCCTATTCCGGAGAATATTCACGAAAACTGGAGTCCCGCCACATAGCAGCCCGGGAGTCTCTGGTGCGGGGTCCTGAAGGAGCTGGCATGGCTCAACAGCACCGAGCGGCAAATCTAGCGTACAATGAAGAGTTGTTCTATCGATTTCCTAGAGTTGGTGTGCGAGAAGCATGAAATATGTGGACCCGACAGGTTGGAAAATACAAGCTCAAGTCGAATGCCACAAATGGTATAGCCGCCCATTCTTTCTGCCAACCCCATAACCTGGTACGATAAGATGATTGGATCGAGAATCCCGCATCTCATTTCATCTCGCTCGTCCGTCCTCGTTGCCGCCTGCGCATCAACGGCTTGACAATTATCATTTGCTCGATTGACCGTCCCCTATCTTCTATTGACTGGAGTAAAGACGGCTGGATCACGCGGTAGGCTGGCAGTTCATTCGGCAGAGCATCCGAAGGGCCTCCAGACCCCTGGACGGACCAGATAGGGACCTCTCGAGCACGAACTGACGACGCGAAAAGGGTTGTTGACTTAGGCATCGAGTCCGGGACGAAATTCGTGCCCCGGAGAGGGTTCCAATCGTCGGATACCCCGCACCACTGGAAGGCCCATTGGTTCTGATGTGCCCACGGCGCTCGAATCGATGTTTCTTTCACGAGAATACGGAATGTGTCCAGTGCAAACACAATGTCAAAGTTCACTTCTTGTAGGAGGCGATGGGGTCATTGGGGTGTGAAAGGACTTTGGCAAATCAGTCCTAGGGTACGGGAATGATAGGGTGTTTCTGATGTAGGGGGAGAGGCACTCCTAGTAATCTACACAATTCGGACATCTCCCCCGCCCTTCTAACAGCCGACAAAGGAACCTTACCACTCAGATTGGGGACGATTTCACCTCGACAACGGACCGTGCTATAGTCACGAATTGGACGTAACTATAGTCGCGGCTATCGACTGCCTAGATGACATCGTTGCCTAGTAGGCGTGGTACAAAGCAGCACCAGAATCTACAGACAAATTTATACCCGTAATTCCTGCAGCCCGGCTTTCTGAAAGAAATACAACACCTTCCGCAATCTCTTCAGGCGCTGTCATTCGGTTTTGAGGACTTTCCAACTTGACCGCTTCGTAAAACGAGTCTGGCATGCCAGCTCCGCTCATCAAAGGTGTGGGTACAAATCCCGGACATATGGAATTGACTCTTATTTGATGAGGGGCAAATTGCCTCGCGTCCACTCTAGTCAGCACCAAGACAGCATGCTTTGTGCTCGTGTAGAAACACTTTGAGGCACAACGTCAGCATCCGTATATCTCACAAGGCATGTAAGGGCCGTACGCCTTTCACGTTGACATTAGCCAATCTGTCAAACATCTCGATCGGAGTGTCTGCAGTTTTCTTCCCACCCTGAGCAATTCCTGTATTGTTCATGGCAAAGTCAATCCGTCCAAATACCGCTACACATGTCTTCACCATCAATTCAACCTCTGCGGCAAGTGAGACATCGGCAACATGAAGATGAACTTCTGCGGTGCCCGAGGCTTCTTTCACCAGCTGTTGAGTATCTTCTAGTCCGATCCGGTTTATGTCGACCAGGAGAAGAGGATCCATCGGAACTGTGTCAACATGTCAAGTGTTCCAAGTAGAACTCGATTCGTCCTCTTAAATAAGCGCTTGAAGCGGCCTTTCCAGGTCCTCCTCGAAGTCTGGAGTATTCTCCGACCCCATACCCCGCCTCGGCGAACGCCGGTGTTGCATATCCGACAGACATGCAGCGTTGTGCTAGTGTCCGTTTGAAAGACTGATATGGTCGACCAGTCGAAACGATTTATGCCTTCGAGTTTTATGTAGGGGTGGGCGAGGACTTGGTTCAAGTGCGACCAAGCTGAATTTCCTTAACCAACTCTGTGTTCAAGTCTACAGGTGCAATTTCAGCAGTGTTCACTAAGATCGCGACACATTGGTATGGATCTTTTGAAAGGAGGCACTGCCGTGATAATTGGCGCCGCTTCAGGTCAGTACATCCTGAGGTGGTGGGAAAAGATTTTCTGCTGTTGACTATTCCAAGGCATAGGACAAGCCGCTGCCATAGCGTTTGCTCGCGACGGCTGCAAAAAGGTGATGATTGGCGACATCAATGTTGATGGCCTGGCGGAAAGGAAAAGGCTAATACAGGAGCAATATCCGGATACCGTGGTTGAGACTGCGGCTATTGATGTCGTGGACGAGTCATCTGTGGAGGCCTTTCACCAGGAGGCAGCCTCGCGATTCGGGCGTATTGACTTTGCGGCCAATAGTGCTGGTTACGGAGATGGTGCGTTATTGGCGCTTCGATTTGTGGACTCATTGGAGGTAAGTTCTAGACTGTCCGTTACAGGTCCTTGTATGTCTGACCTTGTTTCGAAGGTATCGTTGCATGTCGGGCGCAAACTATGAATACCCTCATCGGCGCCAATGTCATGTTAGGGTTGTCCGCCGGCGTTCAGTAAGTCTACATTTCATCTTTGGGCAGCAGGCCACGGGTCTACTCTCTTGAAGATCAATATACTGACTATCTTCCAGCACCTGCTACGCCCTCATCATCGGCGAGATATGCTCTCACAAGCATAAATTCATAGGAGTCGTATTAGTACTTGTTCCAAATGTGGTTGCCACTGGGTTTGGGGCTTACATTGCTCTTGATCTTGCTCATAATGCAAGCTGGAGGTTCGTGAAAAACAACGACCCAAGAAATACCATGCTGACTTCGATAGATGGGTATATTACATATTCATCATGATGATGAGCGCGTCTATCGCTCTGCAGTATGTGTTCTACAGACCTCCAAATTTTCGTCAGCTTCACGGAGATGATCGGACCCGCTGGGAAGAAGTCAAACGCATTGATTGGGTGGGCTTGTTCTTCCTTGTCGCAGGTCTCGTTCTCTTCCTGCTTGGAATATCATGGGGTATGTCTCATCCCCCCATCCAGATGTGTCTGACTTTATTCCAGGCGGTCAACCTTTGCCCTGGTCGTCGACCAGAGTCCTGGGTCTTGTCATCTCCGGTGGGATCACGCTTATCGTGTTTGGATTATGGGAAGGCTTCTCCAACACAACCAATCCTCTGGTACCCATGCACTTCTTCAAAGATCTTCGCGGCTTTGTCGTGCTGTGTTTGATCAGCAGCGTGTGTGGCACTGTGTATCTTGCGACAGCTATTATCTGGCCGTCCCAAGTGGCGTACGTGTGCTTCGCTAAGTATCCTCCGACATCCGAAAGATATCTGCTGACATGAACATGAATCAGGGTAATATACTCGGGCACAATCACAAGCTGGCAGCACATTGCCTGGGCCTCGGTAGATCCCCCGAAACTTCTGTCTGGGTAGAGTTGATAGAGTTGACAAATGCAAACTACCATTGCGTTCGGTGTTTGGTTGGCATGATATTCATTGGGCCGTTTGTTGGCATCATCAAACACGTCAGGATTCAGTTCATTGTCCTGATGTCTATCTGCGTGGCTTTCCTTGGTAAGATCCCGGCCAGCTTTTGGGCAGTTCGGGAGTTCTAACGTGCCGGGAATAGGAGGTCTCGTATCGTGCAATCCTCACAACTTTGGCCAGTCTGCTGCCTTCTTCTTCCTGGCTGCGATGCCGTTGGGGATTATGGAAATGACGGCTCGTCTTTTAGTCCAGATGGACTCCAATGACGCCGACCTGGGCACAGTCTTCTGTATGCTGAGCATTGTCTCCGAGGAAAATCGAGTACGTTAACAAATATTAGCGATTGTTTTCTTGATTAAATCAGCATCCGGGTCAATCTTCACATCTGTTTTCATGTGAGTCTGGCCTTTTCTGCAAGATATCAACTAATGCTTGCGCTAAGCAGTTACAGAGCCATCTTGAACAACAAACTCCCGGCTGAATTGAAAAAGTATGTGATACCCGCAGCGCTTCAAGCCGGCCTACCTCAGAGCTCCCTCACAGCACTGGCGGGGGCCGTCACTTCGGGAAACTCTACTTTACTTACTCATGTGCCCGGTATGGACACAGCAATTGAAGCTGCGGTCGGATCCGGGTTGGCTACCGCTTATGCAGCTGCGTATGCATACGTCTATTACGCAGCAGTTGCTGTAGGTGGTGTCGGATTAATCGGTGAGTTGCCGTGTAGATCAGTCTTAGCCCCGAGACTGAACGTTCGAACGTTGGACTTTGTGTTTGTAAGGCTAAATTTCCCTAGCTGCCTAAAAACTACGATCCGCTCTTCAACGACCACATATCAAGAAAGATCTATAAATCTGGCCAGAATGACGCACCTACCCAATGATAAGACTCAATATGACTCTGGTGCTGACGTTCAGACACTTGAGAAGAGCAAGGTTGAAGCTCAGGAAAACATTCCAAAAGGATGGACTGAATGAAGAGTGCATGTAGAGTGGCCGCAGGCGGCAATTTGGAGTGGCTAGTGCCTAGGAAGCTCCAATATACTTGAATTGTCTGTGAACTGTTGGAGAGTGTTTTCAAAGGTAAATCAGATCACACGTAAATGAGAGTACATTGCTAGAGATCTACTCACAGTGTGGGAGAGAATTATTGCTTAGCTAAATAGTAAATACGGCTGGGGATGGGAAGGGTTGAAGACATAGAGCTGAAGGTAACAACGCCTCGTTTGGACTTGCTTGGTTTATGGGAAGTGTACACAAAATATGCCTTTTAGCAACCACATTTCTCTTTGCTCTAAACTGCTCCATAAGTTCCTACTTCCACTGGCGTGGACGATGTCAAGACTCAATCTGCGCCGTTGAGACAATGTCTGATTCTAGACCGAAAATACTCCCCAGTCTATCCAGGAGTTTGCCCATAGAGTCTCGTTGGGTGTGCGGGTTTTGGACGGGCGAGTTCCTCGACGTCTTCTCCTTCAATCAGTTGAGACCTCAGCAAAGGTCGGTTTGGACATGGCAATCTCTCTCCAGTACCACACCGCCGACATGGTAGCACCAGGGCCAATGATGAGGCTGCCCAGGGCGATGAGAGCCGAGGCCGCCCCGAAGTCGACGGTGGTACGGCCCATTCGCTTGATATCCCAGACCGCCATGCAAAGCCAAGCATACGACGCGACATGGAAACCCCAGAAATCAGCTAAGAACAGGCTCTTCAGTCCCTCAGTCAGGTCCTTTGGCTGAGCAGAAAAATCGGGCCAGAAGACCGATGTTAAGCTCAGGTCCGGCGAGAACAAAATCTTGCTGAGAGAATAGACGTGGAGCACGGCGCCCAGCACACCCGTGACGAAGTAAAGGCTCTTCAGGTACGGGATATCCGGGAACGCCTCGTTAGCTTTCCGCGAGACCTGGACAATGTTGTATCTCTTGACACAAATATATCCCAGAACGCCGCAGATGAGCGGTACAAACATGGGGGACGGCTGCCAAAGAGACTCGAAGATTTGAATTGTGCTGGGGTCCTTCCACGGCACGTACATGAGGACGGTTGGAAGGGCATAACCGATCAAGACTGCCCACATCAGCGAGGACGCATGTTGAATCGGGACCTCTCTGTTGAGCGGCCACCAGTACGTTTCCGGCTCAGAGATGTACGTATAGGCGGCATAGTAGATGGGCATGTAGATTCCAACGCCGGCGTACTGGACAAGGGTGAACCACACTGTGATGCTAGATAATGGGTAAGCCGAGGAACTCCAAGTCAGTTTTGTCCTGAGCGTATACTCACAATGTTATGGGTGTCAGCGCGTTTCGCTTTCGGTACGCTTCGACTGACCACACCGCTATGGGCTGAACCAGCATCCCGAGAAAGTACCTGTGTAATGTCGCGAAGCTCGGGTCCCAGTTGTTGACAGCGGGCATGTACGCCGCGGCGAGGAACGTCAAGTAGTCGTCAATGGGCTTGATGTGAATATATGTGCGCTTGAGAGGGAATCCGGGATCGTACGAAAATCGCCCTGTCGTCAGGATGCTTTCAAAGTGCTTTCCCAGATCGTAATGCGCAGACCGGACCCACATGCCGTAATGCACGAGTGCGCCAATAAGCAGGTAGAACGCGATAAAGTACCATTTCTTTACTCCCCTGGGGAACGGGGTGCCGAGGAGTTCATCCTTGTAGGGCACGAGTCTTGGGACCGGGGCCATCTTGGGGCTGCTCAGCTTTTCTGCAAGTGGCATGTTGCGGGAAAAGTTGAAGGTGACATCCTCAACGTTTGTCAAGGGCAGGAGATAGAAGGCGATAAAGGAATGGAGAGGCGTGTCGAGGAGCTCGGTCCTCTGCTGCTCGTGAGAATGGCACTTGAGTGTCTCCGTCCGCTCCTGTCGGACTCTTTCGGTATGGGCAAAGGCGTGTTCAATCTGGGCCAGGGTCGGCTTCCCGTGTCGGGCTTTTGCCAGCTCATCCCGCAGAGCGTTGACCAAAGCAGCCGCGGATTCGATACAAGCGTTACCACCATGGCCGGCAATGGGATGGAACTAGACACCCCCGGTTAGCAAGACGAGCTCGGGCTGAAACAAGCCTCATGCCCATACCTTGTGTGCGGCGTCGCCGATGGTGATGATGCGCTTGAAATACCATTTCCGAAAGACATACTCCTGGAGCGGCACCAGGACCGACGTGATCCTCTGGGCTAAGATCTCCTTGAATTTCAAGTTCGGCGTGATGTCGTCGTTTTCTCGCAGCGCGAGCACCTTATCTCTGTCTGCGTCCGTGTAGACTGGAATGTCGCTTCCGTAGGCGCGCTGCGCCAACTTGAAGAAATAGAACCAGTATACACGGCCTTCTGGGCCGCCGTTGATGATGTAGGATTCATGCTTCTTGAACACCGAGTTGGATGCGCCAGGCTCAATCCCGTTGCAGGGGTTGGAGATGCCAAATACACATCCATAGTCGCAGGGAACACCTGTTTCGACGGATTAGTGTATACCGCCGAGGGAGCAGGGCGGGGGGTCAGGCTCACAGTCGTGCTCGTCCGATGGAATCCAGCCAGGAGAGGACTTATTGGCGATCCTCCACATTTCATTTCTCACCTGACTGTGGATGCCATCGGCCCCGACAAGGATGTCACCCCTGTAGACCGCGTTGTCGGTCGTCGTGACCGCAACTCCATCATCCGACATCTCAACATCACGGACCCGTTTGTTGGTTAGGATTTTTGATTTGTCCCGTATGTTCTCGTAGAGGACACGGAGGACCATTTGCCGATCCAAAAATATGATGGGATAGCCGTGCCTACGTCGTCGAGTTAGAGGCGGTGTCGCTTCTTTCTGGCCATGGTGCAGCCCTCACCTCTCATGCATAGATCTATTCATGCCGCGGAATTCGGCGATGATATTTCCCCGCTGATCGCGAAAGTGGAACGAGTCCAGAGGCGGGCACAGCTCCAACATCTTCTGATACAGCCCGAGCTGGTCCAAGATCCTGTTCCCGTGCGGCAGAAGACCAATACTGGCACCCACCTGGGGAGCAATATCGTCGTATGCCTCGAGTACGACAAAGTCGATGTCGTAGAGCTGCAGCATGTTGGCCAGGGTGAGGCCAGTAATGCTGCCGCCCCCGATCACAACTCTGAAATCGCTCTTGGCCTTCATGGTCGGCTTGGTTTCTTGAAAGGAGGGGTAGAATACCAGATGGTTTCGTGTGGTGGGAATACCTAGAGCCGTCTTATATCTTCACACATGAGGTCGATGATCATCCAGGGTTCCACTGCCTAGCCTCAACTTCCAAATTGGACGACACTTCATGGTTTTGGAAGTGTGGGACAGCCCGGGGGTGCCGGAGAAGCCCTGGAGAACGAGATCTAGACACCCCTGATACCCCATGGGATGTATATCCGAGAAGATCGTAAGACACACTCCGGAAAAGTACCCCACACGGAAAAGCGGGCCGAGCAGATCTTGCAGACCCTGACCCACATTCAACGACTCCTCCTTCCCCATAATTCTTACGTATACAGACATACGTCGAGAGTCCGACCAATTCAGACTTGCATATGGTTGACTGATCCCACAGCTGCTCTAGGAACAAAAGACAAAATTTTCCCGTCATCCGGTCCTGAGGAACACGCCTCCTCGTCCCCTTCAGGTTGAGACCCTTCATGGACACCTTCAAGTGGAAAACGATTGTGACGCGGCGCTCACTCAAATACACATACTATGTGTCTCCTCACGGGGAATCTTCCAAGGAGCATCCCACGCTGTTCTTCATTCACGGCTTTCCGGACTCGGCGCGGCTGTGGGCAGATGTGGTGGCCAAACTCGGCGATCTACCCAACCAAATCATCATTCCCGACTGCTTAGGGTATGAGGGCACCGACAAGCCAACAGACACAAAGTTGTACGCGTACAAAGATCAAGTAGACGACCTTACCGAGATCTTGGAGGCCGAGAAATCCCAGTCCACCATCGTCATCGGACATGACTGGGGCAGCGTAGTCGCCCAGCGCACCTATCTTTACAAGCGTGAGCTGATAAGCGGCGTGGTCCTGCTCAACACTGGATACATGCTACCGTCGGACAAGCCTTTCGATCTCGCCGCCGTTAATGAACTCACAAAGCAGGCCTGGGGCTACCCGCAGTTTTCATACTGGGAATTCTTCCTGGGGCCGGACGCTTCCGAGATAATCGATGCAAACTTGGAGAGGATGTGGCAGGTGTTACACGGTGACGTAAAGGACTGGATGAAGACGTTGTTCTGTGCTCCGGGCGTTATGCGCGCGTTCCTCCTCGGAAACGAGAACGTCCCGTTGAAAGCATATGCCCAGCGGCCGGAATGGAAGGACCACTTCCTGCAGCAATTCAGGGCCGATGGGTTTGAGTCGGCCTTGCAGATGTACAAGGCTACCGCGTCGAATGTGCAGTTCGCGTCAGATTTGACCATCCCAGAGGGCCGTTTGGCCATTCAGGTGCCGCTTCTGTTTGTGATTTGCTCCAACGATGCCGTCTGTCAGCCGGAAATGATGACGCCGGCCAAGGTTCAAGGCCTCCTGCCTGATTTGAAGGAAGTAGTGGTTGAGGCTGCACATTGGTCGCCAATGGAGAAGCCTGATGAAATCGCGGCACATATTAGAGACTTTGTGATCGAGAGGTTCGCCTCGAATAAGGCCAGTAAATGAGATATTGGAGTGATGAGCAGTCGAGCGAGCGCTACATCGGACACAGACAACCGACTAGGACTTGCCTCGACCTGCATCTTTACAGAGCTCAATTCGGTCGAACGTGCTGGTTCCCATCGAGCGACGTCTCCCAAGCACACCCTTTGAGGCAATGTCACTCAGAGATTGTCACTGATTTTCAACATCTCACCAGTAGCTACAGTGGCTGCCTCTGC